CCCTAACCCTAACCCTAACCCTAACCCTAACCCTAACCCTAACCCTAACCCTAACCCTAACCCTAACCCTAACCCTAACCCTAACCCTAACCCTAGCTAAATATTATTATAAAAGAGATAATTATTAAGGCTCTATTTATATATTCTTAATTATATAAACCTATCCTCTTAGAGCCTTTTTCTCTAATTTCTTATATTCTAGGTCGTCTACCTCCGGTTTTATTAATTTCGGGTTCTTACTTTTCTAATATTACTTTTTCACTACTAACGGTAGAATCTCAATCGAGCCTAGCCCCGCTGTAAGGTGGGCTCATCATCACACGTTTCTACCCCGCGTCCTCGAGCTACACGCGAGACGAGCTCACTATGCAAACACAATTCCCGATGCGCGAAACAGAGCCCCGCCTGCATTCCAGTCCATGTGCTCCAATCCCGCCGCACTCTACGTTAGTGTGGAAGCACGCCATATTGCACTTCAAGTCTACACTGTAGCCCTACCGCTCGCGCTAGAGCAGAAGAGTCTGGACCATGATCAGCCCGGCGATCTTGTCCTTAGCGACCGCCGGGTCCTGTACGTCGCCCTGGACCGAGATACCATAGTTTTGTTGGGAGACGTGGCTACGGCAAGAGTGATGCAACTGGTACACTGGTTCCGTCTTCATGACCTTTCCGGCGGCTTACCGGTGGGGTTACGGCGCTTTTGTACGAGCGCGGGACATTTCGCTCATAACCACGGGGCGGCGATGCTACGGATCATAGGACAGCAGCTGTTCTCCGACGTCGACTACTTCGCATTGTCGATTGGTAGTGCCGCTATGGCGACGGCGCCTCCTGCCTCGTGGTCGGGCGGGCGATGTTACCTGCGTGAGCTTCAAGATCAGGTGGAGGCACAGGAGGATAACGGGGATTATAGGGAATTTCTGAACGGGATAAGCCGGCAGTTCAGACAGGGGAATGGTTGGATGAGGATAGGCAGAAACGAAATGAGGATTGTCAGTGTATGTTTCGAGAACGGGTGGTAGAAATAGTGGCAAGAAGACTAGAGGCAGTTCAAGGGCACAGCTGAATCGCGCGATGAACGCTGCATGGGCCTTTATCGTCCTGAAATCACCTGCTTCGAATAGTCGTGGGGACGGGAAAGGACGGCTTAGACACCACGACGGTATTACAGGAATGTCCGTGTGTATCGGTGCTGCACTTTCACTGGAAGCGAATCACCCTCGATTAGAGGAGCTTACTTATAAATTCTACACCTCTTATGACTTACATAAACACTTTCGCCCACGGTATCTTAACCGCTTGTCTAACGATGCTTAGCCACGGTGTGAGGTGAATGACTTGGAATTAAAATATAAGACATATTTATAGAGCCACGCATTACTAGTACACAGTACTATGTTCCCGGTTCTCGTGGGTTAGAACAGACTTAAGTAATATTTTACTTTACTAAGTATTATCTATCTATATATTCGTTATTTTATAATATCTTTCCGACTATCACGTTAGTAGTTAAGATATATTAAAGTTAAGACACGTCGGCCTTTTATTATAGTTAGGACCTATTAAGTCTATACTATGTATTATTAGGCAGACTTAAAGGCTATTCTCTAAATTTCCCGAGTTATATTTACTGCGGCTAAGGCGGCGCTGGCTAATAAGTAATCCAAAGGCGAGTTCAGTATAATACTACCGACGCCTAGGGCGTAGCCTTCTTCTCACCGATCTACGGACTCAGTTGCCTTAAACGGTGTACTTCCGGTTAAGATTAACTTTCCCGGGACTTTCCTTTTAGAGATTCGGATTTAACCGATACATAGTCGCGCCAATCAGGCAGTTAATCTAATTAATTAATAAACACATACCGAGGGGTAAGAGGCGACATCTTATCCTTGTCGTTAGTCATGGCGTAATTATATAAGAAACAAAGGGAAGTGGCACGTTAGAAAACAAGAGGGACCTTCGCGTATATGTTAGAGCTCCGAGAAGACCTTAACTTTTAGCGAGATGTCGTCAAACATTCGAAACGCACTCCTCATTGTGGCTACGGCTGCCAGCTTCTTCACTATTTTTGGTCAGGCTACAACCGTCGCTCCAGCATCCAAGCTAAACGGCATCACGATTCCCCATTCTGATAACGTTCGGGGTTACATCAACCTGCCAACGGAATTGCCTGGCGATCCTACTGTGAAAGTTAGCTGGAAGTCATCTCATCCAGATATCGTTTCGGATCGGCCGGATGGAAAGATCGCCGCTGGTGTTGTTCACCGACCTCCTCCGGGAGCCAAGCCGGCGGGAGTAAAGTTGACAGCTTGTGTTGATGAACATCACGACCACAATGCCTGCCGCGATTTTCACCTGCGGATCCAGCCTTCTGTTGAGCTGGCTGAGTTCACGCGCTACGGTATGGCCAACTTTGCCAGATCAAACTCCAACTCCGGCCAGCAAGTCTTCTTTGCCACGAGCGAAGCCAATGAAGCCACTACCTGGCACGAAACTAAGAACGGCGCGGCGACCCTTATCTCCCCGAAAGGCATGCACGCGACCCGCGATCCTGTTATTGTCCGTTCTCCAGAAGGCGACCGATTCTTCCTTGTGGCGACGGATCTCAACGTCGACAATGTGGATTACGGTTGGAAGAACTGGGACTGGGCACAGAGTGGTGCGAGCCGCTATATCGAGGTGTGGGAGTCTGATGACCTGAGGAATTGGTCTGAGCAGCGACACGTGTTGGTGGCGCCTGAGGAGGCGGGTATGACCTATGCTCCCGAGGCGATTTGGGATCCCGAGATTGGGGAGTATGTCGTGTACTGGACATCAAGCATGTATCCGAAAGGGACATACTACACCCCGAACAAGGAGGACCCTAATGGCCGATATCCCCTCACTGGAGGTCAGACGCTGTACGCCACAACTCGCGACTTCATCAGCTTCAGCCCTGCAAAAGTCATGTCTGGGCGCCCAGGCCACGGCACTCTCGACCCAGTGATTATCCCTGACGAACACGGATACTATCAGCGCATTGTCAGCGATCGCAATTCCACAGGCGTGAACCTGACTTGGTACGGCATGCCATGCTCCTCCGAAGATCTCTACCAGGAACGATCTCGCTCCATCCTTGCTCCTGGAGCCGAATGGGAGCTCATCGACACCTGCATCACTCACAAGACCATGAACACAACTTACGCTGAAGGACCTCTCGTCGTGAAGGCCAACCTGCGAGACCCCCGCGGCAAGGGCTATTACATGTACGCTGATCAGAAATGGGCGGGTTCGCCATCTGGACAACCCATGGAGCAGCAATACCACCCATACTGGACAAACGATGTCGGCCAGCCAGATTGGCAACCAATTGACTGGACTAGAAAGCCAAACTACAACGAAGCAAATGGCGTAATCCGCCACGGTCACATCTGGGCCATTACTACCGCTGAGCACGCCGCCCTTCGCGGTGCAGATCTCAAATCAATCTCCCTCACACCGCCTACGAAGACGACTTACAAGGTTGGCGAGCCCTTGGATCTAAATGGATTAAAGGTGTCTGTAGAGTACTTGGATGGAGTTGTGGATAACGAAGTTATGGAAGGCTACGGAGGTTACTCTGTAAAGGGGTATAACCCGAATAGGCTAGGAAAGCAGAATGTCGAGGTTGTATATAGGGTTGTGGATGTCGTGAAGAACGCAAAGTTCAACGTCGTGGTGGTCAAGGGGTGCAAGTCGCCTGAGGGATTATGAAAGAAGCTATTAAGGACGTGGATCTCGCAAAAGCCGCTCGTGAGCTTACTCACCCCGACGATAGTCTACCTCACCTTGAATTATTATCGCATGTGGCGAACTCTCTCGTACTTTCGGAATCAGTATTCCCCTTCACCCCCCTTGGGCTGCGCGACATAGAGATTGCCTGGTCTTCGTGGAAATTCTCATCTCGAGCACCAGCGACAAGCTCCGCCACACGTGGTCTCCTGGCTTGCCGGAAGTCACTCCACAGGTTTTTGCAAGCCGTCCGAGAAGTGACGACGTAGATAACGGCGTTCCAGAACCCCTGCAGCGGCAGGACAAAGGCGCTCATGATCTCTAGCGTCGGCAAAGTCCTAGGATGCACAAAGGAGTAGACACGATTGGCGCTGGAAGGGAGCCAAGTGATGAGCAGCGCGGTAAAGAAAAGTATGGCGCACTTTGTGTATGCCCATGAGGCGGTATTCACTTCGTGGTTCCTTCGCCTTGCTGAACCGACTATGGCGCCCGATGGTGTGGTAGTTTTTGAGGGTTGCGAAGGAGTAACCCCCGATTGTATGTGGGATTGAGGACCGCCAGTAGCAACTGCAACTGTATAACCTCTCGAAGCAACTTCGGGGCCCAGGGAAGACGTGCTTTGCGAAGGCAAGATGTCGGGATGCCCGGCTTCCGTGGAAGACACCGTTATTTCTGTCGTCTTAAGATTGGTCATTGTCTCTGCGTGGGCCACGGAGACAGGGTCTGAACTGGACGGACTGAACTCGTGCAATTGCTTGTGCTTGTAGTAAATGGTGCGACCGGCGCGGACATAGATAAACATGGTTGCAAGAATGAGGATCCTAGTTGTGTTAGTGTGATACTAAGCGGTAGCATCTTGTAGTGTTATTTTACTTACCACACGGGTGCATAGAATGTTACAATGCGCAAAATATTCCATTCCGTTGTCACCCAGCACCAGAGAGTTGCGTCTCCATAGACGCGATTGCCTTCGCGGGCTCCCAGGAAGATATAGACAAGGGCTGGGATCAAGGGAACGCCATAGCAAACAACCATATAGGGGATCTCCATTCTGCGAAGACGTTGTGCATCAAATCTGTAGTAGAAGGTGAGGTAGACGTTGATTGCCATGGCTAGAGTCCAGAAGGCATCTGCGGGCATGAACCTATTCATTTCACAGCGTTAGTGCTATGGTCCTTGTATGCGAACCTGCCTCGAAGGCGATGGAGTAACTTACATTTGAATCAAAAAAGCCTGGAACTGGCAGCCAACTGAGTTTGGCGATCTAGTATATGTGCGCGACATGAGGGTGCCGACATTGGTCAACATGTTGCCAAAGCTAGCGTAAAACACGAGGCGGTTGACAGGCTTGTGAAAGCTTCTGGACATGCAGAAGGTGACGATGACGAAGATGGATCCCACAAGCGATACGGCCGAGCAGGCTCTCTCAATGCTGCTGACAGCCTCGAGCTGTGTCTCGGTGAGCCCACCGGGCATGGTGCTTGTTTAATGACTGTCGACTGGTGAGGTTCTCGAGGATTGGTGTGCAATTGTCGATTTAGGACGCGACTGGCCACATACAGGCAAACTATGCGGTTCAGTTGCAAAACACAGAAATAAAAAAAGCAAAGAATAATTTGCAGAAATCATCACAGAAACAAATCTCCACGTTGCCTATATGTAGAGGTTAGTCAAGGGGTTGATTTTACCGCAGTTCAAAACAAGGGGCATAAAGGCGATCCAGAGCGGTGGGCCTTGAGGGTGGTGGGGGGATAGTGAGCTAACATGCAGGCTAAGAGGCGAGCAACCAGGGTCGTGGGGATTGGCGGTCGAGCTGAACAGCCACCGGGTCCAGGAACGTGTCATGACTCGGTGACTGGAGATTACCTCCGGCAATCTACTGCCTGCAACCCAAAGCTGGCCCCCTATACCGCCGACGTCTCCTGCTTCGGCTTGTGTGCAATGTGCATCCATCACTTCCATAGTTTCCTAACGCAGCGTGCCTTAATCCGTATTGTATTTCTGCACAAGAAAAGCCCTTATGTCGAAGATCGGATAGTGTACCTCGTGTAGTTAACGTTTTTATGGATCTTCACCTACAGTAGCCCAGCTAAGCCGCTATTCCCCGCAATGTCAAGAAGCAGACCACAGGGCTTGGCCGGGGGTGCCAAGAGTTCCAGATGTGTCCCGTGGGCCCGTGGCGCCTGTCCCCCGCAAGTAATTACTCGATGTAGACGATCTCAATGCAGCCAACGTCGCTAGCTGGTTCTCGAGTAATGAAGAAAAAAGTCTTCATTATTACAGCAGACGTCTCATTTCCTGTGTTATCATGTGCCTAACAGTCGCGCACTTAGAGACATCTCTCTTAGCTATCATAAGGCGAACCCCTTCATTTTGAGGGGCCGAGGCTCGACCCCTGTAGGAGGCGACTCATATGGCGTCTAGGAGGGAAATGACCCAACAGGGGAGAGCGAGGAGAGGTGGGCGGTCACATAACTCGCAGAGCTTGATTAGAACTCCGAAATTCATTTTGCCTGTTTTCCACGTCTATGTGGGTGTGGAGTGGGCTTAGTGATTTCAGTCTTTATCAGGGTCTACCGTGCCTGACATCAAATTACCCGCAACTCCCACAGGACCGCAGTTTGAACGAGGACTGGGCCAGGTGCGATTTTTGAGTGCTTGCTAGATTGATAATCGTGTTGAGCTTTTCGCGGCTGCCCTGCGTGGTGCGCATGCAACATGAGCCATACATCTCGGGTGCAGCGGACCCAATACTAGACTGGGGTCGAAGAAAGGTGTTGTCGAGCCAAGACTAATGATTATTATATTTTTCTATGCTTCAACCACATTTATGGTATATTTCCAGATCTTGAAGGGTACATGTACTTGTTGTCCCAGCCTTGCAGCTCCATTTCTCAAGGATAACGAAATCGTGACGTCAAGTAATATCTAGGCTCTATCACTACGCTGCCCCCTCTCGTACCCGAGAACATTTGACCCTACGCTGTCTGACCCTTCCACTGCCTGATTCGTATCAAAATCCTTTGCTCCGCGTAGTTACGTGCGACCCCATACCATGTCCAACCTTCTCAGCGGTCGCTGTGTCTGCGACAAGGTCCAGTTCATTGTAAAACTGGGCCCGTCAGACGAGCCCAGGACGACCCTATGTCATTGTTCCAGCTGCAAGAGGGCTTTCGGGACGAACTTTGGGCTTACCACTAAGGCAAGAGACACTGAGCCTCTGCATCCTATCGTGTTCCGCAGTGCTGATACGGAATGAAGATTCCCCTGCAAGCCTTTAGCTACTCCTGTGGCGAGATCAAGACGTTTAAGCAGGACAACGGTGTGACGCGGGAGTTCTGTGCGGAGTGTGGCACACACCTTTGCGAATATGGGGTGTGTAGCCTGGCCTTACAGGTATCAGACTTTGCACTGACAGGTTGCAGGAGCGAGCCGCGGATAAGTTCCGCTATATCCTTTGGGGAGTATTCGATCAAAGGGAAAAGGTTCCCCCGAAGGGCGAGTTCTTCTGCTCCCAGCGGGAGAACTGGATGCCAGAAATCCCAGGTATGACTACATTCCTGGCTGCACGGTGGTCGGATGCTAACGGCATTGAAGGAACCTTTCGCAAGAACGAAATCATTGAATAACGGGACTATTTGTACAAAGCATGGAACTTTGGGGCACTACATCAAGCCACTGGATTCTGGGTGGGATCCATTAGTCACACGTTGTGAACGGTCAGACGCGTTATAGCAAGGCTTTTTCTTAACAGGAGCCTGTTGAACCCAAATTCTCCTCCAACTATTAACACGCTTTGTTGACAGTCCATTACCGACGACGTCGAACCCTTTACTAATCACCTTGCTTCTCTGCTCAGTCAAAGATGTTCGAAGACAAGGCCACTCCACCCAGGGTTATTATTATGGTACTTTTCGGCAAAGAAATCCAGGAGCGTGACTATCGGATTGGTCTTGGGATCCTGGTCACTGTCCCGTAACCTCTGCAACCTCTCCCGCTGGCCGACGATCTCGAAGACAAGTCCCGCAGAAGGGAGTGCAGGCAGCACATCTTCGGTCCAGCGTCCCATCGTCGGGTTCTGCACGTGGTAAACGACGTCAGGGCAGTCTCTGCGCTCAAAATATCCATCGATCTTTGACCCCGGCTCTGCTAGCCTAGTGAGCTCTAGCACTACTTGCGCAGAAAGATCGACCGGCAACCAGGAGGGCGTCTCTTGAAGCACTGGAAGAGCTCCTATGGTAACAGTTACCCGGAAAATCAGGGGGATGGCTTGAGTTTCGTTTCACTTGCCTAGGACTGAGTCGCCCACAATCTGACCAGAACGCAAAACACGCACCTCCATGCCGGTACCCACTGTCGCAGCCTTGACGATGTGTTCAGCAACCCATTAGCTCCGTGCATAGCCTATATTCTGAGCATGCGCAGGATCCTACACCAACTTCCTGGCTATTCGAGCTGGAGAAGGGGTATGAGCGGCAACGGAGATTGAAGAGATGGATTTCAGGCAGGCAGGCCAAGCGAACGGGACCGACAAGCAGAGATCGAGGAGGTGGCGAAGACCAGCATTGTGCTGCGTTTCAAAATTGCGGACAGAAAAAGTGAAGTTGACCGCCCAGGCAAAGTGAATGACTGACGAGACTAAAGAGCTCAGTGCTTCAAAAACTGTACAACCGAGACCAAGATCGGCACAGCTCAGGTCTGAGGGGATGGTCGTGAACTTAGCAGACGTATGGGTAGAAGCATGGCCAGACTCTACCAGAGATGAGATAATGCGACCATGGGCGGGAGACGCCACGGTCGGCCAGTGACTGGAGGACGCGCTCCTTGGCCGACTCAGGCGATGGAGCGCGGACTAGGCAGTAGGCATGCTGTATGTGCGGCATGGACAATAGCTGTGACAGAACATGAGCCCCAAAAGAGCCAGTGGCACCAGTTCAGACCTCAGCATACCAGGGTAGTCAAAGCCATACGCAGACAGGACATGTGTTTACTTACAACAACCTCGCCGTCTGGTGCCGGGGTCGAACTACGCGAAGACTGAGTACTTAGCAACGAGCTCCCGTACAATATCCTCGTCGGTTACCGGCTCAAGCGGTGAACCTTTCCCAAGTGAAACCAGGTACGCCGCTAGTTGAGTGATTGATGCTTGGATGTTCGAAGGCAACATTCTATCCGAGAACGTTGTCAGCGAGGTCGAGCTCGCGCATCAAGTGCACCCGAGCGGTGATGGCCTGCAGCGAATCCATACCAGCTGCGAAGAAGTCCGTGTTCGCTCATAGACCCTGCACCACCGACGCGCGCTCCAAGAGTAGCTTACCTAGGTACTCCTGTAGAGTAGGGATCTCAAGCACCAAGCGGTCGCCCTTGCATAGTGACTCGAATCTCTTGTAGATATTGTCTATGGTATATGTAGTCGGTAAGTAGTTATAACTCGGGGCGCGGCTGACGGTGCTTTTGTCGATACGTGTGTACTCGGTGCTGTACGGTAAGATCTAAATTATATCGCGAGATAAATAACTAAATAGTTTCAGTACGCTTGTGAGCAGCGGTGTGCTCGCTTAAAATAAAAAGGAAACTACGTAAGAGTATATAAATACTAAGTACTAAATAGACCTAAACTAAAAAATTCTCGCTTATATATTATTTAAATAAAATAAAGAAATATAAAAAGTTTCTTTATTATATTAAAGGGAATAATAATAAAATAAAAAAATAATTATAGCCGCTATACTATTATTAAGCTTAAAAAATAAAAGCTATTATTATTATAGAAAGTCGCCTTATATAACCTTAGTAATTAAGAATAATTATGTTACTAGATACTAAGGCTATTATAAGGAACCTCTATATATAATAATAATATAATAATATAAAGTATTAATGTTTTATAAATTACTAAAAGAATATTATAAAATACTTAAATAAATTATTCATTACGTTTATAAACGCGCTTATTTTATAACTAAGTATTATTATAAAATAATATAAAATATATATTATAAAGATAATATAAATTAAGTATAATAAAGAAATACTGATAAATTAAGATAATAAAATATAAGGTTCTATATAAATAATAATAATATAATAATTATAAATAATAAATGATTATATTTTTATACTAAATAATAAAAACCCTTAGGCCTAATTATACTAATTATATCTTATATATATTATATTTCTTTCTTAAGTTACATCTTTTATATATTATTTATAATTATTATTAAAATAGAATTATTTTTTTAAAATTATATTTAATAAAACTTTATTAATTAAATAAAAATTAAGAATATTATAAATTTAAAAAAAGAAAATTATTTATTTTAATAAATTAAATAACTTTAAATGAAATAATATACTATTTAAGATAAATTTAAAAAATAATATATTAAATTAATTAAATTAAATAATATATAAGAACTAATATTATTTATATATTAAAATAGATTAAGATAAAAATCTTTTTAACTTTATAAATATCTTATAGCTATATTAAATATATTCCTTATATTATATACTAAATATTATATAATTATATAATATTTATTATTTATCAATAAATATATATATCCCTTAAGAGAAAGAACTTAATTTAAAAAAGGAATTATAACTTTATTTAGTAGGACGATTAGTAAGAAAGTTAAGGGGCACGTGAGCGGCTCAAGCGGTAGTATAACTGGTCGCAACTCTTTTTAACCTTTCTCTCTTTTACTCTTCCCCCTCCTACACCTTCACGTCGTGATGCCGTATCGTAGCCACGGCTGTCTTCGCTGCCGTCAGCGACGTGTAAAGGTTAGTTTCAGCGCGCGAAACTCCCAGTCGTACCACGAATGTCTTTGCTAACACGTAATTGCAGTGCGATGAGGCCAGGCCATCATGTCAGCGGTGTGTCGCACGGCAAGAGGTTTGCGTCGGGTATAGGGACGACAGCGATCTGACTTTCCATGACGAAACCACTAAAGTAGTGCAAAGGTACAAACACCTCGACGATAGTTCTTTGCCTCAAGTTGCCATCCCTCGCCGCGCTTCCGTGGGGCATCCCATCTCACGCTCAACATTCCGTGTCCACAATCGCTCATTTCCGCCTGAGCCTGGGTTCAGTGACTCAGTGAAACACCACGACCAAAACGACCTTGACAATCAGCTTGCATTAGACTTCATGGATAATTTTATTATCCGTCCATGCGACGAATCTTCCACTCCCGGCTTTCTCGAACACCTCCCGAGCCTGTTCAATGAAGTGAACGTGAAGGGACGGTACGCGCTACGGTGGGCCGTTCAAGCCGCTGCTTTCGCGAATTTATCGGGGAGAGGTGGGAGTGGACACTTCGAAACGAAAGCGCTTGAATCTTACGGACACTCCCTTGTGGCTCTTGAAAGGTCGCTGGCCAAACAGGGTAAACAGCCGGACGACTACGACTTAATGACCGTCGTGATGCTTGACATCTTCGAGGTATGCTGCACCGCTGTTTGCGAACTGTCTTCCCAGAGTACTGAATGAATTTCAAGTCGCTGTTTCTCCCTGATGAGACCCTTCGCGGGTCTCACGCGCAGGGCATGGCCCATATTCTGAGGCTCCGAGGTCATCATCAGTTCTACGAACCGCGTGCCTGGGGGCTGTTTCGCCTCGCCCATCATCGGCTGGTATGTGGCAGTGCCCTTGGGATGAGTACAAGCATATTGACATTCTTCTCTCCACAGCAAAAAGAGAGGTTGGCAAAACATTTCAGTCCCCTACCAGAATCTCAGGATTGGATAAATGCACTAGATGATGATGCTTCATTCTCTCGCCTCGAGAAAGGCGCTTTGCGGATATCTGAGGTCTGTGTTAAAGCAAGAATGTTACTCCAGCAGCTTACTTCCTATACTTCTTCGTCTGAAGAGGTATTACAACTCGTTCGCGAGATGTACTGCCTTGACCAAGAGGTCTCTGAATGGCGCCGACGGCCTGAATGGTCGTTTAAAACAGTCTCGCGCAGTGAAATATCTAGCGAGGCTGAAGTTTCAAACCACTTGCCCGAGAGGGTAGAGATTCACCGCGATATCTGGATGGCTTACGAATGGAACTACCACCGCACTGCGCGGTTGATACTTCACCAACAGCTTCTTCAATGCCTCGAGAAGTTAGCAAGTAGCTCCAGCACCATTGAGTCGGGACACCTTGACAGTCAGATTGCGTGTTGGATGGAGAGATCAGTCTCAACCATTCATACTCTCGCCGATCAGGTCCTCGCCACGGTCCCTCAGAGCCTGGGCAATGTCAATTCTTTGGGACAATACAGACGCAACCGGACAGCTCAATCAAGCCATCGGGCCATCGGGGCATATCTCTTGTTATGGCCAATCAGGGTCATTGGCAGCGAGACTAGCAGGGCAGCCGAACGTCAAATTCGGAGTGCGGTGGTTGTATTAGACGGAATTCGAGAGCATACGGGCATGAAATCACACCTCGGTACATTATCCACCAACATAGCAAATATATAACTACTGCGCTCTCTGATCCTAGCCTTCTGAAGGTGGATGTCTTTCTTCTTAGAGGAGAGTGCCTTCCAATAGTTCTCCATCCTTCATCATAATCTTTTCCGAAGCTATCATAACGAATCCCAGCCGGCAAACTTCCTGCGTCTTGTTGATCCACTGGTGATTGACTCCCTGCTGTACGATAAACTCTCCCGCCTTGGCGGTCCTCTCCTCGCCGCTTTCCAACTTCAGTACGACTTGGCCGCTTAAAACGACACAGTAGTCGATGCTCACGGTCCGGTGCATGGGTGAGCTGTCACCGGCCTGTAGATCCGTGATGCAGAATATGACGCCCTTCTCAGGGCAGCGGGGAATCTGAGGCGCGAACGCTTTGATCGGTGCCAGGTTGTTAACAGGGACCGACTGGCGAGTGTCGAGCACTGTGAAGACAGTCCGGCCTGGCCCCATGGGTGCGAAGGGTGCTAGTTCGTCTTCAGGGGCGAAGACGGAGGTCCCGTCTTCCTTATGAATGGTGCGTATGAGACGGGTGCTAGACATCATTGCAAGATCTTGAGGCTTGTTGTTGATGGTAGACGTTGGCGTTGTGATTCAGCGAGAACAGAGTCTAGAAGGTGTATAGTCGTACGAAGTTTGTTTGTAGCTGTTGGAGAAGATATAGACAAAAGTAGTGTGCCTGACTGAGGGAACAGAGGATTTATATACTTCGAGAACCTCTGACATTCAAATCCTCTCTTTCGGCTTTGCGTTGAATTACCACGAGGTTCTGGTTGACGCTGCGTCGGTGACAAGCGACTGTCTTGCGAGCAGGGATGTTCGCGGCGCTAACCAGCTTCGGAAACAGCCACGAGAGGCCCAGTCTGACTCTGACAGTCTGACAAACAGAAGAACTCAGCGCTTATCGGCCTAGTTTATCCGTAGCTTGAATTTTTTCAAGCCAATAGAAGGGAGCCCTTATCAAACAATCTTACGTTAGAATCCAACGCAGCAACGCCGAGCACCCCGAAGTTGCGGTGATTGTAGCTACGTTCATCGGGGCCCAGCCTGCCCCCGCAACATGAGTCGTAAACAAGCGACTTTTGCAGCTCAACAACTCTTACAAACAACCAGCCCGAGCTGGTCTCAGCGAACCCCATGGCGTCACTTGCACCTGACGCAGAACCCGTTGCAAGAAGGGACCTGGGGACTGCGACGTCGAGCCGCGGCCAGGCTGTCGATCCTGTATTCGTGAGGCAGAAGCGCAAACAGGTTGCCAGAGCATGCGATGAATGCCGCGCCTGCCGCATCAAGTGCGACAGCGGCCGCCCTTGTGCGAATTGCTCAAGAAAATCACGCGTGTGCAGCAATGGCACTCGGGAGAGACCTTCGGCGTTGGCGATTGCAGAGAAGAAGATCAATGATTTGGAGTCCAACATCCGTCAGCTTCGCCAAGAATTGGAACACGAGCGAGCAAAGACAGCCCAGCGAAAGCCTCTGACTCCATCTTCAAGCTCAACGTCACAAGAAAGCAGCGGCGCAGCTGAGGACTCTTGTTTGGCACCGAAGCGTGCTTTCAACTATGGCGTCTCCCTTCGGCCCCCGAGATCGTCCAACGACTCTTGGTTTGGCCCGTCATGTCTCTACTATTTCATCACTCGCTTGGCGCAGCCCCTTGGCCTGATGTCGCAGCCATCTACCTCTCTGGAGGGCCTGTTGACGATGCCAAGCGCAGCCGATACCTCAAAGCTGGTTGGAGAAAAGGGACCACACGATGGCCCTGAGGATACAGCCCAGCTGGTGGAGTCAATGACACTCGGGGGTTGGAACTCGATGCAGGAGCAGTATTTCATTGACCGTTACTGGGAGGGCTACCACACTGCGTACATGCCCATCATCGATGAAGCGGAGTTCAAGGCGCATCACCAGTCTCTGTGGTCAGCTTCTGGGGGCGCTCGCAAGCCATCTGCTCTGGTCGACATTGTCGTCGCTGTCTGCATGCAGCTTGGCGACCCGACTTCGAATGCTAGCAACGGGGAGATGAATTTGACACGGACGGATGGCGCAATGGCCGGCCGCCGGTACTATCGTCGCTGCCAGGCGCTACTAACCTACGAGATGGAGAGTCCCTCGCTTGCGACTCTGCAGTGTCGCTTACTCTCTGCCTTGTATGTCTGCGCCGGTTCGTTCCACAACATGATGGATGCCTGTGTCGCCCTGGCCGTGAGGACAGCTTATGTTCTTAAGCTGCACCTTGATCCGCCCGAATCAATGTCTCCCAAGGAGAAGGAGAAGAGGCGGCGCCTGTGGTGGGCTACCTATCTTCTGGAGACTAAGATTGCAACAAAGCTGGGACGGCCGTTCTCCATCGACGATGGTCATGCAATGCCCCAATTGCCCAGAGATGACATGGAAGCCGCTGCGCTCTCTGGCTCCCTCTTTGCTCCGATCGGACCTAACGAGACTTGGCTCAGCTTCAACAGGCACCATATTGCACTGTACAAAGACGTCAGACAGGCGCACATTGCCTTTTTCAACACTTGTGCGACAGTGAGTGAGAGTCAATCAATCTGGGACAATGCTGGTACCCTGGAAGTCTGCGCCAGAACTCTTATCCCGCATAGGAAGCGGTTGCGGGAGTGGAGGGACTCTGTGCCCAGTGCTCTGCGACAGAAACGTCGTGATGGTGGCGTCGCGCTGTCGACCGATGGCACGGCCATTCTGCTGGAGCCGTTTGCACCACTTTGGCTCCAGCGACAACGCTTGCTTCTCGAACTCGCCTACCATCATTTGAGCATCAACATGCTCCGCCCTCTGGTCTCTTTTTCCTCCAGGCCTCAAATTGGCGGGCACGCGGAAGCATTGGCCAACGACTGCGCATCTCATGCTATTGCATTTACAAGGATCGTACATCAAGTTCTCACAACCGAAGAAACGCTCACGGGCTGGCACGAAACCTTCCATTGGCAATGGAACGCAACGATAACACTTGTGGGATGTCTACTTGCGAAGCACAACTGGCCAAGTCCCGACCTGCCAAGGGAGGCTAGGCATGCTGTCGACCTGGCGGCGGTGGTCTGTGAAGAATTCGCAAAAACGTTTGCAGTCGCCCGCCGTGCCGCGAAAACCATCCGCGAGCTCTGCATCAAGATTGACGCGCTGGCATTACAGCCAGACAAAGTTCCACGACTTGAGAGCGAAGCAGCCGCAATGGAGAAAACCACGAATGCCGCGATAGCTGTACCAACGTCAGGCGAAGTCGTCTTTGATGTTGGGACTTCTGTCACTGGGGCTTGTTTCAACTGCCATGAAAATCCAATCATTCACAATGGTCCAGCTCCTGAACAGGACTTGTTCGACATTGTCTTGTCGGTTGACTTCTGGAACGATATGGATGTATGGTGGCCTGATTCCACAATGGAGATGTGAGCCAATGCTCGAAGTTGATAAACATATAGTAATCCACGGAGTCTATAATTATTCTATCAAAATCCATTAGTATGGCACTTCTCTATTGAGTCTGGACTTCGCACAAGTGGCTGCGGCTGCAAGTCTGCCAAGGCTCGGGAGGGAAGATGTGTCGCAATCGCATGCATCGTGAGGACATGAAGGCGTGGATAAGTGGGTGTTTGACTACCCGGGACGACAGTGGACACCCCTCACTTTCACACAGACATAGAAGGTTATACTATAAGGCTAGCTTATAAATAGTGAAACATGAGCTCACAGAGCTTGTCGGTTCTATTTTGCTCAATGGACAGGCTGCCTCCACAATTTAAACACCAAGTTATCCAATGAGGCAGGAGCTGGAGTCTCTTAAGCCTGTTTGAGGTTGTCTTAGAGAGTGTTGAAGACATCGACAACTGCTCTAGCAGTGGAAGCTGCGCTAGCGGGATTTTGGCCGGTGACAAGACGGCCATCAATAACGTGAAAGTCATCCCAGATACCCGGCGAGCGCTTGTCTAGCAAAGAGTCAGTTTACAATATTAAATCAGTATTTACACGGAGAGACTTACACTCCGCTCCAAGCTTCTCGGCGAGCTCCTCGACCATATCCTGACCCCAGCTCCGGAGCTCAGCCATGATACCCATCGTGTTCTCGGCCTCGGTTGTGAAACCAGTTATCTTCTTGCCCTTGATAAGAGGCTCGTTGGTTGCGAGGTCGAGGACATTGGAAAAGATTGCGGGCCCGTGACAAACAGAAGCGACAATGCCGCCGTTTGCCCAGATCTCGGATGCAATTCTCTGCAGGTTGCTTGCAGTAGGATAGTCGATGAGGGCAGCGTGACCAGCAGAGGCGTAGAAAACACCATACTTGGAGCCATCGAGCTCGGAAGCTCTAGGCATATTGTCAAGCTTCTGGCGGAAGTCACTGCTTTTGTCATTCCACATTTCCAAATCCTCCCCGTTGAGGAAATCAGGCTGCTGGGAGAGCCAGTCGGGAGTGTAAGAGCCAGACTCAGAGGCGAAGTCGACCACAAAGCCAGCGGCGGTGAGGACCTTGAAAGGATGGAGGGCTTCGCTAATGAAAAGGCCGGTCGTTTCCTTGCCTTGGAAGAGAGTGGCTGAAGCGGAGGTGACGCTGATCAGGGCTCGGCGAGCTGGAGACATGTTGGGAGATGTATGTAGGGGGGCAAGTGAGGTAATAAATAGTGAGACAAGAGGAGTTTAATGAACCAGGCTGGAGCAAATGAGGCGATGTTAAGATCAGTTTGCTAGTTCGTAGACTTGAATGTAAGCTTTGGTGTAGTTTGCGATGATTGTGAAAGTTGCGGATGAGAGAGCACTGTTTAATGATGTGGGATAAAGCTGGGTATAAATACGCAATGCTCATGATCGGAGCCTCCGGACATTGTCCAATACGTAGACAGGCTCAGGTCGATCCCACAAGGCGTCATGTTCCATCCAAACCGGACTTATCCCCGAAAGGTCTTACAACGCTACGTTTAAGAGACCTAGAACATGCCGCGAGAACATGCTGGGTTAGTGTTAGATGCTCAGAATAACTCGGAGTAGTAGCCCAGAAGACAGCGGCTGAGGAGTAGTCCCGATTGGCCCGAAGCTGTGTAGACCCATAATTAGCACGGGAGGGGCCGAGCCAGACTCGGAATACTCCGTGCGGGGTTCGGGCCGTGCGGTCCACAGACTACGGAGTGTCAAACGAACGGAGTGTACACGGAGCTGGGCTCTGTTTGCAGTTACGGACTGAGGCTTCCCAGTCTCATCTACGAGTCCTTCCTTAGGACTAACATTCCTCGCATTTGTAATAGTGCAGATTGTATTTGGAATAAGCTGACGTTTTGCTTCTATATAAGATACGAGTAGAAAAGATCACTGTCTCCTCCACATTCTAACCTCTAAGCCATCTTGCCTAGGGAAAAAACTATTCACAACCTTCCACTCTTCGTCGGTAGCTAGCTCAAAATCATATAACGTAATCAGCGTGGCCAGGACTTTGTAAGTTTGGAAAAGCCCCATGTGCTTTCCAATACAAAGGCGACTTCCCGCACCAAATGACAAATCAGCCTTGTTCATGCGGGTCAAGCGGACCTGGAACTCTTCCTCCGATTCACCCGCTTGCTCATCTCTAAGCCAGCGCTCAGGCCGGAAGACATCCGCATCCTCTCCGTAGAAGTCCTTGTTCCGGTTGGTAATGTAAGGGTTCATGCCGACAACCGTGCCGTCAGGCAAGTAGTCACCATTGGGCAGGCTGCAGCCCCCGCGTGGCACATACCGTTCAAGCGTCATGACGACGCCGGGGAGAATCCTCAAAGCCTCGCGAACCACGGCGTCAATGTATGGTATCGCTCGGACTTCTTTGTATGGAGGGGGTAGCCTGCCACGGAAACCGGCGGCGAGAACCTCGTCCGTCAACCGCCGCCAGACAAGAGGATGCTTCAGCGAGTAGTATAGGGCGCTGCGGATTGTGATAGCAGTAGTGTCAGCACCCGCAATCATATTGACCATGAGCCAGGAGACAATTTGACCGTCGTCGACATTATCAGGGTCTGCCTTCTTTGCTTCGATGAACTTGTCTAGGAAATCAGGGGTGCTCTGGTCGTGAGTGTCCTTATCCTTGCCTAAGCTGCGGTCGATGAGATGCTGGACCGATATACCAGTGATGACGTTGAAGCCCGGTGGCCCCATCCGGTAGACGGGATTCTTGTCAAAGACCCGGTCCAAGAAAGGCATCGTGCCCACGATAGAGAAGTAGTCCATGGCCTTGTTAGCGTTGTAGAGCGTGCCGTTGAAGTCTTCTCCCTTGTCTAGATAGCCGATGGGTTGCGAGAATGTCACCGCCCCTACAACGTCCCAAGTGTCTAAGTCTGGTCAGCCACTTGTCCACCCCTAGGTGAAGACAGCAAAACACACAGTAGAGGATCCACCTTCCTAGATTGAATGCTTTGTGGGTGTGAGGCGCGTCGATGAACCTCTTCTCTAGCTCAAAGCACAGTTTATCAATCACCTTGTCCATGTGTGGCTCGAGCGAGGTGGTCGCAGACGGGGAGTAGTGCTTCGCAATGGGTTTGCGTTCTTTGGCATGCTTGGCTGGATCTGTCTGGCTGAATAGATTCAGGACTATTTGCCCATTTACGAGAGCGCTACTGCCGTGGTAGAATTCGGTCTAATGCCACCATGTTAGCCTTTTGGCCAAGTCTGGACTGGATCTCAAAGTACCTTCGGCCAATCACCCTTTGTATTGTAGATTGTATGGATCAGCTCGGGCATGTCAATGTCGATGATGTGTGGCGCGATTCGAACGATTGGGCCATGCTTGTCGTGAAGCTGCTTAAGTTTCCGGTGGGAGTCGCCCGTGGACACCTGGTAGAGGTACCAAAGCCTCGTCCATCCTGGTGAAGAAGTACTGAATTAGCTTGAGCCATGGAATATTGTGGATTTGGGAATATGAGGCACGAGAGGTCCGGGAGGATCCATGCAGTGTCCGGATTAAAATCAGACAAACTCAATGGAAAATGAATAGCGCTGTAAGCGGCCACTGGGGAGGGAGAGAAGAAGTCAACTACTCACGCGCGAGAATTGGTCCTGGATACTTCCTCAAATGTGACGAGATGTACGAGAACAGCGACCACAGGCAATAGGTTCCTAGAGGAAGCAGAAGGAACGTGAACGCTGACAAGCCCGCGGGGAGAGTTTCAGACAAACTATCCATGTTGATTGAGGTAGGAAGTGACTTTGAATGTTACACGATGATTGAACATGTGCCTCGGAAGAGATAATTAGGAAAAAAATAAGTGCTCAAGTCCAATGGGAGGGGGTAGAACAAGCCAGCAGCAGCTCTACGTTTAATCACTTATCACTCCACTCCCGTGAACCCTGTGACGGTGTGATCTGTTGGCCTCGATCGATTGAAATAGCTTACCATGGGGTCTGGCCCGCCCATAACTGCCTTGAAAGCCACATCGTGATTTGTTGGGCTAACAAGCTGGGGGCTGGAAGTCCGGTTTAATGGTCCGCCTGCAAGTGCAGACCATCCCACCCACAGCTACCTTGCAGCGGCCACGTCTGGGCGTACCAAGAGCGACAACAGACGGTTGCTGTCGGCGATTCTTTCCTAGTCACGATCGATGAATTACGCGATTTCCGTCCCGCAAGCTCTGTAATTGTCTTCATCCGTATATGGAGTCAGCATCGATTTCAAGGCTTGTTATTCACCCCAATGACTCGACTAAGCAACCGAATAAGACATGTCGGAGCAGCAAACTGACAGGGTCCCATGCATGCTGCCAGCCCATAGGAACAAACCGCGGCGCAGGGATATGATAAGCGAGTGCAACTGCCTGAACCCTGTCCTTCGCTAATTAAAGGCCTAGAAGATATAACAGATCATACAAGGCCAAACAGTCACAGTGATTAATTTCGCTCACCGAAACATGTCCCTTGTACGTACGTCTGATCCCTCAGAAGAACCCGAAGACTATTGTCGACAAGAGGCGACACTTTGCCAAATAAGAGTAAGGTATATAACGAAGGTCTTGAGCAGTTCTATGCTGTCTATACTGCCAGATAATCTGTTATTCATCAACACCTCCCTCTTTCCATCGGAGACAGTCGCCACTTGAGTATAACTTCCGGCTATGATGCCTTCTAGTCAGGGACCGACGGCGCTCATCGTCATGTGGACGCTAACGGCTGTCACACTAATGTTCGTTCTTCTCCGCGTATATACCAGGCAATTCGTCATTCATATGTTTGGTGCCGACGACATTGCCTATATTATCGCTGGGGTACGTGTTTTGAACATATCTTGGGATTTCAATTACAATCGGACTGACTCCCTGTTTTACTTAGTTATTTTTGCTTCTGTATACATCGTTCTTCCAAGTGGCGCTTAATTTCGGCTTTGGTCAGTCAATTAGCGTGCTAGAGCTCGAAAATATTGCACTGGCCATTAAATGGGAAATGGTTGGACAGACGTTTGCGGTCCTGGGCATGGCGATATCAAAGGTCTCGCTCGGCCTCTTCCTGCTGAGGCTTATGGTCCAGCAGTGGCACAGAATCGTGATCTGGGCTGTCATGCTCAGCTTGTTTGGATGTTCGGTCCTTACGGCTGTGGTATTTTGGATCCAACGCGTTCCTGTGGAGGCAATTTATGACCCCCGTTTGAAAACCCCGGAAGCCTGCACAATCCCTATCACACCATTTGCAGTGATGCTCGGAGGTAAGCTGGTTTCTGCTTGTCGATGATTCGTTCCGTTGCGACATGTCTTTGCTAATCATGAGTCCTTCGCGAACAGTCTGGTGTATCGTTGCGGATTTCTTCTTCGCCATCTTCCCTGCAATAGTGATTTGGGGTCTCAATATGAAGAAGAAGAAGAAAATTATCATTGCTTCTAGCATGAGTCTCGGTGTCTTGTATGCCATCCTTTTCTGTGGTTTTACCTACAGACCAGCTGATTCTCACTAACTTCTCCAAGGGCTGGTGTCGCTGGTATTATCCGCACATACGAAGTGGCCGTTGGCTTTACAGCAAACTACACCGGTAGGAGTTGAATCACTCGCACCTATTTCGGTCCCGTTTCTAACACTTGAGCCTATTGCAGAAGACACTGTCTCCTTGATCATTTGGTCTGCCGTCGAGATGTGCGTTACCATGATATGCATTGGTATTCCGATTCTTCGCCCACTATATCGCCGCATCAGGTATGGATCCCGTTCATCAACCCGCGAAGGTTCGTACCAGAGGCAACGCGAAGACAGCAGCCTTGGTCCATACGAGCTGGGTGGTATGACATGGGCGCCTGGCAAGGGCAGGCCCTCGGCTCACGAATCGAAGTTGGGCATCCGTACCCAAATTATCACAGACATCCAAACCTCGAACGGCAATAACAGTGACGAGCATATCCTCTCTTCGGTAGAACGGCGCAACCTCAGATCTGGCAACGTAGTGCAGCCGAATAGGATCCAGGTGAAGGACGACGTGAAGGTAGAGTGGAACGATAGATAGCAAGTGCTATTGGTGTCGGGTTTCGGGGTTTTCATGAGAACAGAACATAATCAATGCGCGGACGATTGACTGAAACCGCTTGTGTGCTTGGTTTTGCGGTCACGAGATACAGAGGCCTCAATTTGTCAATTGACAGGAAGGCGACACCACTCAATTCAATTTATACCTACTAATCAGACTCTCAGAAACGGAATTAAGCTCTAGCTATCAATTAACCTTGCCGGTTTTTATGCCCCCTTAATATTACGTTAATTATTGGGAAATAAAGTACACTATCCCATGGGTCTAGGGTGACTGTGTGAGCCGCTCGGTAAGGCAGATGCCATAGGGTTGCATTCACGATTAGCCGTCGGTAAATACATAATGATCCTCGCAATAACCCAGCTTCCCCGCATTCCCATTATCCCATGTTTATTATAGCGTGCTTCGTGCACACTGCAGCCCCGCGAAGACACTCAAATTGTTGATCCGCACCAATGGATCGTGTTACTGACCTTGAGGATAAAGGCCGATGTATGGCATTGATCGTCAACTCGATGATCTTGTGTTCACCGAAGTTAGGCTAATCCCAGCGATGTGCGTGGTGAATTTCAGCCTAAATCACGAGTTACTGAGACGAGGATACGCAGACTTAGCTTTGGCAAACACGGCGTACTCTTGCGGCCGTATAAAAGAGCACTGATCTCCCGAATCCACCAGAGCTCTAATACTACACAAGGCAAGACGTATGTCTGCGCTACCGTCGACATGTTTTCACGATTGTCACCCTCGCTATTGGTCTCATTTCTGTTGCACTTGGGCATCATGTCCGCTCAGCAGAACCGGATTCGGACATTTCCAGATTGCGTGAACGGTCCACTTGCGTCCCATGCGATATGTGATATCTCGAGGTCGCCCCCAGAAAGAGCTGCTGCTCTTGTGGCTTTGATGGAACCCGAAGAAAAGCTCGAGAATCTGATCAGGTGCGAAATACGAGCGTTCCATAGTTCGTGTCATGTCTGAAACTCTGAACTAACACCCTTTTTTGCAATAGTCAGTCCAATGGATCCACGCGACTCGAATTACCTTTCTACAACTGGTGGAACGAGGCATTATACGGTGTAGCCTACGCACCTGGTATCCGTTTTGCGGATTCGGGCCCCTTCAGCAGCGCTACATCCTTCCCCGTGCCCGTTCTGTTGGCTGCCAGCTTTGATGATGACCTCATAGAAGATGTCGGGACAATCATCGGAACGGAAGCCCGCGCGTGGGGAAATGCCGGGTACTCAGGTGTCGACTTCTGGACCCCAAACGTCAACCCTTTCAAGGATCCCCGGTGGGGACGTGGCTCGGAGACCCCGGGCGAGGATGTGCTGCGCGTCAAGCGCTACGCGGAACGTATTCTTCGAGGTCTCGAGGGCACCGAAGAAGAGAGACGCATCATTGCAACTTGCAAGCACTATGCTGGCAATGACTTTGAAGACTGGAACGGGACCACGAGACATGACTTCAACGCCATTATCTCCCCTCAAGACATGGCTGAGTACTATCTGGCACCTTTCCAGACTTGTGCTCGTGATGCCAAGTGTGGTAGTCTCATGTGCGCCTACAATGCGGTCAATGGTGTCCCCTCGTGTGCCAGCTCATACTTACTCGAGGACATCCTGCGCGAGCATTGGGGCTGGACAGAGCACAACAACTATGTCACCAGCGATTGCGAAGCCGTTCTCGATGTTTTTGCGAATCATAAGTATGCAGAGACTAATGCGGAGGGCACAGTTCTCTGCTTCAAGGCGGGAATGGATACATCATGCGAATACACATCCTCTTCTGATATTCCTGGTGCCTGGAGCCAAGGTCTCCTCGATGAGGACACTGTGGACCGCGCTCTCGGTCGCTTGTATGAGGGTCTCATCCGAGCAGGGTACTTTGATGGCAAGGCGTCGATGTGGTCCGACCTGTCATGGGAGGATGTCAACACACCCCGCGCGCAAGAACTCGCGCTCCAAGCAGCAACCGAGGGAATTGTGTTGCTCAAAAACGACGGCACGCTTCCCCTCAACCTTGAACAAGATACGACAGTTGCTATGATTGGTTTCTGGGCTGAAGATGCGTCCAAGTTGCAAGGGGGCTACAACGGCCGCGCCCCATTCCTCAACTCGCCTGTTGATGCCGCGCGCGAGATGGGACTCAACATCAACGTGGCTGGCGGCCCCATTCTGGAGGACGTGAGCGCACCTGACAACTGGACAGTGTCAGCTCTTGACGCAACTGAAGACGCTGATTACATCGTGTACTTTGGCGGTTTCGACACATCTCTCGCTGGCGAAACCCTTGATCGCACTCACCTTGACTGGGCCCCCGCTCAAGCTGCTCTCATCAGAGACCTTGGAGCTCTTGGGAAACCTCTCATCATTGTTCAGCTTGGAGACCAGTTAGATGATTCCGAGTTTTTGGATGCCGACTGGGTGAGCAGCATATTTTGGGCATCATGGCCCGGACAAGATGGTGGGACTGCTATTATGAACCTCATCACCGGAGAAGCCAGCCCTGCCGGTCGACTTCTCGTCACGATGTTCCCATCCAACTACACCGACATTATCCCAATGACCGACATGAGCCTTCGCCCAACAAATGGTTTGCCCGGGCGCACATACCGCTGGTATCCGACCCCTGTGAGGCCCTTTGGCTATGGTCTGCACTATACTGAGTTTGACGCTTCTTTTGTGTCGTTGTGCAACTCGACTCTTGACATTCAGTCACTGGTCTTTGGTTGCGACGACGAGCATCTCGACATGTGTCCACTTCCATCCATCCCCATACGCGTGACAAACAGCGGCGAGCGGACCTCTGACTTTGTTGCGCTCATGTATGTTAAGTCTGAGAACGGGCCCGAGCCGCATCCAATCAAGACGCTGTCAGCATACAGTCGACTGCAGGAGATCAAGGCGGGTGAGACAAGACGGGCGCGCCTTGGTTGGAAGCTCGCCAATCTTGCTCGTGTGGATGAGCAGGGTAACACTGTGCTATATCCAGGAACCTACACTCTTATGCTTGACGAACCGGCACAGGCTAGCATTGAAATCAAACTCACTGGTGAGGAGGCCATTTTGGACGACTGGCCGGCGGACCCTGGAGTCTAAGTGCGTCTTGCGAGTCCTGGGCGCATCACCGACTTGCTGGCAGAGAGACTGCAAACGGACTACGAGGGCTATGCGGACAGAAAATTACAAATGTCAAGGACATGAGACAAATGGCTCTGCATTTCGTGTGGTGGATTGACGAATAACCCCCTTGTTGCAGCAAACCTCCAAGCTTGCCGTGTTAGAGATCGTAGCCAAGGTCGCGGAGAAAAAACGATATTAAGGTTAATACCAAACATCTGTCAGCCCTTCTGAAACATTAAGTGTAAAGTTATGTCTATATTTTGACTTCTACGGGTGGGGTTGGGTTGCACCTGTTTCATCTTCAAGTTCAAGACCCCGCGTGTTTTGGCTCTCAATTTCGCAGCGCCCCCTATCACAACTGACAGGTCTATTTTAAGACCACGCGCAGTGCTTTAATACACCCGCCTGGTAGGCAATACCTAGAACCATAAGTTTCGCCAACAGTACCCCTTTATATCCTCAACTTCTATTCAAGTCACCAACAAAACCAAAGAGTCACTTGTATACTCTACAACGAACCCCGTACACTGTTCTATCGAAGATGCTCATCCCACGACACATCCCTCACCGCCACGGCATCTTCCAAGGTGCCAAACACACAAATCCACGCCGTCTCATGCTCACAAGTCCCACGGTTCTCTTTTTCCCTGGGATCTCTCTGGCTCAGGAAGATGACGATGACCCGACGTCGTCGGCAGGACAACTCTCCGAGCCCTTCATCGACCAAGTCACTGGTCTCCAAATGGAGCGCTTCTTTGGTGCGCGGACATCTTTTGGATTTGCTTTCGCTCTGCCCGAGGCTCAATCTGCAGTAGGCAGTCCTGCGTCTTTCATCGGCCAACTTTCCTTTCCACTTGTCGATGGACAAGGCTGGGGAGCGTTTGGATTGACTGGAGACATGGAAGGAAATTTCATCCTCGCGGCCTGGCCCGATGGGAATGGTGGTGTCATGGCTTCATTCCGACAGGCTACCGACGAGGACAATCCTCCCGAGGTCTCTGGTGGCTTCAGCGTCAGGCCACTACCTGATGGTGTCTCTGTTAACGCGACATCACTTGTCTACACGTTCCTGTATGAGAATTGCCTTGACAGTACACTAGGCCTTCAGCTTCAAGCGACAGGTGAAGATGCTGTCATGGGTTGGGCTCTTTCACAACGCCCTCCTAGAGGAGATCCATCGGATCCGGGAGCATTCTTAGGGTTTCATGAGAAGGGGTTTGGGCCGTTCACAGCAAGGCTGGGTCAGGCGCGAGTTGCTGGATTCGACGCTGTCGCGTCTGGGGCGTTAGGCGCTGTTCAGGACTCTGGAAATGCTGTTCCGGCAGTGCCAGGGGTTTTCGAGGATGACAGCGGTGATGAAGCGAGTGGCGACGAAGATGAGGCAGGCGGCGAGAGCGGCGATGAAAGCGACTCTGACGATGACGACTGATCTATATATTCGGGGTCAATGTTCAGAAGACGTCAGGGCATTATTGATTCATTTCACGACGCAATCTATAGGCTAGGCGAGCTCTGCTTCAATAATACTTTCAACCGCCTCCACAGTCTTCCAGATTTTAATAATGCGAAGGCCGGCTTCTTGGAAGAGCTTATCCCATTCCTTCTCTGTCCTCTCCTTCGCGGACAAGCAAGCCATGACAGTAATGTCTGATACAGTCACGAGTGGTGAAGGATTGAGCGTGCTGATCAAACTCTCGTGCACCAGAATCAGGGAATACCCTGTTTCCATGGCACCGGGTATGTTCTTCAAGACCTGAATCACTTCTGGATCTGCCCAATCATGGAGAACATTATGCATAAAATAGGCTCGGGCTCCCTTGACCAGCTGGGGCTGGAAGAAGTCGTGTGGTTGCACCGAGATGTGTCCAACGGGCTTCATATCTTTGAGGATGTCTGGCACGTCCTGTAGAATGAGGCTACCTTGGGGCGCATCCGGATGCCGGACGTTGAATTTGGTGAGGTCATGGCCTTTTCCACCGCCCATATCTACAACGAGGGCACCGTCAGGCTTGGCGCCTTGGGCCAGAGAGTCTGTCGGAAACACGTCCGGCCATGGTGTGAGGTTGTACTTTGAGTGGCACTTTATTGCGTCGTTGAAGGAATTTCGCAACTCTGCATTGGTGCCGACGTCCTCGAAAAAGCTAGAGCTCTTCCCGGTCATGTACTGCCAATTGCTGCTGACGACGTCTGTGGGGTTCTTGAAACCATTCTCCCCAAGAAAGTACGGCAACGTGCGGAACATGGCGACATTGAGGTTTTTGTAAAACTCCCCATACATAGATGGGAAGGCGGGATCAGAAACAAGCTTCTCGACCCAAGGCGTTGTTGCGTATTTATCCTCGCCTACTTCGACAATGAGATGCTGTCCGGATATCTGTCGCATCATACGCTCTGCCGTCACCGGTCAGCTTAATTGCTCGTTAACGATGCAGATGGTGGCTAACGCGGTAGACTCACTAATGAGAATTTCGACGGCATTTACGAGCTCAGCCAGGTTTCCAGCTTTGGCAGGCCTGCCTCCAATTTTAATCCATTTTGCGAAGATGCCAGCATCAATCAGCGTCTTAATGGATGCGTTTGTCGCTCCATTGACCCAATTCTGCTCCCAGGCTATATCCCACGGGGATTAGACCTTTCGAAGAGCCTGAAAAAGGGCATTTCTCACCCCGGACTCTCTCTGATTCGGTTGTGAAAGATTCAGGAGTGAGACTTTCTAGGCTGCCCACCAGCTGATCCGGTGATGCCATGGCGAAGACGTCACGGCATAAGATAGTAGGATCTGGACGCAGTAGCAGCGGGAGAACCTCTTGATAGCCCGGATTGAATCGCCCGGAAGATGTAGGAGGAGCATATGTTTTTTTCCTACTGGGGAAGAAACAATATTGTTGACTTAGTTCTGCCTGACGCCACAGATGCGGCATTATCAGCCCCTTGCAAGGGGGTCGGGGCCTGGGGGCCTCGGGGCGACTACCATCCATACAGGGAACAGATACACACGGCAGACATCGGATACGAGCAACTGCTAGTCCAAGAGGATGGATAATAATTAAATACTATATTTTGTCTCTGCGACTGTAAGGACTGCATATATACAAGGTAAGCTACCGGATTGACCTCGCGACCCGAGACTTGTTTGACCTTTGTGTCCGTCGTAGGTGGAAATCCCAGAGCTGCATAATTGATACCAACCCCTCCTCTTGCCACATGGATCTGTTTATCTTTACTAGGCACACATTATTACCGAGGCCGCTGTGGACGGGACGGCTCAGGACGTGGGCGCACCTGAATCCTGATCTGGCAAGCATGCATGTTTACGTACGGATAGCAGGGAATGCGATCATACAGCACAGCACGCACGGCTGGGGCCTGGTCCCGTATCTTGGGGTTTTTGAGACTAGGACTCGGGAGCATTCATTCATTGCCCAACAGACATGATTGACTTTTGACATCAATCCCCTGAGCACAGCAGCAGTGATCAAGTTTGTTTTTGAATGTTTTGTCTCCCTAGAATAATATATAAAGCAGCTCGAGATCGCTTATCTCCTAGTCTAGGATTTCCTCGACGGGCGGACAACATTTCCACTCATTGACGGCCCGCACGGTCGCCCGAAATGGATCTGTGGACAATTGATGATCATGGCATCGTGGCCGACAGAGCTTGTTGGGCGATATTTGCTGTCACTACAGGTTAGTGGGACACATAACTCACAAAAGACTACATCCAGTTTGGTTAACAGACACACTTGATAGTTATCGTCGCTCTGCGAATCTAGTGCCGGGTCGCCCACGGACACAATACATCGGGGACCGGGTTGGACGACTACATCACCGTGCTCTGTAACGTCGTGCTTCTCATCGCCTGTGTTTTCGTCACTATTGGTTCTCACCAAGGGCCCGGCAAACGAGGCGCCGCACTCGACCTAGCCAAATTCCCCGAAGCCCTGAGGTGGAACGTTATTATTTCTTCAGTTCCCATCTGGGTCTTCTCGTTGCCCAAATTTGCAATCGTCGCCATCATCAAGCGCAACCTCAACTACGGAACGAAAACAACCATATTGTTCTAGTGCTTAGCCATCACGTCGCAGGCGTCTATTCTGGCCACTTCGGTCTGGTGGTGTGAGCAATGCGACCCTGTCGAGTTTGGTTGGGACAAGACAATCGTGGGAGGTGAATGCGCAGACATCAATGTTCTAGCCGACCTGGGCTATCTCACATCGGCCTACTCAGCATTTCTCGATCTCTTTTTCGCCCTATACTCCATCCCTTTCATCAAAGGCTCAACATGGGCCTGAGGAAGCGCATCGCAGTGTCGATCGCACTAGGCTTGAGCACCCTGGTGTTTATCGTCTTTATATACAAGCTGGCCATATTCGACCAACTATTTGAGCAGCTGGCTCTGGACCCGACTTGTGAGTTCACAGGATTTATTAATCCACCTTGGGCTAGCTTGCGAGATCCGGTCCCGTATCTCGACATATTAGGCGTCGATGAAGGCTGCATTCTCATCATATGCGCCTCTCTGCCCACCTTGGGCCGTCAGGCACGGGCAACCAAGGGTAAGTTGAGTTCCACAGTCGGGGGGTCGAGCCGCCTCGTCCCCGGCGAAAGTGGCCATGCTGGGAGTAACTGGTCAAAACCAAAAGGCCACAAACTCGGCAACGACGATGCAGAGGGCGTCTCCAATATGCATTCCAGCGTTGGACATTCCCCTGGTTCAAGTGTCGACTCGGCACAAGATCCCACAAGGAATTCACAAAACAACGGAGTTTACCCTACAGACCGAAGAAGGACCTACCAAAACAACTATATAAATGCCGTAGGAGTAAGGCGCTGCTTGCCATCGTTTCGAATGTATATCTTTGCCACCCAAGTCATTTATTTATTCCCCCAAGTATGTGTTGCAATAACATGTATTTAATGATGCATAAATTCAAATGTCTCAGCGGTTGCCGGTTTGACTGGTTTTTTGCAGCACGATTCTACAGTAGACTAATAATCAGCTCACAAAGCGTTAAGGAAGAATAACCACTTATCACTACTATATAAATCACAAGAACACCGAATGTCTTAAGTGGTTTCAATGTTTAACGAACATTAGTCTAGTAATAGCTTAGAGCGTCAGCGTATATAAAGGACAAAATATACGAAGCGACATTAAATCAAATATAAAACATGCATTCCAATTATTAGACACAGTATCTTCCGCGCCTCGTCTCTCAGACACGCTAATTATGGCTCCAATTCCTAGTCCTTCAATGCTCAAAGCTCACCACTTTCCTTTGTTTTCTTCGATCCAGGCTCGAAAGTCCTTGATAGACGGGTACACCTTGCGACATTGCTCCACGTCGCCGCCGTAGCCACTCTCCCCAAACCAGCGAAACATGTCGCCCGCGGTATCCCTGAGCACCAGCTTCACCGCATTTGCTATCACGCAAGGGCCGATGGGCATGGGCTGGCCAGTCACCTCCTTGAAAGTAGCGTCGGCTTCGGACTGCGTCAGCTCATCTCCAGCGATCGTGATCGCAGATCCGGCATGGCCAGTGGGATCAAGAAAGCTGCTGGCAGCAAACCAGCCAATGTCAGCCGTGGCGACGAACTGGAGTTTCTTGGGGCCGAGCTGCTCCCACATGCGGGTGAATCCTCTTCCATGGATGTCAGGAGTCAGATTCTCAAAGAAGGTGACGGGGCGCAGGATCGTGTAGGTCATTCTCTGCGGGCTGAGCGTCGCCTGCGCGATGAGATGTTTCTCGATGTTGTACTTGGCCGCAAAGTTCTTGACGGTGGTCGGGTCGAAGTGGGACTTTTCGGGGCCGCCACGGTCGCCAGAAGAGTAGACAAAGTGCTGGACGCCGTGTGAGACAGCGGCATCGACCATGGCCTTGCCGGATCGTTCTTCGTCGTCGGAGTTAACTTGGACGCTGAAGACACCCCAGACGGGACCGACCTTGGCGAAGATGGCTGGAATATCGGAAAAGCTGCCCTCGACCACTGACACGCCGGGGAGGGAAGCTAGCTTTTTCGCCCCATTGCTGGTGCTGTCGCGGGTCACGCCAATGATGTTGAACGAGGAGGCTTGCTCGCAGGCGAGTATGCTGGCAACAACAGCGCCGCCCTGCTTGCCCGTGGCGCCCGTGATGAGGAGATTTTTCCGTGGAGATGAAGACATCGTGGGATGAATGTCAGTAAGTGATCGGTTCTGGTGTATCGATGAACAGGTTTGTTTGAACAGCGTGTTTTCTGGTTCGATTCTGTAGTCGTGGTCCCTTCTTAGGTTATTATATACAGACGCCTGTACGTAGTACGTATGGGTTCCTGAATCGCGTCGCGTCGCAATCGAATCTGCTGCGAGCCTTCTATGCGAAAGCGAGGCGCGTAATCAACAAATCCTCAATCCAGAGCTAAGCAGCGAGGCGGACAATTGCGCCGCACGCGCATGCGGAGCGATCGCTATCCCCTGTGATAATGAGGACGGCGTTGAGATTGTCCCGACAAAAAGTTGTGCAATCAGGCATTGTGATTTACGAATCGCCATGGGGAGGAGCTGCGAGAACGCCAACAGATACCGCGATGCGAATGCGAGGCGGCGGCGGCAAATCGGCAACGGCAGTCACGTCGCGTTTCAGCTGGCAGTCAATGTCGCCCGCTCGAATGAGTTAGAACTTGGCCCGCCAAAGCTCCTCACCAAAAGGACTAGCCTCATGCAAATGTCGTAATGGTCACTCCTTGTAGGAAGACGTCGGTCGATATGGATGGAGCTAAATTCACCTGACTGTACTGGAGTCGCCGCGTGAGATAAACATGAAATAGGTTATGGGTCAACAATCAGAAAAACACAGGCGGCTTATCCAGTGATTCCAGCCCCCAACAATCGACCGGATAGTGGACACGGCCTAATAATAGTACATAATTACCCCGCCCCCGGCCTCTAAGTTAATGGCTCCAGTGAGTCCACTCCCTATAACAGGCTGGCGGCAGATCCCGTCCCGCTGTCCTACTCTCCATGTCCCTGACTCCCTGTACTTGGATAATACGTAAATGCAATCAAGTTACACTGTTACACAGCGTCAAAACAGCCAGGCCTCAAAACTCCGTCAACACTCACGTCCCTCATTCCCGTGTCACGATGGCGGATGCGGGGAAGAGCACTGCTTCAGTGGCAGGGGAGCCTGAACCTGGGTCCAACTCCAGCCCCATCTGGAAAGCAGCTCTGGAGAGATACTTCGCAGAGACTCGGAGAGGAGGCATCAATGAGGCTGCAATCGAAAATGATCTCTGGGTCGTTCAAACGCCCGAAGAACTCCTCAGCCGGATTGAAACCACCGTCCCGTGTGATACTCAGTCATCAGCAACCTGGTCCAGGGCTCTCGCCGATCTGAAACCAGTACTGCTGGGGCTAAGTGATTTCGCAGCTCTTATTGCGTGGGCACTCGGCTTGGACAGCAAGGTGGCCGTGATACTCTAGGGCTCGATTCGGCTCATGATGATGGTAAGTTGTTTCCTGACGATGAAAGTACGCCCTTCCTGTCCTTGCGGAGCTTGTGGAGATGTTGAGCGAGCTGCAGCGCACTCTGCCTCGCATTCAAAAGTACGAAAAGGAGCTGCCAATGACATCCACTCTAGAAGGCGCTTTGCTCGACATGTATAGCGAGATCATCGTCTTCTGCGCCTACGCCGTAACATTCTTTCGCAACAATCCCAACATCGGGCGAAGTCCCAGTGCTTGGTCTCGGTTTAATCAAGACTTCGCCCAAACGAAAAGAAATCTGGAGAGGTATTCCAGGCGGGTAGATGAGGTTGCGGACATGATACGATTGTCTCGCGAATCAACAACGGCAGCGACAGTGGCCACTATCCGGAACACTAAGCTGCCGGAAGAACTTCCAGCCATCAACCTCCCATGCCACAGCGTCCCACACGGGCTGAACTTGCGGTTCTTCGGACGAGATGATGCCATAGACGTTTTGAGGGAAACTTTGAGCCCAGAGCAAGACAGGCACGAAATGCGAGCCATAGCAATGCATGGTATCGGTGGCGTGGGCAAGACACAACTAGCCCTGCAGTATGCCAATAAGTCTTTGGGGATGTATGAAATTATTATTTGGGTTCCGTCGGAATCACAAATCAAGTTCACACAGGCCCTCTCAGCTTTCAAAATCAAGCTAGGACTGATCGACGATAAGGAGCAAAGGGACGGGAGCCATGCCATACAGCGGCTCAAGGATTGGCTCAACACATCAAACAAGGACTTCTTGATGATCTTTGACAATGTCAACGACACACGAATTCTGGACCAAATTTGGCCTGCGACTCCACGTGCCTCGGTGATCATTACTACACGGTCACCCTCTGTGGCATCACGGCGCGCAAACAAAAGCTTCCGCCTGGAAAGCTTCGGCCTTGAGTCAGGGGCAGAAGCTATATACGCACTTTCAGGGAAGCAACCGTCCGGGGAAGACGACAAGGCTGCGGCTTTGGAGCTCTGCCGCCTACTAGGCGGACTGCCTCTGGCGCTGGCGCAGGTTGCTTCTTTCATCGCAGATAGGGACTTTTCATTCAGCGAGTCCATGGTGCTATTCAACCAGTCAGCGGAGAAGGTGTTCGCTCGGTCCCCCATATTGGATGAATACCAGCACACAGTCACCACAGTCTGGAACCTCTCGTTGGAACAACTATCGCCGCAAGCTAGAATCATGCACAACCTGTTAGCATTCTTCGACCCGGACCATATTGCCGAAAGCCTCATAAGTAAGACAAAGACACGATTTAATGACCCCGCATGGGAGTTCATCTTGGATGATTTTGAGTGGGCTCTTCTTGTTCCTGAAAGCGCCCGCGTCTGCTAACATGGGCAGGTTCAGTGATGCCGTGGCCGAGCTTACAAGAAGCTCCCTTATTACTAGATTGTCTCCCTCAAAAGCTTTGTCAATGCACCGCTTGGTGCAGCAGACTGTCTTCGCCCGTTTGTTAGCGGATGAAAAATTGCTTTATCTAGATCGTGTGATCGAAATACTCTCCTCAGCCTTCCCGAACACGTGGAACCGCCGTGGACCATACCAAGGACATGGCTACGAGACATGGGAGACTTGTGGAGCAGTGCTTCCCCATATCAGTCGGTTGATAGGTTTGGTGAGCGATCACGGTCTTCGCCCTAGTAATGCTGGCCTCTGGGCCGAGCTCGTCTTCCGAGCCGGCACGTATGGCTCTCTACACCACTACTTACATGGCTCTCCTTGCTGACTTCAAAAACAGGTATCTTTGGGAAAAGGACCAGCCATACCTCGCCCAAGTCTTTCTAGAGTTTGGGTTGCGCATTGACATTGGCGAATCGCACCCAGTTTCAGCGCAAGCACAGCGAATTCTGGGCCACATATGCCTCGACATAGCTCAACCACATGCTGCTCTTAGTGCATATAGCAAGACACTTTCACTCCGCCTGATGACCGAAAAGGCTGATTCTCCGCCTATCGCAGACATCTATGATTCTATTGCATGCAGCTATACTGAGATCCGCAACATGCCAAAAGCGTTTGAGTACGTTGAACGAACGACTGCGATTCACCTCGCGCACGATCCAGCGCACATGGCGCGCACAGAGGCGATTCGGGCGATGGCCTTTTTACGTGACAATCGACCCTCAGAGGCACTTTGTGCGCTACACAAGTGCTGGGAACTTCAAAATCTCTCTCAAGAGGATGTTGAAAGTTCCCGCTATCCTAAGCATAGTGGCGACATTATGCTCCTGGCCAGAATTCTCTGGGCACTCGGCCAGAGGTCTACCGGTCGAGAACTTGCTTCTCGAGCGGTGGACGCAAGTTCTCGACCGGTGGACATTCGCCGGGGTGTTTTCGGATAAAACGGTAGCCCTAGGGTGGCAGACTCCATGTTCCACCTTGCATTGATGCTGAACGAAGAGGAAGAACAATTGCTGTCCGCTAAGCTTCTGCGCGACATAACAAAAATCGACTCTAGCGTTCAAGAAACCAAACCACACCAAGCTCGAGCCTTCTGGTTTCTTGCAAAGTTTGAAGAGCAAATTGGAACTCCCCGGAATCTGTGCGACGAGATAAAATCCAATGCCAAAAGAATCAAGGACGCGCTGAAACAGAGTGAGGCAGGGCAGGATAATAGCGATAAGGCGTATATGAGCCTTGTAGGGTGGATGCTATGGTAAACAGCTTATAAGCCCATTATTTTAGTGTGTCTAGCTATATTTCCCTTTCCCAGAGAGTCCCGGCCGTGTAGTCCACAACGATTGCCTTCTCTATGATATCTCTAGCGCTTTTCACAAAAGGTTAGTGTGTTGTAATAATCGTTGCTCACTGTAGCGACTTTAGCAGGCGCAGATATCCTCGTGCCACGCAGGTCCTAATCTTGGACTTTGAGTTATTAAGTAGTGTGGTTTCAGCTAAGGCAATTCTCTGTACCTAGAGCTATTTTGGCTACCTACGTAAGGTATTCTTAAATACGTGTGCTCCTTAATTAGTAAAAAGTCCTTATTTCTTGACTCAGACTGGCGTGTTCGGTCGCGAATTGACCTGCGAGTAATGTTAGCTCGTACCATCATGTCTCTCAGTCCAAGGTGATAACTTGCCTTTGTAACGAACGGGCTTTCCTTGTTCTTCTTGATCGCCTTTTTGCGCGCAATGCTCCTGAGTTCGGCACTAGAAAACACACCCGAGCTGGGTTTGTGTCTTCCACCAATGCTACGTCCACCACAGCGTCAACACAGCCGTTGCACAATGTGCGTATCCCAGAGCGTACAAAGTCCCGCAGTTGCTGAACAGAGCCATGCCGTTTGAGGGTCTTGTAACGGCCCCAATCGGTCAGTAAGGCGGCACGGATGAATCCTAGGGTGATGCCAACCCGGTGCTTTGCCTCCTTCGCGGTCTTGACACCGGGTTGTCTTCTGAACTCTACCGTTCCGCACGTTGTCGTAAGATTTCCGAAGTTCCAGGACACGTATCTTTGACTCGTCATTACCTCCAACTGCACGTGCTGCTTCGATCTTTGCTCGTCAAACAATTGAAACAAAGGCGTCCAGCCCAAGGTGGGAACATCTTTAAATCTTTGTCGGAGCTTGGCAGGACTTGCCAACCCTGTGAAGCTTGATTCTGCGTAGGGATTGTTCTTCCTGTCGGCGGGTACGATTTTGGTGACAGCCTCATCGTAGTAGGAGATGGCTTTTAGTATTTGTTTGACTTCTGGCAGCTGGTACCTGAGTTCAGGAGTCGTGCCTGGAGAGACATGAACATGCATGGAGCAACCAGTGGTCAAGTGGATTTTCCATCTGCTGTGCGAGAAGAATGGTCGCACGTGGTAGCTCCGAACCAGCCGTGGCCGCCGGAGAGTCGCGCAGGGGCTGTCGACTATTACGCCAGAGCTATGAGTGCACCAAAGCGGCGGTTTGCTGTCGTGGTCGACAACGACAGAGGCTATCCGCTCAGCCTGGGGACACTGCGCGCGTTGGCGAATCTGGATGATGTGCCGCCAAAGGTCACCGCGTGGAGGACGAAAGGGGGACCCCTTGAGCCGGAGAATGAGCTGCGCATAGTTTACATCAGTAAAGCAGAGAAAGATTTGCTGAAAACGCGCCTCAACGGCGTCGAGGGGATTGTCTGGGTCCCAGGCGACAATGACACAGCTGAGCTCATACCAAAGGTCGCCATCCGGGCATTATCGGTCTATCCTGGCTGGGAGAATGAGAAATGAACAAATCGAATGGAGTCTGTAGGATAATGCTTATGTCGCTGCCATTGTGTTACGACCCAGCATGCGACCGCATGCGCCTCTCACGTGCACCCCACTTTTTCCTCCAATCATACCACCACGTATAAAGTATGGCTCGCGACCTCACCGTGAGCCTACGCTCTAATATCAACGCATGGCTCACTAGATCACAACGCTCCCGTGAGCCCTTACTTTCACAAACTAGTATATAAGAAGCTACGCTTTACTATAGTTAGTCTTTACCTAGCTCCTTAGCTATTAATATAATTATCTACGTAAGATCCACTATCTCGCATATAGACTATAACCCGACTACTTAAGTTAACGATATCCTAGTATACTTAGTTCAAACCTAACTTCTATTCTATCTACCCGGTAGCTAGTCTAGACCCGAACGTTATATATTAATAGCTCTTATTTAATATACTACCGTGTTAAGTACTTAAGTAATACGATACTATAGCCGATATAGAGAATAATAACGCTAGGGACCTTAGCGAGACGATTAAGCCTAAGTTACCTAGACCGTTCGATAGCAACCTAGGATAACTAAAGGGGTTCTTAACTTAGCTTAAGATATACTATCGACTATTCCTTACTAAGCTCGCCGATAATATAGATAAGATCCTTCACGTAGGAATATATCTCACCGGCACGGCCTTAGCATAGTTCGAACCACGTATAAGGGATTTTATAGAGACTACGGCTAACCTCTAAGACGACGAAACTCAAGCTATATTCGCAAGCTTCGAAGGTTTCGAGAATACTATTAAGGACGTCTTCGGGAATATAGATAAGAACCGGGTTAATATTAAGACCCTACGAACCCTAAAGCAAACGGGATCCGCTACGGACTATATATTAAAGTTTCGATAATTATCTAATAGACTCGGATAGGACGATAAACCCCTTATAACCTACTTCTTCAACGGTCTTAAGTTAGAAGTTTAGGAGTAGCTCTACGACAAAGATATACCTAATTCCCTCACGGAATATATTACAAACGCGATTAGGATCGATAACCGACTATACCTAAAGCATAAGATATTAGGAAAAAGGAGAAATATAAACTAATCGTACCCGAACTTTAGAGGCAATAATAACGGAGGACGTCGCTACTAACTAAACCAAGGACGCCCCCGATAGTAGAATATAGTATAGGCATATACGACAAACCTAGGACCTATAGACCTAGACGCTATATAACGATAACTCGCCGCGATAGATAATAATAAGAAAAACTCAACCTGCCATAACTACGGCAAGCTAGGATATTAGAAGCGCGAGTGCCACTTACTAAAGAAGGGGCGAAGCTAGGGCTAGAGACTAATGCCTGAAGGTAAGCTAAAGTAACTAAATATAACTAGGTCCGGCTACGATACGAAGTACCTAAGCTAGTCTAGGGTGCTATGCCCTAACTAAGTAGCTAACACGGAAAAAATACTAAAGAAGGTTAATAAATAACCTATGAACTAACTAGTAGCGCACGAAGCCCTATACTAGTTAGGATACTATAATAATAACTACTATACCTACAAAAGCAGTAAGGAGGAATCGGGATAGTTTCTAAAAGCCCCGAAGGCAAGGACCCTTACTATTATATAGAAAATCACTATAACCCCTAAGGATAGCGATAATTCGGGAAGCGATATAACCAATACCCTAGACTACGAAAAAAAACTACTATAGAAGAAAAGGATACTCGAGACTAACCTACTACACGGACGAGCAACCCCACGAGAATAAATAAAAGTAGCGATAGATCGATACGACCCCCTACCGCAAGGAGAAGACCTCTAGATAGTTATCCCCGCTTAGACACTAGACGGAGGAATTAACTAGGTAATAGACCGAAGAATAATCTTAGGAGACGACCCACGTATATACCTAGATACGCTAAAACACTACGAACTCTTATAGATCTCTTATATATATTACTTTTACAGAATATATATACCTAATAAAGGAAGGTATTAAGTCTACCCGATTAAGGGACCAGCTACCCGCGTTATTAACGACCTATACGAAAAGCATAAAGTAGAGTTCTACGAGTATATATACGCAGAATCTAGCATAGGATATATAATACTAAGGTAATTAGTAAAATACCCCGAAATATACGCACGAGACTAGAAGACATAGCGTAAATATTAGTTAGTAGACTATCCACGACACGTAAAGGCAAAGGTATTCGATTAGCATAGAACCAGGGAATAAAAGGAAATAGAAGAGCTCCGACAACACGAGAATACCGTAAAAGCATTGCTCGGCATTAAGGTAGTTAAGAGTAAGGAATACGCCTTAAGCTACGGGCAAGGGTATAAGGGATACGAGAAGCACCCTAACGGCATAAGATTACTACTAGACCCTACCGAACAAGCGGATCGAGACTATATTAACTAAGGCAAGACAAACCGCGAAAAATATACTAGAGCGAGAGAAACGCTACGCCTACGATATAGGATCGGGGCACGAGAATACCTTATTCCGCAAGGAAAAGCATACACGTAGTATATTATATATAGGCATTACGAAAGATACATATTAGACTACGGAGTCTACTACTACGGGTGCGTATATTACCCGTGCGAAGAGGAAGGGAAACGATACCCCTCGACGTACCTAGAGTCGTACGGTAGTAACTACGCATACGACCCTAAGGATAATAATATCGATATAGAATACTACCCGTTAAAAAACTATTAACGTCGCTTATAGAAAGGGCATAGGACGACGAAGGAAACCTAAAGACCCTCTACTCCGTAGAGATAGATAGAGGATAGAAAACGGTTTTAGAAGTCTAGATTAACGGATATTACTTACGAGTACTATTAGACAATAGGGCAATAGGCAACTATATCTCACTAGCAGTGGTTAACCGATACATACTACCATAGAATCACAAAACTCGGATATACAAGCTTTTTAATATCGAAGGACAAAGCTTCGATTATAATAGTAGAACTATCGACCGCGAGACCGATTATCTCGACGCAACGATATAAGGATACTATAAGATAATCGTCTTCGATATTATAGACTTATATAAATACGATATAATACTAGGTCACCTATAGTTAACGAGAAGTAATCCGGTAGTCGATTAGCGCACTAGCTAGTTAGCGTGGATAGACACGATAACGCGATAATTACTATTTAACCAGAAGAAAGCGAATATTCGCGACGACTTAGCCTCTAAAGGACCTTTACCGAAGGATATAAGCGAGCCGAAGTAGGCAAAAGCCATAGTACTAACCGAGAAGGCTATATAACCGGGTATACGATATAAATAAGGAAAACGAATCCTCGCTAATATTATACAAAAGATATTTAAGGCAAACCAAGCTATATAAGAAGAAAGAAAGAAGAAACCTATAATAGAAGAAGAACGAATAAAGAATATACCGCTAGAATACCGAAAGTATAGTAGGTTATTCAAGGAAACCCTCGAAATAGGTATTCCGTAATATAGTTAGTAGGATCACGAAATCTATCTCAAAACTAGAACCTCGACTAAGTTCCACAAGCTCTATAACCTTAACGAGAAGTAACTTAAAATATTATAAGAATATATCGACGAAATACTTAAGAAAGGCTATATTCGAACCTCTACCTCGGAAGTAGGATATCCCGTTATATTCGTGCTAAAAAAGAATAAGAAGCTACGACTAGTCATAGACTATCGGTAGCTTAATAACATTACGATCAAAGATAGGACACCCCTGCCGCTTATTAACAAACTCAAGGACAGACTTCACGGCAAGAACTAGTTCACCGCTCTTAACCTAAAAGGAGCCTATAACCTAATCCGTATAAAGAAAGGAGACGAATAGAAGATAGCTTTTCGCACTAAGTTCGGTCTATTCGAGTATTTAGTAATGCTATTTAGCCTTACTAATGCTCTAGCTACCTTCTAACGAATAATTAATAACATACTTAGGGAGTACCTGGATATCTTCGTTATAGTATACCTAGACGATATTCTAATCTTCTCGGAAAACCTTAAAGAATATAAGAAATACGTCCACTAGGTACTAAAAACACTTTAAGATACGAACCTCTTAATTAACCTAGAAAAGAGCGCGTTTTATATACAAGAAACCGTCTTCCTCGGATATACAATCCGACCAAACGAAATCCTAATAGAATAAACAAAGATTAACGTAGTTAAAAAATAGCCTATACTAACAACGCTTAAGGAAGTATAAGCGTTCGTGGGATTTACGAACTATTATCGACACTTTATACGCGACTTTACGAAAATCGCAGCACTACTCACGGGACTTACTAAGGGAAAAGGAGAATTTAAGTAGGAAACGGAGTAATAAAAAGCATTCGAAGGATTGCGAGACACCATACTATCGAATATAGTACTTACAACCTACGACCCTAAAAGACCACTCGAATTAGAAACGGACATATCGGACTACGCTATAGGAGCACAAATTAGTCAACGGGACGATAATAGTAACGTGCGACTAATTACATTCTTCTCGAAGAAACTCCACGGTACGGAACTAAACTACCCCATTTACGATAAGGAATTCCTAGTAATTATCGCAGCTATTAAGGAATTTAAGCATTATATACTAGGAACGAAGTTCACTACTAAAGTTTATACCGATCACTAAAATATCTCCTACTTCGCGATAATATAAGAACTTAGCGCACGATAAACAAGATACGCTAAATTCTTAGCCGACTACGATATTAAAATTATCTATCGGAAAGGTTCGGAAAATAGCAGAGTAGATATACTTAGCCGCCGACTAGACTACGATACCGAAGTACTAAAAGCTAAGGGCTAGATACTTTAATAAAATAACAAAAGAAACTACGTATAAATAACACTTAACCTCCTTATATTTAGAGTAGAAGCAGATACTATATACTACGATAAAATACTAGAATAAGTATTAAAATATAAAGAAGAAATACCTAACGACTACGCGATAGAAATAGGAAAAGGACCTACTAGGAATAGACTGCTCTAGATACTACCGCCGCTACGCGATAAAATCTTAATTAATATTCATACGCATCCCACGGTAGGATATTAAGGAGTTAGAAAGACTCTTAAACGAATACGACGAATATACGACTACTAAGGAATTAAGGCAGACGTCGCACGTATCGTCGGACAATATAAAGATTATGCGCGCAGTAAGGCTACACGGTATAAGCTATACGGAGAATTAAAGCCACTACTAGTACCTTTAAAGCCATAGGAATCGATAGCCTTCGATTATATTACGAAGCTACCTAAATCTAAGGAACTAGGATCTAACGTCGAATACGATAGTATATTCGTTATTACGGACCGGATAAGTAAATTTAGATATTTCCTACTATACTAAGAAGCAACGGATATAGAAATACTCGTATATATAATACTTAAATATATCGTGGCTAACCACGGCCTTCTAGAAGAAATCATTTCGGATCGAGGAACGATATTTACCTCGAAGTTCTAGCAAGTATTAATAGCTTAGCTTAGGACCAAATACAAGCTTAGTATAGCTTACTACCTACAAACGGATAGATAGATAGAAAGATTAAATTAGATATTAGAATAGTACTTACGGTGCTATATTAGCTATAAGCAAGACGATTAGGTCTCGAAGTTACTACTCGCCTAACTCGCCTATAATAGCGCACCTACGGAATTAACTAAAATCTCACTATTTTACGCGAACTACGGATACAAACCCGAGTTCGGCAATAAAACACCAAGGGATAGACCTCTTGCTAAAAAAGCTATGCTTAAAGTAGATTAATTACGCTTACTATATAAACACATAAAGAAACAGCTCGAATTCGTACGTATACGAATATCGAAGTACTATAATTAGAAAAGATCGAAGGGACCGATCTTTCGGAGGGGAGATATAGTCTACCTACTACGTAAAAATTTTATAATAACTCGACCTTTACCGAAGCTCGATCATAAAAAACTTAGACTATTTAAAATTAACGAAATTATCTTAGACACTAACTATAAACTTTTACTACCCTTAAGTATAAGGATACACCTAGTTTTTTATATTTTATTACTCGAAAAGGCACCGTAAAACGCAAAAATAAACTACGAACTAGAAGTTCTCGAAGAACTCTACGAACTAGAACGGATACTCGATAAATAAACTATCGACGGAGAAGTTAAGTACCTTATTAAATAGAAGGGCTATATAAATAACGAAAATATATAGGAACCCGCTAAATATCTTAAGGATTATCGGCACCTCGTGAAGAACTACTACTAGTAGCTCTAGCTCTAGATAAAAAGACTACGTCCGTAAAATCATCACCTAAACCCAAGGACGACTAGTTAGGATTATTAGGAAGACCTAAGAACCTTAGGTTATTCTTAATCTAGTACTTATAACTATCTAAAATAGGAATAGCTTTAGCGGGAGCTATAGACCCCGAGTTATCCCGCTCATCCTCCTTAAGACCGGCTAAACTACGGCGAACGGAGTCGTTAATACGCTCTTTTATACGGCGGCGAATCTTCCGTATCCGCGTCAAACGACCAATAGCGGCCGCGAGCTTAGTTTAAAGACGAAGGAGAGCCTCTTTAGCTTTCTCTTCGTCCTTCTCAAGCTTCTCACGCTATTCAAGCAAACGATTTACTAAAGAAGGTTAGGAAAAGGAGCAAGAAAAGAACAAATATATATATAAAGACGCTACAAACGTCCCGTCGCAAGGACGACCGCGACGAACATACTCGCTATATTTCGAAGACCTATTATTAAAACGATAAGGCTTCTGATTCTTAAAATAATAGGTGCACGGCATGTCTACGTTAGCACTATCACAAGCAATAGCGTAAGCAAGCTTTAGGCGTTCGCGAGTCTTTCGAGCAACGTTAGAAGAGCGACTAGATATAGCGTTAGCATATATAAGAAATAATAAAGGAGAAGGAATTAATAGGACTCACGAGTATAGACTAACGATTAGTTTTAATTGATTCTAGGGGCAGAATCTCGGGAGGGGAGATATTATATTACGACCTAGCATACGACCGTATACGCCTCTCACGTGCACCCTACTTTTTCCTCTAATTATACCACCACGTATAAAGTATAGCTCGCGACCTTACCGTGAGCCTACGCTCTAATATTAACGCATAGCTTACTAGATCACGACGCTCCCGTAAGCCCTTACTTTCACAAACTAGTATATAGGAAGCTACGCTTTACTATAGTCAGTCTCTACCTAGCTCCTTAGCTATCAATATAATTATCTACGCAAGATCTACTATCTCGCACATAGACTATAACCCGACTGCTTAAGTCAACGATATCCTAGTGTACTCAGTTCAAACCCGACTTCTATTCTATCTACCCGGTAGCTAGTCTAGACCCGAACGTCACACATTGTCGTTGCCTCCTCCACGCTTATTTTACCGGCCTTTCACGTACGTCCTCGCGGAACCATCAGGCATGTACGAAGCGCATCTCGCCCAATCAGGGCAGGTGAACCCTGAATAGCCGCTCATGCAGCTTCACCCTCGATTCCTTGGACGCTTGGACTTGGGGAATGGCTTGGGAAACGTGATTCTGGTAAGGTAGGCGCCGTGGCTGCATCGAACCCTTTCAGCTCTACGTTCAGAAGCTATTGCCAACTTGCTTCGTAGCATTGGGCTTTGTAGTCAGCCTAACGAGGCTAATTTGCTTGTCAGCATAAAGTCGCAATATCATCCTCGGTATCTCATGTAGCGCATGCGATCCAGCGGCTGACAGTACCAGTTCCATTATATATAGCTCGGAAACTCCATTAACCAACGGCCCAAGACGACGAGCAAGCCGTCTCCGCCACCTGGGAAAAGTTCCTTGGGATCGACGCACCGGAGAACGAGCAGTATTCAACAGATACACAGAGCTTTCTTGGAAGGACATCCTTTGACGCAATCGGGGAGCTTTTCCTTCCAATTCCACATCATTGACATATGGAGCCCAGTTTCCCCCTCGCGGTCCCTCCGGCCTGCCGCGACTGCGGAAAACCTTGCAAGCTCTACCATGCCAGGAGCACAGGGCGTCCGTACTACGCCTGCCGCCGTTGGGATGAGAGCGACTATCACCCGAAGTCTGTCTTTGCTTGCTTCGACGACTCGACCGGCGTATCCAGCGCCAATCCACCCTGCTACTGCGAGTACAGCAGTCGGCGAACCAAGAGAAACAACGGCGATTCACACTTCTTTTCCTGCCCCATCGGCAAGTGCAGCTATATTGTGTCTGATGACACGACAGAAAGTAGCGCCGATGAGAGTGACTCGAAATATACCACCATGTCATTGAGCACAGCTCTAAGAACCACAGCGAGCCCCGAACCCGGCTGGCTTTTCGGGCGCCCCCAATCGAACACGTCTCAGCCCAGCAGGGCGTTCACACTTGTGTCCTCCCCCTTGATCACAGCATCCTCCACACAGTCTGGTGCCTTTGCCGCCGATGATGTCTTCCGCGCCCCGGCTCCGGCTTCAACCGTACAGGGATCCATAGTGCCGGCGCCCACGGCTCCGCCCAGCGGACCCACGACCGATATGCCATCCAGGTTCGGAGCTACAGCTACTGTTTTCGGATCCCCTGCCGACGAATACGCGACACAATCCAGTATTCCTGCGGGCGGCCTCTCCGGGTCTGCGCCGGTCGTGTCGACAAGCCCGTCCACCACTCCCCAACTCCAGCCAACGTTCGTCTTTTCTTCGCCAACCACAGCGCCGACGTCACAATCCAATATCATCACCAGCGGACTCTCGGGGCTCTCACTTCCAGAATCTGCCAACAAGTGCACTATTCCGCCGACTACAGCAAGCCCACCACAACCCGCCGCGATGGTCGGCTTCACGCTCCCAGCAACTGCCACAGGAAGTCGCAGTGAGTGTGCGGCGGCTTCTCTGCCCAAATCCCCGCAAACTTCAATCGTCCCACTCGATAACAGTGGTGATCTTGGCGACACCTGTGAACCGATGAAGCTAGTTGTGCAGCCGCGACGATCTGTTTGTGAAAGCAAGTTTGACGAGAAAATGACCAGGTCGCGCAGGTCGCCGTTGTGCTGTTGCATGATGTAAGTCTGTTCGGTGCTATATACTTTATCATCAACGGATGAGAATTTGCTCTCGATATTGGATTCGAGCATTCCTCGTTCAGTTTGTTCGCAATGTTAGCCCAGGATTTTAAACACTTCTCTATTTCAACTAGACCACAATCGAACAATAGCTGCTACAAAATATCAGTATACGTACTGGAGCGGCACAACGTGCTTATATCTTGATCGAGTCTCGACAATATGTCGACATACAGTAGCTCTAGGGTAAGCACCAGATCTTAGTCGTAACATCCTGTAACTACCACCCGTTAGTCGCTTTAGGGCGGAATTCAGCTAGGGGGGGGCTTGTCGAGCAGCTGTCCTAGTTCAGCTTCGGCGTGCTAAAATATTCATAAGATTTTAGTGTAAAATAATTCCCATGACCTGGTTATAACCTGCACCACAACTAGGAAGTGCTTGGCGGCTGCCAACCTAACGCTAATTAGCGAAAGTACCAGTTCCATTGACAGGGCAGCCGCGGCATCCATCTGGTTTCTGTCGACATCCAATCGCATTACATAGGAGTGCTGTTTCCAATGTCTTACTCACTTGATGCCCATTATCCCGAGCCCATCACGAGGCGGTTCTTGCACAGCTCCGGCTCCCTCGACCAAACTCCGGGGCTAGTCCTGGGGTCCGGGCTCCGGACTCCGTACGGCCCCATTTATTAGCGGCGCTACTACCGGCGCATCATAATGTGTAGATCCGCGGTCAATAACTTGTTGGACGTGTACTTTGGCATGTGCCTGGTTCCTCGACCGCACTAGGATGTTCAATTGATTTCGCAGCATCGCCGTTGGCTCTCCCGACCTCCATCGGCTGCTTGAACTGTCGCATGAACGCTTCTAGACTTAGCCGGCAGACACTGGTAATTGCTATCTGGGTCAAAGACTGAAAGGAGCCAGACACTAGCCCAGACGATCTATCCCACACTCGCAGAAAAGGGGTGAAAAAAAAATATAGTGATTATAAATACAAACGACCGAAGTTGTGTATCCAAAAACTTGACAGAGTAACGTTCATCTCCGACTTGCAATTGCGTCGAGCCCGGAGTTGTCCGGAGTTGCGGAGACAAGGCGTAGATTCCACTGTCCTATACGGAGTAAGCAACGCGATGATTACTAAAGCCATGCTTGTATATATTACGTAGCGGTGCTGTTCGACGCCTTTCACTCCATGACGCAACACAATTTCGCGACAACGTTATATCGCCTTCTACCTCCAATCAGCCCTCTGTTGTGCGACGCAGCTCTGAACTTCCAATACCACGGCGACCCTACTACCCGCCACCCCTCCAGAAGCTAGGAATGAAGACCATTGGTGTTTTTCCTGCCTCCGGTGGCCTTGGAGGCAGCACGGCCACTCATCTGCTCAAGCATGTGCCGGGAGATCAAGTGACCTTGATTGCCCGCTACCCTGACAAGACAGGTTCCATTCCCGGGGCGGACAAAGCATGCATCAGACAAGCATCGTACGAATCGTCTCCAACGGAGTTGGAAGCAGCTTTTCGAGGGTTAGAGGTTCTTTTTCTCATATCCTACCCCAGCCACGTGCGGGACTATCGCGTCAAGGTCCAGCTGCCCGCCATAGACGCAGCACACAGGGCCGGGGTGAAGCACATACTTTATTCATCTCTCGGTTTTGCGCTACCTGACGAGAAGGAAAGCCTGGCCGAAGTCATGCTGGCCCATCTCGAGAGCGAGGAGCATCTGCGAAAGATTGCTGCGGAAGACCCTGCTTTTACATGGACAAGCGTCCGGGAAGGCCTCTACCACGAGTCGTTCCCCATTTACACGTCTTTCTGGTCTTTGCAAGCCCCAACTGATGAGATATGCATCCCCCACAACGGGGGTGGACCGGGGATCAGCTGGGTCAAGCGTGACGAACTCGGCGAGGCCACCGCCAAACTCATTACACAGTATGCTTCATTGCCGTCGGCAACGTCCTGGCCCCATATCAACAACATCGTCTCTCTCACTGGCCCGCGCGAGCTGACGCTTGCCGACACTGTGCAAATTCTTGGGAAAACGGTTGGAAGGTCGGTTCGCATTCGGGAGGTAGGCTTCGATGAGTGGATTGCTCAACCCCAGATTCTGGAATATTTCGGCGACAAGGAAAATGCAAAGACATGGGCCACGGCGTGGGATGCGATTCGCGCTGGGGAGACAGCGTTTGTTAGCTCCACGTTGGAACAATTACTCGGGAGGAAGCCTCAGGAATTTGATGTAGCGATCCAGGAAATGGCTCGTAGCTGAAGCTGATGATCATGTCAAATGTTGGCGTTTCTGAATGGAAGGAAAATGGGCATACGCGTATTTTATTGATTTTATAGAGGAGATCATCTTGCCGCCATCATTAACGTACATGCTTGCTCTAAATCAGCGGACACAGCCTCGCTGGCTCAATACTTACACTGCCACTGTCCTGTCCTGTCCTGTGGCTTGGGTGACCACCTCAGTGCAGCTTGTGATACGCTGTGCATGTCTCAGGGCGGCTGCCTGCCACGTCACAAGGCAGACGCAACTACATGTACATGTACGAAAGTGCATTCTAGGCTTTGGGCCCTGGCGTTTGCTTATATAAATACAGGCGAATCCCGGTCTTCGACTGTGAATCGCAATTGCACGTTCGTTCATGCCATAACCAACATACCCCCTCCTAGCCGATAACAACATGGCCGCATGAGACTTTGGTCGTTGTAACCACCAACGTGCCTGAAGCAAGTATGGTAGCCTTTTCATTCGGTAGCTTCGGCGACATCATTGCCCTCGTCGAGCTGGCTTCCAAGCTTCACGATGCCATCAATAGCGCAGGCAGCATTGCCAAGGAGCTTGAGGATTCAAAAAAAGAACTGCATTCCTTTCTGTATATTTGTAACTCAATTGAGAAAAGTGTCGAAAATGGCGTAACAATCCACCAAGACGACCTCGTCATGTTCAAGGTCTTGACCGACAACTGTCGAGAATGTTTGCAGAACTTCGAGAAGTACCTAGCTCGTTTTGACGATTCAAGGCAACTCGTCCGGCTCGCACGTCGGGCTCAGCTCAGTATGTCGAAAAAGGAAGAGATCAACCAGTTCCAGAGCAGAATGCGCGGCTTTGTGGCGGCTCTCGGCATCATACAGACGAGATATTGCTCGAGGGAGATCACAGCACAAATTAGCAGATCGCTGGACGAGCCATGGGATCAAAAACCGATGAAATTTCAGGACGCGCTGGGTCGTCGATATCCAGTTCCATTGGAGGTTTGCGGTACTTTCAAAGTGAGCCCTTGGACGAGTTGTCCCCTTTTCGTGCCATCAACGATACTTATCCTGGTATTAGGGCTTCATGAACTTCCTCCAATTCGCTTTTAAGAGCAACCCAATTCTTCATGCCGCAGTCCAGCAGTGTCAGATCTGGCTGTTCACTCCGGCCAACTCCAATCCCGGTCTGTGGTACATTGTTCTCAAGGATGACTGGAAGCACATCAGCAAGCCCGGGGTGCGACTAGGCATGTCCTTCGCCACCCAGCCCGAAGAGCAAAGCGGTGCATGCCAAGATCCATGGAGGGGGGTTTCAGCTACGGCACAAACGGACGCTTTTCAGGCTAGCCCCACGGCCAACGTCAACAGCCTCGGCGGTCGGCTGATGCTGGATGAAGACACAATTAAGGGTGTCAAGTTTGGTGAGCCCCTGCCACCTTGGGCGACGTACGACCCAAAGACAAATTTCAAGCTACTGTGAGAACACTAATAACACCGCTTCTGGTCTGGTATCAGTGGTAGAGAACATACATACTAACTGCCCAGTAGAAGCTCTCCATCATCTCGGCAACGCGTACCAAAGCCAATCCGCCCCGTCCCTCGCTCGCTTCAGGTTGCTCGATGCGCCTTCCAAAGCAACTGGCACTCATCGCACCCCGTCGCCACCATCGCCGAAGACCAAGACCAAGCCCAAGCCCAAGCCCTGGGACCTAAGCGGATGCGTATGCCCACGCATTCGCATTCCGTTCGTTACAGCTGGATCAAACGATCCGCAAAACATCCACATCCACGATTTGGTATGTCTCAACTGAAAGGTGCTACGTAAGCCGACGACGTGAAAACTATCAGTATTGGAGGAAATGGTGTTGCGCGACGAGTGGGATGTATCTTGCACGCTGGGCAGGTGTGTGTATAAATATTGGTCCAAGGACGTAATGGTGTTGCAGTCACGGCGGGAAGGATCATGGTAGTCAATGTATGTTTTGGCATGGCGCTAAATAGGTACCGAAGCACCATCGATGAAATTATCCAGCATACATACATTAGAAGTAAACGTCAACATCCGACCTTAAAACAGCAGAGCAACCAGGGCAGGCATAGCCAGAGCCATACCGACCTTGACCGAGCCAGCCGCACCAGCGGCAGGCTGAGTGGGCGTGACAGCAGGGGGGGAAACCCAGGTAGTAGGGGCGTGAGGGGTGGTCACGCTGGTCCATGTGCTGTTGACAGCAGGCTGAGTCCAGGTCTGAGGAATCTCGGTGGTGGGAACCTGGGGGATCTCAGTGGGGACCTCAGGAACCTCAGTGGTAGGGGCCTCAGGGGCCTCGCTGGTAGGAGCCTCGGGGACCTGGGGGGTGGTAGGCGTGGTGAGAACGGAGACTTGCGAGGTCGGGCTCTCAATGGGGCCGGTAGGGCCGGTAGGGGCAGGGACAGGGACAGAGGGAACGCCGGTAGGCTCAGGCATGTCCACAGTGCCGGTCTCGACGGGGCAGACAGTCGTGGAGTCCGTGATGGTGACGGTGGGCACGATGGGTGTCGTGTGGTCCTTGGGGGGCGTGTAGGTGCTGGTCGTGGGCTTGCAAGGAACGACAGTCGTCAGAGTCTCGGTGATGGTGTGGACAGGCTTCTTGGTCTTGGACGAGGTAGTAGGCTCGGCCGTCTGCTCAACAGGGCAGACAGTGACGGAGGAGATGATGGTCGAGGTGACAATCTTCTGGGTCTCGGAGGCAGGGCAGTTGGGCACCGAGGCGTGGCAGCTGGTGATTGTGTAGACCTTGGTGGTGGTGGCGGTGCTGGTGACGAGACCGTCGCTGGTGATGGTGGCGTTGGCAGCGGGCGTGGCAGAGGCAGAAACGGAAGCAGAGCCGGACGCGGAAGCAGAGCCAGAGCCAGAGGGCGTGGCAAAGTCAGCCTCAGAGTCAGAGCCAGAGGGGATAGCCTCAGTTGGCTCGTCCTCGACAGCAGGGCGCAAGAATTCACCAACAGTGCCACGGTCCTCGCGGCAGATCTCCAGGCCGAGGTTCTTGGCCAGAATGACAGTCACCTCGGGAGCAAGGCTGATGTCGAGGATGTCGAGGACCGAAGCATAGACGTCAACACCAACGCCGAGGCTGAGGACAAAGTCATTGGTGACGGAGACGAGGCAGTCGCTGGTCTCGACGAGAGTGATGGTGTGCGACAGGAGGTCGGCCCAGATGGCAATCTCGGCACCAGCGTCAAGGACATCGAGACCGAGCAGATCAATGCCAGCGCCAACGACAATGTGCGAACGGAGACGGAGGCCGAGCTGCACCTCGATCTCAGCAGACAGGTCAACCTCGGCGCCAACACCGACGGGCAGGGCCTTGGTCAGCTGACCCTCGAGGTTGGTGTTGACAACCTCCTTGGTGAGAACCGAGATGTCGAGGTAGTCGCCCTCTTGGAATGAAACGTAGAAGCCAGCAGACAGGTCGACAGCAGCGTTGACGCCGACAATCAGGTCGAGGGCAAAGGCAGCGCCGAGCTGAAGCTCGAGAAGGCCAGCATCGACGGACAGCTCGGGGGAGGAGACGAGCTCCACGGTCTGGTACACGGCAGCGGAAGCCGAGAGGTCGAGCTCAAAGTAGGCCTTGACGCCGGCGAGGTCGAGGCGAAGGGTGGGCTCCTTGACAAAGTCCTCCAGAGCCTGGATGGAAATATCGCCCTCGACCTGAGCCTCCTTGAGGTTGAGTCCGAAGGAGATGGCGGCGTCGGTCTCAGTCTCGGCGGCAACGAGACTACAGACTATGGTTAGTTCATGTCTTCATGCCATTCCGGATGCTCCTACCCGTCGAAGAGGACCTCGTTGTCCCAGCTGGAGCCGCAGTCAAAGGTAGCGGGAGACTGGCTGACACCACCGAGAAGGCCAGGGAGATGCGCGTGAGCGGCACCGACAAGGCCAGCCACAGCTGGCGCGAGGCGGGAGAAATGCATGTTGCAAAGGAATCAGCGAAAGACGATATCTGTAAAGAGTGGCTGGAGTCAGAAGATCTCCAAAGAGCTGCTGGCGATGAGCAATGAATGAGTGACTGCTGAACCTTGTGTTGGGATGAGAAGAGAAGGAGAGGACGCAAGAATGGACGTTCATGGGCGTCCTTTTAGTCTGTTAACCATCGTGGACGTGCGCATCCCCGTCAATCAGGAGCTTGACCAGGCTCGAGATGAATCCTCAGGGGCTGTCACATTGACAGCGCGGATCAGTTGTTAGCGACCGTCAACTCCGTCTCGAGGCCCTTGATGATTGGACACATGACGACCTTTCCCAAATCGTAGCAAATGACCACCGGGCATTTCTGGACCAAGGCTTAGCATGTTGGCGGTGCAGAGTGCAGACGCGTCCTCTCGTTGAGGCTTGTGGGCTGTAATTACCGGAGCTAGGTGCGGTGGTCAATGACTAGCCAAGACACGCCTCCCGTCGGCGATATCAACATCATCCACGAGTCTCGTCGGGTCACGAATCTTGTGCGATATCTGCGCGGCTCAGTGCTTGGCTCGATTCACGCGCTTCTCATGGAACTATTGACGGTCGAATTCAGCCCGGGGAATAGCCTAGATTCGATCCCAGTGAGGCTCTTTGTCGTTGATCCTGTTGGTCATTGCGTGCGCTGAGTCCACGGATTAAAAGCCCCCGGAGGCTTGAAGAGCTTGCGAGGCTCTCTGCACTCGGCAGATGAACCCCTGTTGAGTGGGAATAATGTCCGGGGTGAAGTGGGCGATCCCAATTTTCGGTCCCTTGGCAGCCATTCATAGTTGCGGACGAGATGGGCGTCTCTTGTTATCTCTGACTTGTCACAATGCTTGACAGGACCATGTGGGGAACTGCCCAGCTAATCAATCTTGTCTTCTCTCGACCGCAGTCGTTGCAATAACGGTGAGCTTCTTCTTAGCCTTGCCGAAGGCTGCGTCTGAGACCCTCTATAAACATCCTATTTCCGCAGCTTTCATTGCGCCCGAGGAAACAATGAAATTCGGCTGCGACCGTCACTCATCTTGGGCATCGATTTCGAATGCGCAATCTGACTGCGCCATGGCCCACGAGGCACCATCGCGATTTTGGTCTGGTCAGTGCCACATTGCCAAATGGACATGCCACGAATCCCTGTGCGACTGGGAATTGGTTGCAGAGTCGTGGACCATCGCGTCCGGTCGCTCCACGAGTCCACGACCCCTGAGTGACCGAGTCGTGCCTACCCGGGAAGGGCCGTCCATCAACGCCATGAATTCGACAATTCTGTCAACTGCCGTTGAAAGCCTGATTGACAGGTAGCACAAGGTCAAAAGTCGTCTAGTCGCAGACCAGGGAGACTCACTGTTGCCGATAAGGTTCTACAAAGTCTGTTTGCACTATCTGTGTGTTGCTTGGTGAACACTGGCGACCGGTTTGAACGCACCAGTCCCATCCACTGACGAGGGCCGATGACAGGTTTTCCTGGTTCACATACTCATAATCAGCGTGATTGTGTTTGTTCCGTGGTGTCCAAGGTTTGGGACCTCGTCATCTGCTCTCCAAAGATGCATATATTGTACCCAGTGCTGAAGGGAGTTCCCAGCCTTTTGGCATCTCAGATCCCAGGTCAAACGACAGTAAGCACCTACCAAATCAACAACAATCACAATAACATAGACAATAATCCATCGAAATGGAGCAAGTCGGACCCAACCACTACAAGTTCAGCGTTGCTGGCACTGGCTCCGCGAAGAAGATTCGTGAGCAGATGAAGAAGGACTCCGATAGGCAGTGGAAGGAGGAACAGGAGAGGAAGAAGCAAGAAGGCTCATCCAAGGATGCACCAGAGTCCAAGGAGGGAAAGGAACCCTCCAAGTGAGCCACGATATTCAGCAAGGCCAACGACACCTGTCAAGACGAGGATGAAATCAACTTCATCCTGGAGCAGGCGGCATCAGTCCGTATCAACGAGGAGAGACGAATCATGAAACAATGATGATTAATTAGTTTCTTCCATGCCATCTATTTGTATAAATGCCCCATCGTAATGCAGTGTCGCCATCGCGTACTCCTTTTGTCGTGATAAACCCGATTATGCCGATCCAGTAACGCCAAAAGCCGAGCGATCCTCTCGGCTGACTGTCATACACAATATACATTAAGTTAAAGACTCCAGTCGGTTTCGCCTAGTTGTCAGTTCATTCCCGCTTGACGCTGTCGGTTGACGTTTCTTCGGAAGGTTCCTCGGTGGGCTGTGGCAGAGTGTCTGAAGGCCGTTCTGCGGCGTCGACGAATGTATCTTCAGGCTGAGCAGCTTGTTGAGGGGGCGTTGATGGCAGAGAAGCCTGGGAAGGGTCAGGGGGATTCGTCTCCTCTGTGACCGGAGCCTCGGCCTCTGCAGCCATGTCGGTCGTCTCAGTACTGTCGTGTAGCTTCTCATCCTCAACTTTTCCTGGGCTGACTGGGGCTGGCTCAACCGCAGGAGCCTGTTCATGACTCGGCCTTGGACTCTTCTCGACGTCAAGGCCTAACACGTTCTGTCCACAAGGTACGACCCCGCCACCGATTCTGGCCCAGAACATTTGCTCTCTCAGGCGAACGCTTTCCTCCCAGGCCGCCTTCTCTTGGTCGTCGTCGTCCGCTCTCCAGTGACCGTCCTTGATCATGCGCAGGAAGCTAAGAAAGTCACATGTTGATCGCACACGGTTCAGACAGTACCGGCACAATGGATATCGTTGCGCTGATTCCTGCTCGCTGGTCCGAAAACGGTGGTTGCGAAGGTAGCGAGGATCTTTCCTCGACTCTCCGCACAGCGAACAAGGGTTGAACTGAGGTTTGGTGATGCTCATTAAGAATGAATTGCCCGCATGCGTGGTGACAGGGTCCACGACGAGTGAACCGTCGGCAATTGCGCTGATCACAGATCGACGTGCCAACCATGACAAGCCAGGGGCCGCATCGAGCCGCAAGGTAGGTTCAATATCCTCGGCCAGCGCACGCTTGAAGAACTTGGTGTCTCGCAGGTTCACGACGGGCGCCGTAGGTGACCCATTGCTAAAGGTCGAAACGGGCGTATTCGGGGACTGCGGCGCACTATTGACGTAATTCCCAGCTGCCATGCTGAAAGTCGTGGCTGCAGAGCTGTTGGTAGGCTGCGCATTCGCAGAATTGCTGCCGAGTCCCAGCGACGGCAGGTTCAGTCCACCCAAGGAACCAGACGAGACTCTGCTTCCCGTCGCTTTCCTGGAGAGCCTCGCAAGGCTGACAAAGTCGTCGTATGCGATAACATCTGTCCTTAGGACGGGCTGGATAAGATGGCTGAAGCTCATGGGGTGTGCCGGCAACACACCATCAGTGTCCGGAGAGGCAGTGGGCATGTCGCCGCCCTGGCCATCGTCATCGCGTACGTCGAACCTCGCGAGTGCAGGCGACGGAGGAGCCGTGTTGGTGTTCGTCTGGTCGTCTCGGTCCGATGTCATCGTCTCCATGACCACCTTCAACTCGGTGAGCTGATCCTGTTGCGACTTGAGCAATCCTTCCGAATCCGCCAATTGAGCCTTCAGCTGGTCGTTCTTTCGTTGCAGGGCATCGTGGTCCCGTTGCGCCTCTTCCTTTGCGCGGATCACCATTTTGTTTGCCTCCTCAAACAGGGCCGCTGTCAAATTCTCCAGCTCTTGCTCAATCTTCTTCTTGGCCCGCTCCGTTTCCAGCCGTTGCGCTCGCTCTTCGGCAACTTGTGCATGCAACGCCTTCTTCTCCACGTCGGTAGCGCTACGGCGAACCCAGACGTCGCCGGCCAGAACTTCGCGCTGCGACGCGTTCTGAGCCTCCAAATCCTTGATGCGGTCGGTGGCAGCCTCCAATTCGTGCCTCGTTGAGGCTAGCCGATCGTCCAGCGTCGTCTGGTGGTTGATCGCGTTTATCAGCTTTGTGCTGAGCGCGGTGACCTCTTCGTTGATATTGGGCTCGCGATTCGGTGTAATTGGTCCCCCGTCAATGACAGGCGTCATGGCGCGGCTTCGCGGGTCGGGTATTGTGCTCATGTCGTCAAAGTAGTTGTGCGTGGATCTTAGCGCCGATGTCGACGGCGCTTTGACGGGGAGTCGTCGGCGTGGTACGTCGAGACCGTCATTTGATGATGCAAGAGGCGAATCGGTAGAAGGCGCGGAGGTCGATACGGCGGCAGTGGACATGGAGCGAAAATGGCCACTGTACGGGCGGGTTGGAGGCTGTGCCCAGCCGGCAACGTGTATTAGGCTGGTGAAGATGTTAGCGGCGCCCATGAGAGGATGAAGCCGAGAGAGAGGCGCTTGTGAAGAATCTGGTGAAGCCCTCTTTCGACGAATATGTTGTGTGGGTGCGGAACTGAGACATGCTACACCGTGGCGTCATGGAGGAGAAACCATGTACGACGTGGCAAGTCAGATCCCGAGACAAACTCAAACGCAGCGCAGCGCAGCAAAAAGATGATCAAGGGTGAGACATACGAGTCCATTTCGAGGCAGTGCGAGGCTGTAGGACACCAGCCAGCAGCCCGAGTGTTGCGGCAAGTCGCAAATTGAAGATGTTGCTTTGTGGCAATGGGTTGACCCCGTCTCGACGGTATCGGTAGGTTCGGCTCGAAATGATGCGCTCGCTTTGGTAGCAGGAACCTCGGGTTTGCTCACCCAGCGAGTTCAATTCGAATAATGGGAGATTTCGATGGAGGAGGACTGCGCCAGGTCAGATGGTGACAATAATGGCGCGTCGCCGCGGTCGGATGTCGATTGTGGATGGAGGAAGCGAGAGCAAGCAGGTCTATGCAGATGCGGGAAGGATTCCAGATCTAGGTTCAGCTAAAGATCCCACTCAATAACTTTCCAACCATCACGATAAGTATCGAGTAGTCTTTTGGCGCCTCGCGCTTGGCCTCCCTCGTAGAGAATGCAACAAGAATGATGGACAGTCCAGACCAATAATGAATAGAGGTCGAGGTCCAGTCGTCGAAGAGGACCACAGGCGATGGATGGTGAGCCAGAAGCAAGACCAAGAGGGGGCGGGCGCTTAGCTCGTGTTCGCTCCTCCCCTTTGTTGCGCAAAGTTCGGGTACCTTGGCGACGACGTGGGCGGAAAGTCTGGAGTGCGATCATGGCGAATCCGGCAAGGCGCACGCCGCGACCCGCTTATCCGTTCTTGTTCAAGATTCTGCCCAATCAACGTGCCTCGTGCGTGTCGAATGAGGTCAGTGTACTCGATTACCCGGGGACTCAACAACAGGGTCTGGAAATGACGATGACGACCAGAAGTTAGTCACTGTCACCACTGACATCAATAATTTACTAGTTAGTTCATTATCTTGCTTTTTTGACTAACTCCAATGGGTGCAGATATGTGAACAGCAACAGCGCGTGGCAATCATGTCGCAATGTTAATTGAACACCGGCAGAGTGAAGGTCGGACTGTACTCACTCGACAAAGTCGCTCGCGCTGGTGCGTCTTGGCGAGCAACGTCCTCATCAGGGGTGGTGCCAATGTTGAGCAACAATTACAGCATCTAGGCTTTAAGCATGATAGACATGTTGAAGGCTACACAGGGGGAAGGGCTGCACCTTACACTATAATTATATAAATTACTAACCTATAGGTGGCTAGATTCTGCTCACCAGCGCTAGCGACTTGTCGAGTGAATACTATATATATGCCTGACAATGCTATTCTAGCATGTTTACATGCGAAAGCATTTTTCCCACAACGGGAATAACAAGAAGAGAAAGAAATTGGTATCTGGAACTGCATGTACACCGGACCTAAGAAACCCAAGTTGAAAAAGTTGTGACTTTGAGATCCTCATATCCAACGGATCAATCCTCCTTCCAATCCCCAAACTCAGGCTCGCCGTATGGGTTCCACTCCTGGCCAGGATAACTAGTGGCACTCATCTTCGGCACGTCGCCCTCGGGGTCGTAGAAGATTTTCTCTTCTTGCGAATTCAGTCGCAGAGTGCGCATGCGTGCGTCCGCCGTGTCCTCGAGCTCCATCATAGGAGGATCATCCCTCTTGGCTTGCTCAGCGTCCTTGACAGAGGTCACAGGCACCTTGTGGCCGCTCATTGCCGATCCCGACATGGAGTTGTCCGAAGCGCCAGTTCTGTTCTGATCCAGTCGAGGTGTTGCGTCGTAAATGTTCTCCTCGTCCACCTTGTTCGACTTGGCCACATCAACGTTGAGATCCTTGGTATTCCGTTCATGCTGGTTGACAATGTCAGCATCAGGGCTTATGGAGACCGGCCTGGTGATTTCAGAGGTGTTGCCAGGGGTTGTAGAAGAGATTTGACTGCCCTCACGCGAGGGTTCCTGTGTATTCAGGCTCCTGTTGCTGGACTGGGGCTGCAGGTGATGACCAAACTGAGGCTGGCCAGGTGGCAATAGTCGTTGTCCGGAGCCGCCCATGACTCCTGACTCGACACTGCGGCCGCCATCGGTCATGATTGTGTCATGGCGCAGAGCTGGCGGACGCTGAAGAGAGTCCCGTTGCTGCACAGCCTCAATGGGGACCTCATCGGGTGTTCGAGCTGGTGTAGACGTACTTGGGGTAATGCCACCTTGGATGGGGAGATTGAAGCTACCATTATCAGGGGGCGAGCCAGTGGCCGCGCTGTGGCGACGTTGATCCTGGCTCTGAACTTGCTGGGGGACCAGAGTATCGTTGTGAATCGTAGACTGCTGAGTCTGCCCTATCTGCTGGACAGGCACCTGTCTCCCATACGGGGCAGCGGGCGGCTCATTGAAAGCGTGTGACGCTGAAGCCGGAGCTTGTCCTTGATAAAGCATTTGCTGGTGTTGCAATTGAGGCTGGTGACCCTGCAGATACTGCTGCTCTTGGGGAGAGAAATGGCCTTGGGGCTGCATAGGGCCACGCGAGACGTGATAGTTGGTGGGGGCTACCATACCCTCGCCATGAACGGCAGTATAGCCCTGAGGAATAGGCACGTGGTCATACTGCGGCTCTGATGGGCGGTGCGTAGCCTGCTGGGTATGGTGCATGGCCATTTGCTGACCATACGAACCATGGTGAGGTGCGTGGCTGGGTTGAGGCGGTCTATGCTGGGGAGCAGTATAATGGGTCTGCCCGGGCTGCCCAGGAAGAGGATCCGGAGCGTGTTGCTGTTGTTGAACATACTGACCCCCTTGGCGGTACTGCTGGGGTTGCTGATAGAATTGAGGAGGACCAGCGTTAGGAGGCGGCCCCGGCTGACCTCGGCCCTGCTGGGTGTACTGTCCGTACGCGTTGTGAGGCGCAAACGGATGCTGCGCCGATGGTGGAAATCCTTGAGCTTGTTGCACAGGACTAGGTCTCCACTGGGGCTGCTGTGATGGCTGTCCGGTCTTTGGTGGTGGAGGCGGCGGGTTCTCGCTTGGCTTGGCCACTTTCTTCAAGGCACCAAGCAACTTCCCGCCGGTCGAGGGCTTGCCAGGCTGTGACTGGGCTGGCTTTGGCTGGCCGTTCTGGGGCGCGGGTTGACCCATTGCAGACATGCGGGCCTTCCATCCCTGTTTCTCGGGCTTGGGCTGGTCAGCAGCCTCGGTATTGAGCTGCTGCTGGCTGGGCTGTGATGTGATGGTTGCCATCTGGCTAGACACGCGGTTCTTCCAACCCTTCAGTTTCGACTCGCTGCCGGCAGTTGGCTGCACAGGCTGCTGTCCAGAGAAGGGCAGGCTTTGGGGTGGCATTCCCTGCTGCTGTTGGCTCGGGACCTTGCCCTGCCGATTAGGCGCCTGCATCCGCTGTGTCTGGGGAGGATATCCAGATTGCTGAGGCCCTGGCCCACCAGGCTGGCCATACGGTGCCTGGTTGCTGAACTGAGGCTGCTGGGGCGCGCCTTGCTGTCCACGTTGAAAATATTGTTGCTGGGGGCCTTGAGATGGGCCCTGAGGTTGCCGCGGCTGCTGGAAGGGTTGTTGGGGAAGTGTTTGGCCCAGGCTTTGCCTTGAGCCAGGCTGGCGTAGCGCATCAGATGGTCCATTGGTAGGCAGAGCGCCTGCTGGAGATGGCGACAGCTTCGTTGCATGCTGTGCCGGAGTAGGGGATGTCTGGTGCCCGGCAGGAGGAGGGGGTGGCCGGAAGCCCATTGGTGATTGAGGTTGAGAGCCCGGTTGCTGGACAAGTGCCGAGACAACCCTCTCCCGTGCAGGTGATCCATTGTGGGCGGATGGCGGCACAGCTTCCATGTGTACAGGAGTGCTCCCACGTGACGGAACAGACGTCGCCTGTGGGACGGGCTTCCGGAGTGAGACGTTCCGACCAAATTGCAATGACGGTGGCTGGCCAGAGTCCGGTCTTGTGTGTTCCTGGTATCCGGATCCCCTGCCGTCTTGGATGAGGGTATTATTGGGTGCAGCGCCTTCGGCTGGCAGGGTAGTCGCAGACGACTGTCCTGGGCCATTCGGTGGTGCCATTGATGACAGCAAGGCGCTCGCATGAGGAGTTGGCAAACGTTTGACGGGAGAAGTTGGCGTGGCCTGGGGGTCGTCCACCGTTCGCTGCGACAAAGATCGCTTCACGCTGCCCTCGGTTACCGAAGCACGGTTGCCTTGCTCAGTAGTGACGGACCCTACAGGCGAAACCATTGATGCTCTGGATACCTCATCCTGGCCTGCGTAGCCAGTGACGGAGGGACCCGCAGAGTGCACAGAGTTGCGTTGCTGGTTCTGATGTCCCATCAGCCCAATTGAAGGTGCGCCAACAGGTGATCCTGCGCGGCCATTGTTGCCGTATGCTGCTGGGTCTTGCAGCGAGTGAGAAGGCTGGTACTCGATGGGCGACGAGGGACCGTGAGCTGCTGACTGCTGGGCAAGAGGAGATGGGCGAGCAGGTAGAGTCTGGGTAATGAACTGCCTAGACGCTCGTGAACCAGCGTCCATCGAGTTGCCTCGGTCAGCGGGGCCTTGCGAGGAGCCGGGCGGTCCCATGAGACCTTGTCCATCGCCGTGCAGTGATCTGGGTGGACCAGCGTATGGCCCTGGTTGCTCTGGCTGTCCTGTTTTCGAGGAAGATCGATTGCTCCCCCAGAGATAGTTCATGGCTCCTGTGAAAGAACCTCTCCTACCTTGTCGGTCGCCTTCGGCGTCTGGACCAGATGGCGGCACCATTGTCTGAGAGCCAGTCGAGTCAACCGTGTTGCTGCGGTCCCTCGTCCGGGAAGGTGGTGGTTGAAGGGATTGGTGGCTCATCGCACCGGGGGCCTGAGGCTGAGGTAGCTGGTTCATGGAGGAAAAGCTCGAGTGAGATGTGCTGGGCTTTGCATGTTCTTGACTCGGTCTGTGTAGCTTGCCCGCAAGGCCAGCAGCCTTGTCAGCAAAGCCGGAAAACCGCTTCTTCGGGGGTCCTATGCTTGAAGTCTCATTACCAGTGGTGCTGCTTGAGTCAACAGCAACGTCGGAAGTGGACGCACGATTGATACCAGGGAGACCGCCAGGGATGTACTTTTGCTGCGCAGCGGACACCCGACCCGCCGCAGATCCCAAGAGTGACTTCTTTTTCTCGGACTGTGGCGTACCCGTCTGCGCTCTCTCCGGTGGCTGCATGGTCTCCTGCGTTGCTGGACGGTGGTGATCTCCAACGCGAGGCTCATTGACCGCATCATGTGAGGGTCGCTGTTTCAGACTGGGCAATAAACTCGAGCGCTTCTTCTTGGGCTCCTCTGATGGGTGCTGTGCTTGGACGCTGGCATGAGACCCGACTGGCTGCTGTCCATTGGCGGGAGTGCTCTGCTCGGCGAGGGAACTGCGACGCTCGTTCGACTTGGCACCGGACAGGCGATCGCCTAGACCCTTGAAGATGTTGGACGACTTCCTGCGGCCCTCGCTTGGTGCAGGACTACCCTCGAGCCCGGCCCTGGAACAGTGTTGCGCAGGGTCGACTTGGTTGAGTGTCTGGTAGGGTCCCTGCATCGGGGGCGACGTGGGTTGGCCACCAGAGTCGGCGCGGTCACGCTGCTGCTGGTTTGTAGGTCTGAAGAGGTCCGGATAACGTCGAGCCGATGACGGAGGCACATCTGATGATCTTCCACGGGGTGGGTGCGGTGAAGGCGTCGGCAGCTGCTGCTGCGGCTGCTGCTGCTGCTGAGACCCCGAGGCAGGGGATGAAGGAGACATGGGCAAGGTGCCGCCCGTTTCTTTCTCGAGAGAGCCATAGGTGACCTGCTGCTGTGAGCTGCCGGTGCCTGCCCGACGTCTGGCGACCTGCAATGGTTCACTCAAGTGGCTCTCCTCGAGTTGCCATCCTGAAGGCGGCTGCGGACTGGCATCAGGCTGGCCGGGCGATTGCTGGGGTTGTGAAGTAGCCTGGCGTGGTGCGCCGGTGTTGGGATCGGCTGGCAGTGGTTGTTGGCCCTGTGGATGCTGATAAAAACGCATAGGCTCTTTGCTTATGCTTATGGAACTGCGACCAGTGCGGTTGGTGCCTTCTTGCCCGACGAGAGTCGCGTTACTGTCGACGCCAACGGAGCGATGAGTGGCCTCTTCAATCGGCTGTGTGGAGGCGCTGACAGGAGTCTGATGGGCAATGGTGCCATCTTGAGATTGGTAGGGCTGAGTCTGACTTTGAGGGTGAGGGTGAGGTTGAGGTTGATGAGCTGGAGCTTGGTGAGGCTGGGCAGGCGAGTCGCGTCCAGGAGCAGCAGACTCGTCTTGCTGCTGACCATCGGCCGTGATAAATGCAGCCAGGCCAAATGACGAGTTTCTTCGCAACGGCGGCAGTCCCTTGAAGGACGAGTGGCGCTGGGCATCCGGCCTCGCGTCTGATTGCGGTTGCGACGCCATGCCAGTGCCAATGCGACGACCCTCAGCAGCAGCCTGTCCAGCGACAGATTTTGGAGAGAGACATGGAGCGACGCGCGCGTCAGAGCCAGCGACAATGTCTTGCGCGGCAGTGGCCTGGCCCTGGCGGGGAACGAGCACCCAATCCGCTTCGCTCAATGGCATCTGCCCTGCCTCAGTTGCTGCTGAGCCTGCTGGCACTGGCAGCCGTTCTGGGTCTGGATCTGGGCCTTGGCCGGGCCCCCCCACAACGTGCTCATTTCCATTTGGGTGCGGAGGATTCCTCAGCCCTGGCGCAGGCGCAGGAGCCACGTCAATTTGGGAGAGCGAAATGGGGTCATTGCTTGTGTCTTTGCGTTCGTTTGTTATCGTCGTCGCCGTCGTCGCTGTCGGGGGCGCAGACAACCCTCCAGGCCAAAGGTCGCCTTGTCCACCAACGTCCAGAGGGGACACACGCGGTGGCTCCGCTAGTCGCGGCGGCTCGGTATTTAGCGACAGTCTCGGACCTCCACTAGCAGATCTCGTATCGGCCCCAGCAGCGCCGGACGACGGCACCGGGTGGGAGCTCGTGTTCTCGCGGGACTTGGGCCCCAGGCTAAACGCCCACGACATTCGACGGTCGCTCTTCGATAGGCCCTGGGGCGGTGGCTGCTCGGGCTTTCGGTCCACCGGCGGCGGAGAGTGTTCACCCTATTTAAATCCAAGCTGGTCAGCCCTACTGGTCTTCACCGTGTCATCATGTAGCTCATGAGGGTTGTTGGTCTGTAGAAAGGGAAAAGTGTCTCATGCATTCCTATCTTTCACGCCCTGCCCCGATCATCATTAGGCCCAAAACAAATGCAAGAAAAGAAAATTCTGTCTTGACCAACCGTCAAGTGCAAGCCGACGAGAGTACTTCTGTCCGGTCCAATGCGTACGTGGGCGTGTGTGTGAGATGGGCATATGGGAAAGCGACTGTGTCAGTGTGTTTGCATCAGTGAAATACCTTGTCCCCTGTGCCACGAAGCTTGCTCTTCCCTTTGCTGAACAGCCCCTTGCCCATTTTCCCGGCCGAGTGCATCAACTCCTTGCCCTTGGTGCCGATCTGGTTACCTGAGCCCCCAAAGGCGCTTCCGGCAGCTTGTTGAGCTTGCATCGGGAAGCCAGCGAGGCGTGACCGTGTTGAGCCTCCTGGTGCCGATCCAGCAGACGGTGTGTTGGCATTTGCATTCAGGTATTGCTGGTAATAGGGTTGCTGTGCAGAGGGCGTAGGCCCTGGAGCGGCCGACGCATTTGCAGGCGACGGTGGCGCGGCCATGGCCCCCGAGTAGGAGCCGTTGGCATTGGCATGCTCGGCGTGTTCATTCTTGAGCGTCGCGAGCCAGTTGCTCAAGCCCGATTCCTGGTTCGCAAAGATGCTGCGAGACTCCTCGTACTTGGCGATGCGGTCTTGCGAGCTGGCCATGTTCATAATCTCGCGAAAGGTGAGCGTCGGCTGGCTTGGGACACCACCAGCAGCCGGCGCATGAGCATCGCCTGTCGCCAAATCGCGCGCTGCCGATGGAGGTTGCACGTCGAGGGGAGAGGCACCTTGCCCTGGACCGTTGCCTGCAAGAGGCGTGGCGTCCCGGTTGCTCAAGTCAGAGACAGGCGAGGGCGGTCCGCCTGGCGCATGAGAGGAACTGGCGAGCGAGACCTGGTGCGAGATGGAAGGTTCTCCCGACACAATCTTAATAGTCGGTGACGCAGGATTCACGGCTGGCTGCCCGGTCCCAGCTTGTGCAGGGACTGGGCTGTCTTGCATACTGGGTTGCGGCGCGGCTGCAGTTGGTGTGGTGTCTTTGGGGGGCGCGGCTGGCTGCTGCGCCCGCGCCTCCTCCGCTTCCCACGAGAAACGTCGCCGTAGTCCAGCATCCGAGCCGGGCTGGCTCGACTCGGGGCTCATGGGAGCGAATTGCTGACTGGCGGGTGACGCCTCATATGCTGGAGGCTGAGAGACACGTACTGGCTGGTACGCAGGAGCGGGATCAGCGACAGGAGGCGGACTCGAAGTCGGCTCTGGGACCTTTGTGTCCACGGACGTAGCGCCAGCAGCAGTCTCGTGGGCAGCAGGCGCTTCAGGCACGGCGTCAAGAGTCGGCTTGCGCTGAATGCCGTCGTTGGCGTCGCCTGTCTCGTTCCAATAGTCGTCATAAGCACTCAACGCGTAGCTGCTTTCACGGCCGGTGGCGGAAGCTGGCGGCTCGTGCTTCTCGTCTGGGTGTTCATGATGGGGACTGAGTCCTCCAGGCGTAAGGGACCGCATAATTTCATCGCTCAACACGTCACTCTCCTTGAGAGGTGAAGACGTCGTGGAATCATGGGTCTGCTGCCTGCCCAGTGACTGAGGCTCGTAGTCTGACGGAGTGTACTCTGGCTTCCTAGGGTGCAGAGGCTCGGTTGGAGGGATTCCGCTGGTTGGTTTTCCGCTCGGGGGCTCTGTCGATCCTGCTGGGACAGTGGCAGATTCATGCGAGCTTGGTATGTGCAGAGGTGGAAGTGTCGCGGCGTCTGTTCGCACGCGATCTGGCTCCTCGGACGACACTTTGTTAGACGAAATTGTGGAGGCACTCTCCTCATGTTCACGGACTGATGGGACAGCATCAGCGCCGGGCTCTGCTGCGGAAGGCACTCCATCTTGGTCATTCTTCTGGGGCACATCACTCGCCGAAGCCTGCTCAGGTTCGGTGGCATGATCCGTTAAAGAGGTTGGAGAAAACGCGGTTGCGCCAAGGCCTGACCCTGGGGTCGTGTCAGAGTGATTCTTGGCCACAGGCGCAGTCGTCGGGCCCGTGCTCAGCGGTGCTGGCGAAGGCTCCCGCTCTTCTTGAACGACTGGCTCCCTCGGTAGCGACAGCTCTGAGCCACTCGAAAACATGTCCACGCCAAAGGCACTCAGACGTGCCACGTTGGGCAGCTGGGGGCTGACCGAAACGCGTTTCCCATCCTGCGCGAGATCTTCCCGTGGGTCGGGTATGGTCTCGTCACCGTGGACGCGTGGTGCTTCGTGTTGCTTCGCCTCAGGGAGCTGAGACGTTGTTGGCGCGGTCTCCCGCTCGTTCTTCTCGCTGGGGACCGGCGCGTCTGTCGCAGCGGATATGCCCACCTCGGGGCGCTCGTACGCGGGCTTCGTGGGCGCTTGCGGCTGCTGGAGGATCGGCGCCTGCGGTGCTCGTCCAGCCCCGGGGATCCTCGATTCAGATGGTAACCTCGTGCCACCGACTGGTGCTGGTCGAGGAGCTGGCAAAGGCACCTCCGGTGAGTCGGGCTCGTCTTCCGATTCGGGGGCGCCCCAGTCGTCGCCGTCGTAGTTTTGCACTTTCGCCTCGACCCATTTCCGTGTCTTCTTCCTATTGATGTTGACTGCGTAAGAGGAGGGCGTGCTGGGCGACCTGGAGACGATTAGCTGAGATGGGCAAATTGGAATTCCGGGGACGCACATGACAGACTGGCCTTGGTTAGGCGCTTGATTAGAGGAACCTTCCATCAGTTCTGCGTCACGGCTTCGCAGGGTGCCATGCGACCATGTCCCCCTCTTGGACAGAACCAGTGCTGGAAGTCGGCTGACCGAGGGACGCGCGCCGTCGGGTTGATCGCTGGGGGGTGGCGCACAAGTTGAATGAGTGGCAACAGGACAAAGCAAATTATGTGTAGAACGCGATGATTGATGGGAAGCAACAAGTGTACGGAAGCGAAGATAGAAATGTCCTTGTGATTACGACCAGACGAGGGCAATCCTCAGGGAAGCTTCCTCGGGTCGGCTCGTTGGACTGAGTGATGGAACAATTTCCAGCGTCGCGCAGCTCGCTGGGGCCACTGTAGCAGGCCTTATCAGAGGAAAGGCGATCGATGTATCTTCTCGCGTACACAATGCAGCAAGGTACTTGTCGCGCCCTAGATCCTGCTAGCAACCGGGCGGGGGTCGAGGCGCGAATGCGTGGCGCAGCGCTCCCGTCAGCCGCTCGATCTCCAATGATGACATTCGCGATCCCAATTGCGGATGAGGTGAGCCAAATTTAACTTGGGTGCGGATCCTGCAGTTCCAGGCCTGCTACTATAATTAATTCGGCGGAAGTCATCACTTCCACCGTGCAGAATCTTAGAGCCTAGACGCGAACGCAGAGTTGTGGCACAAGCATCAGTGGTCAATAACAAGTAGGAATCCCAGGTTTATTAGTAGACTTGAGATTTGTCCCTGGGAGCCGATCAGATGTCAGCCTTCGTCACTAAGAATGGTGCGAATCGTTGGTCTGGAATATGCGATTGATGGTGGTTTATATTGCGTCTGCGGCGGAGAAAACACAGTGTCGTAAAATATAATTACGCGAGCTCTGACCCCTCTAGGAGTCAACACAACAAATAGTGATAGAAAGATCCATTGAAACACATTATATTGTTTCTTCATAGATAATTATAAAAGCAGCGTCCAGCGTTCCTCCAGCTCCTCCTTGTGGTCGCATTCTGTGTGGTGCAGGGTAGCCTGTTTTAGAGCACGCCACAGTGGCTGAGGCCGCGCATGAGGCTGCGACATACGTTCCCAGAAACCACGTTTGCGACAGATTGGCCTCAACAACCCTGTCTTCTTCAACCACTCGCTAATACTTGCTCCTCCCCGTTAAACCGTCGAAATCTTCCTCAAAGGAGCCAGAACAACCGCCAGAAGTCGCGCGCCAACAGAAATCGAACCCTGGTTCCTCAGCATTCGCACGAAAGCCCTCGCTGCCATCCATCCCCTGAGTCGTCAGTGGCGCAATCGCCTCAAGCGCCAACGCCTCGAGCCCCCCTGGGAACGTCGATTGTCATTTCGCAGCCTACACAATATATCAACGTAATACACGCGCTGGTCGCACCAGAACCATGGCCGTCGCGTCGATACAAGATCGAACCTCCGAGTTCAAGTCAGTCCTCGCCCAGGCGCAGCGTCGGCAGGCGAACTCGAAGCCCAGCTCGCAGAAGCGGTCCCTCCTCACAGAGCAGCAAAAAGCGGACGCGAGCGGCGATGGACGCCCGAGAAAGTCAGACTTTGCCAGGAAGGCGGCCGATATTGGGAGGGGCATCTCGGCGACGATGGGCAAGTTGCAAAAGTTGGCACAGCGTACGTGGACGAGCACGTCATGATGGAAACGGAGGCACGAGTATTGCTAACAATGGCAGTGGCAAAACGCCGCACAATGTTCGACGACCGGCCGGTCGAAATCAACGAGCTCACCTTTGTCATCAAGCAAGATCTCTCGTCGCTGAACCAGCAGATTGGCGAGTTACAAGCATTCACCCGCCAGAGCCGACCCAACGCCGACCAGGAAAGCGAGCACAACAAGAACGTGGTGTACCTCTTGCAGGGCAAACTCACCGACGTGTCGGTCAACTTCAAGGACGTCCTCGAGGCGCGCACCAAGAACATACAAGCCTCGCGCTCGCGGACGGAGAACTTTGTCTCGTCGGTATCGCAGCACACACAGCCGACCTTGCAACAGAATGCGTCGCCCTTGTACGGCACGCCGAACCGCGCGTCACCAGCCCCGGCGAACGACACGCTGTCGTTGAACCCGGTGAGCGACCAGCAGATGCTGATCATGGAGGAGGGCCAGACATCGAATTCCTACATTCAGCAGCGAGGCGAGGCGATTGAGGCTATTGAGAAGACGATCAGCGAGCTTGGCGGTATTTTCGGCCAGCTGGCGACCATGGTGTCCGAGCAGAGCGAGATGATCCAGCGGATCGACGCAAACACAGAGGACGTCGTGGACAATGTGGACGGCGCGCAGCGGGAGCTGTTGAAGTACTGGTCCCGGGTGTCCAGCAACAGATGGCTGATTGCGAAAATGTTTGGCGTTCTCATGATTTTCTTCCTGTGAGTATCTCCATGACCTTGTCTTCGGGCTTCTGGACTGTTTGCTGACGATCATGACACAGACTTTGGGTTTTGGTCTCTGGTTAGACGAACGATGACTTGGCGCGCGCGTAAATGAACATTGCGTGCTCTGACGGCACCTCCTTTGTCTGAAAGCCCGTCGCTGCGGCTCGGCCGACATGCAGGCCCATGCATATACCACCTAGATTAATTCATGGCAACATTCACTTGTCGAAGTCATCGTCATCTCGCATTGACCCCAGACAATAGCCTTTTCGATTGCATAGCTGGTACACAGGCCAGAGGTTTGCAAAAGGCTGTAAAATGGTCAGCCCTGTCCTATACTGATTACAGAGATCTACCTCACTTGTCAGGCACTGGACTGCGAGGTATAGCCAATGCGTTGCAAAGATCGCCCAAGATGGCATCCCTCGCCGAGAAGCCACTTGTCAATCGGGCCAAAGCCACCCCGACAGTCGGTTTAATTCCTCCGTGGAGAGCATCACCCCACAGGGCCCCCCACCAACGTAACTCGTGCCATCTTTACCCGCTGGTGATGGACTCGGCTGGCGGGGGAATACTTGGGGGCGGAGGAAGTGCTTAATTGTGGTATAAGAGCGCGTCTGCCTGGGGTCGCAAACAGTCTTGCCCCTAGCTGCTCTCTGCTTTATACTCCAGACTATTGACTCTGCTCTCTTTACTCACAATGGCTGACAAGACATTCAAACTCAACACCGGGGCGGACATCCCAGCCTTCGGTCTTGGTAGGTCACTTCCCTCACAGACACTGTAGAACGTGAGCTGACAAGGCAAGGCACATGGCAGGGTGAGCCCGGCAAGGTCAAGACCGCCGTTTCGCACGCGCTCAAGTCGGGTTACAAGCTCATCGACGCGGCGTACTGCTACGGCAACGAGGATGAGGTGGGCGCTGGGTTGGCGGACGCCTTCGCCTCGGGCATCAAGCGCGAGGACGTCTTTGTCATGACCAAGGTCTGGGCCACATACAACACCCGCATCGGTCTCGGTCTCGAAAAGTCGCTCAAGGCGCTTGGTCTGGACTATGTCGATCTCTACCTCATCCACTGGCCCCTGCTGCTGAACCCAGACGGCAACGACGACCGGTTCCCCAAGAAGGAGGATGGATCGCGCGACGTGATCCACTCGTTTGACCATCGCGAGGCGTGGAAGGAGATGGAGAAGTTGGTCGAGACGGGTAAAGTCAAGGCCATTGGCGTGTGCAACTACTCCAAGCGCTACCTGGAGGAGCTGCTCCCCGTGGCCAAGATCGTGCCGGCGATCAACCAGCTTGAGAACCACCCCTGGCTGCCGCAGACGGAGATTGTCGACCTCTGCCACGAGAAGGGCATCCACGTCGTTGCGTACTCGCCGCTCGGCAGCACTGGCTCCCCGCTGGCGAGTGCGGAGCCCGTCGTCAAGCTGGCCGAGAAGAAGGGCGTGTCGCCGTACACCATTCTCCTGAGCCACCATGGTGAGTTTGGGCAAGGCCTTTGTATGGAAAAGAGTCAAGCTAACAGAGACCTAGTGTCCCGTGGCCACACTGTGCTGGCCAAGTCTGTGAACCCCGACCGCATCGACGCCAACAAGAACCTTGTGGCTCTCGAAAAGGACGAGCTGAAGCTGCTGGACGACTATTCGGCCGACATTGTGGCCAAGAAGGAGTGGAAGCGCTACGTATACCCGCCCTTTGGCGTAGAATTTGGGTTCCCCGACAAGTCATAGACAGCGTTCTCTACAAAAGCAATAGACTCTTTTCGATGCTCTTGGCATTTGTCAATTATATGCGACTCAAGATTATGCCAGTTTCCCTCAGCTGGCGTCACTACCGGACAAAAAGATGTATGGTAGCTTCTATGACATGTCCACCACGACCTTGAGGACCAGATTCCCCTCGTCGTCCTTGACCTTGCCAGCCATGGCAAAGGCCTCATTAATCTTGTCCATGCCCTTGAACCGCTGTGTCACCATTTTCGTGAGATCCGGCATCGCCTTGGGCGGATTCGACAGCATGGCGATGACCTCCTTGTAGGTGTTCGCGTAGCGAAAAACACCCACCAAGTCGACTTCGCGCAGGGCGGCCGCCGAGATGGGCAGGGTCAGGACGGGTGTGCCCATGCCGATGATCATGATCCTGCCGCCAGGTTTGGTCGCGTAGATGGACGCCTGCAGGCACGTCTCGACACCGGTGCATTCGTAGACGGCGCCCACCTCGCCCACCTTCTCGCCCCTGATCTCTGCGTCCCCGACGAGCCCAGCGACCTCCTTGGCGTATTTTAGCTTGTCCTCGACGGTCTCCGGCCTCGCCATGGGCACGACGACGCTCACATCGGCAAAGCCGTTGTTCACTGCAAAGTCCAACCGGTCCTTGTTGATATCCGCAATGACAATCTTCTCGTGGCCGGCTGCCCGCGACACGGCTGCGACGAGAAGACCCACGGCACCAGCGCCCAGCACGAGTAACGTAGTGGAAGGATCGAGCGCAGCACGATTGCGCGCATGCATCGCCACGGAGAGGGGTTCCATCAACGCGCCAAGGTCGAGTGAGAGAGCGGGAGGCAGCTTGTGACACCATCTTGCGGGGTGGTTGATCTTTTCCTGTAGTGTGCCCTGCGCGTGAGGGTTTGCCTTGGCCGAGCTCCTAAACTTCATGCCTCTGCAGATGTTGTACCGTCCCGAAGAGCAGTACTCGCATTTCTCACATGACAGGCCTACTTCGAGAGCGACGCGGTCCCCGACGGCGAGGTCTGTGACTGAGGCACCTGTAGCCACGACTGTGCCGGCAGACTCGTGGCCCAGGGTGAGGGGCTCGCGCACGATAATGTCGCCATTGCGGTAGTGGTTGAAGTAGTGGAGGTCAGAGCCGCAGAGACCTGTAGACTGGACTGCGATCTGGACCTCGTCATGAGCCGGCGTGGGCAGCTCGCGTGTTTCCTATGGTGATCAGCGCATCGTCGAGATCAGGACTGGCCAAGGGCCCAGGGGAGCCGTACTTGGCGAAGGTCTTTGGCGCCGTGAAGAACGGACGCGGCGACTTGAGTACATGTAGTAGACATGATGGCGACTCGTTGGTGAAGGAGTATGGAGGTCTTGCTGTCCAGGCGAGCTCAGAGTGAAAGCGAGAGCAAGTTGGCGAGGTTGACACGGAGCATGAAGCCCGCCACCTCGATGGGTGATACCCCGAGAGCGATGAACCACCCCACCTGGAATAAAGTAAATTAGCAGCTCCAACGGTCAACCCCACAGAGGAGATGGATATTTCTTCGCTCAAGCTTGGTCGTCATTCACGGATCTCTCGCTTGAGCAGTTGAGGGGCATCGCCGACGATTGCCTCATTCGGACTGGGCGGCACGTCTCCAGCGAGCGCGGGGCAGCATTTACCGAGAGAACCCCCACCATCATATTCCCCCAACGTCCAGCGTGAGCTTGTTGAAGACTGAATGCGAATCTTGACTGTAATCATCTGTGCAGACCTTCATCAGACTTGCCTTCGAGGTGCTTGAAACCGCGCATCATGAGTCTCTTCAGCTTAAAAGACCACACAGCCCTCGTCACGGGAGGCACCCGGGGCATTGGCCAGGCCGTCGCGCTGGCCCTCGCCGAAGCCGGAGCTGACATTCTCCTTGTCCAGGTGCGTCTGTCCGTTCTCAGGAGATAGATGGTCATCACCTATCCTGTTCTGATCTGACTTGATCTGACCCCAATCCAGCGCGATACGTCCAACACAAAGACCAAGGAGCAGATTGAAGCTCTAGGGCGCAAGGCAACAATCTACACCTGTGAGCTGTCCTCGCCGGAATCTGTCGCCTCGCTCGTCCCCAAGGTCCTTGCCGATGGTCACGAGATTCGTATTCTGGTGACCTGCGCTGGGATCCAGCGACGTCACCCCGCCGATGTGTTTCCCGACAGCGACTTCAACGAGGTCATGCAAGTCAACCTCAACTCCGTCTTCACAATGTGCCGGGACATTGGCGCACACATGCTCACGCTGGAACCTTCCCCCGTGACGGGTCGCAAGGGCTCCATCATCAACTTTGCCTCGCTGCTCACCTTTCAAGGCGGCCTCAACGTCCCAGCCTACGCTGCCTCCAAGGGTGCGGTCGGCCAGCTGACCAAGAGCATGGCCAATCAGTGGAGTGACAAGGGCATCACCGTGAATGCCATTGCGCCCGGCTACATTGCGACAGACATGAATGAGGCCCTGCTCAAGGACGAGAAGAGGCTGAAGAGCATCTCGGAGAGGATTCCAGCGGGCCGATGGGGCACACCAGAGGACTTCAAGGGGACGGCAGTGTACTTGGCGAGCAGCTCAAGCGGGTACGTAAGCGGGCATGTGCTGACGGTTGATGGCGGCTGGATGGGTCGGTAGGAGACAAGGTGTTGGAAATTGGACTGTTTTGATATTGTCTGCTTCGAACAACTGTCCAAGCCTGCCTACAGGCCCGGGTGACTGGGTGCGTTGCCTGCAACGTGCTCATGTTTGGCATAGACCACCTTTCTCTTACTGATAGACCGCAAGAATCTGCCATCCAGGGCAGTCACCCTGCCCACTTGAGTCTTCTGCCTCCGTACAAGGGCCCTCCTTGGGGATAGTGCTTGCATGGCCCTAGAGTCAGCCAACTTGCCATCATCTATCGAGGTGTCCTTGAACTCACTCGGACCGAGTCGCAGCGATCCGAATGCGCGCAAGAGATGAATGAATGTCGTGGAACATGTTGGAACTGATTTCTGTAGAGAATGAATTCGCAATGATTTGCGCCAAGGTGGTTGGCAAGATGGCTTCGGTGTATATTGTGTGGACCAAGTTTCGTAGCTGTCGAGACCAGTACCTGAGTACGTCTCAAAGGCCTTTTCAATCTGCGGGCGAAGAGTTAAAGCACCTCACTCGGCTTGCTCCAGGGCGACAGGGTCCAGATGGGCCGTGAAATTATTCGCCACCCAATATAATTGTCCGAATTGTCGGGAGGTTACTCGAATGCGGCACATCCTTCGCGATGCTCTGTCAGCTTGGCGTGGAGAAGCCTCTGCGCCCCGAGTCGAGTCCATGTCTATTGTCTATCGTTAATGTACCGTATCTATCCAACCATTGAACGCCCCTTTCTTCCGCAGCCGCTGGTGTCCCAGTCCGTCCTGTCGCGCATCGGAAGCGTCCTATTTCTTCTCGTAATAGTGCGCCATCTGCAAGCCCGCTCGCCGAAAGCCGCACTTGATGTAGAAACCCTCGTTCGCCTCGCTGCAGTCGAGGATGCTCTTGTAGCAGCCCACCTTGTCGGCGACAAAGTCGAGCGCCTGGATCAGGCGGAGACCGAGTTTTTTGCCTTGCTGGTTGCGGGCGACCGCAATGTCTTCAATGTGTCCGACCGCTCCGAGGTTGTGAATGCTGTCGTTGATTGTTAGCAGCGAACGGATATTGGCAATGGCGTCGTGGCCGCGCATGGTGTCACGCACAACTTCCTCTCGACGATCAGCGCGCCCGTCGCAACAACGGGGCTCTCCGTCAAGCTGGTGTCCTCAATCACAATGAGGTAGTAGCCGCCCTGCTTCTCCATGGTGTCGAATTGTTGCTGGAAACCCTCCTCGGTGACATCGCCCACCGTGGTGAGGACGCGCAGGCAGTCGAGGAAGCCCGAGGCGTGATCGTCGCGACGCAAGGCGCGCAGGACGTAGCCCTCAGGCAGGGCAGCCTGCACCTCAGGCGAGAGGAGGTCGGACGAGAAGAGAGAAGCGGCCATTGTGCTGAGTTGGATTAAATTGAACGAGTGTGAATTAGAAAGCGTGAAGGATAAATAGGTCAAGGGCAGAACAAGGGAAAAGGCGTCACCATCAAAGGCTGGCCGTCATCTTTGCCAAGCTCCAGTCCATGCGAGCGACTGGAGCTGAGGGTCCTGCGTCTCGTCCCAGGGGCCGGGGCGGTGTGGCGCAGCAGGGGCAGAAGGGTGGTGGGGGCGCCCGTATCGAGCCACCAGCCACGCGCCTATTTTTGGATAACCATTCACCATCATCGTTATCCATCATCCATCTAATTATTCACACCACAACATGGAAACGAAGCTCACGTCGATTGAGTAAAATCAGGTAATTAATGATCTAGAATCAAACTTGAAAACATGGCGCACGCCAGAAAGCCGGGCGCCACCCTCGTCTACTACCTCTCGCACCCTCGAATGAACACCGCGATTACACGCTCAGATGCGAAGGATGGATCTCGCCTTGAGCCTGGCGGCCGAGCTGAGACACTGCGAGTACCACTCGTTATGAGCGACGCACGAGAGACCAGCGGCGCACTTTGTCGACCCAGTCCAGTTGTTGCCGCCGCACTGCTGCCACTGGGGAACCTCTTCAGCGGAGGGCGCGGCTGGCTCCTCGGCTTCGGCCTCTTCCTCGGCAGGCTCATCATCAGCAGGAGGCTCTGCGGCTTCAGGGGCTGGATCAGGCGTGGCGGCGCTGGAACCAAGGTTGGCAGGGCCAGCGTTGCTGCTTACGAGGCTGGCAACCTCGCTTGCGGCAACAGGCACCACGAGAACATCGGTCAGGCTGGAGAATGGCTGAAGAGCGCTCCTCGAAGACATGGGCGTCAGGGAGCCACTGTCCGCATCAACGGCGTTGACAGCGCAGGAACGGCCAAGGACCGACTCGCAAGCACCGCTTGCGGCTGCGTCGGGGGTGTCGAAGATGGTGGCGATGGCGCTGCCGGAAAATGGGGTATTGACCGACTCAAAGGCATTGCCCTCGAGTAAGGCGACAGTGCCTTCATAGGCCTCGAAAGCGTGGCCATCCATGTTCTTGAAGTAATTGTTGGTGGCGTGGAAAGTGCCAGTTTCACCGAGCTTGGGGGCGCGGCCAGAGACGTCGTGAAAGTAATTTCTGTCCAGGGTGGCCCGGTCGCCCTCTCCGATGAGCATCATGGTCCAGTAGTGGTCACCGTTGCAGGTGGCCGAGGTCTTGGTCACGCCGTCGAACTCGTTGTTGGAGATGGTGAAGCGCGAGCCGTCGTAGTGGCTGACGATGAATTGGCGGCCAATCTTGGAGAACTTGCAGTGATCAATCCAGACACCGTCGTTGCTGCCCTTGAGATCAAGGCCATCACCGCCCCAGACGATGCCAGGGTTGAGGTTTGTGATCTCGATGCCCTGGATGATGACATTGCTGGAACCAGCAGACACGGAAAGGCCCTTGCCGTTCAGGACTGCCTTGCCGCCAGCACCCAAGATACTCTTGTTGCTGCCGACAGCGAGGGGCTCTGTACCGGCCACATCGTAGGTGATGGAGCTGACAGGAACATTGTCAGAGCTGCCGCAAGACAGAGTCCCGAGGTAGAGCTGGCCACCATTAGCGGCGGAACAGCTGTTCCGATCGCACCCAGAATCAGTAGCCGTCTGGCCAGTAAAGTCATATTCGCGGTCGATGACAATGGTACGAGGCGTATCGTCGGATAGCCACGCGGCCAATTCCTCGACAGAGGAGGGAGTCTCGGCAGGCGCATCACCACCGCCAGTGACACCGGCTGCGAAGCCGTATGCGGCGCCTACAACCGACTGGGAGGAGACTGTAGTGGCAGCAGCCAAGATGATGGAGACTGTCGAGAGATGCATCTTGCAGTATTCGGGGACGACGGTTGAAGCTTAGTGATGTGGGTAACGATCTGTTGGTACTAGATCAAGTATAAGGAACGAACAGTGGTGAATAGAGACAATGGTCAACGCGCCAGCGCGAGAAAAAGAGTGAAAGCTAGCGGTGACAGGATGGAATGGTGGAAAGGAACGACAACGACATGCTCAGAAGAATGTCATGAGTTTGGCTGCCTCAAGACAGAGCCATTATATCTATGACCGTGCTTCCATGGGTACGGAGCACAAAAACCCGCCATGGCAGCTCAGGCTTGTGAGAAGCACCCTCGGAGATTCGGAATGCCGACACTGTTTCTGAACATAGTAGCGCGTTTCAATACTATGAAGGGGTCACGGGTCAGGGGGTTGCGTACTTTGGATAAACGCACAACGCACCAATCGCTATCTCATCCGAAAGGGGGCGTCCCATCTGTCAACTGAGCAACCGCATAGTATTCAGGTGAACACTGGCCTTGGCGCTCAAAATCGACAATACTCGGTAGGGACATGCATCCTTCGATTGAAGGTACAAGTTGTCCATATCGGAGAAGTGGAGGTACGAGGAGAACGAGCGAGGATCTTGAACTTTGTTCGCGCAGGAGCCCCTGACGTCGTCTCTGCTGCTGAGTCAAATAACCTCTTCGAATTCGGCCTTCGAGAAACTTTTTGACCTATAAACTTGTTCTCAATTATCAAGGGGTTTTAACTTCTGGCCCCTGGCCTGGGGGTTGTGTTGAGTTCAGTAGTCCATGGCCGAATAAACGCTGAATCACATGCAAATCGCCCGCCCCTCCATCTCGCCCGCAGCCAGCCATGTGGCAATTAATCCATCGACATTCGACACCACCATCCATCGCATTCCAGCCCATCGGAATGTATCTCAGCCTCATCATCTCACTCGCTCCCACGCGCAGATTGGTCGAAATCACGTAGCGACAAGATAAACATGTCGCGCACCCCGATCTCTTCGCACCTGGAAGCATTGCCATCGCCATGTCTGGAGACCAACACGCCATCGTCATGGCGGGACCCCAAGCAGGTTCGACGCTGCTCCCAGCGCCCATCGCACAGGCCATCAGTCTAGCCACGAGATCTACGCAGCTCGCCATCCGCGTCACATCCATTTTTGGTACCTATACGCTCTCGACGGCCAAGTTCACCACCCTCTCCAGCTTGGAGCTCGCACGAGGCATCGTCGAAGGTGTCTTGATACGCGCAGGCGGAGAAACGACACTGGGGTCGGCATATGCTGTCACGGACGCGGAGGGAATTCTGGAGCGCAGCCTAGAGGCTCTGCACCTTGCAGTCAGCCACGCTGCCTTTTGGACATCGGCGTCCTTCCAGCTGACAGGCACGACGCTGTCTGCCGTGAGCGACGTCTCGACCCTGATCTTGAGCTCACTGGATCAAATCCTCGGTAGTACCGACTCGTCTCGAGCCATCGCCAGTATTGTCACGCTTATCAGGCGTGAGTTCAACAATGGCCAGGAAAAAGTCGGTGTGACAGATCTGGTGCTCGCGTTGAGTGCACTCGCCTACCTCCAGGGTGCTTGTAGGAAAGAGCTGGACAGCGAGAGGAAGATTCATGGCTTTGAAGAAATCATTTGGGATGTGGTCGTTGTGGATGACGGGTTGCGAATCGACGTGCCAGCAAGGGAGGCTCCGAAAACCCCAGCGACGAGCCCTCCTACAGAGACTGCCCTGCTTGGCGCCGAGGACGAGGATGAGAAGACCTTGGAGCGGCTGAAAGACGAGATCAAGTCCTCACTGAATCCAGGCACCTCAGTCACCATCTCGAGCTCGGTGTCCACTACGCAGACCATCACTCTGGATGTGCGCGGTCCTCAGAACGTCGCTCTGCCAACAGTTGCTGGCGCTGAAATTGTAGAGGCGACCAAGGCGAATGGAAACGGACCACACAGCACGGATACGTCGTATCGAGTGGTCTACAAGATCCAGCGGAACAAACTTAGGCAAACGGAACTGGAGCACAAGGACGATGGGATTGTCGCCAGCCCAGCCCAAGTCATTGAACTGGACGACGCTGGGCCTCCAAGTCCGGCCCTCTCTGTGAGCACAACGGAGGGCAGCGAGCCGCGTTCCCCCACAGCCCTCAGATCGCCAGCGGCTGAGCGAGAATCACTGGCCCTGCCCAAGCCAAGAAGTAAAGTCAGTCGAGATCTGACGCGGCCAACGCAAGCAAGCGCGCGACGAAGCTCGCCTACCATCGAGCATGTGCAACGCCGACCCTCGTCACCACAGTTGGCTGGCCAGCCGAACGAAGCAGCAAATCAGAAAAAGACTAGGATACCTTTGAGCAAGCCTGTTACGCGTGCGACGTCCGAGACATCATCAGCCGCTGGAAAGCACAAAAAGAAGGCGCTGCCATCTCCTCCAAAGGACGCCGACAAGAGACCCGGGTTCAAACAAGTACTCAGAGGCGGCAGTCAGTCAATATCCAGCATCTGGAATCGTGAGACATCGACAGCCTCCAACCAAGCCAGTGCATCACGCCCTCAGTGGAAGAGTGTTGGGGCCAACGTGCGAGGGTCGTCCGCTAAACTCCAACCGCCGCCGTTCCCACGTAACTATCGACCTTCTGAGCAGCGACCGGCCTCACGCAGCGGTCACGACATAGACCCGGAGCTGATCCAGCGAAGTTCGTCGCGGGCCAGCTATGTCTCTGTCCATGAGCGTCGTCGCGACTCCATGGTATCACAGACCGATTCCTACTCAGTACACGCTGGAGGAGACTTGAGGCCCGCCTCACCGTCGATATTGAGGACGGAAGTGCGTGGTGGCGAGACGATATCAAGGCAATCCAACGATCACCCGCCATCGTCCACCTCACCGCCGAGGACGCACCACAGACGCAACGGCTCCCACGTGCCGAGCCTGTATAGCCTTGCGGCGAGCGACTCGCAGTCGTCTCTTGTTCTCTCGTCGTACTTTCAGAAAAGTGCCTACCGAAGTACGGACGCGATGCGGACTCTTCGTCAAGCCGGCGCCGTCGAAGGCACCTTTCCCTCGACACATCTGCTCCGCAACATCTCCCGCTACATGCGCTTCTCCTCTGCATCGTACGGGTCCAACTTTCTCAAACTACTCGGCATCTCCAATGACATGCCTAGTCTGCAAAAGGGAGACGAGCCACACGACGACATTCGCCATTTTCTGCATCACACTGATTCGGGCATGGGCAATGTGCTCTTGGCCTCGTTTGTGGATGCAGGCGGTGGCAGCGACGGTCAAGGGCACACAGCTTCCGGCATGCCTCTGGTCCACTACATCTCGCTAGACCACGAGGCGAAAGCCGTCGTGTTGGCTTGCCGCGGGACACTTGGATTTGAAGACATCCTCGCAGATCTGACGTGCGACTACGATCAGCTCCAGTGGAGAGGACGATCGCACCGAGTGCACAAGGGTGTGCTTGCGTCGGCGCGCAGAATCCTGTACGGCTACGACGGGCGAGTTCTCGTCACCCTCCAGGAAGCGCTGAAGGAGTTCCCCGAGTACGGACTTGTGCTGTGTGGTCATTCCCTCGGCGGTGCCGTGACTTCGCTGCTTGGTGTCATGCTGTCCGAGCCGAACCCGCATGGTACGGGGTTTGTGACTACCACCACGGCGCAGGCCAGATACATGTCTGGCAATCCTGTCGACGATAAGCTCAAGCTTCCGACGGGAAGACCGATCCATGTTTTCGCGTACGGTCCACCGGGAGCCATGTCTGCCACTCTTAGCAAGTTGACCAAGGGGCTCATCACGACCGTCGTGCATGGATCAGACGTTGTTCCTCACCTCTCCCTCGGACTGCTGCATGATTTCCAGGCCATGGCTGTGGCCTTTAAGAAGGGGGACAATACGGCCAAGACAGATATACGCCAACGCATCTGGCAAGCATTCCAGACCAATGTCACAGGCAGACTCTACAACACCCCGGTCCCGCTGGAGGTGCCAGACACCGATCTCTTCCCGGCCCTACAGGCCCTTCGGGCAACGCTTTCTCACGAGAAGCTCCTACCGCCGGGTGAGGTGTTTGCCCTCGAGACGCAGCGCGTTCTTCGCCGTGACGCATTTCTTGTGCCTCAGGAGAACGATTTTGGCCAGCCGGCCAGGCGGATGGTGTTGACCTATGTGAAAAACGTGGAGGCTCGGTTTGGCGAGGTGAGGTTCGGAACTGGCATGTTGATCGACCACTCGCCCAAGAAGTATGAAGATGCTTTGGAAAGATTGAGGCGGGGCGTGGTCGAGTGACGCCCCCCCCTTTTGATAGATACTCGTAAACGTAGATACCCCTTTAGCATACTGAACTTCATTTTGTTACGCAACACTGGGTCGCGGAACTAAACCGTGAGATTTATCCAACACACTTGCTACTACGTAGCTACGCGCAAGTACGTATGTCCTGCGGATACGTACGCCACTTCTTGAATTAACCGACGATCCATTTTATCATGCCGCCATGCGTCGTCCAACATTGGCATCGCCATCGTGAAGCGGGTGGGTGGGGTTCACACATGCAATTCAGCCTAAACGCTGAGCGGGACAGTAAGTGAGCAACCCAAAGGCAGTGGGGTCTTGACGAACGCCTACGTCCTCTCGGACGATATATAATGCTCAGTCTCGGCTCGTCACGTCTCGGTTGAAGCAGGACGCGTTGCCCCTTCATACATCCATCTGCCCATACAATACCGTCATCATGCCGCCCCTCATCACCTCCATCTACACAGCTGATCCCTCAGCCCACGTCTTCAATGACAAGATCTACATCTACCCGTCTCACGACCGCGAGACGGACATTGCCTTCAACGACAATGGCGACCAGTATGACATGGCCGACTACCATGTCTTCTCCACGTCGGACCTGAAGGAGGTGACTGACCACGGCGTCGTGCTCAAGACAGAGGACGTGCCGTGGGCGAGCAAGCAGCTCTGGGCACCCGACGCTGCGCACAAGAATGGGAAATACTACCTCTACTTCCCGGCACGAGACAAGGAAGGTATCTTCCGGATTGGCGTTGCTGTTGGTGACAAGCCCGAGGGCCCATTCACCGCCGACCCAGAGCCCATCAAGGGCAGCTACTCCATCGACCCGGCAAGTTTCGTCGACGACGATGGCCAGGCCTACCTCTACTTTGGTGGACTCTGGGGTGGCCAGCTCCAATGCTACCAAAAGGGCGACGACCAGTACGACCCCGAGTGGCAAGGACCCAAGGAGGTCTCTGGCGAGGGCGTCGCAGCACAGGGCCCTCGCGCCGCCAAGCTGACAGACGACATGCACCAATTCCAGTCGCCGGCCCAGGAGCTGCTCATCCTGGACCCGGAGACCAAAAAGCCAATTCTCGGCGACGACCACGCGCGCCGCTTCTTTGAAGCCGCGTGGATGCACAAGCACAATGGCAAGTACTACTTCTCCTACTCGACGGGCGACACCCACTTCCTCTGCTACGCCGTGGGCGACTCACCCATGGGACCGTTCACGTATGGCGGCAAGATCCTGGAGCCCGTGCTGGGCTGGACGACGCACCACTCGATTGTCGAGTACAAGGGCAAGACGTACCTCTTCTTCCACGACTGTGAGCTGAGCGGGGGCGTGGACCACCTCAGAAGCGTCAAGGCCAAGGAGATCTTCTATGACGACAAGGGCGGGATCATTACGACGACGGCAGATTAAAGTTGATTCGTGAATAAAGTGGTCATCCATCCAAGAATATGTCGTATGTTGTGTGAATGATGATTGTAGCTTGGAGTGGGCGATGTTGTAGGACAGACAGTAGGAGGCAGATGGAAGGGGAAAAAGATGAACAAGCGGCCAGTGAGTGGGTCGACGTCATAATAGCACGCAACACGCGACGGGTGAATTTACATCAGATAAGTACTATTGCCGCGACTACAACTTTTTGATTGCCAATCTACAGAAGCGAGGTATTGTCTGGACCCTGAGAACCATGAACTCTCGCGCAGATTCCAGTCTGGAACGACCACTGCCCCGACCGCCGAGGTCACCAGCCCACGCTCAACGGATACGCAGCCAAAACCGACGGCGACAGTATCTACATCGTCACCCATCGTATTACAGCTCACTTGACCATGAGCTAACCAGTCTGTCATGTCTACTCTGTGTTTCTGTTCCAAGATAGAAATTGACATGCCCCTCAGATCCTGTGCTGTATGAGAGACTCGTGAAGCGCTTCCAAACTGCGGCGGAGAGGACGGCAGACGCAAAAGACAAGGGGTATGGGCGCACGTTGGAAGCATCGCTGCTGCGAGGTGAAGATACCCTCGCGGGGCTACGGTCCCAAGAAACAACGGCTACGGACACACCAAGCCAAGGAGCAGTGATGCCGACTGCGCAAAGCAACGCCATGCCAGATAGTGCGTGGGACGCACCAGCGCGCGACAAGGAGCACGGGTCATCGTTGTGGAGGGAGTACCTCGAGGACCGTTTTGTCCGGGGAGGCGACGAGGATTTCGACTATAGCACAGTCGACGCAGATGAGGATCTGGATGTCATGGCGAGAGACGAAGAGGAAGAGCAATGGTACGAGGAAGAGGAGCCGCAATGGGCGCTAGAGGACGACTCTGACTCGCCCAAGAAGGCGCTGTCAGGCCAGACGGGAGTACAGGATTTCTGAGCGCTGAGACAATCCAAGGTTGAAGCTCTCGCGGACGTGAGTGTTCGGCAAGGTGAACCATCGCAGCATACGTGGTGTTTGTAACGTTGCCGACGAATTCATCCAAGCTAAAAAAAAACTCAATTACTCGTACCCGCCAGTGGGCGTGGAAGCTGTCATGGTCGGCTGAATGTGAGGCTGTCTGACAATGTCGCGATCCTTGGCCCCCACCAACGCGGTCGGCGGCGAATGAGACGCGCGGCGACGCGGAAATCCATCTGCGTCAGTGATCCTTGGGGCGGATGGGAGAGCGCGAGAAGGAGGAGAGCATCGATTGACGGGGCGAATGCCCATACTGGTCGAACGGGAAGAAAAGAAAACATCAATGCAGGGCAGCAATAAGACTTGGTATGTCCATTGCATTATTGTCCCTCGGGTTGGTGTGCGTATTGGGCTCAATTGCAAGTCAAAGTCCTCTGCCTTGTTGTTGCGTCCATGTCCAGGCTTGCTGTCCAGGCTTGCTGTGCAGGCAGGGCCTGCAATGAATCGATCAGATCGGGAGCACAAAGACCGGATTCCTCCTCCAGCATCATTTCGTCCGCGCCTTGCTTGACGTTTTCTTGATCGCCTGTCACAATGATGGCTGCCAATCTAGTTCTGATCATCTCCAACATAGTATAATCATTACATCAACCGGTGCCACAGTCTTGGCGGTGCGAGGACGCCCTGAAGCAAGCACCAGCACCAGCACCAGCACCAGCACCACCAGCCGTGAACACTGACGAGCAGCGACGAGCGGACGACTCTCTTCAACATGGCGCCCGACATTGCTACGCGCATCAAGTCCAAACTCCTCAGACGTCGACACTCGTCGTCGGCAGCCCCGTCCCTGATTTCCAGCAGTCGAAGCATCGCATCGTCCACCGACAACCACAGCCTGCTAACGCCCCAGAAGCCGGCTGCGGTGCAGGCGTCGCGCGAGGCCTCGACAGCGTCTGCCGCCAGTCGCACGCAACCGAGCGCGAGTGGGCGCAGTAGCTTTCTCGTGACGAACAAGAGCGATAACTCGAATAAATGCAGTTCCGACAGCTCGAATGCGGACGAGGAGGACAGGGACGAGGATGGCGAAGGCGATGGCCCAGACGCCAAGGACCTGCACAATACCTTGGGCACTAGTGAACCCAATGCTGGCGACCCGCAGCCGGCGGCAACACAACCACAACCACAACTGTCACATGAACCACCATCACCATCGCCATCACAATCACAGTCCCTCCCGCTCCCATCACCACGGCCGCCTCAATCGTCGGCAGGCCGCCTGCAGCGCATTGAAGAGACCTCTCCCACCTCGCCCACCAGCGACCGTGCACACCAGGAGCTCGCCGCTGCCGCCACAGCAGCTTTGAACCGCAGCAAACGGCCAGGCCCTCTCGAACTCGACCCCATCCCCCGCGCCCCAGCATCCTTCATCCAACTCGATCCGCCCTCTCAATTCCCCTCGACTTCGAATACACCCAATACTGCCGCCTACATCCAGCCACCCCCTCTTCCCCGCCGTCAGAGCCTCGTCTCCCATCGCCAGATTGGCATCGCCAAGGCCCTCCTCAACGGGCCCTCGACGCATGACACTGAGGACGCGCACCTCGATCTGGACGCCGTGATGGTGAGCGCCACGCGGAAAATCTGGGTCAAGAGACCGCATGCGTCGCCGACCCTCGTGACTATCAACGAGGACGATCTGGTCGACGATGTGCGGGACATGATCCTCCGGAAATACGCAAACTCATTAGGCCGCTCCTTTGACTCGCCCGACATTGCTCTCCGAATCGCTCCCCGCGACCAGTCACAAAATGAGCGGTTCCTCGGTCCCGAGGAGCACATGGCTCGCATCGTCGACGCCTACTTCCCCGGCGGCCAGACCGTAGACGAGGCCCTGGTGATTGACATACCTCGGAGAACGCCCAAGCCATCGCCGCGACCGGCAGGCTTGTATCCTAGTGAGGATGGGCGTCCGTCGGAAGGAGGTGAAGGCTACTTTCCCCCCGTCAACGGCAGTGCACACTCACCGAATCATCAGTTCGCCGTCCCCGTCCCGGCACCTAACGGCATACCGCACTCGATATCCGTACTAGGGACCGGCCACATCCCGGCTATCCCGTCACCAGGTAGCTCACGGACGGCGCGACAGTATCGCGAACGCGCAGATCGACCTCGTCTCGGCCGTACACACACATCCTCACCCAACGTCCTCTCCGACCCCAACACTGGGGCACCGCCCGTACCGGCAGATTCCTCATCCCACGCGTCGCAACAACACGGCCACCGACCTTCGCACTCGCGGGCACAGTCCAACTCGTCGGAGCAGAAACCAGCGGTGCCTGCTGGGGCAGCACCAACGTCGCCCGTAGCCTCGACGTCGCACGCTCGAGTGGCGACTCCCCCGCCACGCATCTCCTCTCCTCGCCCCTCTGCCAACCGGGTGAAGAAGGTGAAAAAGCCGGCCGAGTTTCCGTCGAACATGCCCGGTATCCTAGGAGGCAGTGTCCCTCCCATCAGCGTCCTCATTGTTGAAGATAATCCTATCAATCTGAAGCTGCTCGAGGCTTTCGTCAAGAAACTCAAGGTGCGATGGCAGACCGCTATGAATGGAAAAGATGCCGTGGATCAGTGGAGGACAGGCGGCTTTCACTTGGTGTTGATGGACATTCAGCTGCCGGTCATGAGTGGCCTGGAGGCGACGCGGGAGATCCGGCGGCTGGAGCGTCTCAACTCCATTGGTGTCTTCTCATCGACATCTTCCTCGTCCGGCAGCCAGCCCGAGGAAGACAAGGAGGAGGTGGCCGATGCCGATCGACTGGAGAACATTGGTCTCTTCAAGAGCCCCGTCATCATCGTGGCCCTGACGGCTAGTTCGTTGCAAAGCGACAGGCATGATGCGCTGGCAGCCGGTTGCAACGATTTCTTGACAAAGGTAAGTCCTGTATCCTCTAGGTATGCGCGTCAGTAGCTAACAACGACAGCCCGTCAACTTTGTTTGGCTCGAGCGCAAGGTTATGGAATGGGGCTGTATGCAAGCTCTCATTGACTTTGACGGCTGGCGCCAGTGGAAGGACTTTTCGCAACCTGTCGAGGAGAAGGGTAAGAACACTTCGACCAAGGCAAAGCCCAGGAAGAAGTCCTCCCTGGCCGTGGAAGCGTGAGAACATGAAAGTAGGAAGGCGGGCATCCAGGGCGCGCCGCGCAGTACATGACATTGGCTCGGAACATACGGGAGGCAGAGCGGAATCCTTTTCCACATGTACACGGCAGATTGTTGTCGTTTGGCGTGGTGTAGCATTGGTAGACAACGGCTTGGGGGGTGTTGTAATGTTAGTTCCGGGCGCGACGGCGAGGCTGCCTTGCTCTCTGTACTTGCAGCATTTGGCGGCTCAAAAGCTGTGGAACACACCCAGAGGTTGAAAATACACACATCAGCCACCTGGCTTGATCTCTTACTTCCAGGCTTCCAGCTTTTGCAATGGCGATGTTTATGGGCACGCCTGGTGATCCTGAGTTGCTGGTCACACGTACCATGGGCATGGAGCTAATAACGCAAGTCTTTCCAACCATTACTCACAACAGCTAGCTCATTCAACCAGCCAAGCCAGAGCCTCAGAACATTGCAATGCTCCGAATACAAAAATATTTTATGGCGCGGATCATAGAGCCAGCTATTTGCTGCTTGAGCCTGGTGGGCCTGCTCATACAAGTACAGCGCGGCGTGCTGTGAGCGCTCGCGGCTGGAACAACTCTCTTCCGAACACCCGAAAAAAACCTGGGAGCTCCAGCCCTCGCGTTGCCAGCCAGCACCAACACCACGTCGCCCGGCCCTGCAACAACCCATCCAACTTCATCGCAGCGGGCACGAGTTCTTGGACCGCCGCATGCAACAATTGAGCGATGCCGCCTAGGGTACCCGGTGCGAGCGGCTCGCTCGCGTCTCTCGACACGGCCCTCCTCGCGTCCTCGTCGTCTACCTCGCAATGTGCGCGACGCACCTTTTCGACAACGCCGGCGACATGCATGTCGCGTCGTCGCTATGAGATGCACAAGTGGCTGAACGAGAACGCAGCCCGGCTCTATGACCAGAGCTCGCCTGGGCCGCGGTACCTCGGTGCCTACAGCGATCAGCCCTTCCCCAACAACTCGCTCTTTCGGAGTCAACCTGTCCTGTCGGACATGCTCAAGGAGGAGATCTACAACAGGATTGTGGTCAAGGGCGACGCCATCAAGAGTGTCAGTCGCGAATTTGGCGTCGACGTGAGGAGAGTGGGCGCCGTTGTCCGGCTGAAGGAGGTGGAGAAGCGCATGATTGCAGAGGTAAGCCTTGCCAGGTTCTTTTCTTTTCTGTTCCTGCTACGTGATGACACAACAAATTTTTCGATTAGTCTTGAAGACTCATACCTGGTTAAAAACATTTTCAAAACCTGACAGCAGCAAATTCTCTCCGATTCTTCTCATCTACCTCGGGTGAGGACGCACCTGCTAACATTGTTCTGCAGGGCAAACCGCTGGCTACCCCCTATGCGCGTGCAATTAACTCCATGCTCCCCCAGACGCGGTTGCCTACACCTGGCTCTGACGAGAAGCCGATTCCCCACGAGTCCATCAACGAGATTCCTGTGCATCGACACACCCGACGCCAGCTCTTTGTCCCCGTGTCTGAGTCACGGCACTTTACCCGTGCCGACGCCGCGCACGCGTTTGACGAGAACCTCCTACCTGTCGACGAGAGATCGTTCCACCAGGAACTCATCACGGCAGAGCGCAAGATTGTCACAGGCGAGCAGGATCGCGGCGAGGCGATGAAGGCGTGGGAGCTGGACGTGCAGGCCACGGAGGAAGCACACGCGGCCAAGGTGGGCGAGCAGCTCGAGAAGGAGAGGAGCCGCGTCAAGAGCTACGAGACGGGGCGGGCGGCGTACCGAATCAAGGATGTCAGCGTGGACGACGCGGGTCGTGACGGCAAGGGCCCCAGGGCGAGTGGCTGGCGGTACGGCGCGCCGCACATGGACCGCAAACGGGGTGCGGTCAAGATTCCGACGTCTGTCCCCTGATTGTCCTGTGCGTACTGCTGAGCGTGTTGTATTATGAGTGTATCACTATACTGTAGGGCGCTGTCATGTCTGATGGTGGCCCTGAATCACTTATGGCCTGGCGTGGCCTGTACAAAGGTTGTTTTTGTATATACATAATGTGTACGCGTGCCAAACTCAGATGCAGGTGATGAGTCCTCAGATGATCAGGGAGTCGCGAATAATATTCGGCTATAGGTACTCAAGGTGAATCTGATGAACAGCTGTCGACATTGGTCTATCATCGTCAACAGCCTCTTTGCCTGGATTATCTGCGCGCGAGTCACGGCTCACGGACAAACACCCCTGTCGATATCGTCCCCCCTTGGTCACGCACCGTATCGGTCCAATCTGCCGAGCGCAGCACTAGGCTACTGGACGCCAAGATCTGCCAACAAACACGCTCTACGTCATCGTGTCTTTTAGACGCCCATCGTCGAATCCAGGAATCACAATCAGGGGGGCCCTCGCCCACATTCCTGCTCTCATGCTGCATGACTGCATCACCGTGTGATCTGCATTTATAACCCCACAGACCCTGCTCTCTATTCTGCATTCGCCTTTTCTAGACTCCAATACGACTAGAGCACACGCGCACAATATTGAAATCACAATCGAGACGTTTCCAAGTGTGGTCCTCCTCACCTGCCAGCACAATCACAATGGGTCTCCCCAGCATGTCCAAGAGCTACCTGTTCTTCACCGTCATTCATGTCTTCCTATTCGCCCTGGCTCTGGCCGTTTGCGGCCTCTATGGCCAAGATCTGAAGAGGGCCATGGACAGCAACGTCGAGGCGGACTCCAAATGGGTGAGCTATGCCTACTCTCCTCGTGAGTGATCGATTTACTGACCGTGTGCGCAAAGATATTCGCTGTCGTCGTCGGCGCGCTCTCAGCTGTGACATGTGTCATCTACTTTATCCCATTCATTCTCCGCGTCGGCGGTATCTTCATTGCTGGCTGGGACTTCATCCTGTTCATTCTCTGGATCGCCGTCTTTGGCGTGTTTGGCAAGGTACGCGTCTCGCTCTGCTGTCATTTTGGAAGGATACAAAGCAGAAGTTAACCACGCCGCAGATGTACATTGGTGAGGACCCCGAGGGTGTCGGCGCCATCCGTCGCATGAAGAATGCGGTCTGGGTCGATCTCGCCAACGCGCTCCTCTGGTTCATCCTGTCCATCGGTATGGCCTTGTACTGGTGGAGGAGCGACCGCCGCTCGAGGTTCACTGGACGCGCGCACGTGTAGGATGATGCGCCACCCGAGGGACGAGCAGACGACGGAGCGGGTGTCGCAATGGGAAGCAGGACGTGAAGGCGTGCGTCGTGTGAGAGAAGCGAGGATGTCTTTGTGGTACGGGGGGCGTTGAGTGAGCAGGGCTTTTGGAGTGATCACTATTAATACCCCAGGATTCGGAGTTCTTTCTCTTCAATACCAATTCAAGTCGTATCAAGCCGGCGTCCGATCAAAGTACTCGTGCACTTGGACCAAGGGCTCCTCGTCCTCGCCGTCGCCGTACGCATCACCCCCATACTCGAGATAGCCGCTCACATAGGGCGGTTCACCAAGAGCCTTGAGCACATCCTCCCTCTCACCAAACACCCACACAGTGTTCATGCCCATGACTGCATGTTGTGCGATGTGGCAGTGCATCATCCACGCGCCGACATTGTCCTCTGTGATGCGAATGCGCCAAGCGCGCCAGCCGGCTGTGGTATGAGGTGCTCCCTCGGTGGTGTATCTGTGCAGAATGGACGTGTCCCGTCGAGCAGGGACATATGTCGAGTTTTGGAACTTAACCTCGTTCATCGCAGCGTCGTATGTTCCGTTGCCCCCGCCGAGATCGTACACGTGCTCGCCGTGGACGTGCATGGGGTGGAAGTCGAAGCCACCGGTGGGTCCGCTGTTGCTCTGCCAGACAATGTCAATCACCTCGCCCGGCACGGCGGTGAATGTTCGCGATATAGGGTCAAATCCGTCGTTGAGAAGGGCGCGCGTGTGGTTGGGTGCGTAGTATGGTGACGTGTCGGTGTAGTAGGAGATGAGGTAGGGTGCGTGACCAGGCGATGCCTGGACGTTTTCCTGCCAGGTTTCGTTGTTTTGTCTGTTAATATGGATTAGTCTTGGCCATAACTTGAAGAGAAGAAAACCTTACACCCAAACAACCGGACCCTGCAAAGTGCCGTTGACAAACGCGCCGTGTGTCAGCTCCTGATTCACTTGGATCGTGACTGTTCGGGTCACCTCCTCAAGACGAGGAAAGTTCTCGCGAACTACCGGATTCAGCGGCTGCAGCACATTCTCGAGATAGTCGTTTGTCGTTTCCGGTAGCTCCACGGGCGATTCGTCTGGCAGATCTGGCAGTTCCCCCGTGTCGTTGCACGACTTGTATCGCAACAGGGCATAGCCAGTGATACTAGCCGGGCGCTCACGCGACGCGTACCGGACCCAGAACTGCCGTTTCCCCGCGTCCCTCAGCTCATCCTTTGACTTGGTCCTAAGCAGATAGCTCTGCCGCTGTCCGGGCGCCACTTGGATGTGGTCAATATTCGCTGGCTGTGTGTACTCACCATCTGCCTCGATCACTGTAAGCTCATCATGACCCTCGATGCCAATTTTGACCAGTGAGATAGCGGCACGACCAATGGCACGGATGCGGTACGTCTTATCAGGCTTGACGTCGATGACGTACGGTAGACACGACTCGTCGGTGGCATTGTTGGATGAGGCATTGCCACTCTTGCCGTTGACGAGGACAGCCTGGGGCTCGCCGGACCACTTGAAAGGGTCCGCCAAGAGACCCTTTTCAATCTCGCCGTCTTCAGCTTCGTAAAAGTCCCCTATGCTGAGCAGGATCTCGTCGTCGTAGTCGTAGGGCGCGGGGCCGGCATCGCGGACGATGAGCGCGCCGTGAGCCGTGGATTGCTGGAAGCCAACGTGCGAGTGGTAGAAGTACGTCCCTGCATCGCCAATCTCGGGATGTATCTCGTAGTCGAAGAAGCGACCTGGTGGAATGGGCCACTGCGAGACCAGAGGTGTGCCGTCAGAGAAGGGCGCTGCACGCTGTGCTAACCCGTGCCAGTGCTAATACCACCAAGTCAGCACACATTCTCGTATGCGAGGTGTCCCCTCAAATGCCAATTGTTGCTTGGGCAGCTAGGGTGCTGGCTTACCAGGGTGAAATTCTGATCTGGGATGTTGTTGTAGACGCGGATCCAAGTGGTCTGGTTCTCGTGAAGATCCAACGTTGGACCTGGTGACGTCCCATTCACGACGATGGAGCGGCGCGTCTGGCAGTTGATCTGAATGTCCTGCTCCGTCGCGAACAGCGTGTAGTCTGGCGTGAAGTGCTCGTGGTCGTGGACGACAGCAGCTGCCGTCGCTGCGAACAGTAGAGCAGCCCTTGGTGGCACCATGGCGACAGACTTGAATCAATCTCGACGTAGCTGCACATTCCGTCCCTGAGAGTCCCTGGGGGGAGCAGCGGATTTTGTACGGCACAGCCATTCCTCAGTATGCGGCTGTCCGCGCGAACCGGGTGATCGACTGATCGTCATTTCATGTGGCACGGGGCCGTGCAAAGGCGCAGGCACTGACGTTTGGGGGAGAATAGAGGATGACGACGCATGATATGGTCGCAGTGGTTGGCCGGAGATGAAAGTAAGCGAAAGTAAGTAGCGGCCTGCAGACTGCCGAAGGATTGTTTGGGCTCTTGCGCTCGGCTCTTCAGCGCATGCAGACAGTAGGATAGAGTGACTGGAATTGTTATTTGTTTCATGTTTGCATTGGGCGCCCGTTAACGCTGTATTTATACGACCTACCCTAGACAAGTGCGGAGGAGCTTTCTATCATTCAATCAAATCACAGGGATGCCACGTCTTAATCAAGGAGGGAGATATCTGTTGGGATAGAGATGCGGTACAGATCTGCGCGAATATCATACAAGCTACTGTGACTGTCAGCAGGTCGCGACTGTTGGTGCTGTTCGATGCAGTTCAGCTTTTGAAACCTCCACCTCGAAACGGAGATTGATGAAGCAACCATGCCGATAATAACAACTCCCGTTGTTCAACCCCGCAACCCCAATCTCAACCAGTGGTTCAAAGGTCATATATACTCATTATATACTGAACCACCGTGTCCTGCAACTACGCTCCAGCAGCAGCATCGGTCAGCCCAATAATCGATCAGGTGTGATTTGATGTCAATCGTTGCCACTCGCCTCTTCCACTTAGAAGCCACCAATCTAGTATTAGATGATGGAGTGCTATACTACTGTAATTAGCGCTATGAGCAAGCTCTGCCACATTAACACATTGTAGTGGAGGAATCATCGCAGGTAATTCCCCAATCTTATGGTGTTGCTGTTTGGGCCGAGCGTGTACAATAATAATTGGTTCAACCACCACGCCTTTTCTTCTGCTCGTACAACACATATATTTTATAAACCGCGAGAGCACACATGATTCTAGAGACCATTGCTCAAGGGAAAGATTCTAATTGAATTATGATTAGCATGGCCATGTTTGTATTATTAAATAATTTGTAGTACTGTCCCGATCTTAATGTTGTCACTTGGGCGCCAAGGGACACTTGTAGACTTGGCTTCATGCACATGGACCCTTGCCAAGCACCGACTACTACACTTTGAGCCGGCGCTCTCGGTTGTAAGACAGGGAAGAGCACGTCAATGGTTTCTCTTCTATGGGAAAAGTGGCCTTTAGAAGGTTCGTATCGTTGTCGCATTGTGGCCTTCCTTGATCCATGAAGTTATTGGGGCTGCACAGTGACCTGGTATTATCTCGAGACGCCCCTGGGACATCGACTCTGACGAGTAATTGATGAGAGCCCCAGCAGGTGCCGTCACACAGCAGCAACGCGGCCAAACGAGTCTGCGTCAATCCAATAGGAACAGCCGAAGAAAAGCTTCCAAGAATCGACAATGAGCACGCTCTACGGCTCCGTAGACTCTCGCTTTACTCTAGCGGATCACGGATAGCGGCCGAATCCGAACCTCAGAGGCTCAGACAGAACAACTGCAAGCTACTAGCGAAAGTCCGAGCAGGCTTCATGTTGCTGCGCCAAACCGCCCTGGGGGCTGGCCGGGAGAGCCTGTGAGCCAATCATTTGACCACGAGGGCGGCATCACGCGCAAAGTGCCGACACGGAAAGTCGGCACCGCAGCAGCCACACGGTCACACCACGGAAAACACCTCGGCGACTTGACGACTGGAGCGCCATCATCAAAAGTTCTTGGTTGTGCTGGATGCTCCACTGTGTGTGTTTGCTGACTTTCCAAACAGGGAGTCCTGTCGCGTGCTCTTTTCTACATATACCATCTCAAGCACGGCATCGCTATGAAGCAGCGCATCGACAATCGACCTATTAATGCTGCATTGGACGCTGCTTTTTAGCAAACATGAAGTTACCTACGACGTGCGGATTGGCGAACCACAAGCGCGGACTGGTCAACGTGGTAACCTTAAATTCAACTCTGAGAGCCTAAGGGGGTGATTGTCCAACCACAGGGCCGTCCGACTGGCAAGCTTAACATTAAAGATGCCTTGATATCCGAGAGATCAATCCCATTTCCACGACAAAAAGCTCAGAAAATCAGCTTCTGTGTCTGCACGGCACTGGATCGCCGAATTACGGGGTCGTTCTGCCGGGTATTTCGGCCAAGTCAGGGCCCAGGCACACGGGCAGACAGATCACAACGCTGCGCTAGGCTTAAGTTAGACCTCGAAGCTTATCCTTGATTCTACTGCGGATGGAATTCTCCAATCAGGCTTCTAGTCCGTGATCGATAGCCGCGATTCCATCCACGTGTGTTCTGAAATGCTTCGAAGAAGCTGGTCTGGACTCTGGAGAGGGAGTTAGTTGGCTCAATACGGCAAACTCTGCCATGGGAAATGACGAGGGCCTTCTCGATCTAGATCGGCACAGCATCTATATGAAGCGGTTGCTCAGCTGCACTCTGCCTGCTCTTGGCTCTCCTTGCTCTGCAGCGGTACACAAAGACAACAGTCTTACTCAACAGTCCGACAACTGACAACGGCCTCTCGAGCACCAGTCAAGACAAGAACAGACGAGACCAGCTCCCTGGTCTCCTACCGCCACCATGGTCATGTCCCAGTTCGACTATGTCTTTGCCATTGGCACCTGTTTCGCACTCCTCGACGCCTACAACAACGGTGCCAGTATGTCTCGAGAACTTCATTTCCGTTTCAGATCCCGCTGACCACGCTCGCAGACGATGTCGCCAACTCGTGGGCCACCAGTGTCTCGTCCCGGTCCATCTCCTACCGCTGGGCCATGCTCTGCGCCTTGGTCTTTGAGTTTCTCGGAGCCGTTACCGTCGGTGCCCGCACCGCCTCCACCATCAAGGATGGCATCATCCCCCTGACTGCCTTCCACGGCAACGCTGGCGTGCAAATGCTCGCCTTTACCTGTGCCCTGGCCGGCGCCTCGTCCTGGGTAATGTTCTGCAGCAAAAACTCCGTCCACGTTTCCTCCAGCTACTCGCTCATCTCCGCCATTGCTGGTGTCGGTGTTGCTGTCGTCGGCGCCGACCAGGTCCAATGGGGCTGGAACGGCGGCAAGGGGCTGGGTGCCATCTTTGCTGGTCTCGGCATGGCACCCGTCATCTCGGGCGGCTTCGGTGCCATCATCTTCATGATGATCAAGCTCGGCGTCCACATTCGCAAGAGTCCTGTCAAGTGGGCCATTTACACCTCCCCCTTCTTCTTCTTCGTGGCGGCCACCGTCTGCACGCTGTCCGTCGTCTACAAGGGCTCCCCCAACCTTGGACTTTCCGACAAGCCTGTGTGGTACATCCTGACAGTCACCTTTGCTTGCGGTGGTGGTGTCGGAGCCCTGGCTGCCATCTTCTTTGTCCCCTTCCTGTGGGTTCGTGTCGTCAGGAAGGACGCTGCCGTTCGTTTCTACATGCTTCCCATGGGTCCTCTCCTGCTCAAGCGTCCCGTTCCCGTCGAGTCTGAGGTACCCACCGTCCCCGACTACGCCGTTATCCAGAAAGAGGACCTCCTCTTCGACGACGACTCGACCGCCTCGCCCAAGCTTCACGACCAGGGCGATGCTCCGGGCGTCTTGAGCAAGCAGCCCGTGGTGGACGAGAAGAATGCGTCCATCGACTCTGAGGGAACCCAAAAGTCTTACAAGGAGCTGCAGGCCGAGGCACGCAAGCGCTTTCACGCCCGCCTCTACCAGCGTCGCGGGCCTCTTGGCTGGGCCATGCGCTTCCTGCGTGACAACCCCATGCACGACGGCGAGTTCTATGAGCTCAAGAACCTCAAGACGGCCGTCATCCGCCTCCCCGCTCTCCTGACCGTCGCCCTGCTGTACGGCGTCAACTACGACATCCACTCTGCCCAGACTGGTATTGCCGGCACGCCCGAGGGCAGGCGCATGGAGCGCGTCTATGCTCAGGCGGAAAAGTACTCCAACGAGGTCGAGCATACCTACTCCTTTGTCCAGATCCTTACTGCCTGCACCGCGTCCTTTGCGCATGGCGCCAACGACATTGGCAACTCTGTTGGCCCCTGGGCTGTCATCTATGCCACCTGGAAGACGGGCGTCGCCGTCGACAAGAAGGCCACCGTGCCCGTGTGGCAGCTTGCCGTCCTCGCTCTGACCCTCTGCGCTGGTCTCGCGACGTATGGGTACAATATCATGAAGGTCATGGGAAACAAGATCACCTACCACTCTCCTAGTCGAGGTAAGCTACACAATCGTTGACTCTCTGCTTCCACAAGTTATTGACGCTGATTCTTCACCTTGCAGGCTGCTCCATGGAGCTTGGCGCCGCCATCACTGTGCTCATCTTCTCTCAATACCATCTCCCCACGTCGACGTCCATGTGTATCACGGGCGCCACCGTCGGCGTCGGTCTTTGCAACGGCAAGATCCGCGCCGTCAACTGGCAGCGTGTCGGCCTCTTGCTCACCGGCTGGATCTTCACCATCCCCATTGCTGGCACCCTCGCGGGCTGCCTCATGGGTCTCGTGATCAATGCCCCTCACTTTTAGACTTTGAGATGGAAAGAAGGGACGGTGATATTGGTCGCGTGGCTAGCATTTTCTAGAGTACTAGAATACAAGCGTAATATCCAGCCCTTGGCAGGCACGCCTATAACACGGAAGGGACCTGCTTCCCCGGGAAAGGGCATGTTGGGGTGATTGTTATTGCATTCAGCACACTCGAGATAGAAACCCTTCTCTTGATTCTTCATCATCGTCAGCTCCCTCTATTGACCCAGGGGCCAGGCCCCAACCACAAGCTTGCCACATCCTGCTTGATGCTTCATGCCCCTTCAGTATTATTTTCACTCAGAACATGACTAAATACGGCAGCGATCAATGGACAATTCACACTCCATACAACAATAAGACCAACTATAACAAAATCAATAACAACAACGACAACAACGACAACAACAACAACAACAACAACAACAACAACAACGACGATGACGACGACGATGGAGGACTCAACGGAAGTCATACAGGTTTCGGCGGTGGTCTGAGCTGTGTTTCTCTGGGGCTGGACTCTAGAGGCTCCAGTAGCCACCAGCATCAGCGACGGCAGCAGCAGCAGCACCGCCAGTCCCGCCAGCGCCAGCGCCAGACGCCGGGCGAATAAATAAAGGGCAAGGGGCTTGGGAAAAGAAACCCCGGGAATATGGTCAATGTCATTGGGTAGCGTGCCAGTGGTAACATTCTTCTCGACGCCTACAAGGCTACAACAGTCAACAACAGTGGCCAGCAACGACATGGCCTTATCAATATCACCCTGGCGCCAAGACTCAAGCAACTATATCCGCGTTTGGGGCCCTAGAATTCCGTCCCTTTTGCTGCATGGGAAGTAATGGACGTTGTCAACTTGGATCGGTGCCTTTGGAACATTCGCAGCTGTTGCGAGTCGGAGAGTGACACTTGCTCGCTCGACATTGAGCGCAAAGAGACTGGCTGGCTGCCTGACAGATATTGGAAAGGTCGAAATGTATCTCTGAAATCCTTTACAAATAGAACTCCAGTGGCGTTTGCATTCATCGCGCACTTTGAGGGAACCTTGTTGTCCATAATAAGCTTCGCGAGGGTGCAAACTCACTCAGAACACCAGAAGAGTCTATGAAGGACTTAAATCAACAGCACCGACTTCGTAAAATTTCTTCTCATTTCTTTTCACGAACAAAAGTTGACTAGAACAGAACGCCAAGAGCTCTTGAATCGATATCCGCCACAGCAATGTCCGCTCACTGTCCTTGGTCTGCCCATGAGGGCTGTTGCCGTGCTCATCCTTCGACGCGAGACCAACCGCCGCAGCCGCCCATTCACCGCATTGAAATACCAGAACAGAAATTGGAGCCCAGTAATGCCGCTTCCAATGGAGGTCAGCCTCCTCCTCCCTATATCGACCCCCGCTCTTCCTATGCCATTACGCCGATTCATCTGGCTGTTGAGCATCATCTTTCCCTCCAACATCTGGATTGTGTCCGTCGTCGCCTTGAGGAAAAGCCAACTCCCCAGTTGGTTCCCGAACTTTCAGCCAAAGGCAGCATTTCACGTTCGGACGGCACACGCATTGAATGGAACAGTTACGTTTACTTCGAAAGGGGTCGTTTCCTACAAAGGCAGCAGACCTTATACCTTAGGAAAGATGGTATGGCAAAACGGAAGGAAAATTTCATCAGCTGCCCTCATCACAGCATCGAGATTGATGGGCCAACATTCGGATTCCAAGATGACCGCTTGACCGCGAAAACCCTGATTGTGAATAACCCGCCACGATGCGAGGTGCATTTTGGAGGTACGGAGTGGAACAGTCTGCACGGCGATTACCTTCAGATGAACGTCTGTCAAATCTGCCACTGTGATGCAGAGTGTATCATTGCGCTAGAGATTGACAACCTCTTTGTTTGGTACACATGCTACAAAGATCTTGGCACGGGCGACGCGAGCAATCCAGACGCAAAGTGGATTGCCCTCCTCACGGGTCGGGGGACTCCATGCAGGGATACGGAGAGCTTCGAACTGTACGCTCGCGTCTGGGGAGCCGCCAAATCTCTCGACCAAAGGGGGCTCGAGGATGTGACGCACCGTAACTCTCGTGGCGTTTTCAATGTCTACAGTCATTGGATGCAAAGTCAAAATACTCAAAACCAGGAGACTACGGATCGAGGTACCTGATGTGAACAGGCCGCAAATCGGAGGAGGTTGGATAGGAGCGGTTACCATGGACCTGGAGGCTGGACCAGGAAGCTGGACCTGGACCTGGCTTTATCTTGGCACGCATGGATGCTACTGTCGATTACTCCGGATCGATTAGGAAGGAGTTGGGTTTTATGCAGTTGGTTCTGTTCAAGTGTGAACGCTGCAGCCAACACGCAGCAAGTCGCACATCACCAACATGAATTCGGACATGTCGCATTCCACGCCACTTTGGCTCGCCACCAACGAGACTCGATGGCACGAACCAACAGCCGTGTTCAAATACCTGGGCTCGACTCTCGTCTCGAGGCTAAAATGTCATTTATTAGCCCCTCTCGCCCACCATGGCTCAAGAAAAGCATCGTGAAACCATGCACTTCTCGCCGGATTTCGTCGTGCGGGCGACTGCGCGCGTGGCGTTCCTGCTCGCCCTTCCCGCCCTTGCTGTGCTGCATCAGTGGGTCGCGCTGCTGCTGGTTGTTGCAGTAGGCTGGTGTGTCAAGGAGTGGGATGAATCGCCATTGCGAGGCATTCCAGGCCCGCCCGTCGCCGCCTGGACTAGGTTTTGGCATATCATACACGTCCTGCGAGGCGATCAGAACACAATCCTTGTGGATCTCCACGAGAAGCATGGTGCGACTTGGTCCCTTGAGCAAGATACGTAGTCTTCTCATTCACTAATGCATACCGAGCAGGTCCGTTCGTCCGCATCGCCCCAGACGAAGTCTGTGTGAGCCATCCAGATGGCGTCAAGAAGATTCTACTGGCGCCACTGGCCAAGGCCTACTGGTACGAGGGCTTGACCATGCCAGACTACAGGTTTCGATCACCCATGTCCTTGACCGACATGAAGCGCAAGAGCGAGCTGGCCAGGTGTTGGTCTGCTGGTTATACGCTGAGCAACAGCCTTCAGAGCGAAGGCGCGATTGATGAGGTGATCAAGGTCTGGCTCGAGAAGCTGGACCAATTCGCCGAGTCGGGAGAGGCGTTTGACCTGGACAAGCATCTGCACTTTGTGGCGTTTGACATGGTCGGCGAGTTCCTCTTCTCAAAGCAATTTGGGTTCGTCAAGGAAGGTCGCGATATTGGCGGCATCATTGGGAATAATATTCCTCTGAGCGCCTTCGCATCGATCTTGGGGTTCAAGCCCATGCGTTGGCTGCATTTCGCAGTGCTGGGCAACCCTGTCGTAACAACCCTCAAGCTGCTGCCGGCGGGCCATGTCTTCGAAACGGCCATGAAGGCGCTCGACAACCGTATGGATAATCCCGACAGTCGCTACGACGCTCTGGCGCACTGGATGCAAGGGGTGGAGAAGAACCCGAGCATAGTCAACAAGCGAGATTTGCAAGCAAACGTGATTAGCGCCGTCGCCGGAGGCAACGACACAGTCTCGTGCGCTCTTCAGGCATTCGTATACTATATGAACCGCCATGCAGACGCCTGGTTTCGCGCGTGGGAAGAGATGGACGCCGCCATGAGCAAAGGGCGTTGTCAGGACCAAGTGGTTAGCTTTGCCGATGCGCAACAGCTCCCGTTCCTACAAGCGTGTATAAAGGAAGCGCTTCGCATCTTCTCGCCCGTGCCAATGGGCTTACCGCGTGAGGTCGGCGAGGGAGGTCTTTCCATCGGCGACCGCTTCTTCCCCAAGGGCACAGTGCTGTCCATCCATCCGTGGGTCATCCACCACAGCAAGCAACTATGGGGAGACGATGCGCAAGTGTTCAACCCAGATCGATGGTTTCAGAGGGACATTGCGTCTCGCGAGAAGTATTTTCTGCCGGTAAGTGCCCTAAGAAATCCGATTCTGTAGACATACTGACTATCCGTCACAGTGGGGACAAGGATCCGCGTCTTGTCCTGGGCAGCATTTCGCACGCATTGAGCTGTATAAAGTGACAGCGACACTTGTGAGGGACTACATTGTCCATCAAGCTGATCCGGCGCAGGGGTGGCGGTGGAAGGCGTACTTTACGGTGGTGCCGCACAGCTGGCCGTGTCGCATTCGGAGACGGGATCAGGCATCGGCGAAGTGATGCAGCATGCTCAATAACAGGTATGGTATGCTTGACAATATCTCCCGCTGCATTCTCAATAACAGATATGGTATGCTTGACAATATTGAGGGCTTGGTGGAGCTGGCTGGAAGACGTGATCATTGTTGATGAATGAGATGAGAGAGGCTTTTTTTCTGCTCTAGAGCTGGCTGGCTCACGTGACTGCACCTCCGTCACAGCCGTAGCGCTACGTCAAAATCGACGTTTCAACTCAAGTCGGGTCTGCATGTGAGCTGAGCTCACGACGACTTGACAGAAGCCAGACTTGTGCACAGTGAATAAGAAGATCCAAATCGCAGGTTTTTCCGCTTGACTTTGTATCTTCTGAGGGCTCCCTCCCAGCAGTGTTTCGTCGAAGAAGAAGTTGCTGTAGGCCCCCGGTCTTCTCGGGTTACACAACGTCTCATCACATGATCACAAGCTCCCACGCTCATCATGTCGCAGCGCATGGGTGAGTTACACACGAGGCTCAACAGTGGTCGGAGGATAATAACGCACTGACAGCTACCCAAGAGAAGCCCATCAACACTCAAGCCGGACGCCAGTATTGGCAAGCGAGCAGCGCTGACGATGATGGTATGCTGGGAGGCGTGCTTTCGCAGCAAGGCTTTTCTTCCGTCTCCCGAATTGATCTGCAAGGCTCCCGAACATTCTTGGCAAGGCTTGGGGTCGGAACCAAGCGTGGTCGCAAGTCACTGGACTGCGTGCTCGAAGGCGGTGCAGGGTAAGCCAAGAAAAACGCTGTGCTCTACTGTAGGCACGTTGATGTTGACAAACCCGTTGGCAGCATCGGAAGGGTGACCAAGGGGCTGCTCCTGAATGTGGCAACGAACGTTGACATTGTGGAGCCTATTGTCAAATTCACAGACCAGATCAAAGGACATGAAGGCGTTCGGCATATCTTCAACGTGGGCCTTGAAGAATGGGAACCTCCTGCGGATGTCAAGTACGACTTGATCTGGATGCAATGGTGCCTCAGCCAACTCACAGATGCGCAAGTAGTCAAATACTTGGACACTTGCAAGAGAATAGTCACTTCACCGTCGACCTTGGTCGTTGTCAAGGAGAATCTCAGTACAAGTGATGAGGATATCTTCCACGAAGAGGATAACAGTGTCACAAGGTATGTGCAGTCCTCTTAACAATGATGCAGAGACTGAGTAGGACATGCAGAACGGACGCGAAATGGCGTCAAATCTTCACAGAAGCGGACATGGTCATTGTCAGCACAGAGCTGCAAAGAGGGTTCCCCGAGAGTGGGGGCCAAGCGCTGCTTCCTGTGCGAATGTATGCGTTGAGGGCAAAGCAGTCCAATCTCTGATTCACTCGTTGGGGAGATTTTGAGACTGATGAGTGACTGCGGAGGTTGTTGCAAACTTGCAAAAGGAATGAGATTGAGAACATCAGATTCCTGTCGATCGCGGAGCTTTCTTTCCGACTCACAATACGACGGCCACAAATTCACAGCTCGAATACTTCGCCCCGTGTTCCGTCTGGGTCATGCGTAATTATCCCGTGCGGCTGCCCAAGACGGCGTGACTTTTGTCACTGACTCTATGTTTCATCGATTGTTATTGGTACAATAAATTTGCCCATGTTGAGGTTCGCTTTTCCGTTGACGCCGCTCGCGCAAATGACGTATCATGCGCGCTTCACTCTTCACGATATATCACTTATCGCGCCAAGACCGCCAGACCCCCCTCACCAGCGAGACGCGCAAAGGGCCGCGACTGAAGGTTGGGCCGCTGCCTTCACTGCGCAAAAGGCTTTGTCCTGGTGAGCCTGCCTATTGCGTGTCCCTTCACCCACGCATACTTGCGTATCAGGCGCAAGAGACGACGTAGTGAGCGTCTCTGGCCGGTGTGGTCAAGCGAGATAATGTGACTGGGCGGTGTCTGAGTGAGTTGCCTCTTGGCGAAGGTTTTCCTCCCCCATGCCCACTGTTTTGGCGATAAAGTCAGGTAGCAACAGGGCCCGACGCCGCGCTGTCACCTAATAATATTGCAGCAACAATGAATCTAGTGCAGTCCCTTTCCCGTCCTTGCTTCACCTGTGCATTGGATCTGCCTTTCTCTTGCCTGAGTGGAACAAAGGGCAACAGCGCACGCTGCTGATCTCGCCTCCCCACCATCAACAAGCCCGCCGCCTTGAGCCAGACCGCCCGCTCAACAACAACTGATAACGAACGAGCAAAGTCTCCAGTCAGGTTAGCTTGGCTTCAGATCTCGGTGTGCAAATCCGGATCTCTCCTTCTCACATGCTTTTTCTCTCCCACCACACGTTGTTCCGAGACACTGTGCGACGAAGCAATTTCGCCTTGACGTCTTGGGTGGTCGCACAAATTCCGATTGACGTGCCTAATCCTTTTGGTGGCGCGCGCCTGGTTGCAACCTTTGATAAAGCAATCGCCCACCCACATTGAGACGACATCGAATTTATCCAAATTGCGATACTAACAGCCCTGCGGCCGTATTTCCACCTCGGGGCCGCGCGCGCAGAGCACTGCTGCCAGCCATGTCCAGCTTTTCGCGTTCCGTGAGGTCGCCCTCATACCTCACCTCGTGCGGCTCGTATCGCCGCCCAGCCATGCCAGGACGAACCATTTCCAACTCGTCCGAGCGGTCAATCACCTCGGACGACAATATCGAGGACCGCGCGCACTCGGGCCGCTCGACCCCAACGCCTGGGTACCAGCTGCGACGATATCCAACCTCGAACAGCATGCAGACGCATCAGTCATGGCATTCCAGCGCTTTGCAAGCCCCTATTCTGGTGGCCGAGTCGGCAGCAGCAAGCCGGGGTGAGTGATCTAATCTTCTTGGGTGTTACTTTGTTTGTCCGCGCCCAGACTTGTGCCCCTCCTCGCGCTTGGCACATCCTCGTATCCCTGTCGGATTGCTCATCACACGGGGGGCTACGCATCATTGGCGACTTGGCCTCTCGTACTGGCGCTGGATTGCATTCCAGAGACTTGCTGTTCATTCCAGAAGAAGACAAGAGAGGTTCGTCGGGGCCCGGGCCAATGCTGATGTCGAGAGCATCAAAGACAATCAATACTCTGTCCCCGCATTGGACCTTTGCTAGCCCCGATCAACCGGGATCATCGTGGGGTAGCACGACTTGATGGACGCCATGGCGCATGTCACAGGTGCGTTGGCCTATCACGGTCCAAGGCATCCCCTCCTCTTCCTCTCGCCAGTGCGGCCAGTCTCGTGCCTTTGCAACCCGGATCAACATCCCATTATTCCCTTAAATCTCCTAACAACCCGCCCTTTAGCGCCAAGTGTTCCTGGGAACCCACTTGAACCTCGGACTGACCTTTGTCTCGCCAGAAGCCTTCTCCCTCAACAACCACTCTTCTACCAACAGCCGTCCCATTGCAATCGATCTACCAGCAAAGACAAGGAAAATCAACTCGGCTCCCGTGTACACGCCTCCAGAACCTCTTTCCGCCAGAGGTGACTTACCTGGGTAAGCCTCTCCTCGTCCCGATTGACGTCAGACTCGATCACTGACCGCACCAGCGGCTACTTTCCTCTCCACGAAGACCCAGGACGCAGAGTTCATCAACCGCATCCCTTCCAAGCAGCTGGAACAGACCCTTCTCGCACCCTAGCTGCGAGCGAGCCACAACCAATCCATCATCAACACATCAATCCTTCCAAGATGAGCGCGACAGACATTCCAATCGCCTCCTACTTCCCCTCGGGATACCACGACAACCCGCTACCCATGGGAAAATACTATCCGTCCAACTACGAACGGTCAACGAGTCATACCAGAAGAAATTTGTCAGCAACACCGTCATCGCCAGCCGATGCTCGATCGCCCGGCTTTTCCGGCCTAGACGGCCCCACCAGCCCGTCGTCACCCTATCGCTCGTCGGGCTTGGAGCCGGAAGCCAGGCGCCAGCTACAACTCAAGCAGTACCAGCGCGATATGATGGCGCAGGCCACTCGGGCTGCGAGCGAGGTCACGAGCAGGAGCGCAGAAGGACAAGGAGCGGGAAAGGTCCAGCCGAACGCTCCTCGGTTCGGTACGCTCACCTCACCTGGCATTCCCACAGTAGAGATGCGGTTCGCGCCGCACAAGCCTACCTCGCCGCGCCTGCAACCTCTGGGTAGCCCAGGCCCTGTCACACCCATGGAGCTCGAGTCATCTGGGAGCAGCTACCTCGAAAAAGGCAAAGACCAGGGCCAGCGGACAAGCCAAGGTCTCGCACCGCCATCAAGCGCATTTCATTAGAGGCCAACGCAAAGCCATGATGGTGCTCGACCCCGATTGAGGGTCTGAGACAAATTGGACCCTCAATTGTGCCGGGCTGGAAGTTGGGAACTTGCTGCGCGGCATCCCTAGCGTCGGAAGGGCACGATGACGACATTGTTCGTTTCGCGGGGCCGCCAAAATCCCAGAGACACGGAGATACGAGATACTTTGCATCACCATGGCTTGGCATTGGAAATTTCTTTCACTCATTGTTCATCGAAGAGGCCTGGCATGCATGTGCAGGCCTCTTCCCGGAGTACAGGCATCGTTTTGGGGGCATCGGAACATGGCACAGCGTGTTGCATCATTTTGAGGGTACCTTACTGATACCTGGAAGACCTCTGCAACAGAGGCGTCACAGCATTCGCAATTACATTCATATTTATCAAGATCTGTGCTCGCAGCGCCGTGACATGACACTGAGGAACTCGTGCCAGCTTTGCCTTTTACTAATGCGACTCATATTGGGGCTCACTGCATGTACCACCGTACTCGCTCGACAAAGTTGCTGCCAGACCCACGTGATTTGGCGCACGGAAGGCGCACCCCACCACGTCGCGCGTCGACCTCTTTACGCGTCTCCCGCATGTTTAGGCACCAGCTGTGAGGTCTACGCGGCCACGAAAGAGAGAGACCAAGGGACGATGGCGATGGTTGCCCAGCATGTCGTATCCAGTCCACCGCCCAGTAGCTCCGACAACGACAACCTCCTCGATTGTCGAATACATCTGCCTCTACACACACGATCTTAAGCGCAAAACGAAACGATGGCAGGATGGCAAGCTCAAATTCCACGCCTTCAACAACCGGATAATGGTCTACGACGATCGAGGCGGCAACGTGGGCGACGCACATTTGTCCTCCTATCAGACCTTGGACGAGGGGGAGGAAATCAATCTCGATCGAGGCGGGGCCATTGTGCAGGTCTGTAAAAGGCTCGGGGCGGTGGAAGTTGACCTCGGGGAGCTGGTAGACAAACGAGCCCGCGAGGTCGAGAAGAGGAGGAAAGAAGCTGCGACAAAAGCGCCGGCTGCCTCAAGGGCCCCCCAGCAGACACCGGGGACTGAGCGATCAAGTGGTGCCAATGTGCACTTTCAGCTGCTTCAGCGGCCACTGGGCGAGATTATGCAAACACCTGGTCGCATCGGGCGAGCGAATATCCCGAAAGAATCACCGTTTGAGCAGAGACTACAACGCGAGCGAGAGGAAGCGCCGCCGGCGGCAAAGAGGAGGAGGAGAAGCCCGAGTCCACCGAGCAAATCGAGCCATGCGAGATCGCTGTTCGGCACATCTTTGACGCTTTCGGCACGGCCGGTTAGTACGTGGAGTGGTCGTAGACGCAGCCTTGCGGGCAAGACAAATAACGAGCCGGTCGAGATAGAGGATGACGAGGACGGCATTGCTGATGAGGCGCGCGAGAGATCGCGGCAAAAGGAAGTCCGGAAGCTTAAGGACCAACCAAGCGAACCCCCGGCACCCATTTCCCGAGAGCAAGGGGCAGCAAAGTCCTCGAAGTCGACCGAAGCGCAGCCACCCACGAAGGTGGTCGACGTTGATGGCTCTGCGGAGGCGCATGGCCAAGATCTTATACCGAAACCCAGGCGGAAAGCTCCGAAGCTCACACCTGCTATACCTAAGCCTGCTGCAGAGGAGAAGGAACCCAGCAAGCCTGCAGTCACAGTCAAAGAAAAGCATCAAGTTGCTGCGGGCCGGATTGAGGATCAGTCGGCGGAAGAGCAGCTCGCAAAACCCGATCCCCAGCCTCGGACTGAGCTTCGCATCAAGTCGAGGAAAAGAAGAGGCTTGCTCATGCTTTCTGATTACAACGATAATGCAAAGCCCCACGATCATCCCATAGACGAGGTCAAGGCCAAGACTCGTCCATCAGAGGTTAGAGATACCAACGCCTCACTGAAGACAGCTTCCAAATCGAATGAGGGCATAGAGGTCGAGGGGGTTGAGAATATTGAGGCAGCTGAAGAACTGCCCGCTGATCACCATACAGTAGACGTGGACGCCGTTGTCGATTCCGGCGACGCTGCAAGTCACTCATCCAATAAGATAAGGGAGGCCACGCCTGACGAAAATCATGGCGGCTTTGAGCAGTGGCTATCTAAGGCGCAGTCTGCAGAAGCCGAGGAAGAATCTGATGGAGATCAGGGACTCTCTTTCAGCCACAAGCCGATTGACAGAGACGTCACAGTGTCGCCCGTGAGAACGCCCACAGAACCCCAAGCTGGATCACCCCTACTTGTCCAGGCGCCCGACCCTGAGCCTCGGTCCCCGAACCACAAGACTCGCAATGATACCAGCAAAGACTGGCCAGCCAAGCGCAGAAATCCATACAGCATGGTGAGCGAGAGCGAAACCGACGCGCCAACTACGCGCAAGCGGCCACAGCGCTCAAAAACCAAAGTCACAGCCGAAGAAAGCAAGGCCAAGCCCTCTGACTTGCCGAGTGACGACTCCCAGACTGAGGATGACTGGGTGGGTCCGCCCCCTGCGCCTTTGCGAAGCAAACAATCGCGACCCAAGGAAGTCACACGAGGCAGCACAACGACGACCAAAGTCCGCGTCTCTCGCGTGAGCAAAAGCTCAAAAAGCAAGGAGCTCATTGGTTTCAAGTTGCCGGACAACTTGCACTCAATCCCGGATGCCTTGGCTTGTGCAGCTACCCGGATAGGATGCACCTCGAAGCAAACGAGTGTGCCACACAGCTTCAGTACGGCAGCAGACGCCCTCGCGGCAAAGGACACTGGCAAGGACCAGCCGGCTGCCGATTCTCATGGTGACGATTCTATTGATGCTGCCGATGGTGTCTCGGGCGACGACCCACCAAAGGCTGCAGGCACACTTCGTCTCGCTAATCCTGCGACGCGTGGTCGGAAAGCGGCCACGAAGAACGATGCGGTGGGCAGACCACCCCAGGTGCTGGTGCCTTATGAGCCCGTTGTCGCGGGTCCGCCGCCACGGTTACAAAGAGCTGCGAGGCCACCAGTGACCAAGATGAACACAGAAGCCGTGGCGTCTTCCACCTCCAAGACGATAGCTGGCGAAAGGCCAGGATTTTCGAAAGCGAATGGCGGAGCCTGGAGCCATCATGCCACGGACTTGCTAGGCATGGAGCGGCCAAAGGGTAGACAACGTGCATGAATGAGATGAGATATGAAACACTATTTGCTCGAATAGTCTGTGTGTGTTTTGCATGCGTGTGGGCGCAATGAATTTGTGGTGGTGCTGAGTTCATTTCAAGCATATGCGTTCCGTCCAAGTCGTGGACATCCGACACAAATGAGGTCAACGTTTACACCACCATATACTACCATGAATCGTCCGCAAGATGAGGCCGCGATTGAAAAATTGCTAGCTATTTAAAATGTAATACTTTACTTTCTCATCGGCTGGAAAGGCGCAGGGGCGAGAGCCTGGTCAGACAGCAAGGCTCATTCAAATCTTCCGGGTAAGCATTTTGGAATTTCCCCAGATGTGGATGGGTGTCGCTGGCAACAATGCCAGTGATCTGGACCCGACACTCCATGTTCTGTCCCTCATTGCTCAGAGGTTAGCAGAGTGCCGAATGGAGTCAGAATCTTGGCAAGAGTATATAAAGTCACCGTCCCCCGCTGGAACTTGTCCTAGAGTATCGTCGGCCAGGCGTCGTATGGCCACGAAGGTCGAGAGCAAGACCTCCTCGACTGCGGTAAAGCAGCAGTGTGATCCCCAGCGTTGGACCCAACGGGTATTCAGTACTTGTGATGCCCTCATGTCTGCCTAGGATACACAAGTATTGACTAACAGCTGTTGCTGGACAGACCTTTGGTGCTGCTTTACCACAGTTGACGCACCAGCTGAGATTCGGAACCTGGGGATGGCGGGGCCGTGTCTTTCGGCGTTGACTCACATTTGCATTTGACTAGGAATTGGCCAATCAAGGGACCTGTGGCTCTCGCCGAAGCTGGGGCTCTTCCCGTGCATCAAGAACCACAAAAGAGCCAATAGGAGCCCTGCAGTGGTGTCTGGTGTGGATATTGACGTGCTCTGATTGGCCGACTCGTCATACTTTGTCTGTGACGCTAGACCACTTTGAGCACGCCGAAAGACTCAACACTCCAAAAGTGCTGCGCCATCTCATGAGGCTTTCTCATCCATCAGCTGTCAGACAGTCAGACTTAAGGAAGAGTCATCCTGTCGCAACCTCAGGCCTGGCTTTCCCTCCTTTTCTCTCGCTTTCCACATCAATTGATCCCGATACGGAGAAACACATCAAAATCACCTCTTTGGTTCTCGACTGGAGCGTCGCAGCTCGGTCCCCCGCCTCATTAACACGACGTTCGCCTCGCGAGGCCAACGCGCAGCGTACGTTGCAGCACTAGATTCGCTGGAGGACGGCCCTCACTCACACGGTAGCAGGCGCCCACCTTGATCAAAATTCAGACGTTCAAAGAAAACAGACCATTCTCCACGTGCAACAACGAAATGACGTTCACGCATAATCTTCCCCAGGGCTTCACCGTCTTCCAGACGCAATTGGGCGCTCCTTTGCAGTTCATCCCCGCCCTCGGCACCCAGGAGCTCGACGACATGGTCAGCATGTACGTCCCCGGCAGCGCGCCTCTGAGCGACAAGCGCGCCACCATCTCCGTCGACTTCCTCGAGTATGCGCAGGTCACTGGACAGGCCTTCAAGTTCTACGTCGTCCCCGGCTACGTCGCTACCTCGCCTGCCGAGTCCCCCACCACCGCCTCGCTGTCGGCCTCCTCCATCAACGCCAGCCCCGTGACATCGAACTGGGACTGGAGCTCGGTGACCGGCGGTCCTTCGCGTCCCGCCGTCGCATCCCGCAAGGCGTCCAGCTCGGCCAGTTCGCGCCGCCCTGCCGCGACGACCAGCGACTTTTCGCACCTCCCTGGGATGAAGATCCTCACCAAGGACGGTCTGGATGTGACCAACGACGCGGCTCGCGGATCCAAGACCAAGGAGCAGCGCGACCACGCTCACCTGATGCGCGTCATCAAGGCTTGCGACAGCTGCCGACGCAAGAAGGTTCGTTGCGACCCCAGCCACAAGAAGCGCGCCGCCACGACCGCTTCGCCGTCGCAGCAGCCTGTCGTCTCGGGACGGGTCGCCAAGAAGGCTCGCATCAGCCAGGAGAAGACAGTTGCCCCCGCCGCAACAACCACGCCCTCGACCACCCCTTCGTCCGATATGCTGGCCGCATCATCATTCGACACTGAGCTGGACTGGGATGCCTTCCTCAACATTCCTGAGGCCGATGGCACCTTGGACATGACTGCTACTGGCGATGAGTTCTGGAACGACCTGAGTATTCCTCACCCCGGCGGCGAGGAAGGCTACAACTTCTTCCATAACCCTCAAGATGTGCTGTCACAATCCGTGTTTGGGCAAGACGCCTTTGCGACATCTACTACCAGCTCCTTGTCGGCACTGGGCGATTCGCTGTCCTCTATCCTCTCGACATCGAGTAGCGACCAGAGCCCCTCGCTCGACGTGGTGGAACAATGGTGGTCACCGGCATCGATAGAAGGTGATCTGGGCAGTAACGGCGAGTTACAGCTCGCGACCTCGCCCGGCCTCGCCGACGAGGAGACCTTCACCGCCCCTGCTCCCATGGCTGGGTCGTTGGTTAGTCTGAATGTGTGGTCACCCGACCCTGGCTGTGCACCACTGTCGTCACCACTGCCCGCGCCACTACCCGCACCATCGCAGACCATCCTGGGCGATAGCTCTGGCCGCTCCGGCGGCCTGTTGTATTACGCAGCTATGGCAATGATGAGTGCTACGAGCAGCAGCAGCAGCAGCAACAGGAAGCAGTTAAGGTCCCATGGCCGCGTGGCGCATGGCGCTTTGTCTGGGTCCCTGAAGACTAGCCTCGCTGCGGTCGTGCCGATTGTGGCAATGTCCTTTGTTGCAGCGACGTCTTGGTTGACCTAGTGCAGCCCGTCTGGCGATGCGTGGTGGTTCTTGAGCGTTAGCGGGATTTGAGCGTTCTTTGCATTTTGACAGCATTCTAATACAACAGCAGCCCGAGCAGTGGCTTGCTATTCTACCACACTACTATGAGTTACCAGTGCTTAATGTGTCCAATTATTTGTCTCCAAGTTACCTCTGTCGCCTTAAACCGTTGCCTTGTCGTGTAACCACAAGCCATGTTCGCTGGTCATGTGACCCCGCAAACGGCATCTTAGAATTTTCAACAAGAAAGTATTTTGCCATGATCCGCATCAAGTACATTGTCAAATACCACAATACTCCCGGCGGCAAAGAACAATTGATTGATGGGTTCGTAAGGCCTGAGCTATTGTCGCGCACGGCTGAATTTGCACCTGACCAGTGTTGGACGCACAGAGTCACAGCTGCTCACGGTACCACGTCAAAGAGACCAGAGGTGCAGCAGGCCGTCATTCCTTGCTGCCCACGTTGCATCTGGGCAGCAAACAGAGTCGCATTCTCTTTCTCTCAGTGTCTACTGCCAAACCTCGTCATCAATCAAGCCTTGTCTAGCGGAATTCCCCAGTATTTGCTGATACATCGATTGCGATATACGGTATTTGTCTACGGGTTGGACTCGAGTGGCCCGCTCGAGTTCTGGGCTGTCAAAGCGGGAGAAGCGTGAACGAGGCAAATAAGTCTGCGACCCATTGATTGTCGCGATTCCGAGGTTCAGGCCCCGGACTTGTTGCCGATTCCGTATCGCAGGCCATCAGGTACTGAATCTGGGGTTGAGTCTTTCCTCTCTCCGTAGCAGACGGCTTGCACAGCACGCTAGGGCTCAAACACCCGCTGCTGCGCTCTTGCAGCTTGTCAAGATGAAAACAATTTCGTTGGCAGGTGCCAAGCGGGCGGGCGAGGCAACCAACAAGGCTTTGCGCAAGCTCTTCGGCCGCCAGAATTCATCAAAGGAAGGAGCAGCTTCAGCTGAGGGGGAACAGTCCGGGTCAGAGCTCACCCAGGACTCACCTCAGCCTGACAAGCAACTCGTACGGGATCACAACGACGATACCGGTATCAGCAGCAGCGCCCAGCTGGCCAGGGACGTGAAACCAGACGAAACCGATGACACAATGAGGGTCAATCAGAAACCTCTTCCTCCCATCGCAACGCCCGACTTGCGGCAACTGCAGAACAAGATGGCGGCATCACAGCAGAAGCCTACGCCTGTTGGCAAGGAGAATCAACCACCTGCTGCTGCGTCTGTCGTCAGCAAAGAATCCCAACCACCCGCACAGCTCATTGAAGATCTCATCGATCACACCAAGCGCCTTGGAGTGACCGAGGTGCAACAGCCCGCCCTCGAAGAGTCCAAGCCCGAGGAACCAGCCCTTCGGCCGCTGACACCCGATGAGCTGCTGTCAGAAGAGGAGAGGGCGTACCGAGCGGATAGAAGGAAGCATCTCGTGTTCATCGAGGAGGCGCTCGATATGGTACGTAAAATCTGCCCACTCTTCTGGAAACATTGTCTAACACACCTAGGCCCGGCTCGCCCTCAGGATCAACGAGACGCCCGTAGGCTGCGTGCTTGTTCACAACGGTCGGATCATTGCCCGGGGCATGAACGCGACCAACGTAACCCGCAACGGCACACGACATGCGGAGCTCATGGCACTCAACGCGCTGCTCTCGAGGCCAGGCAAGACCGGTCCGCTCACGACATCACTGAAGCCCAAGGTCGAGCGCAACGACGAAGACAGCGACGACGGCACCTCGACAGCGGCCACACTGCATTACGAGGGTAACGAGGATGGAAAGAAGGGACACTTGTATCCCTATGGCCAGAAGGAGATTCCCGACGAGACCTTTGACCGGAGCATCATCAAGGAGTGCATACTGTATGTTACGGTCGAGCCGTGCGTCATGTGCGCGTCGCTGTTCAGGCAGCTGGGGATCAAGAAGGTGTTTTTTGGTGCCGTGAATGACAAGTTCGGCGGCACTGGTGGTGTGTTCAGCATTCATGCCAACTCGCTCCCCGTTAGAGAAGATGGGCAGACGGCAAGTGCGCACCCGGCACCACCTCCCATGCGTCTACCGGACGGCAAACAAGTACTGGGGCTGTCATTCCCACCTGGTGGTGGGGATGGCGGCAACGTCGAGCCAGGGTACGAGATTGAGGGCGGATGGGGACGCGACGAAGCCGTCGCGCTTTTGAGACGTTTCTATGTGCAGGAGAATGGGCGGGCCCCGGTCCCACGCAAGAAAGAGGGCCGTGCGGCACGTCTGGCAGCTATTGAGGGCGGCGAATTAGACGGTGCCTCCGTCAACTCAGGCTCTGGCGTTGGCGGCAATGGGACAATGGCTGATGAGGACGAGGACGAGCGTGTCTCCGGGTATGGTGTTTCTGGCAAGAATGGATCCATGGAGGACTTGAACTCGCCATCTGGTGATGGCACCGCCCTCGGAGACGCGAGCGCCGGCTGGAAGTAGAGTGTCTGCGCTTGAACTCGCTCAAGGGAGAAGTGGATGGGTTGTACGAATATGGTAGAGGCATAGACGTGGGCGAGGTAGAGACGCCGAGATGGGACCCAGGGACATCCATATCTTGAGCATTGTCAGATCTAATTGAAGCAACGGCCAACATCGGCGTATGTCCTTTCGTTATCAAATGGAGAGGAAGCCAATAATGTCAGTGTCGTTCATTCAGCCCATTTCGTGATCATCGACATCCATAAATGCATGCTGTTGAGCCGCACTCCTGCCTCAAGTCGTGAGTCCTGACCCCTGACCCACCCACACTTGTTCAGGTTGACTGGGCCGTTCTTCAGGCGGCTGCCTGATATCCAACGGCAAGAGCCGACAGTGACCGGCCGAGTAAACATTAGTCCTTCCTCAGTTTCCCAGAAGACTGGAGGCAGCGACGAAGGTAATCGAAGCTTCTACCGGACTGTTGTCTCCGAATTCAGGCTGGAATTGCAAGGGGTTCTGGAGTAGGTAGTACTGCCTACCGAGATAGTCGAGTGGCTGGAAGAAGCCATGTGTTGTCTTTGAACAGCTCAGTTCTCCACGAATAACCAATCGGTCAAGGGCAGGAAGACTCCTCTTAAACTGCTTAATGCCATGACTGATGAGTGTCCAGAGGGTATTCAAGTTTCTTTGGAATCGGAGATGTACTCCTGCCTCACATGGGTTGCCGAGAATATCGAACCTTGCCCTTGCCCAAAGGCTTGATGGCTGCAGTCCCATGTCATTGTCATAATCCTACTGTAGGAAGGTTCATCTAGGCAGCCAAGTTGCCAGGCCCACCATTGACTTCGAGGTTTCTGTTCATATCGTCAGCGAGATTGGGAAATGAAAGCTTTCTTCAGCAGTTGCAGCATCCTTCCTGCTACTCCAGGCGTGCAATTACGCAATGACGATTCTCAGTATAGCAGCTCCTTGCCATCAACCCCCCCGAATTGCGGTATTCAGTACCTGAGATTCGGCGTGATTTTCTCCTTCCTTGTGGCCAAGTCTTGGTCAACATCAACATTGTGACTGCCCATAACATTAGTATGGCAGCACCCTCTCCTGCCTTGGACGTGTGAACAACATCCCGCAACCCCCCTTATTGTCAAAAGATGCTCATGCCGACCGGGGGAGAAAGATGGCTGTTTCCTCTGGCGGATGTCGCCGCGTCGATTAATTGTGCCTGTCGGTTCTGGCTCTTGTGACACCAGATGACCATGAACCTTCCTGATCTTAGATACGAAGTGGTAGAAATTTCCTAGAAGACGGCCCAAAGGTCTTGCCGCATCCAAACCATCATCGCCAGAAAGTATGCTGCCTTCCTCGAGTCCAGTAAACAAACCAAGAATCACTTCAAAGGGAACAGCCACATCGAGCAGGGTTAAATACTCCCACAATCACCTCTGCCAGTGTTCTCCTTTCTTGTTCTTCTTCTTCTCTTCTTCATCATCATCACCACTCCACTTCGAACATTCTTACATTCGTTACTCTCCTTTGTCCTTGTCTGCGTTCTGGAGTCGTCTCCCACGTGCCCCTTTTCTCTGTTTGGTGTTGATTGCTTGCCGCCCTCAAGCCGCTGTACAGCGACACCACCCACTGCTTCTTCTGCAAGACTCATGTCGTTGTCTGCATCACGGCTCCCCAAACCAGATCACACGGCCGCAGACACGCGTCAGCTTCTACCATCGCGTGGTCTCAATATGAGCAAACAGCCTGTCCCCGGTGAGTTGGCCCCGTGTGTGCAGTACTTGTTACGACCTGAAAGGGTTCAGAGCCCAATGATGAGACAACAAGACGTGAATGGGGTCCTCACTCAGCTTAGGCTGACCATACCAAATGGAATACTCGATAGGAACAACGACGGCCGCAGTCTGGCATCATGCTACACATCGCCACAAGAAGTGAGTCATGTTTCTCCATTCGAAGACGATCATCATCGGCTGACACTTGCCCTTAGTTCGCCCGTCAACCTTTGACTCGATGTTCTCCGGAATTCATCCAGACAATTTCTCCACACAAAGAACAACCACTCGATGCCTGCTCCTCAGTCATCCATCCTGTCGGCAAGAACTTCGCCTTTGTTCTACAACTCCACAGCCTCAGCGACTGTTCCTCGGCACCCATCCTTCACCTTCGTTCTTCAATTCCACAACCTCAGCGCCTGCTCTTCTACCCGAATATCGGCTCCTGTCAGATAGAGCTTCAAAGCTCTTGGAGTTCAACAGCCACTTGGCGTCTGCCACACACACTTCTGTCACTTCCATGGCTTGGAAGCTTTCTTCTTCAGACAACCACACAATGTCCGTCATCTTCTCTGACACAGTCACCAATGCAAGACTTGGTCTTTATCCACATTCGTTGGAAGCCTTTTCACGAACATACTCAAGCACTCTGGCCTTGGGCTACGCATGCCTCGATCTCAAGCTTCGGTGAGTCTCGGTGCCATGGATACCTGAACCAAATCAGACTGACACATCAGGAATGACCAGGAATACAATCGCTAAAGAATCTTTTGAGACAAACTGGGGAGAGGAGAACGGCTTTGGGTTGACCGTGAAGATTGGGCTAGGGATGAATGGCATTTGGTATGGTGCTATTGCGCTTTTGGTAGCGATTCGGATCCGGTGAAACGATCACAAGCGGAATTTCAATACAAAGCAGACTTGAAAACCCGAAACAACAGGTGCTGACTTTCTTGTGATGCGTCCCAAGGGCATGGCACTTGCCTGCTTACCTGGTACTTGGCTTCAGGAAGTCTTGATGCTGTTCTGCTGCCTCAGACACGCCTTGGCGTTTGCCTTTGCGTGGTTTCATCATGGGCAGCTTTAGACCCGGTGAATCTGAAAGGCCTGGGAGCCCTTTTGGGAAGTGCTTCAACGTGAGTACATCGTTGAAATTATGTCCATGACTCTATGAGTCGCCCCACTGTGTAGCACTATTGTAATCAGTCCCAAGGGCATGGCGCTTGCCTGCTTACTTGGCTTCGGGAAGTTTTGGTGCTCTTCTGCTGCCTCAGACACGCCTTGGCCTTGGCCGTTGCGTGGTTTCATCATGGGCAGCTTTCCTTGTTACGACTTAAAAGGTCCTGGAGCCCTTTTGTGAAGCGCTTCAACGTGAGTACGTCGTTGAAGTCATGTTTATGAGTTGGCCCCGCATGTGCAGTACTTGTTATGACTGAGAACAAGAAATTCGACAAAGGTGAGAAGAGGGAGCGACTTAAATAGGTTTTTGGCTCGCTACTTTAGCATTGGCCAGACTCTTTTTTCTGGGTTTGTGCGCGTCGCTCAAGGTGAGCCCGTGATCACTTGATGGAGAAGCATCACCTTGAGGGACTCGATTGCCCAGACAAGCTTGAATTCTAATCAGCCGCGATGGAACTTACTAACAGGCCAGTACCATACTACGACTTGTAGCCAATGTTCTTATTGAGGGCAGTGCTAATATGGATCACTACTTACAGCCTGTGAGCATCATCATACGCAAAGTCCGTATATATGCTATAGGGAGGTCTGCACCTTGGCATAGGCACTCAGCCATAGCACTAAGCCATAGGCGGCTCGATTTTGCTCACCAGCAGTGTGCTATTATAGGCACGGCTCTGATTTTCGTGCCGGACATGGAAGTGCTCGGAAGAGCGGCCGCTGCCAAGCAAAATAACCATGACCGCGGCCAATGTGGCGCAACCAGCACTTATAATTAATATCACTCTTATTATAGCGCATGGGTTACTCGAATACTGAAGCGGCCTCTAGAGTTCAAGACGCTCGACATTGATCCGACGTTTGTGGCTTGCTTGTACGCAGTGGTGGTCAGCATCGCACAGGACAATCAATGGCAGCAATACCCAATGACGGACAGGCAGCGAGTGGCACGAGGTATCTCGTGCACTGCAGTATGGAGTACTGCATGGAGGCTGGCGAGGGCGTTGTCTGCTGATGGACCAAGAAGGCGGGGATGATGAACAGAACAAGGGGCAAGCATGCGGGACCGCGAAAAAGAGGCCTTTCGTGATGTGGGCCAAAGGCGCAACCCGGCTAACCGCAGGTGGTTTGGCTGCTTGGCACCACTGCGCACCAGTCGTCTGATACCACAACCGTTACATACGGCACAACTTGGAAATGACAGAATGCGGGACCGGATAATGGAAATCAAAATACGTGTATACAAGTGGAAAAACAAGGACCGTGTCTAGAACAGGGTCCCCGTCCCTCTGCCCCCAGATATCCAATGAGCTGGTCCCTGGGACATCAATAGACTCGGCTTAGCCGTCTTGGCACTGTCTGGCATGCGCCGAGCCATCAATATTGACCAGCAAAGCCGCACAGGACAGGAGAGAACCTCAAGTCGCCGTCGCCATTGGACGCCTTCATCTAGGGCTGACTTCAGCTCTCTGGTGGCGCTACACTCTCTCGCTACACGGCAAACCCCATGCATGATGCACGCAGGCCCTCACCACTCCGTAATTACACTTGCCGCTTCTTTCCATAGGCCAAGTCTATGCAGTCATTAATTAGGCAGCGGGTTTGAAATGAGCCCTACTGCTTTAGCTCTCCTGTCAACATCGTCAGTTTCCCGTTCCATCACTCTTACCCCTGCCCATGTGTGTGTGAAGCCACAGCATGGATCCACGGGCTGCCTCACCATGTGGTGGTTAGCAGTCTCCATCTTGGGGACAGTGCCCCAGAAAGATGCATGTGGTGACAGCTGCTATAAGACCCGGGCCTCTCGCCGTGATCTGCTCAAGGGAAACTGGAAGATCACTCCAGGTGTCAGCGTTGCTCGCAGACGATCTGAGAACCACACTCACTCACTCGATTCCGCATCTGGAATTGCCTCTCTTTTACTTCCCTTCTATTACCCCCTATTTCTTCTTCGCGTCCATCACTAATAACCCTGTACCCCCTTGGACACCATGAGGGCGTCTCATGCTTTGCTGTCGGGCCTTGTGCTCCCAGCGTTGGCCGAGGTCCATGGTGCTGTCCACAGCAAGAGCACCACATGTGATCCCCCCGTGGTCTCTGAGGTCGAGGAATGGGTCACCGAATGGGTGACAGTCTCCTCCACCGTCACCGTCTGTGCCACGACCACCGGCATTCTTGCTTCAACCACCAGCGGCAGCGGTAATGGCGACGGCAACGGCAGTGGGAATGGCAGCGGCAATGGCAATGGCAATGGCAATGGAAATGGCAGCGGTAGCGGCCATGGAGGTGACTGTGACGGCGGCTGCGTCGACGGTGATGGAAATCCCATCCCGACTGCCACCAAGACTGACACCGCCACCTCGACTACCTCGACGAGGGTCACGGCGACCGAAACCAACAGCGGAAGCGGCAGCGGAACCGAACTTGCCTTGAAGAGGGATTGGGACATTGACTGGACCGACCTGAGCCAGCTCGAGCTGAAGAAGTCCTGCCGCATGCTGTACACCAAGGAGGAGGTCCCCTCTGGCACAAGTACGAACCAGACACATACCCCTGAATTCACATCGAGAGCCTGCGCTGACTTGACAATCATCTAGAGCCCGAGGAGGGTGAGCCTTATGCCTGGTTCAACGCCAACGACACCGAATATGCCAACCTGCAGACGGTCAACTCCAAGTACTTCCAAAAGGTGTGGTGCGACATTGACGCCGGCTGGATCAAGATGAAGTTCAGCAACTGGGACGCGTACAACCACGCCTGGGACAACTGGCACGACGTCTCCCGCCCGAAATGGGGCGACTATGTGATCATCACCCCAGAGGAATCGTGCCGCAACTACGGTGTCAAGGACCAGCGCAACTTTGTCCTGGCCACGGACGAGAAGCGCGATGATGGCAGCCAGACCATCACCTGCCAGATCAAGAACATTACCATTGCCGACACGGTCGGCGACGAGAACCCCGTCGATATTGAGTTTGAGAACTTTAACCAGCCTGGTGTCTCGGCGCAGGCCAACGACTCTCCCGGCGCTGACGGCTTCGATGACCTTGGCGGCGAGGTGCTCGCCGACCCCAGCGGCGACTCCGACTTTGACTGGTTCCTCGACAACACGATTGGCAAGATGGACGTGGAGACACTGAACCAGAGCGTCGTCGCCCAGTTTGGCTTCACCCTGGACGACTTTTACGGCGAGAACGATCTGCCCGATCTGGCCACCGCGAACCTCGTCAAGAGGAGGTTTGGGCGTAGGCTCAGGAGGGCGTTCAAGAAGGTCAAGGCGGCTGTCAAAAAAGCCGTGGCCGTGACCAAAAAGGTCTTCCAAGATGTCGGGGACGCCATCAAGGAGACGGCCCAGCAGATTGGCGACGCCATTGCCGACTTCACCACCATTGACCGCAGCATCTCCAAGGACATCAACTTTGACACGACGACGCTGGGCAATGTTGTCGAGACGCCCTTTGACGGCAAGACGGGCTACGAGCTCTTCTCGGGCGAGTTTGGCGAGGAGATTCGCAACGGCGCCGAGCTCTCGGGCTCGCTTGACATCTACTGTGTCGACTGCGGTGTTGAGGGCGACTTTAACATCCGCGGCAAGGTTGTCTTTGTCTTCTCACGCCTCAAGTTCGAGGAGGGCTTCGTCGAGGTCTCGGGCTCGCTGGGTGCTGGTCTGGGTCTGGGCATCGTCGCCGAGCTGACGCTGAACAAGGAGTTCAAGAAGCAGATCACATCCCTTCCCCTGACGCCCTTCTCGATCCCCAACGTCTTCGTCCTTGGCCCCAAGTTTGATCTCTCGGCCGGTGTTAACTTTGAGCTGGACGCCCAGGGTCAGCTGCTCGCTGGTGTCCGTGCCGACTGGCCCAGCATCAATGCCAGGATCGACGTCGTCAACTCGGGTTCCTCGTTTGCCAACGGTTTCACCCCCGAGCTCACGCCCATCTTCGAGGTCGACGGGACCATCAGCCTCACGACCACCTTCTTCCTCGAGGGCGCCCTGGGCATCGGCATCGACATTGCCAACGGTCTCTTTGACAAGTCTGTCGAGCTGATTGAGAAGCCAGGCATCTTCGTGTCCGCCGGCGTCGGCGCCTCCTTTAGTCTCGAGAACGGCGTGGGCGGCGCTGGTGACAACGACTGCTTGGGTGTCGAGATCGCCACCGGCTTCACCAACGAGGTGTCGGTCAACGTGTTCGACATTGACGCCCTTAGCGCTGTCATTGACACGCGCTCCTTTGACATTGCGCGCAAGTGCTTTGAGGTCTTTGGCAAGCGTGACGATGTCTCCAGCTTCCCTCTGATCGAGGCCCGCCAGGACGATGGCGGCATCGGCGCCACCACCTTTGACGGAGGCATCATGTCCAAGATCACGACCCGCGACGAGGCCCAGACGCTGCGTCTCCGCTACTCGCCCAACGGCAACATCTACGCTGTCCCAGACAGCAAGGTGCCCCAGGCGGACAAGGACAAGGAATGGTCGGGCTGGTTCGCCACCGACGAGTCTGGCATCTTCATCTATGGCGACTCGCACGCCCGCTTCCTCCACGGCTACCACGACACGCTGCTCGAGCTCGGTGTCTCCCGTCTCCGCCTGCACGAGCCCAACGCGATGCCCAAGACGTCACAGCTCATCGTCCTCGCCACCGTCCAGGACGACGACGCCACCGTCGAGACCCCCGGTGTCTCGTCCGAGGTGCCCTACCTCATCAGCAGCGACCTGGGCGGCGACATTTACTACCCCATCCTGTGCTCCTACGCGAGCGGCGACGTGTACCCCAAGATGTTCCTGGCCAACGACAGCCAGACGGGCGTCGAGCGTCTGATGAGCAACGACGCTGACATTCTCGACCAGATCACGGGCGCCGAGGTCAAGGATTGCAAGTACGCGCCCCTGACCAACTGGAAGAACGTGGACGTTGGCGACCTTGTCGAGGAGTAAGGGAGATGTCGTGCGAGGGGCTGTGCTGGCTGGAGAGGCGCGCGTTTATACCTTTGATTCTAAGCAATGTACATATACATACACTTTGGTTCCAAGAAATGTACATATATATACGTAATTAGAGGGCTAGTTCAGCCAGCCTCGGAGCATGACGACTCTATCTTCAGTGCATGATGTGAAGAATATGTTCCATTGCGCAACAAAGCTATATACAAGCGAATGGTCCTCAGTGTCTCTATGTATCCGGCACCAGGTCCAATGCTCCTGCATCTCACCCGAGATGTCATGAAGATGCGTCCACTGCCAATCAAGAGATGTTTCCGTATAGTTTACTGTCACTCCCTTATGCAGACCAGACATCAGGGCCGGGGATGGGGTAGGAGGAAAAGCTCTGGTAGAGGTTGAAGAGGATGCCAGGGTCCTGGGGTGTGTAGAAGGTGGTAAAGGGGGCGCCACCGCTGGGTGTGGCGGAGCCGGAGCCCGTGACCTCAATGTTGATGCACTGGGGGTAGAGCTGGGCGCCGTTGACCTGACCAGCGGAGTGGAGGGCGATGATCTCGTGGCGGAGGACGTACTTGCCCGGGGCGAGGCTGGCGGGGATGTCGACGGTCCATGCATTGCCATTGGCGATGAGGTCGTCCGAGGCCCAGTCGCCCGGGTTGGAGCCCGAGTTGAGGCCAGCCTCGTCGAGCTTGACGAACTGGAGGGATGTCTTGTCGATGGAGGCAAAGTCACCCGAGACGGGGGCGATGTAGTCAATGACGGGCCCGTGGTGGGAGACGGGCCAGGTGTTCCACTGGAGGGTGAGGGAGGAGCCAGCCGAGACGACGGCGGCGTTGGAGACGGGTGTGGCGCTCTTGTGGCAGATGATATCGGGGGTGTCGGCAGCGTTGGGCTCGACAAAGCCGTTGTCTTGGTTGGCGGCGGCCCAGCCGACAGCGTCTGCGGGCGCGTTGTGAGGGAGACCGCCGGTGTACTCGACGCCGTCGGCGATGATGGTGGCGACGTGGCCGTGGGCGCTGACGGCCGTGGCGAGGGCCACAATGGAGAGGGTCTTTGCGAACATGATGGCGGGATGGGACTGAAAACTGGCTGGCAGTTATGGGTGGATGAAGAGTCGAGTGAGAGACACTTGAGAAGAGAAGAGAACGGTTGAGGATGGAGAGGACAGGAGGAAGGAAGGCTGGATGAAGAGTGTCCTGGCTTCTTATATACATGTCCAAGTCGGAAGTGTCGCCCTTCTCTGGATAGTACGTGGCCAGCATAGACGCATCCTGGACGTTTTGGAACAGACGTTGAAACGAGCACCAGGAGATGCTGGTTGGCTGGGCCCGTGATGTGTCCCACCGATCACAGTAGGGAGCTTAATCTATCTGCCATCCAAACATGGACGACGGCGCTGCTTCCCGTGGTGCCGACTGCGTAAACGTGGGGATCGAGTTCCATGTTCGGGGGAATAAGCCCTCGTGCGCCGCGATCAGCCCGTCAACTGCCAGAACAGGATCGTGGATGGAGGCTCACTGCCGGTTTGGGGGCCCGCTGTGTCAGGGCTGGCCACGGCTATGCTGACGCGCTCATAGGATCGTCCTAGGAGAAGCATGGATGCTGGTGGGAGCGGTGGGTATGTTCCTTGGATGCTGTAACAGAGCCTCATGTCCATGAATTTGTGTGAAACAAGCTGGTTCTGTGTTTTGGACAAGAGAGGAGAAAGCATGGTCGATCCCCAGAACGTCTGTCTATCAAGGCAAACGACTGAAGGAAAGGAGGCGAGTGGTGAGCTCAGAGTTGACACGCTTGGGCTGGCTTGAGTGGCTTCCTGTCCATGGCATGATGTTTCTGGCCAGGGTCAAGGCAGGTCAAACAAACAAAGTTGCAGAACAATGTTGTGGGGTGCATCCCGGGCGTCTGACCTGCGATTATATCGCCTTTATGATTGGCGCGAGGCCCCTGACTCTGTGGAGAGAGCGTCGTCTCCTCCCGGCAGACAGACGCCACCATGGCGGGCGGAGCGTCTTCCTCCGCGATCGAAAACCGCCTTTGGCCTTTGAGATTCTTCCTCTCCATTCACCCGGCCACGTACTCCTGGGCCATTTTGCATGGAAACGACATGGAGGACGCCCCCGCGTCGGAGGTGCCATGCCGTCGCCAGCTCACCGTGTCACCTCATTATGCGCCGTGCTGCGTGGACGCACTACATGTACATTGCTTCGAATCCCACGGACCTGCAATATCCTGCCTGGTCAATGATGCAATACTGCGCCAGCAGGAGGACTCACGGACATCACAATACCACCAAGGCACTCGAATGCCGTCTTGGTTCGACGTGGACGCACGCTGGACTTCCCCAAGGAGCGGTGCGTGAAGCACCATTACCGATTTCGGTGATGGCTGCCAGGAGCAGAGTATCTATGTATTAGCGTGTCGCGCAGTTGCGGCCCGTGGACGATCTGAAGATCAGCGCTGTGCCTAGCTGGATGCGTGGTGCTGGGTTCAATGTCACTTGCAACTTGTAAGCCCCTCCCGCTGGAGATGCATCCTTGACGATCCTGAACATGAGGATCCGAGCGATCGTAGCATGAAGAAGCGGGAACGAGGGAGAACAGTGTTCAGCTCTACAGAGAGCCAGTGGTCGATCATCTCCTAAGCACAATGCCACGTGCTGGGCGAGACTAAAGGTTTGCTGGCGAAGAGACGAGCAGCTGAGGCGTGTCTGCCCATGCCCTTGGGCGCACAAATGCGACAAATCCAATGCGGTTCGTCAATATCTTGCTGCAATTAGCCTGAAGCTCAATGGTTGACGACGCAGACAGCGGACTCGCCGCCGTGTCTTGTAGACCTACGAACTGTCCACGTGCATGTTGACAGACCATGAATTTCTGCAGTTGCATTCCATATTCCATCTCCATCTCCCGAGCCTGGCGAAGCCCGAGCCAGACTGGGACATGGAACCAGAGGAGGAGCGTGGACTGCCACTCATCCATGCAGAGTCGAAGGCTGCTTCATCTATCACACATGGACAGAGTAACGTGATCGCCCTGTCTGGCGGCCACGAGTGCCTCTTTCAAGACGGGCGCATGAGACAGGGTTAGACAGAGTGCACGGTTGATCACAGGACCAGGCGGCTGACTAGAAATTTTCGTAAGTGCGGTAAGTTACTGTGCTTCCAAGTCATCACTCGTTGGTATCTGCACAGCCATAGTTTGACAAAAGCAAAGAAACATGTTGGCGGTTGGCATGCGTCAAGCATAGCCGTCCTTCTATTTTAAAGTCATATAACTGTCTCATAGTCGTGAAAAGCGATCGTAATCGAGCTCATAAGCATCCAACCAATACCCTCTTCCCCCTCCGCAACCAACCCCCTTCTCCTGAGTGTCGACAGACCTCTTCATTCCCAACCATACTCTCCCACCAATCAACTCGGACACCAAACTTGGCGCCCTTACTCCTCGCGGCCGATTTCCATGCGCTTCTTCAGCCTGTAGGCGATCGCCCTCTTGCGTGCGGCAGCGGGCATGGTGAAGGCGGCGGAGCCACCAAAGGGACCGGCAGGCGTAGAGTTGCGCACGCGCACGATGCAGACATTGTCCACACCTCCGGCCGAGCCGTCGCAGGTCATGCCGGCGGGCATCTGGATCTTCATGGGGAAGTCGGTGGTCGTGGTCAGCGAGAGACCGGCCACGAAGCCGGGCACGTCCTGGGTGACCTGGGCCCTCTGGAAGGCGTTCATGTCGGTCCCGCCCGAGGTGCCGTCAACCATGGCCTCCATGGGTCCAGCGCCGTCCTGGTTGATCTGCATCTGTTAGTAGTTGCTCTGAGATTGTGGTTTGCAAGAAAGGACTACCTGGCGCATGGTGACGCTGATCTCGCCACTGTCTGAGCACGTAGGCATACCGCTCGTGGCACCGTCGCCAGCCGTGGCAGCGACGCTGCTCTCGACGGAGAACTCATTCTTCTGGCCGTTGGCGTTGGAGCCGCCGCCGCCACCGCCAAAGAGGCGACCGAGGAACTGGCGGCGGTTCTTCTGACCGCGCCCACGGCTCGCGCCACGGAGGCCCGAGATGTCGTCCTCGACGCCTGTGGAGTCGGCGGCACCGTTGTTGGTCGGGGCCGAAGCGCCATTCATAAAGGCGGCAATCATCGTGTTGGGGTCGACAGGTCCATTGCCCTGGGTGCGTCCCAGAGGGCCGACTTCGCCGCTGGCAATCTCGCTGTCGCGGATGATGGATGTGTCCGCCTGGGAACCGCAGCCGTTGGACGAGCAGTCACGAGGCGTGCCGTCGGCGACTATAAGGTGTTAGTGATGAAATTGATGTATGACCATGGGCTGATCGGCAAACATACTGCTGAGTCCAGGCATGGTGACTCCGTTGGCGCCCTCGATCGAGGTGATGACGCAGTGGGCAGAGGCGCCTGCAATGAGGCCGAGGAGAGTGATAGCGTACTGCATCTTGATGTTTGTGGAAAGTTGGGATATCGTAAAAGAATTAAGTAGAGTGAAATGATGTCGCCGGGACGAAGAAAGAGATGGCTACCAGAGCGCAAAGAAGATGATTGAGAAGGTGGTGAAGGCGGTGGTGAGAGTGCTCGAGTTGTCTGTGTCTGTCTGTCTGTCTTCTCAATCCGAGCGATCGTTGCTCTTTAATACTTGTGCATCATCACGAGAGACTGGATCGTCTGCATCGCCATCGCTTCTAGTCTCGATAGTCTTTCGCGAGGTTACTTTTCCAAGGTTACTTTTCCCAGTTTCCTTCTGCCATGGCGTCTGAGACTCGGGGGGCTGTGTCGATGATTTTCAGGTCGCAAAACAATCGCGCAATGAGGTCTCGTGGAAATACCCCGTCATGGTAAACACTCGTCGTCGTGCACCAGTGAGAGCGACGGCATTCATCGAAACGAATCATTCAGATGCTCACAGGCAGAGGCCTTGCTTCACCATACGTCTCCGCGATGACTTGGCGGCCGTGCCTCCTCGATGGGGGACTCAGCCACACCGCAGCGTTGAGTCGCGCCATCTACGGTTCTTGGACGATGTTGCGAAGGCGTGAGCCCGCGTGACATTCGGTGTGGCTCCCTTTGCGTGGTCTTGGCGAGAGGAGGCGGGAGGTCAAACAACCCTGCGACACTAGCCTGGCCCTGGCGGCGATCCGGACTTGGCTTCCCGACCAATGTTAGATACTGGTTTCAAGGCCAGTGATGATTGTCAATTTTCGTCTTTAGCGACTGGCTGAGCCTTGAGGAGGACAATGTGACTCGTCAATCGGATCGTCGACTAGGTCCGCATCAGAGGCGGGAGAGGCTGAGCATAAGTCCCAGTCCTGATGAAGCGGGTGAGAACATTATGATGCGATTGGCTCGTTTATTGAAGTAGCAGCGAAAGGAGAACACCGGTCCAGGTTTCAATCATTGCCCCAGCCTCAGGGCCCGTCCGCAAATGGACATTTATTCATCATCTATGCTTAATACATGGTTAGCTCTGTCCGGCCTCGGGTGGGCTATTAATAGATCGATCAGGTCATGACACACTAATCATGAGGGTATCTTCGTTGAGGACTCTTTTACTTTCAATTGATGACAAACAGCCTGAGTTCAACAAGTGTTATGACACTGTTAATCACCGTGTCCCGTTCCTCGATCTGCAACCTGCATTACTGCATCTCGGCAACGTTTACACCCTGTCCATTCAACATGAGCCTTCTAGCAGTTTGCAAAAGCCTCCGTGAAGTACGGTGCTAGGTTTCCTGAGCCGTTGGCATCACCCTCCGCCGTGCCATTGCCCAAGCACTGGAAGCGGTTCCTCGACCTCCAAGTGATGTCGAAATGCTCTCCGCCCACATTGTCAAGACCGTTCTTGAAGTGCATTATTGATCCAGCGTAAACGCCGGTGACCTTTCCGGTTGCACGACCATTTTTATATAGAGTGCGGCAATCGCCGGACCACACAGTCCGCTTGAGGAGCTCTTGAGAGTATTCGTTAAAGTCGTCAACCGCCTCCTTCTTCACTTCAATTGTCCTGTTGCGTCGTCAGTGTCTCCAAAAAGACTGGAGCATGCACACGGCGTCACTCACCGAATGTTTTGACGATTCATCCTCATGATCCACTTCATAAGGTACGAAATGATAAAGTCCATCTCAGAAAGGACGGAGCCGTGCGAGATGGGCGGGTTCGGGCCGTTCACGATGCCGTAATTCGGAAAATTCTCGACTTGTGTAGCGAAAAAGGCTCGCGGGTCGTCCTTCCACATCTCATTCAGAGTAGCACCGTCTCGGCCGACCATCTTGAACTGCGGGATCCAAGAACTGTCGAAGCCAGAGGCACAGACGATCATGTCGAATTCTTGGATTTGGCCATCGACGGTCTTGATGCCCTTCTCCGTAAAGGACTCAATCACATCCCAGCTATCCTTGCAGTTGGGTTGCTGCAACGCCTCCAAGTAGCCCTCACCAGGGGAAAGGCGACGACAGCCAGGACGGTACTCGGGAACTGTTCTCTTCTCGAGCTCGGGCGCATTGATCGTCGACGTATGCATCTTATCCCTGCATAGGCCCTCGTAGAACTGCTGGAGAGGATGATCAAGGCTATATGTATCAGCACAAGTCCCCGACCCCAGAGGTCACTAGTTTCCCGACTGGACTTACCACATCACATAGTAGAACGCATTCACTCTGCGATGTGTCAGTGCTATTATATCCTCATGTGGCGGGATAACAAACAAACCCTTGCTCCAGCTCCTTACGGTACTGGTAGAGAGCCTTGGGGTCTTCTCTCCACGTCTTCTTTTGTTCCTCGCTGTACTTGAAATTGACGCCTGCTGGCGTCTTTTCACCCAAAAAGTTGACCGAAATCCATGTGCGCTGTCGCACAAAATTGACGAGCTTCTCGACTTTGGGTTGCATCGCCGGCACGACCTGGATGCCGGACGACCCATTACCGATCACGGCGACCTTCTTCCCGGTGTAGTCGTAGTCGGGGTCCCTAACATTGTCAGATGCTTCTTCATTCATGTTGTCATGGGTGAGCATGATCCTACCACTTGGCTGTGTGAACCAGCTTGCCCTTGTACTCATCAAGGCCCTTGACATTTGGCCACTTCCACTTACTACAAGGACGAGCGTTAGCACCGCATCCACAAAGAGCACACATCAACGTACTTGAGGAAACCTCCGCCATTGATCAAAAAGTCCGCTTCAACCTCCTTGACCTCGCCGCCCTGCTCCACCTTGAGCTTCCATGCCGCAGCATCCTCATTCCAGATCGCTTCCAGGATTGTCGTGTTCAGCTGCACGTACTTGCGCAGGTTGTACTTGTCGGCCGTACGCTTGATGTATGCGAGGATCTCCTCCTGGCCAGCATAGAACGAAGACCAGTCCGGGTTGCCTTCGAAGGGCAATACGTAGGTATCTACAGTCGTCAGGATGCATTCTCCCAGAGCACTATATTGACACTTGAGGAATTGAGCGAACGTCGGTGATCTTACGAGAAGGGATATCACTAGGGTCAGGAGTCAATACCGAACTTCAAATAATGATAATGGGGTGTAAATTGAACTGACCATCCAGCTCCAGGGTACGTGTTCTCCAGCCACGTGCCACCAATGTCATGGTTACGATCGAAGATCGCCAAGTCAACTTCATCCTCGAGCTTCAGCTCATGCTGGACCTTATGCGCAACCATGAGACCTGAGAACCCAGCGCCGACGCAGACAACGCGCATCTTCCTGGTGGGGGTGTACGCCGGCTGCTCGAGTAGCTTGAAAGCGCCATGTCCATTGATGCCGTTTGTCGCCATGGTGAATTGCAGTGTAGTCGAGGTGGTGGCCTGTATGTCGTTTGTAGGGAATATCCAGAGCAGCTCTGGAGAAGGTCAGAACAGCCAGACACAACGTATATACCGAGTTCGCGCCGTGCCGATTACACACTCTGCCTGCCTCTTCTGGCCCTCACATGCGCGACGTCCTCAACCAGCATGAACAGGGCAGAGTCCGCGACTCCGCCAACACTCGCCATCACAACGGGAATCGTACATCTCATTGACAGTGTTCAGACTACCGGCCAGGGATTTCCAGCGAATCGGATGCTAGCCTGTGAGCCGTAGTTGGAGATAGCCGAGCTTTTCTGCAATTAGAAAGGTATCCAGATCGTGTGCTTTTATCCCTGCGACGCACTGTAAATATCCTTGCCTTGACATCTGCCACCACCTGCAAGTCCAGGGATTCAAGCTCCGCATTGACCATATCCCCTCCCGCGGCTGTGGATGTAATGCCGGCGGTTTGACCGCATTCGCATTTATCAGTCTTGTTCTGTTGGTTCAACCAACTTGGTTGAAGGAGGCGCGTATGCAAACACAAGGTCTGAAACTTTGCGAGCCAGTGGCAGACCCCTTTTTTTTCTTATCACGGCAGTCACAAGCCGAGTGAGAATATGCCCACGATATCTGGGTCACAATGCACCCCTCCTTACCGCTCTGGCATCCTCCCGTGTGCCTAAGGGTTGCTCCCGCGTCACTGCACTATGGAAGAAGGAGAATACTTAGGCTAGCTTCGTCTGGTCTGTTGCTCTTTCGTACACTGGTTTTAGCGAGGCCAGACACTTGAAGAAATGTAGTTCATTGACAGAACCGAGTCCCAGGTAGCGGCTTCTATGTAGCCTTTGAGTTGGTCACCCACGTATCTTTGACCACAGTAATGTCGCGAGCGCCATAGGCAATGTCCTCGTCGCTCACTTCGCCGCGAAGGACACTCTTCTTGCCTCCCGATATTTCGTTGGTAAGCTCAAATTCATCGTCGCGCAGATTAAGGTTGCTACTGTGCAGGCGCCGGAATTCACTAAAGTAATCACCACAGTTAGCAAGGAGTGTATATCCCCATGAACCACACGCAAGAGGCAGGCGTATGTCATACCGTCTCTCCAGGTTGTTCCGGACATGGGTGTTCTCCAGATCAATACCACGGCTCCCAGAGCCACTGTTCTGTTCGCCACTGCCGACGGAGGTGTTGATGGTTTGCCACCATTTTCGAAATAGGGGGCCGTAGGTGGGCAGACAGGCGCAGACAATTCCGATAAATGGCTCGCAGCAGGACCAAATGAAGACTTGTCCCATGGCCCACGTGAAGTCTTCGGCGTTGACCAGATGGTCCATGGATACGATTCGAAGGATGCTGGCGATGCAAACGCTATTGAAAAGTGTCAGTCGTCTATGGCGCAGTTTTTTCAGGAGAGGTAACTGCACGTACAAGGCGCCTAGTAGGAGGATACCAGAGACAGCGACTTTCTGAGAGCGGCGCATTCTGAGTTTGATGACTTTTCGCAAATCAGCAAGTGCATCGAGGTTGCCGGCGAGGCAAGGCTACTCACTCGTTGGGATCGGCACCAAAAGAATCAAGATATCAATCAGCATGGCGCAGATTCCGTTGACAAAGTAGAACAGTGAAGTATCAATACAGGATCCCTGCGCGTCTGGCTTCGTGAATTGCTCCCAGAAGTATGACGCAGGGCGGCATCCGCTCAGCCATGCGATGATGATAGCCACCCAGTAGCCAAGGACTAGTGCCATGTTGATCTTCCAGGCCAAGTTGATACCGAACAGTCGTCGATAGAACAGAAGGATAGAGGCCTTTGTGAGAGTAACGCAAGTCGCGTAGATCAATACAAAGGCGTATGCCATCTGCCAAAGACGGGTAAACTCTTCGAAAGTACTATGTCCTACATTAGCAATGTTCATTCACCACGACAATCAGGCATGCAGACATAATCCACAGGTGCTTCCCTCCTCCCTCCTGAATACTGGTAAAGCACAAGACTGCTGTCCCTATAGCAAAGATCTTTTCGGTTATTAGTCCAGGTTGCATATTGACCCTCTAGCCAGCTCCCTAGTTGCTTCGCTGCGAGTTGTTCCGTTGACTTACCAAAGCCAGCACAATTGTGTAGTCGTCGACAGCAAGGCTGTTTCCAGATTTAAGGCGAGCCACAAGCCTGAGGATCACGGAGAGGATGCCAAGTGCCATGATCGTAATGACAGTAACGAGAATGCTCATCGTTTGGTTTTCTGTCAGGTCCATGCCTTTGGGCGTCGGGCCCCAATCACCAGACGCAGACATCTTGGTGCGAAAGCGAGAGAATAGGGCAAGAATAAAGTCGAGGAAACGAGGAGAGTCGTCAAAATCAATTTCCATGCTCTGCAAGCCCTCGGGCAGCCTTCCACTTCTTCAAATGCCCCGAGAACCCAGCGGTTGCTATTAAATTTTCTGCTCCCCTTTTGCGAAGTGACCAACAATGCGGCAGTAGAAAGCTACCAGGGCTCCTCGTTTCGAAAGATTCACTGCTGTTGCTGCAGGTGTTGACCCTTGACGATTTAACAGGGAATCTTGCTGTGTTGGCTCTGTCCTTGTATTGTCCAAGTGGAGCTCAAGTGTGTATGTTGGTCGAAGACGCAAACTTCAAGCACCAGGGCGGATATCACCTCGGCTATGGGAAGGCACTAGACCAGGGTTGACGCGAATCACATGGGCCCCTTAAAGAGGTAGATGGTATCCCTTGTAAATGACGAAGATTCTTGCTGGTATTTGTCAAGGACTCAAGAGCGATGTTGGGCCCTTCAGACACAAACGATTATACCGCTAGCTGCGGACGATCATGCCTTCTGAGGCGACAACGAAGATTCCAAGGTACTGAGATAGGACTGTGAGCCTCCTATACAACCGTATGTCAATTCGCGCCCGGGATAGGGTACTGCCCCTCTCTACCAGACATACAGGCAGCATTGGGGCAACAGCCACTGACCTGGTTTGCCCGCTCCAACAAGTCGTGGTCCGGGAATGAGGCAGGCTAAGCAGTATCATGTTTACCAGGAGCACCTGAGCGCTGGGCGCTGGGTACTGGTTTCACTGTCCCGCGACCAGGTCGGTCAGGGGCTGTTGCCCCAACGGGCCAACACTGTGTGAGACTTCTATCAGAGCGCGGATTACCACAAGGTTATACAGGAGGCTACTAGTCTTATCTTAGTACCTTAGAAATCGGGGAGCAGTAGCATGTTGGCCACGGACTAGAGTTACCAGACCTGGAAGGGGTGTACGGTGTACTAAGCCTCGAGCGCCACCTTGGGGAACAGGGAAGACTAAGCGACTCTAGCCCACTCTCCGGAGAAGACATGGCCAAGATATCTTCCGACGCCTGTGGGGAACGGAAGCCTGTTTCCAAGTGATATGTCGCCTGTTAGACACATCTTCGGCCCTCCTGGCGGCTGCCAGTGCCGATCCCTGTTACTGGTCTGCGAATGGACATTTATTCATGGCCTATTTGTGCTTGCTGTGTGCATGCACAGTATTAGGTTTTCTTTTCAGTCTGGAGAGGCTAAAAATAGACCAATGTGATCGCAGCAAACTGTCCGTCAAGAAAGCTTCTAGTATCGACGACTTTGCTCGCGTTGAATTCATAAAGAACAGTCTTCCTGGTGAGTCCAATGGCTACGACACTGCCAACATGAGTTGTGTCGTCCAACCCTGATATTTTGTTTAGGGTAGGCCAATTGGTGTTCGCCCCGACGGTCCAGGCATGAAGTTCTTTAACAAACTCTCAAACGACGTGTCGTTTGCCCTCGTCACACTGGTTTGTGTCTGACAATTACTCGGAGCGCAGTACGTGGCCCTGCTTTAAAATGCTTTGTGGACAGCAAATACCACTGCTAACGAGTGCATTCTGAGGAATCGAATGCGTCTTCGCGTGCCGAATCTCGGGCCCGAGCACGCGCGCCCGTCCGAGTCAGACAAGATGGCAGTTGCAGCTGCTCGGTAATCTGGCGATCGCGGCAAGGCATTTCTAATTCGCGCGCGGCAGGCGACTGAGGTATACTCGTCACCAGTCAACCAAACAGCAACACCAGCCTTGGCTTCAGCCTGAATAACTACATATAGCTGTGGTCGGATCCATCGTATTCCTGTCCAGCAAAAGAGAGCCCCCATTGCCTCCACTAACTTTCTTTGAGCAGTGAGCACCCTCTCGAGTTTCGAATACTCAACTGTCTCGTCATGTCCCTGTCCGCCAAGCCTGTCCTTATCTCCGGGGCGGGGCTGGCCTCACTGCTCTTCGCCCAGTCCCTGCGTCAATCCAACATCCCGTTTCGCATCTTTGAGCGGGATGCGTCCTTTGTCTTCCGCGCCCAGGGCTACCGGCTGCGGCTCTCCGACGAGGGCCTCGACGCCATCGAGTCCGTGCTCGACCCCCCGACCTGGACCAAGTTCTGGGACGCCTGCGGCCAGACGGCGGGTGCGGGATTTGCCGCCTGGGACGCCGTCACGGGCGAGCAGACGGATCACAAGATGCCTGAGAAGCTAGCGTCACGCGGCGGCAAGGTCGTCGGCATCGCCAGAGGCGACATGCGCAAGGTCTTTGCCGACGGGTGCCAGGACAAGATCGAGTGGTCCAAGCACGTCACGGGCTACGAGCTCACCGAGGATGGCGTCCGGGCCCTCTTTGCCGACGGCACAAAGTCAGACGAGGGCTGCATGCTGGTCGGCGGCGAGGGCATCTACTCCAAGGTGGCTAGACAGCTCTCTGGCGGCAAGCTCAAGGTCTTTGACACGGGCGCACGCGGCATCCACGGACAAGCCCCCGCGACGGCCTTCCAGGGTCTGGGCGAGGGCGTGCATAGGTTGCTTGACACAAGTCGCGGACCTGGAAAGGACGTCTCCATCATCACTAATGTGCGCCCGGGCGAACTGGACGATCCGACCGTGCGCTTCGGCTGGACGATGGCCACCCAGCCGGGTGCACTTGTCGCGCCCAACAACGACTTCAGCCAGATTGGCAAGCCGGCAGCTGACATGGCCAAGGAGTTGACGAGACACTGGGCCGCCCGATTCAAGCCGCTCTTTGACCAGATGCAGGTCGAGGACGCTGCGTTTTGGAAAATCACATGCTCGTCGCCCAGCGGCGTGCCCGTCTGGCAGAACGAGCCGCGCGTCACCGTGATTGGCGACGCCGCGCACTCCATGACGCCCGCCGGGGGCATCGGGGCCAACACGGCTGTCCAGGACTCTGCCTTGCTGGGCAGGTTACTACGGGAAGCCGGCGGGTTCCGGCCTGGGGTCACCGAGGCGTACGAGAAGGAGATGAGGGTCTATGCGAGCGAGGCTGTCAACGCGAGCTATACCCTAGCCAAGGGAGCCTTTGGCATTGAGATTGATGAGGAGAGCACGCCTACGGTGTGAGGTATTTTTGGAGGATGAGTTCATGTTATTATGGCATGATACTGCTATACTTAGACAGACGAAATAGAACCGTGGACCAGACAAACAACAGCATTGAACGAAGACAGCCTAGGATTATTCGGTCATTGCAAAAGAGAAACAGCGTGCCAAGAGCAAGCATGTGCTCGGAAGGATGGCCTACCATGCTCGCGTGGACAATTAAGCTTCCCCCTACTTAACTCTAACCTAGTTTCGACGCGTCCACGTGTGTTCCCGAGAGAGTCTAAAACCCTGAGAACTCTATTCACAAGCGCTCAGTCCTCCCTTGATCCCCCAGATTTGATGAATATACGCCCAGAGCCTTGAGGGAAAGGGCTGACTACCCTGATGATGGTTGATCGTCTTGCAGGAACAGAACTGGACAATACTGCCATCTCGTAGCCACCCGACTGTGAGTTGGCGCTACCTAGTTAGGCTTTGTCTGAACCATAACCCAGTACAACGCGTGATGTTCGCGTACAAGTCACGGCAACGCCGGGAGACGTCACATCAAACGCATATGAAGACCTCGTCTCCCCTCCAATCGGCCTCGCTCGGCTTTCTCACTCATCACCACACCATCTATCTTGTTCACTCCCTCACTCGCTACCTTACAATGCGTCTGACACTCGTTCATCTCATCGCCACGGTGGCCCTTGCCGCTGCCAACCAGCGCCTGCTCCAGCACAATCCCGTCCACCCGTCCAAGACAGTGGACAACTGCCACTCCCCCATGCTCTTCAAGGGCAAGTACACTCTGGGGCGCCACAGTCTCGGCTGTGGCACCCACGGCATGGAAAGGCCATGTGCTTGCAACGAGATGGATCCCTTTGAGTTCGCCTACGAGATGTGCGAGCAGGGTGACGGCGTCTGCCACGAGGCCATTGAGTTGGCCATGCTCGTACAGGCCCAGCTTGACGAGGAAAAGGCCGCCTACTGGGAGAAGGCGCAGCAGGTCTGCGAAGACAAGGCGCACTGCCACCACCACAAGCATGAGCACCCCAGGTTCGACCCCAAGCGCGCGGAGGCGGCGGCCAAACACGCCCACCGCAAGTCCAAGCACGGCCATGCGTCCATATAAGGCGCCAAATATCGTTCTGCAGGTGACCGAGAAACCTGCGTCTCAAGGACCATGCCGGCACTTGAAGATCTGGGAGCGGCGCCGTGAGATGAAGGCGGACATTTGCCACTGGCCGAGGGGGTGGCCGGCGGGCAGGGAAGATCAGGATGGCTTGATGTTCAAAAATGGGTGGTGGTAAATAATTGGCGTGGACATGCAAGTTTCGATGTACGGTGCTGTTCTTTCTGTCTTGATCTTAAATGTTGCAGAGTTCTATAGACACGGTATATTCGATTTCTTATGTTACGGGGACATGGACTCAAAGATTGAGATTTCTTGCCGCTGCTTCACCAAGCCTTTCTTGGTGACTACAACAACATCAGGCTCTCGAACTTGTTAAGGCCGTCGTAGCCGTGTAGAAATTGGCCATCCAGCATTCCGTGACAGATGTGACCTGGCAATCTCTAATAGACAACGTTTGTCATTTGGATAAAAGGGAACGAAAACGTGGGCGACAGGGAGAGCGCCTTTTGTAGAATATGTATTTTCATGATATCATGCCAGACGCCTTTGGTCCTAATCAAGCCCCGATATTTGCAAAAATGCACACGAGATAGGATGTAATGGTGTTTCTGCGGCTACGAAAAATATGCGACTGGATTCCTGGATTGTACATACGTCTGTTGTGTCGTGTATGGAGGCCAGGGTGGGTACATTGCGGCTATGGGGAATCTTTCCCAGTACGCACTGGCAATTATGAGAAGACAAAACATAATGACATCCAGTTTCCAATGTCCCAAGTTTCCCAGTCCAGGAGAGTCTTACCTTTGCGTGGTGCTCGATACGAGGGTGTCCTAAAACACAAGTCATGTCCAGGGTAGGCGATATTGACGGGTAGCGCCAAGGTGATCCAGCGACAGCCAAGCCTCCAGCCCTCCACAGCGGGCATTCGGCAGCTAGGGCGATCTCGCTTGGCACAGGACGGGTGCTTTTCTTGGCCGGCAGACACGGGCCTCTCACATTCGAGCCAAGCGCCGCATCGAGCAGGCCAGCGACGACAATGCGTCACTCTTGGACGACATGGGATGTTTGTAGGGAAGAGACACTGGAGAACACTTGATGTGACTCTGTTGGTAGATAAATTAATACCCGGGGCTTGATTACTACTCAGTGAACAATGGAATGCTCACATATGCCATCCCCCGCCCGCTCGTCGACAGTGTCGGCTTCCCTCTTCTTGTTCGGCAGCTGCGGCAATTGTGAGGTCGCTGGCGGGTGGGCGGGGAGCCGGCCATGAGACTAGCCAGAACTGACCAAGGAGCTTGGCTCATGCGTGACCATGCTTATTTTCAAGCTTGACGGTCGCTTTATTTCCATTCTTCGTCGTGTGATTCTGCCTTGGGAATCGGGAGGCCCAGACCTCAATCTGCTGGCCAGTATGTGCACATTGCGCATTTAGGCAGACTGGCTGGGCGCACCACGCCTTGGATGTGGGAGGCCTCGTGAAGGATGAAGGTGTGATCAGCGGCCCTCCGTGTGTTCCGGCCCCGTTTAGCTTGCTTGTGTTCTCAATTCTCGAGGCCGTGACTAAAATGATGCTTATCGCGCGGCTCTTTATGGTGGAGGCTTCCCATCTCGACGGACATCGTTCTGGACCAGACAAGTGGAGGTCTCCTCTCATGTTGATTCGATCACAATTTATTCCAGAATATGGCATCGAACAAGTGTTGGGCCGACTCGGGCCGGATTCCCTTCGCCAACGAATGGCTGTTGGAAGTGTCGGAATATTGAGAGTGCACACTTGGGCGCCAGACCTGGCCCGCTAGAGTCGAGGCCTTGCGTGCAGCCACGGGCTTTTCTAATGTCCTCTTTCATTGGCGTTGGCGACGTGATGTCGGCAGTGTGACACAAGTGCAGAAAAGAGGCCATCCGGCAGCCGGCAGAGACCAGTGTCTCACCATCACCCGCGTCCCATCCGTCAGGCTGTCTCCTCTGCAAGCGGCCTACCCGCATTCCTCGACCAGTCTCAGACACGACTCACCCTGGGGCGAAACAGCACCTGAAAGCGTTGGCGCCGTGGAGAGTTGCTGGGGCGATAATTAGGTATCCGGTAGTTTCGACGCCCGCTATATCCCGAACCCTCACTTCTCCACGATGAGCGTGGATTCTTGGGACTAATAAGGAAAAGGTAATGGCGGCATTTCGCACGGTCGCTAGCAGCCCGCGACACTGCATCTAGTATCCGCCAGGCTGATCGCCTCTGTCTGTATGGATGCACATCAACAGGCAGACCCATCACGGGATCTCGAGGGCGCAGTCTGCCCTGGGGTCTCAGAAGTGCGCGCAAGCAGGCAGACACCTCTTCTTATCAGCATCTTGGTCCCCTAGTGCGGGCCACTTACACGAAAGCGGACAAAACTTGGGGAACATGTTCGTTGGCCATGAGGTCCCTCCTACATAGTATTGCATGTAGAAAAGGATGTGCCCCCTCTTCTCGGATGCGACCTGAAGCGCTTCCCTCTCTCCCTCTTCATCCCACCTGCTTGTGCGTGACGCGAAAGGAGTGCTTCCCAGACCTCACCTCAACATCCAGCACATAGCACCACCACAACCATGGGTCGCTCGTCGTCCTCGTCCATCAGGACGCCTGATGTTTCCGGTTCGGGCGCCGACAACGAGAAGCACCAGCCCGGCGGCGACTCGCACGCCAACATGGACATTCGCGGTCTCGAGACATCCGAGCACACGTCGCTGCACCGCGGTCTCAAGGCGCGCCACATTAGCATGATCGCCATTGGCGGCGCGCTCGGCACGGGCCTCATCATCGGTACCGGTGCGGCCCTGGCCAAGGCTGGTCCCGGCTCGCTCTTCATCTCGTACACTTTTATCGGCGCCATTGTTTTCCTCGTCATGGCGGCCCTCGGCGAGATGGCGGCCTGGATGCCGTTCTCGGCTGGCTTCACAGGGTACGCCTCGCGGTATTGCCATCCTGCTCTCGGTTTCGCCCTCGGATGGACCTACTGGTTCAAATATGTGATTGTGACGCCCAACCAGTAAGCGACGCATACGCGAGACTGAGAACGGATAGCCAACTGACATGACCACACAGACTGACCGCAGCTGCTCTTGTCATCCAGGAGTGGTGCCCACCAGACAAGGTCAACCCGGGCGTCTTCATCGCCATCTTTCTCGTGGCCATCATCTGCATCAACTATTTTGGCGGCATCAAGTTCTTTGGCGAGTTCGAGTTCTGGCTGTCCTCCATCAAGGTCCTCGTCATCCTGGGCATCATCCTCTTCTGCATCGTCATCGCAGCGGGCGGTGGTCCCAACGGCCAGGCGACTGGCTTCAAGTACTGGCGCGACCCGGGCGCGTTTGCCGAGCTCAAGGTCAAGGGCAGCGTGGGCCAGTTCCTCGGGTTCTGGTCCGTCATGGTCAACGCGACGTTTGCCTACCTGGGCACCGAGCTCGTGGGTGTGACCGCGGGCGAGGCGCAGAACCCGCGCCGCAGCATCCCCAAGGCTATCAAGCTCACCTTTTACCGCATCGTCGTCTTCTACTGCCTCAGCGTTTTGCTTGTTGGCATGATTGTGCCGTACAACTCGGACAAGCTGGCGTTTGCCAACGACGTGGGCCGCCCCGGCGCCAGCTCGTCGCCCTTTGTCGTGGCGGCCAAGGAGGCTGGTGTCCAGAACCTGCCCGGCATCATCAACGGCTGCATCCTCATCTTTGTCTTCTCGGCCGCCAACTCGGACCTCTACATTGCGTCGCGCACTCTTTACGGCCTCGCCAGCGACCGCTCTGCGCCGGCCATCTTCAAGCGCACCGACAGCCGGGGCGTACCGTGGCCGTCACTCATTGTGGCCTCGCTCTTTGCCCTGCTCGCCATGATGAATGTGGCCGATGACTCGCGCGCCGTATTCAAGCACTTTGTCAACCTCACCACCATCTTTGGCCTGCTCACCTGGATCTCCATCCTCATCACGCACATCTGGTTCTGCCGGGGTCGCCAGGCGCAGGCCATCCCCGACAGCATCATGCCGTACCGCGCGCCCCTCGGCATCTGGGGCTCCTACGCGGCGCTGTTCTTCTGCATTATCATTGCGCTCACCAAGAACTTTGAGATCTTCCTCGTCACCGGCGACGAGCCCTTTGACTGGCGCACCCTCATCACAGGCTACCTGGGCATCCCGCTGTACCTGCTCCTCCTCTTTGGCCACATTCTCATCAAGAAGTCGCGGGGCATCGCGCCCAAGGATGTCGACTTTTACACGGGCAAGGATATCATCGACCGCGAGGAGGAGGCATTCCTGGCCAAGAAGGAGGAGATGGCCGCGAGCAGGACTGGGTGGAACAGGTTCTACGATCGCTTCCTGTCGCCGCTGTTCTGAGGTTGGTTGTTTCCATGAATGTAAATAGATGTATACCCTGGCGTGTTTATGAGCGATCAAATGATTTCTTACAATTGGGAGTGGCCTCAAGTAACGAGTGAGTGGTGAGTGATGTGCATTGTGATACTGTCCGTCTCCATCATGACGCGATTCCGATCACGTGCGCAGCGCTAGTGCCTGAGGCCAAATTACCCCCCTGCAGGGTAGGCTCAACACCACTATCTCTCGGCTCCAGTCTCCTCTCCGGCTCTCACCATCGGCATCCTCCTCCAATCTCCACACATGGCGCTCAGGTCCACCCAGCCAGCTCAGCTCGGTCGTCTCCGCGCGTGTGCCGTGCTTGGCCTTTTCGCGGTATTGATCGCCTGACTCGCAGTCTCGCCCTTGTTACGTACCAACAACCTATCCTCCTCAGCCATGCCCCGACTCTGGCTGCAGCCGTCTGCACTCTGCTCGTGGTGCGCACGCGGTGACAAGAGGCTAGTCCAGCCATCTCCAAAGCACTAACGAGCAGATGACAGTCCTCCCCAAAGACTTGGAGCCGATGTCCCGGTCTTATCGTTCCAGGAGGGATGCACCCCGCAGCTGGGCATCAGCCTCGCGTCCCACCCCTGGCATCGCGCAGATACCGCAGATAAGAGGCGTGCGATCTCGGCCTCTCCAAATAAGAACGACGACCCCATCCGGTCCGCCTGCCTGAGAGAACAGTCACTGCTTCGACGGTCCATGCGATGCGACGTCACTCCTACAACTCGGCTGCGCTTTGAAACTGTCACGACTCTTCTCCTACAATTGAGCGATAGCTCACCTACGGTCACCGCAGAGCCGCCACGACGCTTACCACCACCACCGCCATGGACGCCTCCAGACGAGGTTCCGCGATGCAGGCGGACCAGGCGCTCGCGCGTCTGGGCTACAAGAGCGAGCTGCCGCGCAACCTCAGCATGCTGAGCGTGCTGGGCCTGTCCTTTGCCATCATGGCCGTGCCCTACGGCCTCTCGACGACCATGTACATCACCCTGACCAACGGGCAGGCCGTCTCGGTCCTCTACGGCTGGATCTTTGTCTCGCTCATCTCCCTCTGCATCGCCGCCTCCCTCGCCGAGATCTGCGCCGTCTACCCGACCGCCGGCGGCGTCTACTACTGGAGCGCCATGCTGAGCACGCCGCGCTGGGCGCCCCTCGTCAGCTTCATCGACGGCTGGCTCACCCTCGTCGGCAACTGGACCGTCACCCTCTCCATCAACTTTGGCGGCGCCCAGCTCATCCTCAGCGCCATCACCATCTTCAACGAGGACTTTGTCGCCAATGCCTGGCAGACCGTCCTCTGCTTCTGGGCCGTCATGATTGTCTGCGCCCTCGTCAACGCCTTTGGCTCCCGCTACCTCGACATTATCAACAAGCTGTGCATCTACTGGACTGGCGCCAGCGTCATCATCATCCTCGTCACCCTGCTCGTCATGGCAAAGGACCGCCGCTCGGCCGAGTTTGTCTTTGCCCACTATGATGCCTCCGCCTCCGGCTGGCCCGAGGGCTGGTCCTTCTTTGTTGGTCTGCTGCAAGGTATACAAGATCTTGACCTCTGATTTCATTCCCCGCTGACATGCGTAGCTGCATACACACTGACCGGCTACGGCCTGGTGGCGGTCATGTGCGAGGAGGTGCAGAACCCCGAGCGCGAAGTCCCAAAGGCCATGGTTCTGTCCGTCGCGGCCGCCGGTCTTACGGGCGTCCTCTACCTCGTCCCGATCCTCTTCGTCCTCCCGGACGTCCAGATGCTCCTCGAGGTGGCCAACTCACAGCCCATCGGACTGCTCTTCACGATCGTCACCGGCTCCAAGGCAGGCGGTTTCGGACTCCTCTTCCTCATCCTCGGCATCCTCATGTTCGCCGGCATCGGCGCCCTGACGGCCTCCAGCCGCTGCGCGTACGCCTTTGCCCGCGACGGCGCGATCCCCGGCTACCACCTGTGGAAAAAGGTCAACCCCAAGCTCGACATGCCGCTGTACGCCCTCATCCTCTCCACCGTCGTCGACTGCCTGCTCGGCTGCATCTACTTTGGCTCCTCGGCCGCCTTCAACTCCTTCACCGGCACCGCCACCATTGCCCTCTCCACGTCGTACGGCGTGCCCGTACTCGTCAACCTCGTGCAGCGTCGCAAGGCCGTCCGCCACTCTGTCTTCTCCCTCGGCAAGTTTGGCACCGTCATCAATGTCATCTGCGTCGTCTGGATCGTCTTTGCCTGCGTCATCTTCTGCCTGCCCGTCTCGCTCCCCGTCGACGCGAGCTCCATGAACTACGCCTCCGTCGTCTTCTCTGGCTTTGCCGCCATTGCGTTTGCCTGGTACTTTTCCTACGCGCGCAAGAACTTTACGGGCCCGCCCGTGGATAGGGAGGCCATGGACACGGTCGATGGGGTCATGGCGGCGCCGCACTCGCCGACGGAGGATCTGGGCGACGAGAAGGTCGTCAAGAGCAATGGCTCTAAGTCTAGGTGACAAGTTATCGTCCGCTGTACAATATGTTCGCCCATAGCCTTGAACATTCTTCATTGCATATGCAATGTTACCAATGGAGTTTGCTTGGACACCAGTGTGACGAACCAACACCACATCAAACAGGATCAGTTGGCATAATGCTGTATTGTGACAACACTCTTTGTAGCCACGGAAATGTATCTTTCTCTTTCACAACAGGAACAGACCTTCCAACAGAATCTATCGACAACCTCCATTCCTTTGCCCACCACTCGACATGACAATCACTCAAACGCACGGCACGTCGGGCAGAGGATCATCCGAGCCAATGTCCTCTCCTGTACTCACCAGCGTGAGGTGCTGACGTACCAGCTGAATCTGACTTGTCAGCTCGGGCGAGTTCTCCGGGTTGCCGTACGACAGGGTGAATCCGTCGGTGTGATTGACCCATTGCTGTCGCTGTTAGTATCCCTTGTCTGTCCAGTGCATGCAGTCGTCTGCTTACCTGGCAGTTGGGGGAGTTCCGCCCGAAGAGACTCCAGAAAGCATCACCAGTCGCAATGGGGCTCTCTCTCAGAACCTGGAAGAACTCATTCAAGTCATCCCCTGAACCACCAGTCCAGTCATACTCGCCAGCAAAGTAGGTACGCCCGGCGTCCGCCACGAGGTCGATGCCCTCCTGTAGTCTCGCTACATCGGGCCCGTAAAAGTGATCGGAGAAGATGTCGACCTCTTCAACCGCAAAGTGGTCCGCGTTGATGCCATATGTTCCGTCAACATAGAGCTTCTTGGGGGCCAAGTCCTTAACAAAACGACCAATGTCACGAACCCATTCCGTCGGGCAGTTCTTGTCGCCCCATTTATCACCGTACAGCTCGTTGCCACTCTCGTAGGCGAAGATGGTCGGGTCCTCCGCATAGGTCAAGTTGGTGAGCGGGTTGACGTGCGTGAGGAGACGTTCAATGTACCACTTGAAGTCGGTGACGATGGACTGGTTGTAGTAAAACTCCATGATGAGCGGATCCTCGGGGTTCTCAGCAAAGGTGAGGTTGTAGCCTGCCCAGCGGAGGAAGTTGTACTTTCCGCCGTGGTAGTAGTCCTGGACGAACATGTCAGATATCGATGCTGTCTCCGCGTGCAGGTGACAACGTACATAATGATCTACTAGGGGCACCATCAGCCGCACACCGTGCCTGCGAGCTTCAGACACGACCCAGTCCATGGTCTCAAACGCCTTTTCATTGATGACTCGGTTGCCCGGGAGGAGCGAGAGTGGGTTTCCAATGTTGCTCCCGAGGGTGTGGACTCGAAGCATTGTGCCGCCCATGGCGCGGATGATCTCCATAGCCTCGGTGATCCGTCCACGCGTTGGGTAGCTGCTGTTTGTCCTCGCGTCAAAGGGCTCGCCTGGAGGTGGCGGCACAATGTTCTCGTCCAGACCCAGCCAATACGCATTGCCTCCAACGGGACGCCAAGGCTCGCCGCCTAGCGAGAGCTCGGTGCCATTGCGGACGACGTGTTGGTTCTGCGTGCATGCACCAGAGGCCACACCGACGAGACAAGGGAGGATTTGAGAGGGCTTCATCGTGAAATGTGTGCTCGCTGTTGGTCAGGGCCGATGAGATGTTGAGACCGGGCGTAGTTGCTTTTGTACCTCCATTTTCCCAGGTCCCCGGAACTTTGAACGCCCGCTTGTGAGGACGTCCAGTCTTTCTCCAGGTGAACTGACTGCCGACCCCACTCCATTGCTGTGTTAGGAAGTTGGACAGAGGTATGGCGATGATGATTTGGCGCTACAGGAGGCGTCACAGCCGATCTGTGAGCGGGCTTGGCGAGGAGACGCGCGAATCGAATGACCGTCCTAGCGCGGTCGGTAGCTACAGTTGATTTGATGCACGAGGCCGTGGCGTCGAAAGACAAGATTTACCCCGACCTGGGGGAGGTCGGGGTAATGCAGCTGATGCCGTGATTGGTGACTGATGCCACCGAGGTTTGAGCTCTAAAGTCTGGACACCATCTTCTGGCGGTATTACAAAAATACTAGCTCATTATGGATTCGATATACTCACCCAAAAAAAGCTACCGCTAGTGAGCTAAATCTCGTTGCCTATGGTTTAGTGCTATGGATAAGTGCATGCTGAGCTACAAATCTTTTTATAACCTTACACGGACTTGAGGCATCATGGTACCATACATGGTGCTCACAGGCTATAATGCCCGAAGTTAGCACCACTCTTGACAGGGCTATTGAATGTCGTCGGTCAATAATCTAAATAGTAAAGACAGCCACGTTCATAACTTCATATTGGCATCAAGCTCACCACCAAAGCTCACCCCTACCCTGCAGGGAGTTCAACATTTGCTTCAAACTTTGTCTCTCACTCACTCACAAACTCAAACTTGACTTGCACCCAATTGACAAGCAGAATGGCAACTCCGCGCCTTTGTGCGCCACGTCCAACCCCCCTATCGCTCAAGCTGCTCGTGCTCTGCTGACCGGGTGGGCTGACCTACCCTATACGAGTACGCTCCACGATTGACCGTCTCGACCTGCGATTCCTCTTCCACCCACAGCAATCTTTCCACTGCCACAAACGCGCACAACAGACCACGGCCCCCAAAGACAATGACGTCTGCCTTGGAGAGCCTTCCAGTTGAGATTCAATGGAAAATCTTTGGCCTCCTCGACCCAATTGGCCTCATTGCCGCCAGCCAGACCAGCAAAACCTTGCGCGAACAGATCCGCCCCCAGCGCTGCCACTTTCAAGAGCGCCTACTGGCCGTGGAATGTCTGCTCGAGTACCACGCGGGATGCACATTCTCTACGGCCAAAAACACACCCTCGCCGTGGTGGACTAGTCCCGAATGGGATCAAGCTCGCTTTGCGTGCGGCGCGTGTCTCAAGCTTCGACGCCACACCAGCTTCCAGCACAAGTACATTGCCCAGCTCCGATTCAAGAAACCGTACCTGGGGTCACCGCCCACCCTCATGCGCACCAGTTGGACACCAAGCAACCGCGGCAAATCGTGGGGACGCGCCCAATGGCAGCGAGACAAGCAAAATGACGCTCTGGCGCCTCCTTTATGGAAGAAGCGGCTGCGCTGGGCGACGGGTGTATGGCTCGCGGCTTATAACCTTGCCTATCGTGAAGATAGGCGCCAAACCCATTTGGAATCCGTCTTGACTCTTACCGAGCTAGGAAGCCACGCCATGCCAGAGCAGGGAATCGAAGCATGGCCCGAAATCACCACGTCGGATATCGGCGAGGTGATGCAGAAAGAGATCGCCCGTATTGAATATCAATACGCGGGCTACGACAGGGCTCAACGGCTCTGCAACTCTTGCTATCTGACCAAGCATGGATCGAAGGATGCCGGCCCGCCCACGAACTTGTTTTCGGAGTTGAAAAGTCGAAAGCTCCCGTATGCTACAGCAATCGAGCGATGGTTCCCAGGACTTATTGGTCGCGGTGCTTCTGACGGGTCATCTATCTTCCCAGACGGGCCTCGCCATCGTCGAAGAATCAGCAGATTGACCATAGGTACAAGCGCCACATGGGATCTGAAACACAAATTGTGCCAGATGTGTCATATTCCCAAGGAAATCCGGTCGTTTGCACACAGTAGCGTGGATGTGAGGAGCTTGAACTCGCCGGCAGGTGGCGAGATTGTCGACCGCACGCACGTCACCTGCCATCAATGCATTGCAAAAGAAGAGGGCGGCCGTGAACAGTTGAGCGAGCTGCTGAGGGAAAGGGCCCTCAATATCTGCGAGAGAGACATGCTCAAACTGCAGTCGACCCTCTGCGTTGTCTATAAACCACCTCTCGCGTTATCGACGGGTGAGTTTCCCCTGATGGAGGAGGATGCGCCTGTAGGGCCATACCAGATACCAGCCTATGATCAAATCTGGAGTCTTGATGAGCTCGAAGAGATGGTGCGACGCTACAGATACTGTCTTCATTTGCGCGAAAAGGACTTCTTCACAGACTGGCTTCCGCGATTTGCTGGAATAGAGAAACCGGACATGGATTGGATCCTTGAGCTGTGGAAGTGGTTCCGTGACACTGCCAACATGGCGAGAGAGCACCCACACGTCTTGCTCGACTGGGCACTGTCCAGGCATGGCGCGGAGCTTGATGATGTCGCTTGAATTCGCTGTATAGACTGTCTATCTATAGATATATTTAAATCAACGCCTGCGGCGGGTACGCGTTGCCCTCTCGCAGACAACGGTCAACGTGATCCTTGATCTTCTCCGCCACCTCCTTCGCCTGATTATTCAACGCAGGTGACTCATCGGAGAACCTCAACCAGCCGCCTCCAATGGCGGTCGCATATTTGACACGGATCTTAGGGTTCGCTGCCTGGTCCCGGGAGGAAGAGGTCGCTTCCTGCGCACCAGTCTTCGTCGGGTCGAGGATGACCGAGATGAAAGGTGACCCACGCTTGCGCGCCGCAGCCTGAATCTCCCTCTTGATGGAAAACTCATGCGCGTCAGAGGCGCGACTGTTGGCGAAGATGTATGTGAGATGGGGTTGGGAATCTTGCGTGGCGACGTACTCCAATGCCACGCGACGCTTTGGTATGGTCAGTTTGGCTTCGTCATGCAGGGGCTGGGGACCATTGTGGCAGGGTCTCTTATGGTACTTACGCATTCCTTGGACACCTCCAACAGATGGTCGTGGTGCGCTGCTTCTTTTGTTTTGTCGGCCTCCAAGCCTACGGTCATATTCATATCGAGGACCCCTGACTGAGGGATCAAGCGGCTACACCTGGTCAGACCTGGTGGCCACGTGTTTCGGTGAGAGAGGATTCATAACTTACTGGAGCTCCTCGGCCACCTTCTTTTTGTGTTCGACGGGCTCACCGTTGATAGAAATAAACGGGTGGTCGGCTGGGTTGTTCTTTGGTTTGGCCATCGCTGCGGATTTCGTTTGCTTGTCCGTAGGATTACTTTTTTTTCGTTGGCACGAGAATCAGGGTCCCAGGTTTTACGGTAACCATCTGCTACTTAAAATAAATATGCTGGGTGCCATGTCAGTTTCTTTGGCGCCTCAAAGCTAAAGGGGCCCTCCCACAACATTAAGTTCGAGAAAAGGGGCCTTGCCATCACATTAAGTTCAAGATTAAGTTCCATCGGGCGACGCACCAAAGACCTTAGCTCATAGGCACTCTCTTGGCATGAAATCAATCATTCAAAATCATATCTCATGTTCATCACATGCGTCGCACATCCTTTCGGTCCCTTCTCCCCGTCCTTACTCACGCGGTAGGCTCGGCAGTAGGCAAGCAAGAGCAGGCAGATGACACGCGCGAGACGACGTTGGCACCGCAGGCCTTGGAGGCGTACTCGGGAACAGCAGCCACGTCAGCAGACCAGCCATCAGTCCAGTCCGCGCAGAACTCCTGCGACTCGGCCAGACGGCCGTTGACCGAGGTGGAGCGCATGGCACGCAGGCAATTGTCGGCGTTGCACTTGTGCGTCTTTGGACACGACTCGCGCTTTGTCATCTTGGCCAGGTAGGCGCCGCGCTCGATGGTGTTGATGAAGACAAAGCCGGAGTCGAACATGGCGTAGTGGGACCAGGAGCCGAACATGTCGGCAATGCCACCGCCAGGAGCGCTGTCGTCTATAAAATATTAGTCATTGCCACAGTCTAGTCGAATCAGACGGCTCTTACCCTCGGGATAGATGTCCAGGTAGGCAATCTCGCAGACAGAGTCCCCAGTGGGGTCCTCGGGGATCGACGAGATGTCGTACACCCGGTATCCAGCCATGTACGAAGACTGGTGGGACAGACCGTCCTTGATGTATTGGTTGTGGTCGACACTTCTAACACTTGCCTTATACAGGCCTGTGAGCTTAGGCAGAGTAAGGTCCTTGATGTTCCAGATGTAGGTGACAGCGTAGCCATCGGCAGCCATGCCGGTCTTGTAAATCTCATCGAGTTCGTCGTCCATCAGGAGGTACTCCTGGTTGTTGGGATCAAGCACCCACCCCTGGTGAGTATAGGCGGCCCCCTCGTAGGAGGTGACGGAGATGATCTTGTTCTTTGTCTTGTCGGACACGTCGTAGCTGTCATGGTCAGCGTTGGCACCCATACGCCCCACACCAAGAACTTACATAGTCAGAGTGTCCTCGTTGAATCCGTAGCAAATATCCTTGCCGTCGTATCTCTTATCAGGGCCACGGTAAACAAGACACTGCGCGTCGTGGACATAGCCATCGTCGCCGTTGCAGCCCATGTAGGTAGGGTTGGTTGGGTCACTGAGATCGAAGAAGATGAGGCCAGCCTTGCAGCCAGTCCTACGGGGACGCGAGCCGACAGCGACACCGTAGCCGAGCTCCTCATTGATGACCACGTTGTGCGAGGCACCCTCGGGCAGCTCCTTGAAGTGCGAGGCAACATCCTTCTCCACGTCAAACACCTTGACCTCGCTACCATCCAGGTCAAGCAAGGTGGTCATGTCAAAAATCTGGATACCGTGGTCGCCCAGCTCTGAACCGATGAGCATGTAGTTCTTGTAGCTGCGAATCTCCTTCCAGAAGGCATCGTCGTTGGTGGGAGCAGGGCAAGGCAGAAACCCCAGCTGGAGCAGGCGACCCTCGGGCAGAATCTCGAGGAACGCGGTTCCGTCGTACATGCCGTTGGCGACAAACTCCCGCTTACTCTCAGGATCAGTCCAGCCCCATGAGGAGCTACCAGTAAGGAGAAGGCCGTTACCGCCCTCATCCCAGCCGTTGGGCGAGCCTAGAGTGGCGTGGTTGATGAAGTCGTAGAGGTCCATGTTCTTGCAGCGGAAGGTCTGCATGGGGTCTCCCTTGACAGCCTCAATCTTGCCATCGATGCACTTTGTGTAGTTGAGGCGAGGCCATTGCGTCGAGTCGAGCAGACCGGCGTCATACTCGGCCCTCCAAGCAGCCTTCTTGCGTGCCATGCTCTCCATGTGGACGACGCCGCTGTCGTAGAGCCCTGTTCATGTTAGATTGTCCATGCCTTCCAAGCTTTCTGCACTACGGTCACATACTCGAGGCTTTGATGTCGTCCTTGGGGAGTTCCCTGGCCACGGCCATGGCAGTCATGGCCGCACCGGCTGAGAGAGTTGAGAAACGCATGATGCTCGTGGTCATCAACGATGCCTTTCAAAGCAGAATACAGACGAAACACGAGGACACGAGCACGACAGCACCCTCGGCTTAAATACTTGCTCGGGCATTGGCATCCTGGACAGGCGTGCCATCGCCAAGCTGCTTATAAGCAAGTCCAGTTACTGCCAGCCACCCATTGTTACCGATAAGAGGCACAATAATGCCAATGGGCACGAGCGTTTCCCATTGTTGTCGGCGTCTGATAATGGGAAATTGGGAACTTTGGAGAAGCAGCAGCCTCTTTCAGGATCTTGGCTGGTCACTGCATGGAAAACGCTTATCAACTGCCTCTTCAGGCAGGTCGACGTCGGATCTAGACGGTGAAGGCTCCAATCACGCACTTTGCCGGACACAATGGACCCCGCTGCCCCAGGCGAGGCTCACGAGGAGACAGGATCTTGGGCCTCTTTGTCTGGACGCTCGTTCCTGCGCGCCAACGACTGGCACAAGCTGTCTGTAACTGGGCAAAGGGCGGGCTGCTGTGTCGCACTGCATGTGGCTTGAGCCTTGAAGAAAGGTGGTGCTCTGGCCCAGGCCTTGGATATTAAGGTTTATTGCTTGGCTCGGGTAGCGTGCCAACAAGATGCCGCTTGTTTATGCTTGAGCTATGCTTACACCGCGTGCGGAGTCTGGACCCCTGACAATTTCACTTGGCTTGGCGGGAGATGTTCGACAGGTGCGGCTCCTTGGACGCCTCTGGCTTCATTGGGCTCACCAATACGTATTCAAGAATTAATGAACTGCAGGACCAAATAAATAGTCTTTTGTGGGATTTGGACCTGAGCCAATTTGACTCTGAGCCTTCTTACTAAGTGCGCTTGGTTAACCTTTTCGGCGTGGCCCATTCCTCTCACAACATTTGCCGTGGGAATCGGCCGGCGCTTGAACTATCTCAAACAAAAATTGATAAATTGTTTCTCAAGGTCTATCTGACCGTTCACTCGTGAAAGCTCGCGGTGCTTTCGCTGGCTGACAGCACAATGTATCTTCAGAACCCGATTTTGACACCTCACTCCTGGCTCCTCATCAACTCCATATTGAGATGGCTGTGAGATTATCTGTGGCCAAAAGATTTCTGTCTCGAAGCCTATTTATAGCGCGGTCAGTGGAAAACACCAATGAGTTTTAAATGGACTCGTTTAGATTCCAATGGGCTGCGTTAAAGTCGACCTTGGTGGACATGATAGCGCGACCATGAGATGGGCACTAACATGCCTAACGATTTATAAATACCGAGGAACCCAGCTTCTGCCAAATATACTGAGCATCCGCCATCGTCATCATCAACTACTTCACTCACATCGACACATCACACCACATCCCCGTCATGTTTGTCTCTTGCTGGATCGTTGTGCTCACGCTGGCCATGGAATTCATGGTAGCTTCGTCACCGGTTCCCGGTGCCTCCCCGAACAAGATCTCGGAGCCACGGCCCACAGACACTACTGGAGTGTCGCGCGACTCGCTACTTGATCTTCTTCACATTGCTGACGTCGAGGACTTGCCAGATGACGACAAGATGGCTGGAAACATCGGTAGCGTTCTCGCGATATTTGCGAAAGCGTTCGAGGAGCATGAGACGGCTCCTGGGCTGGAGCAGGCCAGCCTGGAGGAAGTCAGCCGAGAGAAGTCCAGGCCTCTGGGGAGGATGGAGCTCGACTACGCGGGAGCTGGCGTCCCTGCTCGCCCGTCTAATATGACGGACGATGATATGAGAGCGACCACGGACGAGTTGCTCTACGACATGTCTGTGAAAGACTTCCTCAAACGCCGCGCAGCAAAGGACCCCAACTGGCTGCTATGGACGTCAGATGGGTGCACAGGGTCCTTGGACAAGCCGTTTGGGTGGCCCTTCAGAGTATGTCTTTGAAGTTCCCTTCTGGCCTATGATGACTTGCATACTGACTTGAACCGCCAGCAAGCATGCTTTCGACGCGACTTTGGCATCAGGAACTACCGGCTTCAGAAGCGATCTGGGAGGGCAGTAAAGGACGATCTCGACAGGCTGTTCCTATATGAGTATGTTCAATGACCCAGCACAGTTCTCTGTGGGTGGCATCTGCTGACAAGTGTGGACAGTACGAGGGACGTCTGTGCCAGGACGGCCAAAAGCCTCACCCGGCCCTCGTGTAATATCTTGGCAGGGATTTACTATGCAGGCGCACGCCACTTTGGACGTAGGTTCCAGTAAAAGTCGGGTGCCACTGGCCAGTTGTATGTGTGGTGAGGCTGGTGAGGGTCGTGGAGCAGTGTCAAGCGTTGTTGAATATGAAGCCAGCTCTTGCAATCTTGCATAACACCTTTATGATAACCAGATTCATTGCGTCCCCAAGCAGAGGGCCCCTATACCTTGTGCAAGTTCTGTCCTCGAACAGCTTCTATCCCTGGCACAAGGTCTTTCAAGAAAGACCACCGTGTCCTTTGCTTCCATCCCTTGTGCATGAAATCGTTCGCTTTTTGAGGGTACAAGTCGGCTACCTCCAGGATTGCCGGGTCATGTGCTACAGCAAGCCAGACGTTGTCGAGCGCGTCAAGCTCTTGTACCTTGTCAATGGTCTCCTTGGCAATGGCGGCGTCGGCGTGCGCTCCCTTGGACGTTGGCTCGAAGAAGGGCGAGCCGCGGTCCTTTTCGCGACAGAGAGCATTCACAGCATCAGCCGGACACATCCCACTGTCCTGCAAAGGATTTGGGGATATATCGTCCTCAAGGGGCGTCCACTTGTTCGGACGCAACTGGCCCATGTGGTGAACGCAGTCGGCGCCCAGCAGGATGAAGGAGTCGGGCTGGCTCGTCACGCGCGCCAGCGCACACATGTGACCCTGGCAATGGCCAGGTACGTCAAGGAGGTAGAAACTCTGGTCTCCAAAGTAGTCCATGGCCGGCATCCGGCCAATGGTTAGATCGAATTCGTCCGACGTGATCTCGCGCACGTTACGACCGGCAAAATCCGATTCCAGCACGCCGCTCTTGTCGTCCGTCGGGTAGCCGGGCGTGAAGCCAGCTTTGGAGCCAGGCCCAATGACCAACTCGGTTCTGCCTTCAAATGTGGATGGATCGCCAGTGTGGTCAAAGTGGCCGTGGCTCCAAATGATAGCCTCAGTGGCACTTGTGTCCTGTCCGTGCTCCTCCAGGATATCACGGACACCCTTCTCTGTCTCTATGACGAAGCCAAAGTTCTTGAGACGGGCGAGCATGGGTGCTGGGAGGTTCTGCCAGTCCTTCCGCACGCCGAGGTCAAACAGCACGGCGCGATGGGACTTTGTGTTGCGGACCATGAAGGAGAAGGCTGGAACGACCATGGTCTCCAGTCCGAAGTCAATGGGTTCCATGAACGCCGCTGATGGACAGATGATATTGGACGTGGTGTCGATGATGGACACGTCGACCGTTGCATCCGACATGGACGCAGGCAGCTTGGGCAGTACATATTCTTTGGTTGAAGTTGTCGATGCCATGGCGGACGGTTGGGATTGCGAATCTCATGCGTGTGACTGATATAGGAGGAGTCCTCGATCACAGGTAAGTGAGCAAGATTGGGATTCTTTATAGACTCTTATACATTTGATGTGTACATATATCTGACCTGCGGAAGTCGGGAGTCGGACATTGTGACTTGTGACTGTCAGATTTGACGTCATGTCATCACGAGCTGCACCAGCGGCGGGAGTCGCGGGAGTTACGGGAGTCGCGCGGAACGCCATCAGACTCGTTGTATCAACGCTGCTATGTGCAGAGTCCTTGTGAGTTTTCTTGTTCCTAGGAAGCAATTATGTTATTTGGAGGTCTGTATAGCCTGGCTTCAAGCCCCTTATTCGCCTTCATATTGCATGTGGTGTCGCTGAGCAGCTCCCGGTGTACAGCGCATTAAGTGGTTGGGGGACGTTGCGAGTGCGAGGCTGCGAGCCATCAATCACTCTGGGGATTATGCATCTCGGATTATCGGCACATATGATCGCAAAAAACGAGGAATGATAAAAGAACTCACTATATTTCGTTCTAAATTTGGAGCCTGATCACATCAGTCCTAAGCGCCTGGTGTGGCCCTGCCTGTGTTTGGACAACCCCTATGCCATGTTCGTCGACACCACGCAGCGCAATAACTTGAATGAAATCGGGTTCAAGATAAGGTACTCGGATTTCTGGACTCTGGGCCGTTCATTTTTTTTGTCTCTCCGCGTCGTCGTCTTCAAGCCGATCATCTGGCTCACAACCGGGAACTTGACACCTGCGGCCCCCAATCCCCAGAATTCGAAACTATCACCATTTCCCACAATCGAGCCCACCAATGTTGAACTACGTGGCAAGGTCTGTCCACAGTCAGAAGCCGAAGCCGTCGATTCTGCTATGAAGATGGCGAGATAATACTATATGGAGCTCAGCCCCAAGCAGCCCAGGCGCATCAACGTCATTGCACCTGAAGTTTCTTATCACGGCTCGACTCTGGGGTCCTTGTGATTGAGTGGCCACGTCGGAAGACGGAAGCTTCTTCCAAGACATGCTGCTCAAAAATATCCACCGTGAATCGGCTGCGAACGAGTACAGGGGCACTGCCGCAGACCAAACAATGCAGCAGTACGTGCAGCAACTGGCCGCCGAGCTGGCTCAAAAATTTCAGGATATCGGTCCTGATACGTTTGCGCATTTGCTGCTGAGCCTGTTGTTGGGGCGGTCAGCATTGATCTTCTGCGCGTTCATGCGCTCTGCTGATTGTGTTGTGCTCCAGGCCATTGGCACAGTCCCTGTCCCTGTTGGCGATTTCAAAGCCATGAAAGAGATGTGCGACAAATATGGAACACTCCTCATCATGGACGGTTTCTACAAGACATATTTGGACTGAATAAAAATGATTGGTCATGAGCAGAGGTTATATCTGGAATGGGTCGTGTGGGATGGCTTCACGCGTGGGAGCAAAAAGAAGTCGTCCCAGACATTGAGACAAAGGTCTGGGAGGAGGATTCGCACCAGTCGCTTCTGTGCTCATCAACCACCGCGTGGCAAGTGCGTTGATAGATGGCAGCGGTTAAGTGGTGAAGTCTTGCGTCTCCTTTTTCTCGAGTCTAATATCCGCACCAGGACTTTCTCAGACGGACACACGTACCAAGGCCACCGTGTGGAATGTGCCACCGCATTGGAGGTCCAACGTATTATAAAGGAAGACAATCTGGTGGACAATATTCGCGAAAACGGCGAGTATCTCGGCAAGCTTCTGCACAGACACCTAGACAGTCACCCATATGTGGGTAACATCAGAGGCAGAGGCTTCTTCTGGTTAGTACTTCTGATAACGCTGTTGTATCTGGTTGATTATGATTTAGAGCTAATGGATTTGAAGCTTGGATTTGTTGCGGATAAGAAGACGAAAGAGCTATTCTCGCCATCAGCAGCCATCGCGAGCAAGGCTCACTCGACCGCGCTCAACAACACAGGCATTAGCTTGTGCCCGGAAACGGACACCAAGGACGGTGTGAATGGGGACCATGTCCTGCTCGCCCCTGCTTACACGATCACGAGCAAAGACGTTGGGAGGATAGCTGGCAAGGTGAAGGAGGTGGTGGTGACTCGGGCATACGAGAAGATTTGATAAGACGGGAAGATGCGGTATGTCTGCATGTGGTGAGTCAGTGCCAAGAGGCTGCTTTACGGGAAAGGCTTCAGCATGGTGTTGTAACTTGTATCCGTAGAATCGACACATATCGCAAGTAAGAGACCAAGCGAGGCGCATTTCTGGAACTCAAGAGAGTTTTCTCGCCCAGTGTGCGTGAAGGCGTACTATCAGTATCTGTGATCCTTCATCCTGCTTGTGTTCAAGAATCAAATGATGAATCTCTCAAAGTTTGGGTGCCTGCAATTGTGCTCATGGATAAAAATAGTGCACATTCAGCCTTATGCTTCATTGCGGCTTAGCGTTCTTGGCAGCACAGGGGCCTGTGGGGCTCCGGGTCCACGTCCAATCACATCGCCAGCGGATCATCAAAGGTCCGCGCTTGCAGGGCTCAATCGCAGCCCCCTGCACGGAGCTTTCCAGTCTGGGTCTAGACCCGTGTGACGCTGTAGGCTAGTGAGTCACCCGGCTACGCGACTGGCTGGGCCGAGATAGGCTGACTTATTCCAAACGCAGCTCTTCCCCACGCCAGACAGCAGTACTTCTGCTTTAATGTGTCGACCAGCCCAGCTGAGCGGTGCCAAGGCCCAAACCACCCCTAACCGAGCATTCTGGGATCGTGCAATTTCACGAGATCCTGCAGCAATCTTTGCGTGAGTTTTCTCTCGCTTGAGCCATGGCTGCGATAATAAGAGCCCGGAGCGCGCTCCCGCGCGACTCACCCACTTCCCCATTTCTACGCTGATCACATCCGCCCCGCGCAGCATCACCCACCAGTGACCAGACCAGACAGCGTCGCGACTCGCCATTGAAGATGAGGCTCACTCATCAACTCGCGGCTGCGGCTGCCTTTGTGCTGCCGGCCGCTGCGACGCAATGGACCGTCACGTCGTACTATGTGGCCACCGAGACGACGTCTGTCTGGACCATGTACGATGAGACGTACACGGACGTGATGACCTTTGGGCTCCAAAAGTCATACACGCCCGACGAGGATGCTGCGACGTCGACGTCGAGCTATATCTATACGTATGATGATCTCAAGGTTGTCGAGATCTACGTCGACCCTGCCAAGATCGAGGAGGACCAGATTGTGACCTCGACATCCTACGATGATTACTCCTACGACGACCCAGTCACCTACTACGTCCAGAACATTGTCTACACAGCTCCCACGTCGTGTCCCACGGCCTTCACCGTCACCACGCAGTCCACCTTGGCCATTCCCACCGAGGTGCTCGACGGCGTCAGCTTTGAGTCCTTCTCCACATCGTACTACACCGACTACTATGGAGACAGGCAGACGTACATTGACGCTGTCGTGCCCGACAGTCTGATCCCCACGTCGTCCGGCGACTTGGCCACCGACTACATCTACTCGTACTTTATCGCCGACTGTCGCAACCCTACCGCCACGGGTGATGCGTACTACGGCCCTACCTACTGGGGCAGCGACGACGAAGACAGCGGATCCTCCTCGGACAGCGGCAGTAGCAGTGGCGATTACTACGACTCCATCTGGGGTTACCACCCCCTGCGGACCTACGTGATCGTCGTCGCCTCGGTCCTCCCCGCCATCTTCCTGCTCGGCTTCTTGGAGAACTACTTTTGGTTCCGGAGGATGATGACTGGCAAGTACGTAACTATCTATGACTCCTCTGATATCACCGTAACTAACTCTCCCCAGATTCTCCCTCCGCTTTGGTACCTGCTGCTGGATCTTCCTCCTCCTGCCGGTCATGTGCTTCACGCGCCAATGCCCAGCCCGTGACCCCGAGACGCAAAAGACCCTCAAGGCCCAGTGGAAGCAGACTGGCTTCGGCAAGGCCCTAGGCCTATGGTTCAAGCATGGCTTCCGCCATCGCTACCCGGTCGACCTGCTCGGCGTGAACCCGCTGTACAACAACCCAGCGCAGCCTCAGCAGCCCCCCATGGGCCAGCCCTTCCCTGGTGGTCCCCCGCCGCCCGGTGGCTACATCTACTACGCCCCTGGTCCGCTGCCGGATGGCTCCATGCCTCCTCAGGGCGATGTCAAGGGAATGCCACCCCACGGTATGCCGCCGCATGGCATGCCCGCGCCTCCACCAGGCATGGTCATGTACTATCCTCAGTATCCCCAACAGGCGCACATGCAGCCCCAGCCTACTCCTGCGCCCGGTGCGTCGCCCAGTTCGCCGAGCGTAGTGTCCGACGCAACGCAGCAAGCCCAGTACGCGCCCAGCCAAGCGACGGCACCGAGCCAGGACGCTTCAGCGCCACAGACAGTTCCTCAGCCGCAGCAGCAGGAGCAACATCCTCCCCTTGGGCAACCGGGGCCCTCTGCGCCTCCGGCTACTCACCAGCAATGATGATTTTTGGCCACGAGCATGAGACATAGGGGCAATGCATACTCTTCTCAGCATGGGCGCGCTGGAGTTTCTGAGCGTTTTGGATTCAGCATATACCAGATCACACTAGATCATCTCATACCGTACCATACTAGCATAGCATAGCACGCTGGATTATCATCCACTCTTAATATGTATTCACCACCTCTATCTATCTTTCATTCTACGACTGACCATTGCGAAACGGGAAGCTTTCCACTTGCCGCCACCAACCGCGATCATATCTCCACAGGATCAACCCCTCGACCTCGCCACGACTTTCCGTAAAGTCACGCCTCACCTCGTCCATACACCGTCCCACCCGTTCCTTGTCATTCTCCTTGTTCAAGATCGTATATTGGCCCTTCCATTTCGCCCGTCTGTCCTGCTCACTCAGAAAAGGCGCCCATCTATCCCTGAGTTCCGCGCGTATTTGGCTCGCCTTTGCTTGCGCTGGCTTGGAGATGTTGACGCCCACCCCTTTTCCCATGGGATACGCACCCTTTCCTGAGGCGACCACGTCAAAGGGCGAAGTGTGCCCTGCCACGCCCGCGACGTCGTCTTTGACTTGTTGTAATTTTGTACCGGGCAGAGCGTGGAATAGGGTGACGTGCGCGTTGACCTTGAGCAGCTTCTTGGGGAACCACTGCCTTCGCAGCGCCGTCATCGCCTGGTGGTGGGCCTTGTCCGTCCACAGTGTTAACACATAGTGATCATCATCCTCTTGTGCCTGCACATTGGGTTTGTGCTCATCGCGACGCTCGTGTATTTGTTGCGGATGGTCTATGTGGAATGAGGCCGTCTGGGCGTGCGACGCCGGTGATGGGCTGTGGGAGACGGCTACCCTGGAGGTTGGTGAGATGGTGGTCACAGTCATGCTTCGTGGAGCGCGATGCAAGGCTTGAGCGAGCCGGAGATGTTGCATCTTTTTGCTAAGGTAAGCTGTTGGAAAATTTAATACAACAGCAAAAGATCCAAAGCCCGATGAATTAGTTCCTAACATGAAGTCTTGACGTCACTGTCTCCAAGCAGCTCACCTGGAACGTCTCCACGGCAGTCTTCACTCAAATGCGACAACAATGTTCTGGCTGAACGCCAAACTTGCACTAATATCTATCATTACTGCGTGTCAAATGGACGCATTATCTATGTCTATATCCAATCTAGTGACTCTTCGGCCATCTCATGACCAAGTCAAACACAACAGCTCCAAGCGATGCCATGATCCGTCATCGCCGTCATCGCCGTCATCGCCGTCATCGCCCAGGGCCCTAGAGGCTAGGCGCCTCCCTTAGGTGCAGTGAGCGGTGCCATCAGCGTGCGTGTGGCAGTTCTCACCACCAGCATCGCCATCGTCAGCGTCGTCCCCAGTCGCGGTAGGCGAGGCACTAGTGGTCGTGGCGGTGCTGGTCTCCTCGTCCTCGTCCTCTGTCTCCTCCTGGGTGCCCGTGCAGCCGGCGCCCGGGACGGCAATATCGTAGGCCCAGGCGTCAATGGCAAACATTTGCAGAATATCCGAGTCGTAGCCAGTTAGCTCGGGCTCCTCCTTGGCCAAGCGCAGGGCGTCGTTGTAGTCCTCGGCATAGTGGTGGACGAGCTCCTCGGAGATGGCGGGCACGTGTAGGACGCGGTGCAGCAGGTCGACGGCCCAGTAGGTGTTGAGGGCCGAGTTGGCGACGGTGAAGCCGTGGGCGCAGACGTCGAAGAGGTTCTTGCGGATCTGGAAGGACAGGTCGCAGATGACGGTCTCCTGTGTGGCATTGTCGCCGCGCCAGTGCCCGGCCCACGCTGGTGTGTGTTAGTCTCAAGCCATCCAGCGGTCAAAGCCTCTCCAGAAGTGACTGTACTTACCATCCTGAGTGGCGCAGTTCTTATCAGGGTCGTCGCAGCGGAAGGTCATGGCCGACTTGTCCGCAGACACGACACGGTCGAACCAGCCAATGGGCACAGCCGTCGACGAGTTGCCAAAGTACTTCTTGACGAGGTCGCTCTTGTCGCCGAAGCGGAGCAGGTGGTCGCGAGCATGCTGGGCCAGCTGCATAGTCTCGTCGAGGGCAAACTCGAGGGCGGCATGCTTGGTGGCGTTGCAGGACTCGTGGATCGGGTACTTGGTCTCCCAGCCTTCAGACCAGTTGTAGACGCTCTTGGACTCGCCGCTGGTCTCGGGACCACTGGGGAGGATAGAGGTGGGCGCCTCGCGGGGGACCAGAGGCGAGGCGGAGGCCGTGGCAGCAGCCAGGAGCAGGGCAACTCGGTACATCATGTTGATGATTGGGTGAGATGGGCTGGATGGAAAGGCTGAAGGAGTCTAAGGGAGGTGTAGGAAGGCAGGTGAGAGGTGAGGTGAGAGGCTGGCTGATACTACCTCAGGCCGGCCATGCGCAGCCTTTTATGCATGCCGTTAAGCTTGATCGTAGCCTTGCCATCAATGGCTCCAGTCTTCCCTTCCCCTCTTCCGTCACCAGCAGAATTTTCGACTGTCCATCTTGTTCTCCTCCTCATCATGACCATCAAGCTCTTGGCAGCCCGCAGGCGATAGGGTCGCTTCATCGTGGTCCAAGTCGAGAACCCTGCCCACGCCATGTGCCGAGTAGTTAGCCTGGGGGCTACCATGTAAGGTTATAAGCTTAAACAGTTTCTCAGTGGTCGAATTGAGTTTTACGATGGAGATTCCGCAACTCAATGGACGATAGAGTTGGTCATCCGGGTTCTCGCACCTCTCCACAGGCGGCATGCATATGTTGTCCATCAAGGGACACACACGGACGCGCCGCGATGGCTGGCTTCTTCTACCAACCAGCTGGCTTCTGCCAACGAGGGCAAGTGGCCAATAATGTCGCCGTGACAAGGAAGATTGCGTCTTTTTCTTCAGTGACGTTATTTTGTCCTCGTCCCTCGCTCATGATCACGACATGGAGTCTTTGCTCCCTCTCGTGTTGGGGTTGCCGTCCCAGATGCTCTCCCACGGCCTGTTGCCCGACACGGTTGTGAGAGCACTGTCTATCGGACTGCGTTGCTGTGTCCAACTCGAGGCGCCCGTCGTCGCCGTCGCTGGTGGTGCCAGCGTGTCGCTGTCCAGCCAGCCTTCTCTCCGTCCGTCCAGCGAGGTGGCGCGCTGCGTCGCATACAAGTCATCGGGCGAGTCCGTGTCGTCTGGATCGTGGCCCGTGAAGAGGGCCAGCTCGCGGTCAAAGTCCAACGTCGTCGACGCCTGCCCCGGCTTCGGTGTGGCGGTCAACCAGGGAGCGTCCGCTGCCTTGTTCTTTGCGCGCAGCTTGGGCATGTTGGCGGGTTTGTCCTTCTTATGCGTTTTGCGTGTCGTGTACGGCGCGACCCCAAACCAGGCCGCATGTCGACTTCGTTCCCAAATAATGTTGACAGACGGTAGGCAGGAGCACATGAGACCGATGCTCAGCTCGAGGATTCTGTTTTGTCAATGAGAGACCCAACACCGGGCAGGGGCGTCATGAGATTCCAACTTACGTCAGGATATTGAGAAGCCTCCAGCCGGCCGTCGTGTCGTGGGAGTACTGCGACTCGACTATCTTGACCAGTCGCCAGATAGTGACGGCGATCGCCACGCCGCCAGCCCCGAGAAGCCCTATGATCTTGATCTTCTTGGCCAGGCTCACGCGGAGCTTGGTGGTCACGATGATGGGGACCGCCATGATCATCACATCCGAGACGACGGCCAGCGCCGCGTCGGCCACAAAGATCCTTCGCTGTGCCAGACAGGTACCCTGGATATCTTGGCGCCAGAAGGATGGAACTGGATCGCAGATGCAGATTTTCAGGATCATGAGGGGGATGAAGGCGATGAGCAGGCCCCAGATGAAGGCGTAGATGACGCGGGCTACGACGCGCTCGACAGCGTACACGCGCGCCGTGAGGAGGAGGAGTGTGACCTTGGTGAAGTAGGCGGCCGGGCAGTAGATGACGGTGTTGGCGTAGAACCATTTGAGAGCCTCTTCATACTGCTCCACGGTGAGATTCCACGCGTGACGGCCAGCACCCGCCTTGATTGCTGTGCGTACGTGTCAGCTCTGGCATACTTGGACAGGGGGATGGAAATCGACGGGGAAGAAAAAGCACACACCCATCGAGCTCGAAGTAACAAAGACCATGGTGGACAAGAAGGCCGCGAGATACATCACGTCCTCAAAGAGGATGCGCTTCATCACGCGCACCCTGACCCATGCTCGCGCCGCAAAGAATATGGCCATCAACCCAGTGCACACGGCCAGGAAGCATATATGTACTGTCTTTCCAGTACTGTGCGAGTTCGTTAGATCAGGTGTCACGCCCGGTGGCGGAGGAACCACGCCTGGGTAATCCGCCCGTATCGTCAGACGCAGGTCGATGACCCCCATTGTGCATCAGCACAGACATGGATGATGAATATGTTGTCGCGTATGGGGAATACGGGGAAGCATTCAATGGCTGGTGATATAGCGTATGGGGGGAAGGGGTCGATAAGGCTGAGGGGACTGGGCGAGTCAAGCCGCGAGAGAAAGTCGTATGAGAATGGGCACCACGGCATGATGAGCCACGATCCCAATGGATTGCCATATCCTCTGTATCGAACTCTTCCCAGGCATCCGGGCACCTGGAGGACGGGCAAGCCTCGAACACGCGGCATGAGTCAGGTGTTGGGCGGCCGTCCCGTGGCGCAAGGAACTGGAAAAGGAATGCGGATAGCGTGATCTCAGGGATCCCCACCATACAAAGCTTATTTATTGTACGTAGTCTTCATAGAAGAATCGCAGGCCACAAAGTACATGTACAAAGGGGGGGAAATGTTCGAGAACATGAGCTGACAGCTGACAGCCCAGTTCGACCGTTCCACGCGTTGCCACCACGTGCAGGACTCGGACTCTGTCTGGCCTATCGCAAGTGGCAGTAATACACTGCGGGCACACTAGTGGAAATGGAATCTCTAGGCTTGAACCTAGATTATGCTGTTAGTGAACACGTGCGTCTCTACGGATTGGCTCTGTGAAGAGTGCAGTGCAGCTACGTACTTTTGAGGGTGTCGTTGACCCATTGAGAACTCATATGAATCGTGGTGAACAAGAGAGCATAAATCCCAGGGCGAGCAAATTATCAATGAGTAAAAGCAAGTGAACCGTACTGTCAATACCACCGACAACATGTGTTTATAGGGTAACCTGGACTTCCCAGGGCATGACGCCATAGTCGGATGGAAATTGGATGGACGGCTCCTGGACTCCAGTGACCAGTCCTTCCATGTCCTGACTCCTGTCCACAGACCTCAGATCATGAGCAGCCTCCACAATACCCGCAGCGCTCTGAACAGTTGGTATAGTCATCCTTCCCATCATCCAAGGCCAATAGACGTGGATCCGAGCTACAAGAGGCAAACTTGCCAGTGGCACTTGCAGGCGACTCAACGCCCACAGATTCCCACCTGTGTCTCAGATCGGCAGGCAGTACATCCCCAACTCCCTCCAGCTGCTCGTAGACCTTCAGCGTTCCCTCGCCATCGATAAGGATCTCCAGCTTCCCATCTCCCGGCTTTGCCGGCTTGCACGCGTCAATGATGTAGTGCAGCAGTGCCGCCAGTCTGCCGAGTGCGGTCTGATTCTCCGACTCCCACGCTTGCACTCTGTCGCGCACGTCGTGAATGCCGACGTCCGCAACGCGGAACCGGCCATAGTCGTGGAAGGCCAGGACAAAGTTGGGAATCTGGGAGATCCAAAGGCGTGGCAGTTCAGCTCCCACGTGGTCATCATGGCGCCTGTGTGCGCCCCGAGTCTTGATGTCGAAGATCTGGGACTGGTCTGGGGCGTGACCGGCCCGCTGGACATGGATCTCTGTCCCAACGACGGGGACTTGCGAGGAGGAAAGCGAGCCGCCAATCGACAAGGCGGCTGTGAGGGCCTCGACTGCGGTAGACGAGGACTCGACGGCTTTTGGCGAAGAAGGCCCTCCTTGATCCGAGTTCGACATTTTTTCGGATTCGACATTCTTGTCCTTTGTGTCTAGATATCCATCCGCTTCGTAACGAACGAGGAGCTTCAGCCCGCCAAAGTTATACGTGATCAGTCGCTGGTGCGATGCAGAGCCCTTCACCACCGGGTCCCACGTGGTGAAGGCCTCGGGAAAGGTGTGCCCATGACCGCGCACATCGGGAATGAGCTCTGTCGGCGAATTCTCTCGACGGACAAGAAAGACGGCATGGCCAACCTTCTGCACAAGCATCCTTACCTTCCTGTCTTCGCCTCGTACAAAGCGAAGAAGGTTGCCTAGCGTGCTTCCGCAGCCGACGAGGTCGACATTGGCTAGCTCAGAGGGCGAGGAGGCTAGGCAGGCTGCGATAGCGGGAGCAAAGGGGTGTTTCGGGAATCTAGCCGCATTCTTGTCGCGATAGAACTGACCAGAGTCTCTTTCGAGTTTTGTATCGTGTCGCGAGGGAGTCCAGCGAGGTGGCTGACCTTGTCGGTGTTATCAAAGGTTCTAGGCGACTCTCTCTCGTTTACTATACAGACCAGGAACGATGATATGGGCTTCGGCTGCCCTGTCGAGCCAGTTGTAGGAAGAGACATAGCGCACATCCGCAATATTTGTCTCTGAGACTTGCTGTCTCTGAACAAGCTCGTCAATGTCTGCCATATGCAGGAATGCCAGACACTCCCCGACAGGAAGCTCTGGTGTGGGCAGAGGAGCGGTTGCACGCCACTCTCGCGAGGAGCTACCTCTGTAGGCTCCTCTTCCTCGATTTGTCCATGTCGCCATTGTGTCTGGGGTCAGCTGCAAAGTCTTGGAACTTGGGGTGCCCAGGCCGGTGTAGATAAGGGGGAGAAAAAATTGAGAAGAATTTGAAAGGCTGGCGAGGAGGTGTTATTAATGCTTTGGCCCTGTTATACGCATGTAGTGGCGGAAATCCGAGAACTTCACTTTCGTCTCACAAGTGAATGAGGCGACCGGCCTCCTGCATACAATTACACGCACATCACAGCCTGGCTGCACCTTTCTGCACATTTGTGCCAACGAAACAGGGTCAAACTGCATACGCTCGACCTACCAAATCAGTTTGATGCACCAGAAGCACATCCAGTCCGTCGTCTTGCAGACCGTTGGTTGGATGCAGCGTTTGGCCAACACGACGGTGAATCAGCCCCTTTGGAAGCACAGTGCAATACGCAACATCGAGGTAGCCCACAGGTCTTTATCTTTCTGAACAACTCGTCAGGCGGAGAGGAGACTTTCTTCCATCGAAAAACCTCTAGCTCATGGGCTGTGCAACACCTAGACACTTACCATGAAAGCTGAAGCCATCACCACCCAGCGCTCGTTGCGCCTGCAGCAGTTCTTTCGCGATGCTCTGTCTGGCAACCGGCCGATCGCCAATTCTCGAGACGCTGGCTTGTTCTTGGAGGCGATTATGGATCAGAGTTCACCAGATTCAACCGTGGAGCGAGTCGTCGGGAGCAACTCTGGCCTCGCGGCGGTGCGTCTCGCTGTACGCGCCGACCTGTCTCTCCCCTTTCTATCTTCCAAGACGCTGCCCTTCTTACGATACCTGTCCGCTCCTGGACTCAAAACCCTGGCGAATGGCGAAATTCTAAGCAGAGCCCTCGAGGTGATTGTCAACCCGGTCACCCTGTGGAAGACCCTCTTCGGCCACTTCGAAGCTGCCGAGCTGGGCACGGAGCAACTCCATGGTTTTATCTGGCTAGCATGCGAACTCGTGGCCAACCGGACAATGACAGAGGAAGACATTCACTCCGATCTATGCCTCATCGCGGAGAGCCCACAAGTCAAAGACTCGGAGGACCCAACGTTGCGTCAGCTCGGCTACCGCATCAAGCATGCCCTCGATCTCGGGGGCCAGCCGCAGACGAGCATCCACGCGCAGATGGGCGGCCCAGGAGGACGCCACGACAATGACCATGCCGATTTCCGCAAGGTTCGCATCTACCCCTCGCGTGACGAGCTGCTTGCGCACTCCCCCCCCTTTTACTTGACAGCCGACGAGGTCCAGCAGGCCGACACGGCCAGCCGGGCCCACGTCCACCTCGACAATCAATTCCGCCTGCTGCGCGAGGACATGCTCGCAGAGCTTCGTCAAGACCTGCAGTCCGTCAAAAAACCCAACGGTAACCCTCGACGGAGCTTGGTACTTGGAGACCTGGTAGCCCACGGAATGCACGTGGGAGACACTGGCGCGGCACGTTTCCGTTTCCAAAAGTGCTCCCTTGCTGTCAAGTGCTTCAAAGGCCTCGAGTTTCTCAATAAAAAGTCAAAGGAAGAGAGAAAGAAATTTCTTAACGAGGAGCACGCGGTCCTTAAGGACCAGTCATTCGGTGCCCTCTGCCACAACGGCGAGATCCTGGCCTTTGCCTTTATCAGTCGCAATGTCGACATGCTGGCACAGAGCCCGCCCGTGGTACTTTTACGATTCACAGACAGCCAGGCCCTCAAGTCAGCCCTTATATCGCTGCAGCCGGGCCTGGGGTTGTCGTCCAATATCAAGTTTATGCTGGTGGACACTCCTGTGTTCGCGTACGAGCCAGTTCTCGATCGACTGCAGCAGATCTCCGAGATGCCCCTGCGAGAGCACCTCTTTGATGACCCTGAGTGTGTGTCCCATGTCGCTCCAGCCTCGGACAGCTTGGAATTCAGGATAGCGCAGATGCGAGAAATGACGGAGAGCATAGCTGATGATCAGGTCGCTAGTTGGCCCCGCAAGAACGCAGCGGATACGATAAAAGTCGATCAAGCTCAACTGAACTCCATCTTGAACGGCTTGTCGCAGGCTGTCGCCCTGATTCAGGGGCCTCCTGGTACGGGCAAGTCATTCATCGGGGCGGAGATTGCTCGACTGCTACATGACTTGTCCAAGCAGCGCATCCTCGTGCTCAGTTACACCAACCACGCCCTCAACCAGTACACGGAGGACCTCCTGGACGCAGGGATTCCCCCACAGCATGTTGTTCGACTGGGTTCCCGGGGAAAATGCACTGATCGGACTCTGCCCCTGCTTCTCTCTAATATGGGCACTGGAACGAAGCTGAACCAGAGTTCGTGGGCCAATGTCAACAGCCTCAAGAGCGAGGCTGGTGATTTCGCAGAAGATATCGAGGAGGCGTTCCAAAGATACATGGGCATATCCTGTGGATGGTTCGAGCTGTCTGGGTACCTCGAGTTCGCGGAAGAGGACAGCGAATTTTATGATGCGCTGCGGACGCCAATGCGCCCTGGCGAGTGGAAGAAGGTTGGTAAGAAGGGCAAACAAATCGGTCCAGACTACCTCTACAACCGCTGGATAAGTGGTCAAGACGCAGGTATTTTCAAAGACGCCGTACAATCCTGGCCGCACATCTGGGACCTACCCAAGACCACCCGCCGAGAGCATCGAGATCGATGGGTCCGCGCCATGCTCACAGAGGTGGTGGAGGGCCTCGCGTGTCTCGTCAATATGTTTGACTCCAAGGTGGCCAAGATCGAGACCTATTTTCGAGAGGGCGACGTGCGGACCGTCCAGGACAAGCGTGTCATGGCCCTCACAACCACGGCCGCAGCCAAGCACAGCAATCTGGTGCAGTCTTTCAAGCCCGACATTATCATCGCAGAAGAGGCTGGGGAGATCCTGGAAAGCCACATCCTGACAGCCATGACGCCCAGTGTCCGCCAGCTGATCCTCATCGGCGACCACAAGCAGCTGCGGCCCAAGGTGAACAACTACAGCCTTTCAGTCGAGGGAAACAATGGGTATGACCTGAACCGCTCGCTCTTTGAGAGACTGATCCTCCTTGGAATGCCCCATACTGTACTCCGCAAGCAGCACCGCATGGCCCCCGACTTGTCCGTTTATGCGCGCCACCTGACCTACCCCGAGCTGCTGGACGCGCCCAAGACACACGATCGCGAACCACCACGGGGCCTATGCAACCGCGTCATCTTTGTAAGCCACGACGAGCCCGAGAGTGCCGAGGAGCGCGTTTCGGACCGGACAGACGCGGGCTCCAAGGGGAGCAAAAGCAACGCGTTCGAGGCGGAGATGGTCATGCGATGCTGCAAGTACATGGGCCAGCAGGGCTACAGCTCGTCGCAGATTGTGATTCTGACGCCCTATCTCGGGCAGCTGCGCGCTTTGATGGATGTTCTGCGGAAGAACAAGCACGATCCGCAGATGAGCGAGCTGGACAGGTTCGAGCTGCTCCGCGCTGGGCTCTTGACGCACGCCGAGGTGAAGGCGGACAAGCAGCCGATTCGGATATCTACCATTGGTCTGTTCTTTTGGGTCTCGTTATTTTGTGACTCGCTGACTGGGTATTAGACAATTACCAAGGAGAGGAGAGCGACATTGTGATTGCGTCCTTGACACGAAGCAACAGTCGCGGGGATATTGGGTTCATGTCGGCCCCTGAGCGCCTCAACGTCCTGATCACGCGCGCGCGCCACGGCATGATCATCTTTGGCAACATGGGGACATTCAAGGCAAGCAAGCGAGGAAAGGCTGTTTGGGAGCCGTTCTTTGATATGCTCAAGACACGGGGCTGTCTGTACGATGGCTTACCCGTCCAGTGCGACAGACATCCGGATCGCAAGGCGCTGGTGCAGAGTGCGGCTGATTTCACGACAATGTGTCCCAACGGTGGCTGTACGGAAGTGTGGTGAGTTGACATCCAGGCAGCTCTGCATTGGCGAGAAGCTAATCAAGATTCTGCACCAGCGACTCGTTGCTCTCGTGTCAAGTCCACAAGTGCAAGTCACGCTGCCATCGTGTGTCGAACCACGCGGAGGTACAGTGCAACAAGCTAGTGCGCAAGACGTGCGCCCGGGGCCACGAGACCAGGACGCCCTGTCGCAGGCAACGTGACGGCTGTAGCAAATGTGCGGAGGAGGACGCGGAGACAGAGCGACAGATACAGCGAGATATCTCGCTCGAGTCGGAACGCCTCAAGAAGCAGGACGCGTACCTGAAGGAGCTGAAGGAGATTGAGGATGAGTTGGATCATCAACGACGCGCGATCAAGTACGCCACAGAGGAGGATAAGCGGAAGATTGTCATTGCTCAGCGAAAGAAGGACCTCGCGGTCTTGCAGAAGACACAGGCACGGTTGCAAGCGCACAAGGAGCAGCAGCAACAACAGCAAGCGGCCTCTGGCTCGGGGCCCGACACAGGAGGTTTGACTCAACAACCCTCCGAAAACTTGGCTTCATACGATGCAGAGACAGCCAACGGCGAATGGGAGCGCATGAAGTCAGTGGAAGGGGCACAGAGCGCGGCGCTGGATACGCTAATGGGCTTGATCGGCCTGGAAGAGGTGAAGAAGGAATTCATCAGCATCAAGACAAAGGTAGACACGGCCTTGCGACAGGGCGTGTCTCTCAGTTCCGAGCGCCTCAGCTGCTCGCTACTGGGAAACCCAGGGACAGGTACATCTCTACGGGAAACGTATGAACATGAACTAACTTGGCTCCAGGGAAGACGACTGTCGCACGCATCTATGCCGACTTTCTCACCAGCATCGGCGCCATACCAGGCGCTGCCTTTGAAGAGACGACTGGTGCTTCGCTCGCCAACAAAGGAGTGACGGTCTGCCGCAAGATGATTGACAGCATGCTCGAGGACGGTGGCGGCGTGGTGTTCATCGATGAAGCCTACCAACTGAGCTCGGGCCACAACCCAGGGGGCGCGAGTGTGCTCGACTTTCTGCTGGCCGAGGTAGAGAACCACCGCGGCAAGCTTGCCTTTGTCCTGGCGGGCTACGCACGCCCGATGGAAGGGTTCTTCTCGCATAATCCGGGCATCCCGAGTCGTTTCCCAATCGAGATGCGCTTCGCAGACTACACGGACGGGGAGCTCCTCCAGATCTTCAACAGGGGCATCCACAAGCGTTTCAATGGCAAGATGGCATGCGAGGATGGGCACCAGGGTTTGTACTGCCGCATCGTGGCGCGGCGTGCTGGCTACGGTCGAGACAGGGAGGGCTTTGGCAACGCGCGTGCTGTCGAAAACACCATCAACGTCATCTACAAGAGACAGGTGAACCGCCTGCGAAGAGAAAGAAGCCAGGGCAAGCAGCCGGACGACTTCTTTTGTACCAAGGAAGACCTCATCGGCCCTGCTCCGGACGACATCCTCTCCGAGTGTCCGGCGTGGAAGAAACTACAGGACCTGTGGGGGCTCCAGTCTGTGAAGCGATCGGTCCTATCACTGGTGGACAGCATCCGGGAGAATTACAAACGGGAACTGGCCGAGAAGCCTCGCGTCGAGTACTCACTCAACAAAGTGTTCCTCGGCAACCCAGGGACGGGCAAGACGACGGTGGTCAAGCTCTACGGGGAGATATTGGCGACACTTGGTTTGCTGTCCAAGGGCGAGGTTGTGGTCCGAACGCCGGCTGATTTCATCGGGGGTGCGCTGGGCCAGTCGGAGCAGCAGACCAAGGGTATACTGGCTGCCGCGCTGGGCAAAGTATTGGTCATTGACGAGGCGTATGGCCTCTACGACGGGTCAGGACAAGGAGGCGGCAGCTCCAAGAATCCTTACAAGACGTCTGTCATCGACACTATCGTCGCTGAGGTACAGAGTGTACCCGGAGACGATCGATGCGTGCTGCTTCTCGGGTACAAGGACCGGATGGAGAGCATGTTCCAGAACGTCAACCCAGGTCTGAGTCGACGATTCCCGCTGGCCACGGCGTTTGTGTTTGACGACTTTTCCGACGCGGAGCTCAGCCAGATCCTGGACAGAAAGCTCGAGCGGCAGGGTTTCCGCGCGACAGGCCAGGCGCGCGACGTGGCCATGGATCTGCTAGCGAGGGCGCGCAACCGCCCCAACTTTGGCAACGCGGGCGAGATTGATATTATCCTGGACGCGGCCATGCATCGATGGCAAGCTCGGAGGAGCCAAGACAAGTCTAACAGGGCGAATGACCTGCTCGAGGCGTCTGATTTTGACGAGCACTTTCACAGGGCTGAGAGTGCCGACACGAACATTCAAAAGCTGTTTGAGGGCACTGTCGGACAGGACGCGCTCGTGGCGCGCCTCCTTGGCTACCAGGCCACGTACAAGTCTGTCAAGGCGCTGGGTCTCGATCCCAAGGAGAGCATCCCCTTTACCTTCCTCTTCCGGGGCGCACCCGGCACGGGCAAGACGACGGTGGCCAAGAAGATGGGCAAGGTATTTTACGACATGGGGTTCCTGGCGACGGCCGAGGTGGAGGAGTGTTCGGCGACGGATCTCGTGGGCCAGTATGTCGGGCAGACGGGGCCCAAGGTGCAGCAGATGCTTGATCGGGCCTTGGGGCGCGTGCTTTTCGTGGACGAGGCGTATCGTCTCGGGGAGGGCTCGTTTGGACGCGAGGCGTTAGATGAGCTCGTGGATTGTCTGACCAAGGCGCGGTACCAGAAGAAGCTGATTGTGATTCTGGCCGGGTACGAGCGTGAGATGAACCGGCTGATGGATGTTAATCCGGGTCTGACGTCGCGGTTCCCCGAGGTCGTGGACTTTCGGGACTTTGCGCCTGTCGAGTGTTGTACTCTACTCCACGTCCTTCTCACAAAGCGGCAGAAGCTGCTGGCGAAGAAGGGGGTCGTCTTTGACCTGGAGATTCTGCGTAATGCGTCTCACGCGCTGTGTTCTGCGATGACAAGGGGGTTCGAGACGTTGATGCAGCAGAGCAGCTGGGCCAACGCACGAGACGTCACGACGCTAGCGGAGAAGATCTTTAACCGTGTGATCCAGTCTGCGGCAGGCACGGAAATACGCCATCTCGCTCTCGAGGAGAATATGGTCGTGCAAGAGCTTCAAGCGATGCAGGATGAGCGGCAGAAGCGAGTCGACTGGGTGAGGCAGGCTGTGCCCCAGGTTGATCCTGGGAGGGTGACGCCGCCGCAGTCTGTTGCAGAGCGAAACAATGAGCCGAGGACTATGCCTGCGACCAAGACGACGCTCGAGACGACAGTCGCGCCGGAGGATGACAACGACCAGCCCCAGGAGACTGAAGCTGAAAGGGAAGAGGATTCTCATGTCTCGCCAGCAGATGACGAGGGTGCACACTCTGCCCGCCGAGACGCTGGTGTAAGTGACGCCGTGTGGGCGCAGCTGCAACGCGATCGCGAGGCCGCGGTGGCCAAGGAAGAGGCGTACCAGCGTCTACAGCAAGAAGCCCGCCACGCGCGAGGAGAGGAGGCCCGGGATCGGATACGGAGGAGGCTCGTCGCGGCGGAGGAGGAGAGGCAGAAGATGCGGGCGTGGCAGGAGAAGCTGGTCGCGCACGGTGTGTGTCCGGTGGGCTATCAATGGATTCCGCAGGCGGGAGGTTTTCGATGCGAAGGGGGCAGCCACTTTGTGTCTCGAGACGAGCTGGAGGCGATGTTTGGGTAGGGGAATGAGGAACCAGCCATTATGCTGCCACTCTGGCACAGACTTGGGTGACAGACTGTGTGCCACGCGAGAGGCCTGAGCAGCGTACATGACAGACTGGTGCGTAATTACTGCGTAGCAAGGTAGGCTCGCGAGCGTGCTGAAAGGGTTATTGGAACCTTTGTGAGTCTGTGACCAGACTGAACTCGATCCCTGCAGGCTGCAAGCCAAGTGCTCGTGATAGGACCCAATACCGTTTTGAGTTGCTACTTTAACTTTGCGTTGGAAACGCCGTGCATGAGACTGCAGGGCAGGCCTTGGTATCGCGAGATGCGTCAAGCCAATAAACAGCTCATCGATGCCTCGGATGGTCCAGTGACCCCAGTCGCGAGCTGATCGTCAAAGTCCCTCTGGCTACCCTGGACATGCGACACATGAGGGTCGAGGACAGAACATGAATCATGTGTCCGTGACTCCGTGATGTTCAGTCCTCAGAGACCAGCGTTGTGCGAGCAGCGCAATCATCTGGCTATGAGCTGCCGGGCCTCTTCACATGTCATCCATCTGCCAAACGCACTGGCGCTGGGTATGACCTGAGGACATGGAAGTTGAGAGCTGGCCTCATTCGATGCATGACCCGGCGCACGCGACCTGAGCGCATTTGCGGGCCATTCCGCCATCCAGCCCAGGAGAGGCTGGAAAGCCCAGGGGCCAGAACCCAGATTACCCCGGCGCTAGCTGATTAGAGTGCGCTGTGCCGCCGTCCTTTTGTCTGTTCTCACTTCTCCTGCAGACCAGAGCCTCCTCCTCGGCAGACCCAGTGATTAATTAGCCTAGCCTCTCCCTGAGGGGGCTGCCAGCCAGCTGGGGGCCAGCCGGCCGCCACCCCGCTCGACGGGATCCTTTGCTGCGCGCGTATTCACACAAGGTCCGGCCAGATCTGGGTTGAGCACCGTGGAGGCGCCGCGAAGGACGCTTGGCGTTGGCGCACCGGGCAGAGAGACAAGACTGCTGGGAGAGGGCGACACGCGAGGGCGCACGTCGAGCCCGCCAAGGCGGCACACGGCTGACTGATAGCCTGAACTGATGCGAGCGGATGGCAAAGATGATCAGAGGCGAGAATGTGCTGATGACAATCCAGAGGCGATACTCGTCCATCCATCCACCACAAATGGGAGGCGAGGGCACGGCCAGCGTCGGTGGTACAGAGCATGTACGCGGTATGACCATCAATGTCTCGGGCCAACCAGGCGCATGTGGCCACAGGTTATCGCCTGCAGAGGTCCTGTTGGTGGTAGCACCGATGGAACCCAGGTGAGTGAAGATGGTGTCGAGCCGATTATGCATGATTTCTTTCCGCCTCCCAGGCCAGTCCAGTCTGTCTGTTTTTAGAGTCTCTGTCCGTACTCCGTATCGGTAGACAGCATCGTCCAGCTGCTGCTGCGCGCGTTTCCGCGGTGGACCCGCATCCCGGCCATGAATGATTGTGACAGATGATTACAGATGGACTGCCGCCATGTGCGACAGTTTACAGTTTGCAGGAGAATGTGACGGTGAGACCCGCCACCAGTGTGGAATCTGTGGATGTTGGACCACCTCCAGGATAAGGACAGTCAGGGAACCCCCAGAGTCCAGTCTGCGTGAGACACAAGCATATCTTCGACAAGGCCAGACCAAGAACCAAAAGTCCATGGCACCATTCCGCATGCGCACCAGGCCCGGGAGCGGCTGGGCTTGGCTTACTGCTTTGGGCAGCCGGGACGATCTTCACTGGTCTCGCTCATTCGTTCGCTGGTGGTGGCTTATCGGGGATGCTGGCCTGTGGCTGCTGGCTGGCTTGATGATGGCTTTCCTTGATTGGCCTGCGGTAGTCTGCAGTTGTCCGTGATAGGTCTGCGGCAATGGCGCCCAGAGACAAGTGCCGGCCTGGCCTCCTGGAGACGAGGCCTGAAGACGAGTCTGCTCGACGAGCTGGACGACTGAACAACCTCCAACGTTGGACGAGCTTGAATGAATCTCCGACTAGTACAAACGGCCGCAGATAAGAATGTCCATGTCCATGTGCGTTGGTCACTATCAGTCCAGTCCGTCCGTCTATCAGTGGCGAGACGGTCCTTTTGGCGAGCTGGCGCTGGGGACGGATCGGTCGGCACCGCGGCCAGCCAACGAGGAGGACGCGCCGACGACGAGGACAAAGGTTCCCCGGCCGGACTCTGGACTGGGAGTCGAGGACCCTTTGTCCAGTCCAGTGACACCCATTGCAAACGGCCAGGGCCAACTTCCTCTTGCAGCATGGAGGGCACCTCCTCCACGTTGCTCTGATTGATGGTGGAGGCATAGATTGCTGGATGGATCGACAAACGTTCCATCGGCTGGTCTTGGGGGCTCTTTTGCATGGGCCGGGGGCGACTGCATGTGGCTATCGGGCAATGTATCCAGCCAGTCGAGGCATCCGGATATATAGATCGGTCCCTCGCCAGACTGGTGTCCACGTTCCCTGACAACCCGACCAGATCAACAACCCCCGATCACCAGCCAGCACAATGGAGGTCACGCAGATCCCCACGCACGAGGCCGAGCGCGACTCGATCGGCAAGGAAAAGGCGGCGAGCGTCGACGTCGACGTGGACGCAAAGTCCAACTCGCCCTCGTCGCTCGAGGATGAGCCCATCACCGACATCTTCGTGCCCCTGCCGACCATCAAGGGCATCCCCGAGGAGCACAGCCCGTTGACGGTCCGCGCCGTCGTCACGGGTATCTGCTTGGGCTCCCTCGTCAACGCGTCCAACGTCTACCTCGGCCTCAAGACCGGCTTCACCTTCCCGGCCACCATCTTTGGCGCCATCTTTGGCTTCGGTGTCATCCGCCTGCTCTGCAAGGTCTTCCCCAACGTCCCCGGCGTCGGCGGCTTCTTTGGCCCCCAGGAGAACTCCATCATCCAAGCCGCCGCCACGGGTGCCGGTGGTATGGCGGGTATCTTCGTCGCCGGTCTGCCGGCCATGTACCAGCTGGGCCTCATGGGCGCCAACCCCAAGGAGGACTTTGGTCGTATCCTGGCCATCACCGTCGTCTGCGCGCTCTTTGGTCTCTTTGCCGCCGTGCCCCTGCGCAAGTTCTTCGTCATCAACGTCGCCCGTGAGCTCAACCTCGTCTTCCCCTCGCCCACCGCCACCGCTGTCGCCATCCGCTCCATGCACGCTGTCGGTACCGGCGCGGCCGACGCCATGAAGAAGATCAAGGCCATTGGCTTCGCCTTTGTCGGTGCTTTCACCCACATCATCGTCTCCCAGTACGCTGATGGCATCCTCCACGACTGGCACTTTTTCGCCTGGATCTTCTCGACCACCGGCTACTGGAACCAGACCGCCCTCGCCGCCGACAACTGGGGCTGGTACATCCAGCTGACACCCGCCTTCTTCGGCTCCGGCATGCTCGTCGGTCTCAACGCCGCTCTGTCCTGGTTTGGCGGCACCGTCTTCGCCTGGGCGCTTGCGGGTCCCCTGCTCGTCAAGTACGGCGAATGTGCTGGCCAGCCTCTCGTTGAGGAGGGCAAGTGGAAGGGCATGATCAGCTACAACTCCATGGGTGGTATCTCGGAGCCCGGCTACATCCCCTCCCCTCGTTACTGGTTCCTCTGGCCCGGTGTCATGGTCCTCGTCGTGTACGGTCTCGTCGAGTTTGTCCTCCACTTCAAGATCATCTGGACCGGTCTCCTCATGAGCATGCGTCGCTCTGCCGCCACCCTCAACAGCCGCCTCCAGGCTCAGGGCAAGTCCAACGCCTGGGTCGAGAAGCAGGCCGCCAAGGCTGTCGACCAGTCCGAGCTCGTCCAGGACTTTGCCACGGCCGACCAGCAGGTCCCCGTCTGGATCTGGGTCACGGGCACCATTGTCTTTGCCGTCATTGGCGCCGTCATTGTCCACGTCCAGTACGAGATGAACGCCGGCCTGGGTATCCTCGCCTGCATCCTCGGCTTCCTCTTTGCCTTTATCAGCATCTACGGCGGTGCCGTCACCGACACCACGCCCCTGACCGCCTCCTCCAAGGCCTCCCAGCTCATCTTTGGTGGCATCACCCACAACGGGGGCCACACCATCCCCGACGCCCAGCGCATCAACTTGATTGCCGGCAACATTGCCTCCGGCACCGCCAGCGTCGCCAGCGACCTCACCAGCGACTTCCGCGTCGGCTTCCTCCTCCGCACCCCGCCGCGTCTCCAGTTCTACGCCCAGGCCATCGGTGCCGTCGTCGCCGTCTTCCTCGCCCCGGGCATCTTTGTCCTCTTCATGTCCGCCTACCCCTGCGTCTGGGACCCCAAGCTCGTCAACGACCCGACCACCGTCTGCCCCTTCAACGCGCCCTCTGTCTTTGCCTGGAAGGCCGTGGCCGAGGCCGTCACCCAGCCCACCCTGCCCATCTCCCGCTCCTGCGGTATCTTCACCATTGTCATGGGTGTCGTGTCTGCCCTCCAGGCCGTCCTCAAGCACTTCTTCCTCACCGGCTCGCGTGAGAAGTACCGCAACTACCTCCCCAACTGGATGAGCATCGGTGTCGCCTGGGTGCTGGGTGCCGACTCTGGCTATGCCAAGTATGTTTTCTCTCTTTCTCTCTCTTGTCGATCGTTGCTAACCAAGACAGTGCCGTCATGATGGGTTCCATTACCGCCTGGTGGTGGAACAAGTGGTTCAGCAAGAGCTTCGAGTCCTACGGCATCGGCATCGCTGCTGGTCTCATTGCTGGTGAGGGTCTCGCCGGTGTCGTCAACGCCGCCCTCGAGCTCGGCGAGGTCAGCGGCAGCTTCAAAGGAACCAGCGTCGGTATTCCGGGGTCGTACTAGTCAAGTAATGGAGAGTTGGTGCTTGTGGAAAGGGCTGGAGAGCCAGAGATACCCGTACATAGTGAATGAAGCGTTGTTGCTTGATGCAAAGAGCTGCTGTGTGCAAAGAAGCTTACATCCATTTCTAATCAGCTCCTTACATAGCATCAGAACTTGAGCCTCCTGGACCAGGCAGGCAGCTAGTGCTTACGACGTCGGGTTCTTCTCCCGAGAGCGACATCCGAGGCCATCCAGGCTCCAGTTGAGCTTCCCACTGCACCGTTACGCGCCCTCTAATTCGACGATTGATCCTCGAGGTCTGGAAATCCAGGGGTCCGGCTCTAATTAATTAGGCATCAAATTGCCCTCGCGGCCTCGCCGTGTGACTCAACTGGCCGGCGTCTCTGTTGCCTACCCTGGAGCATGGTATCACAGCGTGAAGACGCGTTCACGCAGCAGTTGCATGTCGATAGATGTAAATGGCAAGCTGGATATGAATGAATATCTTAGTGCGTGTGGTGCTGCAAGAACTATTGTGTTGCTTAATTAGTAGACAGCACTCGCGACTAAAGTCCCACGAACTCACATTGGCAACTGTGGGCAGACAGAACAATACAAGCATTACTGAAACAATATCAAAACAAACAAGAATGACGCGCGTAATCAACCCTCAGACCATCAGAAGTCAGCCCAATCGGCTACTCACACCAATTATGTCGTCTATGCTAGTCGCTGTCGTGTTCATACAAGTCCTTCAGAGTAGATACGTGGCAAGTTAAGTAGGAACGGATATCTTGATTGAGATGATATTATAATAGTAGATCATGGCATCTAATAATCAGCATCCGTCGGGCTTTACCATAGCGCCACTAGGGAAGAAGGGTACAAGCAACACTGAAGCCACAGCAACACAAACGTCAGCATATACTCATCAGCTCTTCGCTGGAGCCTGGCTGTAGAATTCATCGAGGTGGCACCCGACATAGCACACTGAGCCATCGCTCCTGAAGAGCGATCAACACAGTCCCATAAAGAACACGAGCTCGAAAGCTAGTTTACCGTCTATCCACATACAATACGACACAGTAAGAAATCGCAATACTTCATGAGAAGGCTGGCTACAGCATGACTTGCTGGATACTCCCTCCCTAATCTACAACTCCCAGCGGCAGCACAGACACATAATCCAAAGGCGCCTGCTCCGACCCGTCCGCCATACCCGTGACCACCAGCTCATCCCCCTTTTTAACATGCACACCCTCAAACGTGACGCGGATCGCCGAGTGCCCATCCAGATACTCACTCGGGAACTTGCCCAGCCTAAACTCCGCATCGCCCTGCCACGTGCCCACCGTCTTCCCATTCAGGGCCACCGTGTACGTCGCGTTGCCGCCCACCACATCATAGTAGTTGACGGCCAGGTTATACGTGCCATCCGGGAAATTGAGCGTCGTCGTCGCCGTGCCTGTCTCGTTGGTGACAACAGCCCTGTACTGCGATGCTGTCTCGAATGGCTCCACGTCGACGGGCGCGTAGCCGTCGAGATCCATGTCCTCGGCCTCGATGCGCCAGGGGTGGTTACGCACACGATCTTGCACGTCCGCGATGCCCGACAGGCTGCGGTAGAACTCGTTGATAGCGTCGCGCCAGACGAGGGAGTGACCGGCCTGGTACGTGAGGCGGTACAGCTCGTGCTCAAAGCGCTCGTCGTCCATGCGCCCACGGAGTGTCTCCCACCTCTTTGGGAACGTGGCAGCCGTCTCGGCGCCAGCGTAATGCGCGTTGTAGAAGTGCTGAATCACCGTCTCGCCCGAGTGCAACTCAAAAGTGTAGGGCACGTGGTGGAACCACAGCATGAGGTCGTCGGGTGTCGTCTCCGTCTCCTCGAAGCGAGCAGCCACCTCGGGCTGGTACTGGCCTGCGTTGCCGGTGCCGTTCCAGACGGTGCGGTCCATACCGATGCCTTCACCGTCCGCGCGCGTCCACTGGCCCCAGCCGTTGTTGTCCTGCGAGGCCGGGTTGGGCCCGTAGTGCGTGTAGAGAATGTCCGTCAGCGTCTGTATGCCCAGGTTGCCCGTATAGTTCTCATACGCCGGCCACGACTCGAGGGACATGGAGCGGATCGTCTCGCGCACGCTGCGGCCGAGGCCAAAGGTCAGGCGCGTCCAGTCGTCGAGGATGGCGCCCGAGTCGAGCGTCGGGTTCCACGCCAGACGCCCAAAGGCGTACAGGTTCGACATGGACAGGTGGCTGCCCAGCCAGGTCTGGTCCATGCCAACGTTGGTCACGGCCGTGTAGCCGCCCAGCTTCTTGTCAAAGACGTTGCCGTTGAGCACGTCGCGCGTCCTCGATTCTTTACCGTCCACGCGCAGGTCAAAGTCGAGGATGGTCTGCCACAGCGGCGGCAGGTAGACCAGGTGGCACTGCTGGCCGAGATACTCCTGCGTCACCTGCAGCTCAATGGCCATGGGCGTCTCCCTGAGCGTCGAGAAGAGCGGCGAGACGGGCTCGCGCACCTGAAAGTCGATCGGTCCGTACTTGATCTGCACCACGACATTGTCGTCAAACTGCCCGTCCAGCTCGCCAAAGAACTCGACCGCCGCGTTGGCCCGGTCCGCGTGCCAGTCGTTCCAGTCCAGCTTGTCGTACACAAACGCACGGAACATGACAACGCCCCCGTGCGGCGCAATCGTCTTGGCGAACATGTTGGCCCCGTCCGCGAGCGTGCGGTTGTACGTGATCGGGCCTGGCTGACCCTCCGAGTTGGCCTTGACCAGGTAGCCCGCAAAGTCCGGCACGCGCTCATACATCTCGTCCGAGATACCCTGCCACCAGTCGATGACCTGGTCGTCCAGCGGGTCGAACGAGTCGAGCCCCCCAAACGTCTGCGGCGACGCAAAGTTGAGCGACATACCGATGCGTACGCCCCAAGGGCGGAACAGGTTGGCAATCTCCTCGACGCCGTCCCAGTTGCGCTGGCTCAGGATCGTTGGGTCCGCGTTCACGTTATTGATCACGATGCCGTTGACGCGGATCGAGGCCAGCAGGCGACCCAGCATGGGCACACGCGACAGGTCCTCGCGTACGTGGCCCACGCCGTCGTAGAAGATGGACACGCCTCCGTATCCGCGCTCGATGCTGCCGTGCGTGCCGTTGTCCCAGAGGTTGTCCCACTGGTTCGCCCACCGGATGGGCGCGTCCGGGTTGGTCGAGTAGGCCACTTTGCTGAAATCACCCTGCGCCAGCATCGAGAGGTACTCAAAGGCACCGTACAGGGCGCCGCGCTCGTTCGAGCCGATAATCACAGTGTCGTCGCCCTTGTTGCTCAGGTAGAAGCCGTCCTCAATGAGGTCGACGTCCTCAGGCAAGCTGCCAAATTCGTCCTCGTACGCCTGTGCTGTGGCGACGATGATGGAGGATGTGTCCTTGTCCGTCTTGCTGTCGCTGACGTCGAGCTCGAGGCCCAGGATGCCTTCGATGCCCACCTGCAGCTCGTTGGCGGCCGTGTGCAGCGGTGCGCCCTCGGTTGCGTTGAGGGCCACAATGGACGTGGCAAAGTTGTCGAGCTGCCCGCCCGTGTGGCAGTCGGACAGTCTCGCGTAGCGAAGCCAGCCGTCGAGGCCATCCTCGGCTCGCACCACGGCGAGCGCAGACGCTATCCAGAGGAGTGGTCGCATAGTCAGTAGGAGTGAGTGACACAGTGACAGACTGACAGTGTCGAGTGACCGAGTCTGCACCAGCCCTCGAGGCGCATGGCCGCCATTATTATGTTTGACGTCCTACGTGATCTCCATGTCCACTGCCTGGATGAATTCGATTCTGCCGACAGACTCCAGACTCCAGGGGCCCGGCTGAATGCAGAATTAGCCTGAACGGATGCCGTCGACGTCGGTGGGACGATGTGTCCATCACTGGATAATTACCGACAAGGATTCGTGGAGCCGGAGCTAGTCCAGGGCCAGGTACCGTTGGAGTCTGGAGGGGGAGACTAATTAGAGTTGTCATTGACGGAGAGCCCTTTGTCTTTGTAGCCGAGAAGTGTCCGACAAGACGTCTGTCTTACTCTTCAGTCTTCACAGATCACATCGACCTTCCTGGCTTCTCTCCCATATTTACACCAAAGTCCAGCCAGGCAGATGAACTCCCCCCGACAGACGTTCAAGACCGCCCGAGGGCACACATACTCCCTCGTCCACATCCCCCCCAGGGACAGCCGACCAACCCTGCTCCTCCTGCATGGCTTCCCCTCCCACCTCCACGACTGGGTCCAGCAGACCGGCTACTTGGCCGCTCACGGCTACGGCGTGCTCGCCCCAGACCTGCTGGGCTATGGCCAGACGGACCAGCCATCGTGCCCCGATGCCTACCGGCTAAAGCTCATGAGCGACGACATCGCGGAGATGGCCCACGCACTAGTGGTGGCGGGCAAACCCAAGCGCAGCACGCTCGTCGGCGTCGGCCACGACTTTGGCGCCACGCTGCTCTCGCGTGCCGCCGCCTATTACCCCGAGCTGTGGCATCGCCTCGTCTTCCTGGCTGTCGGACCTCCCAGGCTGGGCACCCCATTCGACGTGGATTCCATCAATCAGATGACGAGACAGGTCTTCGGGTTCGAGCTGTTGGGGTACATCAAGTGGCTCGCGACAGATCCGCAGGCCGCCACCACGCTCGAGAGTCACGCCCAGGCGGCCATGCGTCTCGTCTTCTGCGCCGATCACGGCGTCTGGGACGAGTGGTACCGCCCGCTCGGTAAGATGAAAGAGTTCTGCGAACAGAATCGTCAAGTGGCCATGGGCGAATGGTACACGACTGACCTGCAGCGGCACCATCTGGAGTGCTTTGCACGTCCAGGGGGGTACCGAGGTGCAACCATGTGGTATAAAATGTGGACAGACAATCTGTTTGCAGAAGATGAGCAGGGTCGTGAGGAATTTCGCATCCAGACACCGACGCTATTTGTAGGGGCAGAGGGATTTGCTCAGCAGCGCGACCTGCTGGCTGCTTGGTGTGAGGACTTGACCTGCAGGGAAGTAGACGGGGGCCACTGGATCCATCTCGAGCATGCGCACAGGGTCAATCAGTTGATAAAAGACTTCCTGGAGTGATGGAGAATCTGGGGCAGGAAATAAGGTTGTTCAGCACCCAAGTATGTTTCGAGTAGATTGCACATGGCTCTCCGCCTCGGCTGCTGCATGGACAAGTGACATGAGCACGTCATATAGAGACGGAGTCTCATAATGCCGAGTAAACAACCTTGATGCGGGCGCGCGTCAATAAAGTCCGTCTTGGGAGGCAGATGCATTATTATCACATGGAATCTTCGTCTTTCTGTACCCGGTCCCCTTGCCTAGAAGAGGGACGGCGCTTCAGGGTCCGAAGAGAGTATAAGACCTCGCCAGGGACTCACGCAACACGTAGCATGACCACTTCCACTGGAGTTGATTGTTCACAAAACGCAACTGCATCATGTTTCTTCAATCCAAGATCGCGGCCCTGGCGCTCTGCATCGCCCAGGTTTCCGCTGCCCCAGCCGCGAGACAGGCTGAAGGCTTCGTGACCACCGATGGCGAGAAATTCATGCTCGACGGGAAGAACTTCTACTTTGCCGGTAGCAATGCCTACTACCTCCCCTTTCAAGGCGTATGCCCACCTAAGCTCATTGACTCGTCCATTGCTAACGCGCGCTAGACCCAGGCCGACGTCGAGAAAGGACTCACCGCCGCCTACGACGCTGGCCTGCGCGTGATGCGCACATGGGGTTTCAACGACAAGAACGTGACCTACGACCCCAGCGGCCTGCCCCAGTACAACGGCGCTGACCCTGGTGCCGATGAAGCCGTCTTCCAGTGGTGGGACAATGGCGTCCCTACGATCGACGTGACCCAGTTTGACAAGGTCGTCAACGGGGCCGAGGCCGCTGGCATGAAGCTCCTCGTCACTCTGACCAACAACTGGGCTGACTACGGCGGCATGGACATGTACACCGTCAACCTGGGCGGACAGTACCACGACGATGTATGCCATTCTACAAACGCAAGACAAGCCAAAGAAAACCCCAACTAACACCTCGCCAGTTCTACCACGTCCCCGAAATCAAGCAAGCCTTCAAGAACTACGTCGAGCTCTTTGTCACCCGCTACAAGGACTCCCCCACCATCTTCGCCTGGGAACTCGCCAACGAGCCACGCTGCGGTGCCGACGGCACGCGCAACCTCCCACGCAGTCCCGCCGGCTGCGACCCGGACGTCATGAGCGCGTGGATCACCGAGATGAGCGCCTTCGTCAAGTCACTCGACCCCAACCATCTCGTCACCTGGGGCGGCGAGGGCGGCTTCAACCGCGTCTCGGATGACTGGGCGTACAATGGCGCCGACGGTGGTGACTTTGACGCTGAGATTGCCCTGGACGATATTGACTTTTGTGTCTTCCACTCGTATCCTGACTGGTGGTCCAAGACGGTCGACTGGACGGACCAGTGGATCCGCGATCATGCCGAGGCTGCTCGCGCGGCGGGCAAACCTGTGGTGCACGAGGAGTACGGCTGGCTGACGGACGAGGCGCGACTGGAGTATGTCGGCACCGTCAGCAACATCTCCAGGGTCGAGGCCATGGGCGGCTGGCAGGAGATTGCCGTGGAAGAGAAGATTCCGGACATGTACTGGCAGTTTGGCTACTCGGAGTGGTCGTATGGTCGCAACCACAATGACGGGTTCACCATCTATCTGGACGACGAGGAGGCACAGCCGCTGGTGTTTGAGCATGCGGAGAAGATGAATGCGCTGAATGGGCGTGGGTCAGGCTGTAAGCGTCATTCGCACTAGTTCAATAGCGAACAGAGCGGCCGGCTTTTGGGTGAATCTTGACTCATTGATCTGGACTATTCAGTATATGTGACAATGGACTTCGCTACGGCTACGAAAGAGTTACACAGCCCCCATTTTCACGTGCGGGAAGGTTAGCGACTTGCCTCTCGACAAGTGAAGACTACAAGGTAGTTCATACATCGTACCGGAGATACACTATCTGTGGCAAACTAGTGTTGTCCCCAGATCCACAGCTCAGATATGTAGATAGATCACCATGTGGAGTGACATTTAATATCGCCCACGGCGAGGCGACCGAAATGCCGCTAGATCAGACATAGAGGCAACTTATGACGGCCTCGTGCGAGGCCATGCGCAATCGAGGAGCTGCTCCGGGAAGACGGCTAGGGAACCGAGGACTGGACGGTTCAAGAAGCAGAAGAGACGTCAAAGACCGCTCTATAAAGCACGCGGGATAGTAAATCGCGTATCTGCCCAAGGCAAGGGCGCCAACCCATGCTGCAGCTATAGCACCTTTCCATGTTGAGAAGGGGGCTTGCAGTAGCTGGACTGGACGCAGCGGCTGACCATTGACAATGAGGCATCCCCGCGATGTCCACGAGGGTATTCTCCAAGATCTTGGCCTCGATGAGCACGTTCTTGTCCAGAATATAGCATCAAACACATGCAAAGGAATTATATGCCTCCGTCCAACGTTCCTTCCCCAGATTCGATCGCCGAGACATGCCCGGGCCGACAGATAAGTGGGTACCCGGCCCGGAGGTTCCACATGTTTCGCCCCGGGGCGCCTTCCCCAGACTTGCCTCTTTCGGACGATGCGGACCTTGTGCCCCCGCCAGCATCGCTCACTGAAGTGTGATGGTCAGTCAGAGAACGACTATATAATTTGGCGAGTCTCACGTTGATCTGGTCGATATAGACATCGCAGCAAACAAGTGATTCACATCGACAAGATGATCTTTCCATTGTTCGCACTGTTCGCCTCGAGCTTGGCTTTCCCCACGGTGAAGCGCTGCGGTGCGCAGACGTATGAGGCGGAAGACGCTGCTCTCAGTGGCACCCAAGTTCTGACGGACTTGGGTGGATACAGCGGTAAGCCAAGTCTAGCTACAAGACGTCGACTTCTGCTGACTTTCGACGCAGGCTCTGGGTATGTCGGTGGCTTCGATCAGGCCTCCGACAAGATCACCTTCTCCGTGGATAGCTCATCCGAAAAGCTGTACGACGTGACCATTCGCTATGCTACACCATATGGAGAGAAGACAGCGACCCTCTCTCTGAACGGGGGCACCAACAGCGACATCTACCTCGCAGCGACCGACAGCTGGAAGGACGTCAAAGCTGGTCAGCTGCTGCTCAACGAGGGCTCAAACAGCATCGACATTGTCAGCAACTGGGGATGGTGAGAAATCCTTTATGAAGAATTAGTCTCATTCACTAACTGTCAAGGTATTTGATCGACTCCCTCACCTTGAGCGAGACAGCGGCTGCTCCTGACCACAACATCAACCCCACACTCGTCAACCCAAACGCCAACGCCGATGCCGTCGCCCTTTATGACTATCTTCGCTCCATTTACGGCAAAAACATCCTCTCTGGTCAGCAAGACCTCGAGTGGACCGAGTGGCTCGCGCAGCAGACTGGCAAGACACCTGCCCTCGTGGCGGTGGACCTGATGGACTACAGCCCCTCCCGTGTCGAGAGGCAGGGCCAGGTCGCCACGACCGTCGAGGACGCCATCACCTTCTCCGAAAAGGGCGGCATCGTCTCCGTGCTGTGGCACTGGAATGCCCCCGCTGGCCTCTACGACACGTCCGAGAACCCCTGGTGGAGTGGCTTCTACACCAGGGCCACCAGCTTCAACGTCGCCACGGCCCTGGCGGATCCCAACGGCAACGACTACAAGCTCATCATCAGGGACATTGACGCCATCGCCAAAGAGCTGCTTCGCCTCCAGGACGCCAACGTACCCGTGCTCTGGCGTCCCTTGCATGAGGCTGAAGGCAAGTGGTTCTGGTGGGGCGCCCAGGGTCCCGAGCCATGCAAGCAACTCTGGGAGCTCATGTACGATCGTATGACCAACCATCACGGCTTGAACAACTTGATCTGGGTCTGGAACTCGCTTGCCCCTGAATGGTATCCCGATCCCGATACCGTGGACATTCTGGCCGCCGATGTCTACGCCCAAGGCAATGGAGTAAGTCTTGCCATTTCTTCTACAAGTGATATATTGGGCGTTGCTGACAGCTCATACAGCCCATGTCAGCCGAGTACAATCGCCTCATTGAGCTAGGCAACGACCAGAAGCTCATCGCCGCCTCGGAGGTTGGTTCCGCGCCGGATCCTGATCAACTGCAAGCGTACCAGGCCCACTGGCTGTGGTTCGCCGTCTGGACAGATGGCTTCATCAACAACGCCGACTACAACCCGCCCGAGCTCCTGAAGCAGGTGAGTGCCTTTGAAATTCTGGACAGAGAAGACTTTACTGACGCGTCTAGATCTACAATGACGAATATGTCTTGACGCTGGATGAGATTTCGGGTTGGCGGGGATAGGAGGATGAGACATGTCTGAAATTCGAGTGCGGGTTCTTCTCCAATAACATCATTGTTAGAACTCAATTGACTCGAAAGTACCATCCTTCAACTGGTTGTTATATCTGTTGAGGATTTGTGTCCAAGACTAACACCGTTATCTCCATCGTAATCTCCAGACATTGTGAGCGGGGTCTGCTTGTCCGGCTGTCAGCCCCAGAGTAAGACACCATAAGCACGCTGAAGAATCAAGCCAATACTCCCCAACGATCAACATCCCGCGACCATGAAAGTCATCATCTCAGGTGCCACGGGCTTGGTCGCGACCGCAGTTGTCCAGCAGAGCCTCGCCCATCCCAAAATTTCCAAGGTCATCGCCCTCTCGCGGCGAGCCGTCGAGCTCCCCGACAATGTAAACAGCAGCAAGCTCAAGCAGGTGCTCATCAAGGATTACAACGAGTATCCAGAAGACATACTCGAAGAGTTGCGCGGCGCCCACGCGTGTATTTGGTAAGCTTGCGGACCGTTCTCGCTGGGTACGTTTGCGATGCTCACACTATCCAGGACTGTTGCAATCACACCATCAAAGTCGATGACCTACCCGTGGGAAGATGTGGTCAAGATATGCCAGACGTCCACCACAACGGCTCTCCACGCCATGATCGGCGCTGGCATGGCAGAGCCATTCCGCTTCTTGTACGTGAGCGGCGATCGCGTTGATCCCGACAGTCCGCCCAAGCCCGGGCCGATGGGGCGATATATACAACTGCGGGTAAGTAGCATCGTTGTATAGTCCATGCTTTCGGTGGCTGACCTGTTGATTTCAGGGCGAGACAGAGAACATGGTGCGTCAAATCGCGGAGCAGTACCATGGCAAAGTCCAGGTCTGCATCGCGCGCCCCGGCATCGTGACGAGTGACGCAACCTACACGAGGGCCTTTTGGGGCTCAGCCGTGAGGACGCTCAACCCCGTTGCCAACGTCAGCCGTGACGAGCTCGCTGCTGCAATGGTCGATCAAGTGGTGAACGGGTTCGACAAGAAGGTGTTGGCAAACGCAGACTTGAAGACGAGGGGCCGTGAGGTCCTGACGCAGCAGGACCAGGGGTAAGAGCCATATCAGTTGTGAATAAGTTCTTTGGGGTTGAGCACGTTCGACTGTCACTATAGAGTAATGTGAGTATGAAACGTAACATTTGATTTTGCCAGCCTACTAAAACAGGTTGAGAGTGTCAATCCAACGTAATACATGCGGTTGGCGCTTGAACAATGATCACAGCACCGTTGGACGGTGATAGCTTCTCATCCCAGATTCCCTTCCAATGCACCTTGCCACAGGTACTAGCGGCCTCTCTTTCGGATTTATTGTGACTGAACATTGAACCTGATGTCAATCAGAGGGACCCTGAGCATCGACGACTACAATTGACTCAATGCTAACCCACAGCAGCATGGCTCATGGACGTTCTCCCCTCAACTTGCACGCCATGTATTCTAAAGCGGTTTCACGTATTTAGAGATTCTCACTGTTCTTGTCCTCGCGTAGCAGATGTACGAGGGTAGTTCCCTCTTGTTCAGAGCCCCCCTTATCTAGTCTGGCCTAGTACAACTGTTCACAAAGGAGTCTGGTGCAGCATGTCCATCAAACATGGCCTTGTTCACTTGGATGAATCGCAATACCTCGCAACAAACAGGACAAAACGTCAGACAACCAAGAACACAGAATCATCATCATGTCCGCGCCCTCCTGTTCCCGAACACATAAATAGGACCTCTCCTCTCCCATCGTTAACCCTATTCGTATCAACACACATCTCTACTACTGCTCTCCCATCACCAACACCATGGTCTTCGTCGGCTGCACAAAGTGCGGCTCCCATTGCCACCACAGCTGCTACTTCGACCACCACGGCGACTTTTCCTGCCACAATACCAAACGCCCTGCCACAACGAATCTTGGGCGTATGAGCGCGTCGGCTACAACGACTACGGGAAGCCGTACATCTGCTTCTCGGAGGACGGTTGCGAGGAGTGGATCGTGACCCCGATCATGTGCATGGATCCCTTTATCGTGTACAAGGAGAAGGTCCAGGATAACGGGTCGCTGCGCATTACCATCTGGAAGCCAGGCCCTTATCCCGGCCACGGCGGCTTCACGGCGGAGGAGTTCATCCCGCCTTCCAAGAGGCCTCCCCCTTCAGGCTCTGAGGAGAAGGAGGATTCCCTTCTGAGTTGAACACAACGTTGGGAAGCGCGTGTCTACGATGGGATAGTAGATCTTGTCCTGCGAAGGAAGGGGGAGGGGGTATCTAGCTGTCTCCATTCAAACGTCTCGTCGACTACTACTAAGGTCCCATCTTCCACAGCTTGGGCGCCTACTACTCTTCCCTTTTGTCCGATTCCTACAATCCCAGCTCCCGGGCGGGTCCCATAGCTCTCTCTCTCTCTATCTCATCAGCAATACATCCATCCATCCATGCCACAACCTGAATTATAACCCGCCAACTCCTTGTGAACTGCCCTCGGGAGGCTCATCCATATATATACGGTCCTCTGATTAGAAGTGGGTCAAAGTGCCAACAGAAATAGACAAGGAAGCCGTTTTCCCAGCGTAGAATAACAATACAATAAGAAATGATGATTGGCATGTGTGCCATGTTCGTAAATGGGACGTGAGTAAATGAGGGTGAATATGCGCAAACGAATCAAACGTCTGGTAAAATCGCAAAATTAGAATGAGTGCTTCTGCCAAGCGGTGACTTGGCGCTGGGCCAAGTCCCCATGCTCGTGAACTTGCTTTAGGAGGAGTTGACCCTCGGATCAGCAAAGTACTGCATCATGCCCCATCCATGTTGGGCAGCCGGTTGCCCCGGTGTGGCCTCGTCTATGTTTTGACTGTGCATGCTCTCCCAATCGTCGAAAACGACGGGTGCAGGCGAGTAATCAAAGTCCACCACGCCATCGCTCGACTCCATCGACTGCGCCGCCGAGTGCGGGTGCTCTTGCTTGATCGAGTGTGTCGAGGGAATGGGTGAATGGTTGGCGGTCATGGGTGAATGATTGGCCGTCATGGGCGAATGACCAGTCGAATCAGAGGGCGACGGCCCATTGGGACGCGTGAATTGTTGTGAAGGCATCATCATCGGTGTTTGGTAGGCTGAGGCGTACGATGTGTGGGCGTTCGGGCTGCCATTGGACATGACTTGCTGGGTCGGCGGCTGAGGTGGCATGGGGTTGAAGGACACACGCGGATCCTGAAACTGCTGCATGCCCTGGGGCTGACCAGGGAAGGGAGGGGGCGTGAGCTGGATGTTGTCCATCACGATATCGGCCAGGTCATACGCGACGCTAGCAATGAACTCAGCCTCCCCCTCGTTGCCGGAGAAGAACTCGAGCAGGTCCTGCAGCTGCCCTGGGTTCTCCTTCTCGAGGAAGCCCTGCGCCCGGCCCGTCTTGCTGGGGTGCCAACTGAAACGCGGTCGCCTGCCAGAGTAGCTCGACTGCTTGCTGCTGATGAGAGAATCCCAGGCCTCGCGAATCAGAGGTTGGTGGAGAAGACCGTACACGACCCGCGAGTGCATCCATTCTCCCTTTGTCATGCCAGACTCGAAATGCCGGGCCACGTGCTCGACGTGGCGCTCGCGAGCGGGATGGAGCGCGGAGCAGAAGCCGCATGCCCAGTACTTGCGCTTGCGCAGGAATCGAACGACCTTTTCGGCGTGGGGACAGGTCGTGCAGCCGTGGCATTGCTTGTGGTGCTGGTTGAAGGAGTTGGACCCCCAGAAGCTGCGGTTGCACCCAGGCTCCGGGCAAGGGTACTTCCTCCATCGCTCGTGAAACTCGTCCTCATGGCGCTTCCAGTCGTACTTGCGCTTGAAGCTCGTCTCGCACGACGTGCACCAGTAGATATTCTGCTTGTTGAGCGACCCGGGGGCACTCATCTGGCCGCCCGTGATCACGGGCTGGCCGGTCGGGGAGGTGATCTGCGGCGGCATGGGCAGCGGGGCCTGCGAGCGTGGGCCATTGGTGCCTGCCGACGCCCAAGACATTGCGGAATGTGACGACATGTTTGAGAAGACGGAGGCGTGACCCGAGGAGCCGGAGCTGGTGGATGAGACAGAGAAGCGTGGGCGGTGGACAAAAGGCGCAGTGGGAGGAGGGTACGAAAACAGGGTTGCTAGATCCTTGTCAGTTGAGGTGTTGGAAGGAATGCGCCTGCAGTCTGACGACACGGCGGGGGACCACGGACCAGTTCCATCATCCGTCATTGGCAATTGGGGCTTCATGTCGCTCCGTAGAATCGAGCTGTTCGCGGGCGGCGCGATGGGCGTCGTCGAGTTCTGCGAGACGGGCGAAAGCACCGCGGGTTGCTGTCGTTGCTGCTGGTCGGCCTGGCGAGCAGCAGTGGGAGGAGGCGGAGGCGGGCATTGCGGCGCTGGAGGGATCGCGAGCGCAGGGAGTTGCGATTGAAGCTGTTGCGGTTGTATCGACGAGTGGTCTGGCGTTTGCTGTTGATGTGGTTGCTGTTGTTGCTGCTGCTGTTGCTGTTGCTGCGTCGGCTGTTGGTTCGGATCAGCGAGGGTTTGCAGCATTTGCGTGTCGAGTAGCTGATGGAGCTGATCGCGGGAGAGGCCAGCCTCCATCAGCATCTGCAAGTTCTTGCGCGCCTCGGCGAGAACATCTTGCGGTTGCTGCTGCTGCTGCTGCTGTTGCTGTTGCTGTTGCTGAGGTAGGAGGTGAGGCGATTGGCTCTGGACCGTTGGGTCCATGGTTCACATAGAGGCGCCGCGAGACTGGGATGTAGCGACTGGAGGGTATGGTATAAACGAATGGACGAACGCGATAGCGCACTGCATGCAAAGGCCGAAGCTTAGCGGGATCGAGCGAAGGGACGTCGACGATGGACGACGAGAGCGTTGATGGCGGTTGTGGCAGTTCAGGTGAGAGTTGCGGATGGCCCGAACGGTGAGATGGGCGGGAGCTGGAAGGACTGGGCTGGACTGGACTGGACCTGGCTGGGTTGGCTGGCTGGCTGGGCTGGGCGAGGGCCAGGTTGTTCAGCTGGCTGGGTGACTGGGTCCAGTCGAGAGATGAGCAGATCTCCCCCTGGTCCAGCATGCAGTGAGTGCCTGGCACTGGCAGCACCGACGCTGCTGATTAGTGGGCAGGCCCCTTCCTTGGCGGATACAGCATTAATTACGTCCGGGATACGCGGGTTTGCCTACTGTACAATAGGAATTGGGATGGGAAATCCGTACTCCGTGCGCCATGCTCGCTACGAGAATTGACTGTTGCACGAGCGGACTGGAGGCTCATGGCTAGAGGCTCGCCTGCTGGGACAGGACGCTGTGGTACTGTAGCAGTGGTAGCTGGTGGCCGCCTGGACATGTAGATCCCTCCCCCCTCCATCACCACCGCCAAAAAGGAACCTGTCCCTCGGTCCAAAATCATTGCAATCAATGCCCTCAATGCGCGCTGTCCGGGGGCTGATCATTGACGAGCAACGACTGGAACGGCTAGCCTCCAGGCTACGTTGTACATAATTTAGAGAAGCGCCAGGGGCAGCTGGCAGGCCGCAGCACATCGCCGTGGCCGGCGCTAACGACATGGAGGCGCCATCTTCCAAATAGGTTATCTGCTGCAAATCTTCTGCTGCTGTGGTTGGCTGGCCCTGGTGCTTCACTGCTTCTAGCTGCCGCGGACCCCTTTTTGCCGGGCCCAGCTGTCGCGCTTGCAGTCAAACTTCCGACTGGAGCCCCTGGAGTGTGCACTGTAAAAATAAGTAATACCAGCCGACGATTGGAGATGACGATGACCCAGTCCGTCATCACGTCCATGTCGCGAGTCGTGAGTCCAGGATATTTGAGGAATTCGCACCACCACCAACGCCATCATGATCAGGCAGGATTCAATTCCCCTGCCAGGCCTCCCGCGAAACAAGCTCCTCGACAACCCGAATACGTGCTTGCATGTCAGAAGGAAGATGCCTGCCTGCCTGCCTGCCTCCTGTCAAGCCTTTTCTCCAGGGGTCAATCGCGAGGCTAGCCACCCCCCCAAGCATCATCATCACACAGGTGACAAGGCACAAGCGCGACAAGCCGACAGGCGTCTCGGGTGGGTCAGGGGAAACCACACTGCCTGCACGGCACCTTGTGTGGTGCATTGATGGTATTGGCGACCACTACCGATGTTTTCGCAGCAATTAATTATTATTATCGTGTTGCCGGATCAGATAATAATAGATGGACGTAAACCAGATGCCGTCAGTGTGGGTTGGGCGCCTGAAACGACTGGATGTTGTCTGCCAGGTCGTCACTTGCCAGCCACTGTGAGATGGTGCGCAGGATCAGAGCTAGGACCATCGACGCCGGGTGTTGCGCAATATCAGACCATGTTCAGACTTCAGACTTCTTCTCCTCATCTCTCCACTAACAACAGCAAGTACGTACTCACAGAAAACCATCTCTTGTGCGTGCAACCCCGTCACGTCACCAGCAAGCCGACACGGTTCACAGAGCGCGTCGTGCACGTAGCACGTAGCACGACCAGGCTTCAGCCACTCGGAGCGCTGCACGATGCATGGCTCTTCTGTCATCTCTCGGCTTGACGAGGAACAGGCTAAATGGCGGTCCTGGTCTGGTCTGCGCACTCATCAGCGAAAAGACTTGTGCTTTTTCTTCTGCTGGCTGCTTCATGGCTCCCACTTGCGACAAGCCTCCAGCTGCCACTTCGTCACATGCGCAGCCCCTGAATGCGGCTTTGTTAGTATTGATCTTAGTCCAGTCCCTCCCCCAACTGGTCTACCTATCCCGATACGTCAGCTACGGTATCATAGCCTCCTGATCAGTCTAGCCAGTTCCAAATTTGGTCACGTCAAACTAAAGGCTCCTTGTCGACGGGGGGCGCTGCAAGGTTGAAGGTTGTGCCTGGCAGCCTGCACTTGCAGGAGTAGGAACGTGTCTCGCAGCCTCCCGCAGCGAATGCGTGACCTGAAACGAACGACTCCTTGAAAACACCCGATTTCCATTTTTTCCACTTTCGTGGGCTGCTGGACTTCTCGATAAGCTCCATGAACCATCGTCGCTAGCGATGCTAGTCTACCACAGTAGTGACGGCTCATGGCGATTCCGCACTCCAGAGTCCAGTCTCCACGAGTCCACGTTGCGGGTTCCGCGATACGGGCTGCAGCCCACCCATCCGCATCACCCAGCGTTTCGAAATACCGGCACACATGTGTCATCGGTGTACGGTTTACCGTTCGTACTTGTATCGGCTACTGGCGCAAGATCTGTACGTACGTAGGGCTCATGGGCAATTCAATAGTTCATTTTCAAAACAAAAGCTCCGTAGTGTCTACCGTATCGCCGCTAGCCAACGTGCTCCGCGCCGACGCCTGTCGATCGCCAGCCTGGAGATCACCAGTGCACCACAATGGCGCGCAGGCTGGCACTGGAGCATGAACACCTCAACACTTGGCTCAAGCCCCTGACCATGCTTAACATCCTCCACGCTCCCACTCGACCAAAAACGGCGTTCAGCTGTGCCTTTGGGAGCTCTGCTGTTTCACTGCATCGGATCTGTGCGGTAACAGCTCAATGAACGGTCGAGCCAAGCAAGTTCGGCAGCAAGCGAGAATTGCGCCTCGTGCCTATTTATTAGTACACGTACTTTGCTCTACGCATACGCAGCCCGCAATCTCCACTTGGAGTCTCACTGGCACTGGCAGTCAGACTTCAGTTTAGCTCCCAGAGCCGAGGCGAGGGGCATCGGAGCACTAACGTCAAAGTCAATCTCAACAGCTCCGCATGTGGATGGCGATCTTGCGTCTTTCGTCACACTTGCAGACCAAAATAAGTTAGTGCTCACAGTCTCGCAAGGTCACACGACTGGACAGACTCGTTAATTAGGTCCTGATGTCGTGTATTCCTCGCCCTATCCTTACCTGATTGCCATGGCTGGCTCGATCACTTAGCAGACGATATACGTGTAGTACCAGGAGGCGACTGGAAAGAGGAGCACCCCAACCATTGTCAGAATGACAAAATTGTACATATGTATTATTACGGATGAGCTTCTTCATGCCTTCGCTTACACCAGCCTCGTGACGCCACTCGCTTGCGCTATTAACGCCGACTAGCGAGATTCCCATGTTGTCGCCCACTCTTCCCATCGGCCAGCCCTTCCTCTCCTGGGCGTCTGGGACCAAAGGGTTTCGAGCCAAGGGTCTTGGCCCGATGCACGTGGAACCTCATCCAGGTACCATCTCTCCACTGCCTGATAGCAGCCGTAACTATACATCAAACACCGGCCTGCGAAGCCATCTCACCGAGATGGTAAGCGCGAAACACTTTGCCATCGTATCGTGGTCGCCACGGGCAAAGTTCCGGCCTTGGCGTTCTTGTCAGCGTTCGAACTTTGCGCGCGCACAGGCAGTGAATTCCCTCGTTCTCCAAGCGGGCGGCGCGTGATTGCCGAAAAGGGGGTTCAACCATCGAGGACCGACCCGTTTCAGCGCCCAGCCGCCAACATCTTAGGCGATTGCACGACTCACGACACGCTTGGAACAAGGAGAGGCAAAAAAATGAACAGAAAAAAACGAAAAGGAAAGCTCAGACGGCGGCGGCCCATTGTCGACGCCGATGACCGGTAGAGGGGAGGAGACAGCCCAGCTCTGAAGTTTCTGCGCCATGTAATTAATATCCCGTATACGAAGGATACGCATCGATCATCTCCGAACTGTTGAGATGGATACCCTCTCCGCACGATACTTGATAACAGTCTGTCGTTCTCTCTCATTAGGCGCTGGTGCTGAAGTAGTAATTCTCCCACAGGTACTCGTAGTCCTCCAGGATGCCGGCGATGAATCCAGGCATCCGCTGCGTCACGCCACCGACCATCCCCTTTGTCACGTTCTCGTAGAAGGCGCCACGCATCGCCCACCAGGCCATGGCCCAGCCACGCTTGTTCCACTCGTCGCGCTCCAGGGCCGTGGTGCGCAGGCTGCGGTCGCGCAGCTGGCGCGCAGCATACTCCACTGTCAGACCAACGACCCAAGGCGTCCATGACTTGCGGTTCTTGCTCGAAGCAAGCGCCGATGCGTAGATCAAGGGGGCCAGGATCTGCAGAATCTCTGCTGCCTGACCTGACCCTTGGAGCTGGTTCAGTAGGTTCTTTGCAGGCTTGATGTCGTCCGCCGTGAGGACGCGACCCAGCAGGTAGGAGCTGATATCGCCCGAGTTGGGTAGCGAGGGCAAGCTCATCCCCGTCCGAGGCATCCTCCACTCGCGCTCGTACGGTGCCTTGCCTTCGTCCTCGTTCAAGATATCCCTGGCAATGTCCCCGTTGAGCTGCACCTCGTCCATCAGCTCGCTCTCGCTCTTTGTGTCGTCTTCTGCCTCCTCTACCGCATCCGCCGGTATGGCCTCTCTCTCAGGCAATACGGGCGAGACCAGCGGACGTGATCGTGTTATACGTAGCAGCAAAAGGCGGCATATAGCCTTGATCGCCTCCAGCAGCACCACGACCCGCCACCGCGACTTCTCCCCTCCTTTGCGTTTCGCCGTCATCTCGCAGAGCAGCTCTGTGTAGACGACCATCTGCAGAAGCATCGCCACGCGACGGTATTTCGTGTTCTTCTCGCTCCAGAACCGTGTATACCGCGCATGCGCTGATGGTGTCGGCAGCGCTAGTCGAGAAACAGCGCGCGTGAGGAGGGTATCGTGGTAGAGCGACAGGAGCTGCACGCCCGAATGTATCGACTCGGAGGCTATCTCGGCATCGCGGAAGCGACCTTGTTCCCAGTCAGCAGTGCAACGGCTAATGTAGTGGATGGATGGAAGTGTGTGTACCTGGGATGATGTACGTGAGACTGCGCAGCGCGCTCTCAATCTGCGACACCTGCCCTGCATTCTTGGTGATAAAGTCCTCGTACATGCCGAGCCACTTTGGCGGCAGCGACAGAAGCTGCCCAGCCGTCGGACGCGTCGACCTCGCGCCCGGTCTGGGCATCGCTGATGGCGCAGACATGGCGCGCGTGCTTCTGGGGGGATGCCACCAATTGGCGTTGGATCTCTGAGTCGTCAAGCGCAAAGCTGGATGCGATGGGCACAGAGCGCAAAGGTGAGCGCAGTCGGAGGTCGCGGATTCGAGGCTCGCACGTGCAGTTTGTTGATTTTCGATGGAGCAGCGTCGTGGTGAAGTTGGTCGTATGGGATCATGTATGGAGGTGGTAAGTACTTACGTAGCCGAGGCATATTCGACGAGTGCGGCGGGCCGAGAGCAGCGGCATAGATCAGGTGGAGCTAGTCTGGGGTAAGCTGCACCTGGGCCGCACATGGTCATCAACCTACCCTGTGGCTAGTGGTATCAATATCATTTCCATAGGTAGTTGCTCATGATCTAACTCACTGACTAGACTAGAGAGACTTGACAGAAGATCTCTCGCATATTCTTATTCAGTCCCTTAGAGATTTTTGTATATATGTGAGGTCCCAGCCGCTCGCCACGTCCATCGCCCACTGCTCCACACGCTGCCTTTTCCATTCTGCTCCGGGTGTCTGCTCGAGTTCATCATTGTCAGAATCTGAGAACAGCACTGAGTAGTCAATTGGGCCGATCGGTTGGGCCATCTGTGAATGTCTCCCAGACATGCTGCAGATGGTTGGTTGGAAAGGCATGAGATCCCTCTCCAAGAATTGTGGTGCGGCGTATCCTGGTCTCTCTCGCTGCTGCTGCTGCTGCCGCTCCTGTTGCGGGGGCTCGTCGTAGCCTCGCACCCAACATCGACATTTCCTGTAGTGGATGGCCATGGGTGGTCCGAGGACGAGCGTGCCGACCGCGACCAGCCAGCTTGCGCCTGTAAATCCGTCGCCCATAGCGCCGTGGAGTGAACAGTGTATGCCCCAAACCATGCTCCCTAGAATGAACAACCCTCCAGCAAGGAGCAGCATGTAGCATACCTTGACTCGCCGTTGCAAGGGGCGTTGTCCCGACTCTACCTCCGCAGCCACCATACTTGTGTGGACTGGTCCAGACGCAGGGACAGCCTGGCAACTTGCGTCTCGTGGCGCCTCTGGAGGTTGAATCGTATGCCATGCTGCACGACGCACTTGAAATGCCCTTTCCTTCTGCTCTTTGGACAAGGGAGCTCTTCTGCCCCTGAAACCCGACCTAGATACCTGTTCTCCCCCAGTCGCTGAGACGCATTCAGGGAATTCCACCGTCTTTCTCTCCGCCGATGATTTGACCATGGGGGTCCCCAGCCGCCGGGGCTTGTGATCTCTGGGAACTCTGTGTTAGTCAAAGACGACCGAAAACCTGAAGGCATATACATATGTATACGCACAGCTCAAAGGCCATCAAGCTCATCTCAGCCCCCATCGCAATCATAGATGTCTGCACCAGCATGGCATTCCTGTCCATTTTCGGGTCGCTACCTCGCGATAGTGTACATCTCTCCACAAGTATCTCCTTGTACGCGCGAACGTTCCTGATGAAACTGTGCGCTCGCGCCTCTGCGCTCGGGGGCAGGTCAGCTTTCATGAGTCGTTTAAGAAGCCTCATAACAGCGACCACCTGGAGTTCGAGTTCCCGGGTCAAGGTAAGGGGCATTGAAAGTAAGCCATCTATGAGCGTGGTGATCTCAGCACGCAAGTCGGATGCTGGACTTGCCGCTGCGCTGGGCGGTTCCTTGGGCGCCATCGCCTATGCGCTCTTGGTTCTTGCCAGAGATGGGCACGAGACAATGAAGCACGATTGTAGCGACCAGTAAAAGGTGTAGTTATCCCAGGCGGCTGGGGAGTTGGCTGCAGGCAAGTCTGCAGCATCACGTGGACCAATGTGAACAGGCTGACTGCGCCTTGTTGATGCAACAGCCACGGCTCTGAAGAGAGAAAAACGCCTCGTCACTGCACACGAAGAGGCTGCCGACGGCTGAAAAGCGATTTGTGCTTCTACCGACAAGACGTGCGTCATGCAACGTCTATAATACATATAGCATCCGCTCTGCAAGCAGGATCTATCCAGGCATCGTGGCAGTGCGCCGTGGGTTAGGGCAAGTCGACGGCCACGTCCTGCTCTTGTCGCTTCGAGCAAGCCGCCTGCCTGTAGAATTTCCGTCCCCTGTTTTCTCTGCCATCCTAACCCGACAAGTCATTCATCTCAGACTAGCATCTTGCCATGGGACTATAACCAGGCTGCGGTTCAAAGCCGGGGGCCGCTTTCACGACCAGAGGATCTGCGTGGCGCATTTCAGTATAGCGCTCACGAAGCGTGTACCACATCTGTCCGTCGCAGGCACAGGGCTCGCGCGCTCCGAAACCAGTTCTGCGATTCGGGTCGACGCGGTGATGATAAATGTAACAACAGCCAGGGTATCTTCCCCCCCCTAGCCGATCGCTTTCGAACCAGTATATCAAACTTTTCGGTGTCCGGCGATACAGAACATCTTGTACGCTCAGCTGCGTAAAGTTTCGACTATCTCGTCCAAATCGTCTCAGAGTAGCTCGAATCCCGCCTGTTCTAGCTCCGAACCCCTCGCTAGGATAGGTCGTCCCTGCAAAGGGAAAGGCCAGAACAGGGGGTTGTCCATCTTATCACCCGAATACTTGGCCACCTTGCCCTCAACCTGCGAGGCGCCGGAGCCGGCGCTGCCCTGGAAGAGTCCGAAATCGCAGTCGAAATCCGTGTCCACGACGTTCGGGGCGAAAAAGTTGAGGCTGTTGGTATACGTCTTGACAAGGCTGCCGTAATCCTCGGGTGGCGTCTTCCCGTCGTCCACGTCGACATCGATTTTCCACTTCTTGGCGAGATACCGCAGGATGTTCAAGGCCTGCTCGGCAAAATGGTGGCAGGGCGCCATCTCTGCCAGGTCGGAAATGCCTTGTTTCAAAGCTTCCGATACCCGAGAGTCCAGCTTGGCTGCTTCCGCCATCTTGGAGACCTCGTCTGACGTGCCAGACCGATTTGAAACTGTGGTGGCGCCGACGGCGAGGTGCATGATAGCCGATGTCAGAACAAAATATGGCACGAACGATGGTGTTCGGCGCAGGGTGTATAATTGCGAGTAGGAGCGTAAGAGTCCTTGAATGGCGTCCGCAGCTTGACAGCATACGTCCCGGGGTGAAACTTTGGAGCCAATGATCCGCATCTTGATGAGCGGCCTGAACAGGAGGAGGATGGCAAAGTGATAGTACATGCTGTATCAAGGTCAGCTCAAATGTTCCATGGGTCGACGCAGGTATCCTTACTGAGCGAAGAGAACGGCCGGGGTGAAATTGTGGCCGAGTCGCAGCACCTCTGGTATCCGATCATACCAATTCAAATATTGAGTATATATACTCAGCAAGTCCCTCGCTGTCAATGGTCGCCCGGGAGAATGCAATATGTACAGTGACTGGTGAACGAGTTCGCTCAGCTCACAGAAGCATTTGTACACCGAGCGCACATTGGAGGATTGCTCACAAGAGCGTTGCAATGGCGCTCCGTCGTCAGTATAAGGTACCCACAGGGATGCCTCGACATCATCGATGATAGCGGGTTTGGGAGGCAAATGGGGGAAGCAGGAACACTGCGGCAATGACCCTGTTGCCAAAGACCAGGCACTGGTAGCAACATTAGTCAAGGTGGCACCAGTCACAATCATGAAAACTCACTGATCCAGTGCAAACGCTCCCCAGAAGGTCGCGGACTGCACAGCCAACTCGTCTTCGTCGCCTTCGTCGTGTACCCGGTGAAGACCCATCTCGATGGCCAGACGTATGCTTTGCCCGGCATAGTACCAGCTTTCCGAATCCCGACCACAGCTAGCCTCTCTTATAGACATGATACCCAGTGCCTGGATCGTCGTCAACGAGTGGTGATTCGTCTCTTGGTAGAACAACCGCTGGGACTCCTTGAAGAAGTGGTCCCCCGACGTATACGGGTCGTTCGGATTCGCTCGAGTCATGGGCTGCGACGAAAAACGGCAACCTAGCGCAAGCAGCGCATTGACGAGCATGGGCGAGCAGTATCGATATCGGCCGTCTTGAAAGTCCCGGAGGAAATGCTCCTTGCTGAGGGAGGCAAAAGTGGGGTACTCCCAGCAAAAGTATAGCGCCAGTAAATGCTGCACCAGATTGATATCGCTCGTTATGCTGGTCCAAGTGCCTGAGGCGGACTTCATTTCAGGCTCATCCAGAGGCGACAAAATATGCTCGAGTCCGCGAAACCGAGGAAGCCTAGTCGATCGATCGGTATCTCGCTGGCCCGACCCTGGCTTGTCAGGCAACCAGTTCATGGACTCTGTTTGGGAATCGCCGTGGTTGGAGTTACTGTGGCTCCGCTGAAGGAAGTTCCAGGAGCCGTTGTTGTTCTGCATGGCTGGAGACGGCTGCGTGCCGGGCGCGCCAGCAATCCCAGGCAGGCCCAAGTTCAGGGCCGCCAGGGATCCGGGGATGGGGCCAATGTAATTCGACAATGGCGGTAAAGTTGTACCCATGCTGGACTGTTCGTGACGGGAGTTAGAGGGCAGTGACGCTGTACCGGACGGTACGTGGTCGCTGAGCCATTCCCCAATGGCTTCGACCGTCTGGCCGTTGCGTAGGCGACTGAGCACATCTTCCCAGAGGCCAGGCCTCACCAGAGCAGCCAAGACGCTATCGCTCGACTTTTGCCGTGATCGTAGAGACTCGATCTCGGTGCGTAGGTTCTCTTTTGACTGTCGCACGGGGATTTCATATTTGCACTCGATTTCTTTCTGGCCCCGGCAACGGCTACAAGGCTGCTGCCCATCGCACTTGGTCTGTTAGCAGATGACTCCGCGACGACGTAGGCACTACTAACCTTTGCTCGCTTCTTGCGGCATTCCGTGCACGCGTTGGGCGTTACAATACCTAGACCACGCCTGCGCTTGGCATTCTGAGTCGAGACGGTATGGGGGATAACGCTGGCAGCATTCGTTGTGGATGAGGATGCTGGCGTCGGGTGACTTTGCGCAGGCGTGCCCGAGTTGCCTGAGAGCGAGGTTGACGTGCCCTCGAGTTGAGGCGTGTTAGATGTGCTAGACTGGCCCGGCGCAGACGGAGTCTGGCTGCGACTCTTGTCTTCGTCCATTGGATCCATGCCAATGTCAGTGTTCGGGGCTTGTGGAGTAACTTCGTTGGGCAGCGTTGATCAAGGCGTGTCGAGCGGATGACCTGATCTCTACTGGCCGTAGGAACATGCTGTGAATGCGAAGGCTTCGGCGCGTCAGCAGGCCTGAACGGCGGGGGAGTCGGGTGGGTGGAAGCAATTATGCGCCTCTCATGAGCATCGACAGTTCAAGTTTGGGAAGGGGAGAGTTGAAAGCACGATGTTGGGTCGGTGGGGGGAGTGGAGGGGCGCACGAGAAGATTGGACAAGCCTTTTGAGCTTGTCGCGCGGCCTGGCCTTTTGACCGATCAGATCGCGGTTGTGGGCGAGTATGCGCCGTGCATGGTCAGATTCAACCCGACGTGTCGATTGCGAAGTATCGCAGGCGCGACTCGATGGAACCGCGAAAGGCTAAATCTCGTCTAGATAGGCACGAAGAGGGTGTATTTGGGTCTGTCTGGGGATTAGATCGCACGCGCGACAAATTATGCGCCCTCGATGATCCGGTGACGGTGTTTGCGACGACATCGCTCGACTCCACAGAGCGCGTTATTGCTAGTGCACCATGAGGTCATTGCGTCGTAGGTCCATCGGGTGAATTCCAGCAAATTGTCACAGAGGAGCATCACACCTGGTGGAGGCGGAGAGGAAATACCACAGATCATGCAGACAATCGCATCCGCCACACGCTGGCGAATGACACAGCAGTGCAATCGGATTCTGGGTACTAATTGATACATAAGCATTACTTGATAATGAGCACGCTGACGATTTAATAGCCACTGAGAGTCAGAAGCAAAGTTCGGGGCAGGCCCAGCCGCCCAGTATGCGCCTCCACGGGAGCTCAGACTCGGGACGGATAAAATGCCATATTCCGCGGCCTGAGCCGAGCCTTATCGATAAGGCACCGGCCAAGCATTGACCAGCGCTCACAGCAGCGGCAGAGGAGAAACGAGAAAAAGGAATGTGAAAGTTTGGCTTCCTCAACATTAGCGAACGACTCGAGCTCAGTCTAGCGCTTGTGATTACAAGTAGAAATCGCTAAGCGTGCAACTTTCCCAAGGTACAACATGTCCAAACGCCTGCAATGCGGCTTCCAAAACGCCTACACCCCAACCCCAACCCTTGACAAAGAAATCCCCCCGGTGTACATATCCATCAAAAGTCGCGCTTCGACGCACTTCGCGGATACTTGATAGGGCTCATGGAGCGGTGGCCTCGACTCGGTGTCCAGAGCAACGGAGGTGGTGTGTGGTCGGTGTCCGTGTCGTCCATGTGTATGGCCCGGCGCCTGTGCGCTTGAGGTGTCTGTACGGGTATCCAAGTGACATCGCCTTGTCGAATAGGGCCAGCGGCATCGTCAAAGGACCCTGTTGGGATCGGTTGTCGCGGTGGCTCGGGGGCTGCGGGTGACGATGGGCGTCTGGTCATAAAGTAGGTCAAGGCGCCGATGATACCAGCTCCGGCGGTCTGTATGATGTTAGTCAAATTCTTGCGTATTTCAAGCATGGAAGCCAAAGACGCACCCAGGTCTGAAGGGAAAGCCCGTTGAAAAACTCATTCAGAATGTCGGCTGTCCCTTTGATCATCTGTTTGACCTTGCTGATTGCCTCCGGGTCCTTCATCATGCACTGGAACAAATCATCGCAGGTCTTTTGAAAGAGCGGCCCGACCCCTTCGTTGCACCTGTTCAGTTGATAGTCCTGGCGACACTGGGACTTCTGAGCCCTGATGACCTCTCTGGCTTCCTCATTGAGGTTGTTCATGTCGGACTGGAGAGCGTGAAGAAGCCCGATCCCGATCCCCAAGGCCGAGCAGGTGATAAAGACATTGACGCCCAGCCAAAACCATCTGTGGATGTTCTCAGGGGCAGTGTGGTGCTGCTCCATCATACTGAACAACGAACCCACGGGATTTCCGCTCTGGGCTGGTTTCTCGGGTCTCCGTCGAGATCTAGAACGTCCGCTGCGCCAGTACTCGGCGCCTGAATCATCGTCGTCGTCGTCATCAGTCACCTCTGCCGATCGCCTCATGTATCCTGGCACCTTGTCATATTTCTTCCGCCGTCCATGGTCGCGTCCCGACGCGATCTCTCCTTTCCCTGGGGCATGCTTCTTGTACCGAGTAGCCTTGTCGACCCGTGATGGCCCCACCGGACTAAGATGGATGTCCATGCGATCCGCTTCAGGTGTATCGTTGGGGTAGTCAGACGCTTGCGCTGGGCTGTCCTCGGCACCCGAGGCCTCGGAGAGCATCTGCTCGTCGAAAGGTTTGCGCGGGGTCGTGAAAGCAGGATTGCGGAACGGTGGTGCCGGAGGTGTAGAAGTCGCCTTCAATGGTGTAAAGAGCTTGCGCTGGGGTTGAAGAGGCTTCGAGGGGGTGCTGAAAGGTTTCGGCGGGTCGGACCCTTTAGAAGGTGATGCGAAACCTGCAAGTCAGGGTCAGCTCAGATCAAGGACATGACCATACGAAGATCAAGAGTCCGCCTACCATTGTTCAGCCTTCTGTTCGCTGTCGCCTTGACAAATGGGCTGCTTTCATCGACCGGTCCTGTATGGCCGTCGTATTGCCAGTCCATGTGCCCTTCATAAGTACGGCGTTGCATGTTGATTAAAGTATGCGGAAAATGGAGAGAGCGTGGTGTTCCGACAAAAAGACATCAAGGAAGGACGAGAAGTATTGCAGACATAAGAGCGGAAGAACGTAAAGGGAAGTAGACAATCAACATCCAAGAATGCTGGTGTTTGGACAGTCACTGGTGGCAACAGCTGCGAGTAAACAAACCTGGATTCACTGTTCACTGGCATTTGCGCATGGCGGGTGGGGCCTCTATGCCCGCCAAGATGCTAGTTCTGGATTATGTAATCTTGATTTGGGGGTTCAACCACGCCAAAGCCCAAACCAAGTTGCAGCTTTCTTCCTGCGCTACACAATCAGTGCTGCCAGTCGCGACATTCAATCCCTTTAGCGTCAAGGCAATCGACGATACAATCTGCTTGGGCAAACAACACAAAAACATCAACACTTCGTTGTATCATCAGCACTGCGCCTCGCTTGCCCCAGCGAAAACGAAACAGCCACGCGCTACACCGCGCAAGCATGTCGGACGCAGCGTCGCCCGTTGCGGAATCACCCGTCGCACCACCCGGCAACGAGGTTGTCAACGATGGCCAAGAGGAGGAGTTCCAAGATGAGCTGGCCGCAGCCGACTCAGATCGCGACTCCGATGCTCTCTCTGAAGTAGACGAGAATCTCATCGAAGACTACGATCCTGCGGCGGCGAGTATCGAGGATCGACCTGTCGAGATTGACGAAGACGTCGCCCGGACACTGAAGGCATCGAAGCGTAAAACGGCCGATGGCCCAGCAAAGAAGCCTCGGGAAGGTCGTCGCGAGAAGAAGAAACGGAACGATGAGGAGGACATGCAAATTGATGGCGATTCGTACGGACAGAAACCTCGCAGGCAAAGACGCACAGCTGCTGAGGGCGAGCGACGATCAAAACCCCAGGCTGCGGAGCCGGAGCCGGAGAATGAAGATCATCTGAGCCCCGAGGAAAAGCGAAAGCGCGCCATCGATCGTGCGTTGGACGCGGCCATCAAGAAGCCTGCCGGCAGCCGGCGGAAGAAGAAGGATGAGATCGATCTCGAGGACGAAATCGATGATCTTCTGGCCGAGCTCAAGATTCGAATGGAGCATGCCTGCCAGGCCGACAATGAGGCACGCGAACAGGGCCAGCCTGCGCTGCACAAGTTGAAGCTGTTGCCCGATGTGACAGGCATCTTGAACCGCAACAACGTTCAACATGCCGTGTTGGATCCCGACACCAACTTCCTCCAACACGTCAAATTTTTCCTGGAGCCCCTCAACGACGGCTCGCTTCCTGCCTACAACATTCAGCGCGACATCTTCCAGGCACTCACGAAGCTGAACATTGAGAAGGAGACGCTGCTTAGTAGCGGCATTGGAAAGGTTGTCCTATTCTACACCCGCAGTAAAAAGCCCGAGGCGAGCATCAAGCGCATGGCGGAGAGGCTACTGGGAGAGTGGAGCAGACCTATTCTCAAGCGCACGGATGACTACAAGAAGCGCCACATCGAAACGCGCGACTTTGACTATCAGTGAGTATCATTTATCAGCGGTTCAAGAGCCTCGACTAACATTTTGACCAGGGCTGCCAAGATGGCACAGCGTGCGAAAGCCAACTCTCAGTTCAGCCTGACCCAGCGCCCAGCGCAGAAGGAAGACGGCAATCGTGCCCGGGCTGGAGGGCTGCCATCCAGCTACACGATCGCTCCACGCAGCACCTTTGAGGGCACGGGCGGCACGGATCACCGTCCTCTTGGTGCGGGCGGTATGGACGCCTTCCGCAGAATGACACAGAAGAAGAAGAAGGCTACCTAGTGGTCCACGTGTACCATAGCTGTATTGACATGGGATGGGTCGGCGTTGGGGATCAGGCGTCACTTTCTCTCTTTTCGTACAATGCATATCAAACGAGTGCAGCAACTGCTCATTGAAAAGCTGCGCGATATTACTGTGCATGCATTACCATTTTAGGCTGTCAGGATGCGACCTGGTGACTGTTGCTATGCGCACCTTACCCACCCCACGGTCACGTTCCGGCACTGATGTCGTGCGACGTTCTGCAGCCGCCAGGGCGGCGGCTCTGACGTCAGGATTCTTTTGCTTACCCTACGACATGGAGTCTTTGTCTCGAGACCTATCACATCTTCGCCTGTAGAGGTTGTTGTACAAAGATGAAGCAAGAGAATGATCAGCTTCACGTTGGTGAATAAATCAGTAAAGTTCGCGATTCAGCATTGGAGCACATTGTGGCTCAAAACCAAAATCGCGGTGATTCTATGCCGCAAACTGTCCATATAAACAGCACAATTTCTTCAGCGATCTTGGGTACCATGTTGCTTCTTGAGCCAGTGCAACTATCTAAAATCCGAATTCAAAAGCAGTAGCTATTGTATTTCAGGCGAATAATCCTTCGTAAGTGCAATTCAAAAGCCCATTGACTGGTGGTCATCAGAGAACCTACCTCAAGGTAAGGCTGGGGTGAACTTGGACGGTTCTGGCGGCGCCAAGTCAACAGCACGTTGCCAGCCCAAACGAAAGCAACCCCTCGATCCAGCGTCCGACCTCTCCCACCTCGGAAACAGAAATTCCCTCCAACCCACCTGAGCGACATCCAAACATCCCATCCGCTCGCTGCCGTTTGAGTTGTTGTCGCTTCCTGACACGTATAGCTTCTTCCCGAATCCAAGCTCAGAGGCGCGATTGTCGTTGTGGGATCATCTGGTACGTGCAACTTGGCCCCAATCCGCTCGCGACGTGCATACAGAGAGTCGGGCTGGTCGCAACGAGCGCCAGATGCTGTGATGCGACCTGCACCGAGCCACCCCGACGCGCGCATCGCTGCTACATGATTCGAGGCATCGTCTTTGAATCTACACACTCGCTTGTTCAACGAAATGTTACTATCTTCAAGTGTCCACGTCGCTGACGCTGATTCCAGCTACTGGCTGCCATACAAAGACCTACTGGCACTATAGACCTCGACATCGTTCACGAATAGACTCACCGCAACCATCATACCCGTCCTTGAGCCGTCTTATATACATTGTTCAGTTCCAGAAATATTCCGTTCTCACGAAAGCTGCACTGCACGACGTCCTTTCGCCAACTACCGCGCTGTCCCGCCGCCGCCGCTTCAGCTGTCGCGCGTCACAAGACCTCGAGTACATCGACGACTACGATTCCGACCGATTTCATTGTCAATCTCGCCTCGCACTACGAAAGACGCCTATATCGTAGCGCCACTTGCACGATCTGAATCCGAATCTCCCGAATCTCCGCGCCGGACTTGTCCATCTCGCACAACAAAGACATCGCCAAGATGAACGGCGAACAACCCACCGACGAGCAGAAGCCGCCTCTAGCGACGCCTGCCGACAGCACCAATGGCGAGAGCCTCGCCGCGAAGAAAAAGAAGAAGGAGGCCTTGAAACCGATCGTCACAAACGATGCCCCGACCAAACAAACTGGGTATGTGAAAATCTTCCATTGCCGTTGAGGATTGCCTTTTGCATGGAGACTTCATTCCTCACCATGAATTATCACCCCGCGAACAGCCCAATCCGAGATCCACCCTGATCTAGCGAGACACGAGGCTGCATCCATCCACGCAAATGTTTCTGGATTGCGGCTTGCGGCTTGTGAAGATTTCCGTGTCTCAAAAATGGCGGGCGGCTCCTCGAACCTGGCCTTTGCCTAGTGCATTTCATGGCGACAGCAGTTGCATCGCATGAGTGTCGTCCAGTGACGAGTGCCCAGCCAACACCCCTGCGAGCTAAACCTGAGATAGTGTCTGTGATGGTCTATCTCTCGCGCAAAGCACATCAGGCAGTGTCCAGGCAGGATATTGCCATCTCAATTCATTTTGCTATTGAGCAGAACACCGAGGATGGCGAAATCGTGCACTCAGCTGGGGCGCTAAGTGGCGCGCTGAATATTGATTGCATATTGCTGAGGGGACTGGAGGCGAGCGATCGCATGCGGGATTGGCTGGCGCTGCCCAAAGTCGGTCCCTGTTTCTGCGTTACAGAGGCGCCGATTGCGCGGACCTTTTGCCCACTGCTCAAGTGCTACACTACCTTACCTTACCTTACTCTTGACGACTCAATTACCCAGCCCTCTCCCAGTCCTTGCCATTACGTTGGGCATCGCTGGCATCGCTCGTCTTCACCTGCTTCATTTCCTTTTCTGCATAGACCTTCTCCCTATGTTTTTGGGCCACTGTCACGACAGCGACATTGTACTTGTTTGAAACCGCTCTCGCTTCGACATTATAGCGACTGTCAGAGTCTTTCCCGGGACAGCACGCACCGGACCCCCAAGCGCGCACCTCACCTTCGGCTTGCCGTCGTACGCCTCAATACCACTTTGCTTCTGCGACATCGCTTTGTGCGAAGAGCACCCATGTAAATGGGCACTATGAGTTTCCTCAAGACAAGGTTGCCAGGCCACCTCTCATGAGCTACACAACAACCCTTCATGGCCCCTCCCATACCCATCAGCCCATGATAGGCTGGCTTCTACCAGGACATGTCGCTTGTCCGGCATCATCTCCAAGCGGATCGAAGTCGGTCTTGCGAATGCCCTGCGCTTCATGGGCGACGCCCCGCCACCCCTCTTTGGCGCCCATGCCCCACCGCCACTCGCGAATTGTTCAACGCGGTCAATGACAATTGCACATTCATTCACAGGGTCCTCGTTGCTAATAATTTTTCTTGAAACTGCAGAACACAGCAATTTGCTCAGACAATGGCACAATCGCCATCTGCATCATCCGTCGACGAACCCGCCGAGGCGACTGCGGACGAGGAGGATTCCGAAGATTACTGCAAGGGTGGGTATCACCCTGTGCAAGTAGGAGAGAACTACAAGGATGGAAGATATACGATTGTGCGCAAGCTGGGCTGGGGCCACTTCTCGACAGTGTGGCTGTCGCGGGACAACAACAATGGAAAACACGTGGCCCTCAAGGTGGTTCGGTCCGCGGCGCACTACACCGAGACGGCAATCGACGAGATCAAGCTCCTGAACAAGATTGTCCAGGCAAAGCCACACCACCCCGGCCGGAAACACGTCGTCAGCCTCCTCGACTCTTTTGAGCACAAGGGTCCGAACGGAACCCACGTCTGCATGGTCTTCGAGGTGCTGGGGGAGAACTTGTTGGGTCTTATCAAGAGGTGGAACCACAGGGGTATTCCCATGCCACTGGTCAAGCAGATCACGAAGCAGGTACTCCTGGGGCTGGATTATTTGCACCGCGAATGTGGCATCATCCACACGGATCTGAAGCCAGAGAACGTGTTGATTGAGATTGGCGATGTTGAGCAGATTGTCAAGAAGGTCGTCAAGAACGAGCCCGCAGAGAAGGAGAAGGAGAACAATCGCAACGGGCGAAGACGACGGAGGACGTTGATCACAGGCAGCCAGCCCCTGCCATCGCCTCTTAACACGGGGTTCAACCACAACAACCTCTTCCCCCAGTCCAGCGCCCAGGCGAGTCTGGCGGGAATGCTCAGCGACAGCAAGCCATCCGGTTCGTCGCCAAAGGGGGCGGAAGAGGCACAGAAGCAGCGAGAGAAGAGCGCGTAGGTTGGATCCGTGGACGCATGTATGCAAATGTACTGACATGTGCTTTCTACAGTGACGTGCTCTCACGAGAGGTCTCGGGGATCTCGCTCGACAAAAACAGCTCACCATCAGCGGGCGACAAGAGGAAGGCAGATGATACTTCACTCGAGGTGATCAGCGTCAAGATTGCGGATCTTGGCAACGCGTGCTGGGTGAACCACCACTTCACAAACGATATCCAGACGAGGCAGTACCGGTCTCCAGAGGTCATCCTGGGCTCAAAATGGGGTGCCAGCACAGATGTCTGGAGTATGGCGGCGATGGTAAGCTTCCACAGGATCTCGCTCGTTTGATCATGTCCGCTAATTACAGCAGGTGTTCGAGCTGATAACGGGCGACTACCTGTTCGATCCGCAATCGGGCACCAAATACGGCAAAGATGATGACCACATAGCCCAGATTATTGAACTGCTTGGGCCGTTCCCCAAGTCCCTCTGCCTGAGTGGTAAGTGGAGCCAGGAGATATTCAATCGCAAGGGCGAGCTGCGCAACATTCACCGGCTGCGACACTGGGCACTGGCCGACGTCCTGCGCGAAAAGTATCACTTTAAGGAAGATGAGGCGAAGCGCATTTCGGATTTCCTGACGCCCATGCTCGAGTTGGTGCCGGATAGGAGGGCCAATGCTGGCGGCATGGCAGGGCATCCATGGATGGAGGATACGCCAGGCATGAAGGGCATGAAGCTGGAGGGGCTCGAGGTCGGCGCCCGCGGCGAGGGCATCGATGGATGGTCGACGGAAGTGCGGAAGCGTTGAATGGATGAATATACGACGGTGAAGCTCGCGCGGAACAGATGTCAGATACTAGGCTGATGTATGGCTTCCATTGTGCAATACAGCATCTGTTACGTTTCGTGCAAGGCGGTCGTGGACGAGAAGTGCATAGATGCGTATTGCTCGGCCTGCGTCCCTGGCTCATGTTGGAAATAATCATGATTAGAGATCCGTTCTTGCAAGAAGCCCCTTTGCCTCGCTTTTCCCTAGTCTATTACTCGTATCTCGTCGCGTGACGCTCTATCCTGACCAACTCACTTGGACGGCCTGCTTCTCCGTTTCTTGACCGTGGCAGCGGGACTATCCTCCGCTTCTACCTCATCATCGCTGCTCTCGCTGACGGGCCCTTCCTCTACAGGCTCCTCCGTCTGCTCGCCAAGAACTTCCCGCACGATCCGATGCCCTTCGTCCTCAGCAACCTCGCCATTCATGGCACCACATGCCATGCACCTCCACTTGCCCATCTCTGCGAGCGTCTTGACACCTGGCGGTGCTTGCCCGTTCACAAGCCGACATTGGCTGCAGAGGAGGACGATGCGATTCTTGGGCGCCGTCTCATCCTCACCGAGCAAAATGTCGAAAACACGGTCGTACCAGTGCGACTCGGGCGGTTGATGTGGTAGCTGCTGGTGCTGGTGGGCCAGGGGTGGCATGTGGGTGAACTCTGCATTGGGCGCGAACTCGGCGCTGGCCTCCTCCATCCCCTGCGGTCGCGCGTGCTGCTGCTGAGGTGCGTCCGGGCGTCGCTGAATGTTCGCGGTGGGAGGCGGTGGCATTGTCGTCCGGCTGGGTGCAGGACTTTGCGGATGCTTGCCCTTTTTGCCATCGTTGGCCTTTGCCGTGTCGTCTCCGCCGTCGCCAGCGGCCTTCTTCTTGCCCTTGCCAGATCTGCCCTCTGCCCCGCCGTACTTCTCAATGAGCTCCATCGTGGAGTCGTACTTGGTGGCGTCTTTGAGCTTCTGGATCGTCTTTGCTCGTTCCTCTTGCTGCTCCTTAAGCTTCTGAGAGAGGGAGTCGATCCGCAGGTTGAAGTACCCGGTTGTCAGCCTTCTAGTGGCATAGATCCTAGTCAAGTTAGCTATTGCCCCGGAGCTGCTTTTTGCGCACGGGGGTTCTTACAAGACGGGACCGCCTGCCATTGCTGTCCACTCGTACGCGCCCATGCGGTTATATCCCACGACAGCAAGCATAACAACGGCGTAGACGAGGAAGGCAAAGGTCATGTAGAGCGTCCATAGTACTTTGACACGTCGTGCGCGCGAGCGCAGCTTGTCAAGATGCGCTTGATTGGCGGCAATCTTCGTGGAGAGGTTCGAGAGAGTCTTTTCGAACGATGCCGTGTCGGAGGACTCGCCCTGTGGGAGAAGTTAGAAGGCAGGCACATTTGCAGAAAGGCGGGCAGATGCGAACCCTCCAAGGCCAGAAGGAGACCATGACAGATCAGGGACTGTAGGCGTGCGCTACAGGATCTGGCTTGGTTGTGTTGTGTGCAAGTCGAAACGCTCTCAGGATGAGCGCTGTGGCCAAGCGCACAATTGAAGCAGCTCTGCGTGCGGCGGTGACCTCACAGGTGGGCTCGTGACGTGTGGCTAAGACCTCGAATTGAGCCACGTGTAGATCTGAACAAAGCAAGCACCAGCCACACTTAAGGTCCCGCTGGGCTGCTAGCTCAGTTACCTGGGTCCGGTCTCCCTAGGAATCCGTCTCCGAGTTCAATTTGATTCACACTTCACACACTCCTTATTGGTCGCAAGCTCTGCTTCACAATGCTGCGATTGCTGTTCTAAAAGCCTTTTGTTATTTCCTTGGTACTAGTTCCCTTCTGGCTGGTGTGTACCAGCGGTCCTTGGTCGTTGCCATTGAGCGAGGCGTGAGACGGATACTACATCATGTTTTCGCGCATCCGTGGAGCGATCGACCGGACCATTGCCGAAGAGCAGGCGCGCCAGAAGGATCAAACGTCCCAAGGCGTCTCTCGCTCCGGCTCGACTTCCTCGCGAACGAGCGCCGGCGGTGCAAAACGTCCAAAGCCAAAGTCCGCGAGCAACGACGCCAGCAAAGCGGACGACGCGCCCAACCCCGATCCTGCAGTCTTCGAGGCAGCGTTTGTCATTGACGATAGCGACGATCCGAGTCGCGCAGGGACACCGAAGCCACAGACGAGCGAGGCGGGCGGAAATGGCTTGGATGGCGTGAAGGACGAGCGGGAAGAGGACAAAGCTGCCGAGGGTGCAGAAGGCAAGACTCAAGATGACAGCGAGAAGAAGGAGGGAGAGAAGGATGAGAGCGCAAAGGCAAAGTCAAAGGCAGCCGACGCTGCTGCCGCGCCTTCGACGGAGCTGCCTCCAGACATCAAGCAGAAACTACGAAAGCTCGAGAAGCTGGAAGCCACCTATCCCGAACTTCTACGATCGTACCGCGTTGCGCATCGTCGCGCGACCGCCATCGAGCCATTTGAGCGAGCGCTCCGTGAGAACACGCCCTTGACTTCCATTGGCGATCCGAACGCTCTGACCGAGTATCTCAACCAACTGAACTTGCGGGGCGATATGGTTATGCAAGAACTGAAGCGCGTGTCAGCAGAGAAGGACGAGCTCAAAAAGTCACACGACCAAGGCGAGGAGAAGATCAAGAAGCTTGAGGCAGATCTGGAGGCGGCAAAGGGCGGTAAGCCCGTCGAAGAGACTGGCGAGCCACAGGTCGAGGCTCTGCGACAGTCCGTGGATGACAAGGCGGCTGCGCCCGAAAAGGTCAAATCGCCCGTGCTTTCCGTCATGGGCATGTTCTCCCCTAAGCAGAAGGCTGCCCAGCAGGAGGCTGCGAAGGAAGACGGTGACCTCTTCTCATACGACGAGGAGCTCCCGCAACTACAGGCAGACTTGGCTTCCAGGGACGAGGAGATTCAGACCTTGCGCAAGGAGGTGGACGGTCTCAAGGGTGAGCTGTCTGTTGCTAAGGAGAACAGCACAGAACTGGCGAACAGCTTGGAAAAGGCGGAGAAAGAGCTCACCGGATCCAAGGATGCTGCTAGCTCGCACGAAAGCTTGCAAAAGGAACTCGAGGCGCGAAACAGCGAGATTGCCAGCTTGAACGAGCGCCTGGAAGCGTCGCAATCGCAAATCAAGGCGTTGGAAGCTGACCTGGCATCCGAGACCAAGGCTCTATCCGCCAAGGTGAAGGAAGTCGAGGCGTCGCTGGCTACGCAAACAAAGCAGGTTGCCGACTCGGAGGCTGAGGTGACCAAGGCGAACCAGGCGAAGACAGTCACCAAGAAATTGATTGACGACCTCAATACCCAGATCAAGGTCTTGGAAAAGGAAAAGACCGAAAGCGAGAGGAAAATCACTGAGCTGACCAAGAAGCTCGAGAGCCAGCCCGAGACTGCGCCCAAGCCTGTCGAGCCAGCCGCAGCACCCAAGCCAGCAGCTCCTGCGGCCCCGGCTGCTGGCGGTGGCAACAGCAAGAAGAAGAACAAGAAGAAGAAGGGCAAGGGTGGCGCTGCAGCTGGGGGACAGCAAGCTGAGGAGGTGTCCGAGGCCCCTGAGCCGGCAGCCGCCGCTGCTGAAGCTGTCGACAGCGGTGCTCTGGAGGCTGAGATTGCGAAACTGAAGGACGACGTGTCAGTGAAGGATGCGCAGATCGAGAGGCTGTCCAAACAGCGCAAGACGGAGGAGGACCTCAACGAGGAGATTGAGTCTCTTCGAGATGACCTCCTCAACATCGGTCAGGATCATGTCCAAGCCAAGGAGAAGATCAAGACGCTTGAAGCCGAGAAGGCAGAACTCAAGGCCGAGATTGCCGAGCTCGAGAAGAAGATGAGCACGTCTGCTGCCTCTGATGTCAAGGCCAACGGCCAACACAAGGAAGAGATGGAGAAGCTCCAACGGGAGTATGACGATCTCAAGGAGAAATCGTCGACGCTGCAATCTGATCTCGGTGCGGCGCAGCAGTTGGCGCAGACTCGCTTCAAAGACTTGAGTGATCTACGTGAAGTGCTTCAAAAGGCACAGCCGGAGCTGAAGACGCTACGACAGGAGTCTGCTACCCTGAAGACAACAAAGGAAGAGTTGGCGACCAAGTCCAAGGAGCTGAAGGACGCAGAGAAGAAGGAGAAGGATCTGAAGCGTGATCTAACGCGAGCGCAACAGCAGGCCTCGGAGCGCGAGACGGAAGTCAAGAGCCTGCGGCAGAAGCTCACGGCTGAAGGTACCGCCAAAGCCCGTCTGGAGGATGAGAAGCGTGCCGCAGGCCGTGACCTCCGCGAGGTCGAAGGGGAGAAGGCAGAGCTTGCCACACGCGCAGAGGCCGCCGAGAAGGAACTGGCCAAGGTGCAAGAAGAGGTCAACCAGCTGCGACCTCGGGTGAAGGAACTCGAGGAGCAGATGCACAAGCTACGCAGGGAGAAGACAGCGGCGCAGGAGGAAGTCGACTTTAAGACGCAGCAGTACTCGAACGCCCAGGGGTTGCTGAGCAGCATGCGGGACCAGACGACGGAAATGTCCGTGCAGCTGAAGGAGTCCAAGTCGCAGGCCGAGGCCCTGGAGGAGGAGCTGGCCGAAGTGCAGCGTTTGCTGCAGGAGCGCAGCCGCGAGGGCGAGACGATGAGACGTCTGCTCGCCGACGTGGATGAGCGCGCGGACGCCAAGGTCCGGGACATGCGATCGCGGATGGAATCTGCAATTGAGGAGAGAGACCGCATCGAGGACGAGTCGAGCACCCTGGCCAGGCGCAAGGCGCGCGAGACGGAAGAACTCAAGGGCAAGATCCGCGAGATGGAGCGCGAGGTCAAGACCCTGACTCGCGAGCGCGACGAACTCGAGGAGAGGGAGAAGGAGTGGCGTCGCCGACGAGAGGAGCTGGAGAGCGTGGAAGAGAAGGCCGAGGCGGAGACGGCCGAGATGCGCTCCACCGTCACGCAACTGAGGAGTGCCCTGGACGCGAGCGAAAGCCAAGTGCGCGACGCCGAGAAGCAGCGCACCGAACTGAGGAAACTCCTGGACGAGGCGCGGCAACGCTACGAGCGCACGCAGAAGGAGCTCAAGGGGACACAGGCACGGCTCATGGCCGGCGCCGGGTCCAGTCGAAGCTCGATCGACTCGAACAGGAGCGGACTGACGGCGAACGGGGGAGGCAACGCGTCGCCGGGTGGCGCCGACTTGATGTACCTGAAGACGATTCTTCTACAGTTCCTGGAGCAGAAGGACGGGAAGCTAAGAGCGCAACTGGTGCCTGTCCTCGGGAAGCTTCTCAAGTTTGACAAGTGAGTTTGATTGAGTATCCGTCTAGGGTCTTGTCACATGATACTAACAGCGCGGCAGAACCGATGAGGCGAAATGGCAAAGCGCAGTGCAGCATATCGAGGTCCGGTGATAGAGAGTGTTGGTTTGGGCCATATGTACGTATAGAGGACCTGCCGTTGATATCTACCACGAAAGCAGTGCATTGCAAGTTGAGTATTGGCACGGCGGGCTATTAACTAGCATTTGCATTTCAATTGTCGATACGTCTCAATACCTATCCTGTGCCTCGATTCACACACACGCCCAATGCCTCCCCTTGCGGCACGCCGCGCCGGGCAGTATCCATTGTCCTCTGCGAGTCGTACGACGCCTCGACCTCGTCTGTCCGCATGATCCCCCTGTCCATCGAGGCGCTGCCTTTTTCCGGCCTGGAGAAGTTCCGCATGCTCCCAATGCCGCCGCCCGCCTCGGCGTCGCCCGTGGTGGACAAGGTGCTGCCGTCCCTCTTTCTGATCCGCGGCACGAGCTCGAGGCTGTCCGAGTCGACCGCGGGGTCGGCCATGCCTAGGGAGTGCACGGAGGTGTAGGTACGGCAGGCGGCGGAGGCATCCAGATCGCGACGCTTGCTGGGGTTGGACTTGAAATAGCCGTCCCTGGTGGTGCGCCTCACCGAGGAGCGGAAGGGGTTGCGATGGAAGAGCCACTCCATGAGCGGGGAGAGGACGGGGATGGTGCAGGCGATGATGATTGTGGTGCCCTCGATGATGGTCCAGATGATGAGATCTGACGAGTCGTCTGCCAAGGTGTCAGCGATCTGTGAGAACAAAACCCAGGGAGAGAGAGAGATGTAATTACACGAAAAGTCGGGACTCGCGAGGCCGCTCGGTATGCGCGTCGTCTTGAAGATGGCCACGGCACCGGACACGCAGCCGATGCCGAGGGCGACGACGAGGGCAATCTTCTTCTGCAGCTTGAGCTGGAGCTTGAAGAGCACGACGGCCGGGTAGACGGCGAGGTAGACGTCGACAAAGGCGGAGAAGGTGCCGGCGTAGAGGGAGAAGTCGACAATGATCTTGGGGTCGACGCAGCGGCCCTCGATATCCTGGCGCCACAGGGACTCGGTCGGCTGGCACTGCCCGAGGAGCGTGCCGACGGTGGCGCCCAGGGTGCCGAGACACCAGATGGCCAGGAACCAGAGGAAGTAGCTGTGCCACCTGGACGGGTTCATGAGCCTGGTGAGCAGGCGGACGACGGCCAGCTTGGGCAGCCCGAGGCAGAGGACGGCCGGGCAAAAGGCGGCTGTCGTCCACAGGATGACGCGCTCCCTCTCTGACGACGTGAGGAGGGTCAAGTGTCGTCCATTACCGAAACCCACGGCGACGGTGGTCAATGCTGTCGACAGAATACCGCAAATCTGGCAGGGCAGGACGTGTCAGTCTGGTCTGGTCTGGTCTGACCGCGTGCGTGTCCGACCACGAGGGAGACTTACCGTACCCGCTACGCACCAGTAGTCGTCGCTCCGAAGCTTGCTGTACATTTTGAGCCGCACGAGCACGCGCGCGGCCGTGAAGAGGAGCGCCAGGGCCATAAAGAGCCAGCAAGTGGCGAGGATGATGGGTCCCTTGTCCTGCGCGGCCCAGGCATCGTACTCGTCTGTGCCGACGGGCGGGTGCGCGATCTCTGGCTCGACCATATTACTGCCTGTTGCCCATAAAGGGACCTACGTACCTCTCCTCTGCTGATGAAGGAGGAGTCGATGTTCCAGTCCTCAGTTGGGGAGGGGGCAGACAGACAGCAAGGACTGTGCCACGCAGGCGGTGGGTGGCCTCGCTGATGGGTTCTTCTTATCCATGCCATGCCATGTGGCAAGACTGGGTCACTGCCAACTGGTGACTGGGTTATGTTGGCAGAAGCTGTCGACGGGCCCTTGGTGGCTTGCTTGCTTGCTTGCTTGCTTGGTCATTCTCTGCGGCCGGATACTGAAACCGGACGTTCAGTAGTCAATAGTACAGGGGTCTCTGTCGGATTCAGGGGATTATCATCCCCACAGCCGCCGCGAACCGGCCGCATCGTGATGAGCCCTGGCCCCTGGTATGTATGCCATAACCCCGTATGCAGGTACAGTACGGAGTACTCACTCCGACTCTGCATAACCCAACTGCCGAACCGTTTCACGTAATCGGCACGGGATGTCAGACGCAAGGCGTATTGTTGCTACTTGTATCTGGGCTCGAGCGCGCGACACATAGGCCTCGTTATCAATGGAGCTATAATACAATCGAGGGCGCTGTCTATAATATGGAGGCCCCATCTCCCCCATGTGGTCATTGCTCCGCGAAGACCAAATTGTGTGCAGACTCCCAGCGAACAATGGGGCTGTCCGATATGAGGTGTCATTGGGGACGACGCCAAGGGCTTGGTGGCACCGGGGGTTGGAGCCCCTGACCTTGAGGTGCCTTCTTGGCAGGTAATAATTACTGTAATTCAACTTAGCAAGCCTCATGACTCAGACAACCAACCAGACGGGCCTGGTGCTTGCGGGGGCCCCAACGAGGGCGGCACTGCGGCTCAACTAGCTTGCAGTTCAATCCCACTATCGAGATAACGTCGTGACTCGTGCAAGCAACTGCATGGTGGCGTCGACATCGGCAGTTCTCGCCTCTCGAGTCCAGCCAATTTGGACCCGGTTCGTGGAGATGACATGACGAGCGCGTCCAGCGAGCATCACATACATGCACGACATTGACGAGGTGCATGCAGCCTGTCAAGACTCAAGGGTGGTACAGCAATCATACATACATGTACTGGATGCATTCGCACGGCAGAGCAAACTAGCTTCGGGATGCAGCCGAGAGCCGCGCCCCAGAGGAGACCGTTGCGGCGACCGACCTTTTCGACCACGAAAAAGGTAAAGGTGCACATGCCCAGGGTCTTGAAGCAGCCGTAGAGACCCGTGGAGAAGAGCTTGGTGCTGGTGCCCGCGATGCCCAGCGTCTCAAAGATGCGGGGCGCGTAGTAGGTGATAATGTTGACACCAGTAAAAGACTGGAGGAACATGAGCAGCATGCCGACGGCCATGCGGTTGCGGGTGCCCTTTTGAAACAGCTTCTTGAACTGCTGCTTGCGGCTCATCTGCATGACGGAGCGCTGCTCGACCTGGGCACGGATCTCGCCGAGCTCCTGGCGGATGTAGTCGTGCTCGGCGGGCAGGTTGCGGATCATGCAGAGGACGGACTCGGCCTTGTCGAAGCGGTCCTTGCGGGCGAGCCAGCGGGGGGACTCGGGGCAGAAGAAGATGCCGCTGGCGAGGAGGACACCCGGCAGCAGCTGGAGGGCGAGGGGGATGGTCCACTGGGCGAGGGAGGCGTCCGGGATGGTCTGGGAGGTGGCGTAGTTGATCCAGAAGCCGAGCATGCCGCCGCCCTGGGAGGCGATCTCGAAGATGCCGACGAGGCGGCCGCGGATGGAGGGCGGTGCCGTCTCGGAGATGTAGACGGGGACGCACATGGAGGTGGACCCGATGCCGAGGCCGGCGATGGCGCGGCCGGCGATGATGAGGTTCATGTTGCCGCGCGCGGCGGTCATGAGGGTGCCGCCGAGAAGGAAGACGAGCGAGGCGCAGAAGATGGTGAGGCGACGGCCCAGGCGCTCGGCAAAGGGGAACGTGATGAGGGCGCCGAAGAAGCAGCCGGCCTGGAAGGTGGACACAATGTTGCCCTGGATGGTGTCGATCTGGTTCTGGGGCCGCTCGTTGAGCTTGAAGTCGTCGCGGAACGAGTTGAGGGCCATGGTGCCGCCGATGACGGCCGTGTCGTAGCCCACTGGTCATGGTCAGTACTTGTGAGGGAGGGAGGAGGAGAGTGAGCGAGCGAGGAGGACAGAGACGTACTGGCTAGGGCGGACATGGAAGCCAACAGGGCGATGAGATGGATCTTCCAGTTGCGGACCTCGGGAGGGTCATTGGTCCCGGAAGCGTGTGTGTTCCACCCCATGATGGCGTTTGGTCACGTCGATGGCAAGAAGTGTGGTGATGACTCTCTTGAAAGTGACTCGAGACAGCACTTGACTGTGTGGAGGTGGATTGTTGTCGAGAAGACGCGACCTTGCTGGTCCTTGTGGATGAGGAACAGGATGATCGACCCAGGCGAGGAAGAGAGGTCCAGGGAGGGATGCTTCGAGTGAAGATGATCGAGAGGGGGGCGAAGGAGGATCTTTATACATCGAGGCTCAGATCCATGGTGGCAGGCTGGATACAATACAGGACCTAGGCCAGTACAGAGAGACCATGGGCGATCCACCGTCATGGAGCATGGAGTGCATGCAGGCCAGGCATCCCGCATGGTCTTGTGGTGCTCTGGGGGAAGAGGCCTTGAGGAGGAGGGTCCAGGACGCCAGAGGAGGGTCCAGCTTGGGCTCCCACTACCGAGATGAACGATACTTGACCCCGCACCAATCAAGAGAACGATGAAGAACAGATTGTACGCGTGTGGAACGAGTCAGACGCGGCCCTGGCCGACCCCGTGGGGATGGATGGATGGATGATGGATTCGCCTCTGGAGTCTGTCGGAATACGGGGGCGGAGTCTGGGATACGACGTTGAGTCGAGACAGCTCAACTGCATCCGAGACCAGTATTGACGGAAGTTGACCGTGGCGGCCTCACCAGTGAATTCTCCATTAGTCGTGTGCAACGACAGGCCCAAGGCTCTGCTTGCATCGCAGACTGACCTCGAAGATGTTGGCGGGGGGTTGGTTGGTCACTCGAGTGACTCGACCAACGACGGATAGCCAATTTAGCATCAGACCCCTGTTCCTCTGTTTTTAAGCTTCTCCGCACGCGCACGAACAGGGCGATCAGCGTATCAACTCGCGCAGAGGCGAGCTCCTGTCGATGCTGGACACGCGGAGGCTTCTTAGCGCCGACCTTCTTTTCCTCTGTTTAACTCCACCAGAGGCCCTGAATCTTTCTCGTCGGGCTGGACGCGAACCTCTTCTGCGTGCTTGCCAGCTATCCTTCAACATGGCTGGCTAGACTTGGTCTGCTGGTCGAGTATTCCGTGAGTACTGACTCAGTCAGTCCCTCCAGGGCCTCCACGACGCGTCCACAGACAATCAACGCCCAGAGAAAGAAGAATCAACGCCCAGAAAGAAGCCACGCCCGCATGCCGGTGCCAGAGCCGGCCTCGGGACGCCTCATTCTGGTCCCGCCTATCACCAGCCAAGTAAGTTCCCGGCTTCAGACGTTTGGCCTTTGACCGAAGAATCCGCCCTCCCACATAAATGGCGCCCCGGGTCCCCCGCCCTCCCCCAGAGACCCCTGCCCCGACATTGCGCGCCCAGGGACGACGGGGAAATAGAGTCGAGGCCTCTTTGCCGACTCCAGTCGGGTGGTGGGTTCTCAACTTCTGATCCGTAGTCCGTATCCGTGCTTGTACGCGTAGGGGAGACCACTGTTTCCGACCTTATATATAAGCTTAAATGTCGTGGATACGGAGACCAGCAGCAGCTTCACTTGTGACATCGCCACAGTCCAACTTGAGGACCTGAATCATGAGCAGCCATCACCGCAAGACACGATCAGTCAGATGGTTACCAACAGACAATTCGGCCCCTAGTAGTACGCGCCGACTGTCCATCTCTGGTCTCTGCGCAACTGCATCCCCACATCGCCGTTGGCTGCCTCCCCGAAACAGGAGATTTCCCCCATCGCACAGCTGACCGACGGCATGTCCCTCCTCCTCCTCCTCCCGGCCAGCCCATCCCTTGGCACACTCGGCTAAGATACAAGGTCCGCGCTCTGTCCTTCGGCTTCCGAGCATATATCTTCGGAGCTCCGATCTTGTCTGCCGGCGGGACGACCCACACTCGACTTCATCCGTGTGTTTTGGTGAGGGAATCGCGAGAATGTCCTTGGAATCCAGTCTGTCTGGTGGTCGCATCGTCCACTTTTCTCCTGTCTGTCCCTCTCTTCTGCGTCTCCTTCCTGGGCCCAACCATGCTCCACAGATCAAATCCCCAGATTACCCCGGATCAGCTTGAAAGTTACAATAGATTTGTCCTGGTCCGGAGGCGGGGTGCCGTACCGTCCGCCTGCTCTGTCCGGGTCGGTCACGGGCGTCAAAGTACGCGTAAACCGGGATGTGGCAGAGGATGCGTATCTGGTCATGGGCAGTATCATTAGCCAACGCAATCGTAACAAGTACCGTTCACGCCATGGGTAAGGACAGCCACATACAGACAGAATCAATCATCAGCCACTGGGCCCGTGTGGGTATCCATGTCGTCGTCGACAGGTCGATACTGCACAGCAAGTCGCACCTCCTGGACATCCATCCATATCCGGCTAAAGGTTAACCGAGAAAGCAAGATCATGCAGCAGAAACTGCACTAGTTAGTACACAAGATCAAGGATCCCAACTTCAGAAAGCTTTCCCTGTTAGACGCCGCTGCCGCTCGTGCTGTTCTGTCTGTATCGTTGGCGACCGTCAGCATCTCACTGTTCCACCGCACCAAGCTCGCTTGCTAGGCCTTGCCTGCTCCCAACACCTTGAAGAGTATGATTTTGTATTCGTTGTCGCCCAAGGTGAGCAAAGCACTGGCATTCTGCGTTCTCGTGAAGCAAAACGTTTGTTCATCCGCATCTCATCATGATGCCCCGACCTCCCCCACGATTTCATGCCTCCATGCACATGCACGCACTCCGCAATCTCAGAGCACCATCCCCTGCTCGAAAGGCGTGGCCTATGCCCTCCATCGGCAAAGTTCCGCAATCTCTATTATCATCTTTATATGCATCAGATCCGTAAACATCCGATGGACCCTGCAAAGTTCATGTCTGTTGAATCGAGACCCCAATATGGCGTCCTGTCGTAGCAAACGAAATAGCCTAGACGGATTAGCTTCGCAATAACCAGCTCGTGAACGCTTACAAGCAATTTTCAAGGCTTCGCGGGCCTGGTCTTCAGACGCCACTGGCCTCTCTATTCATCACGTGTGGACACTTCCATAGCATTCATCAAATCTCAAGTAGCAGCCAGCTACCAGTGACCTCTCTGGGCAATAGCAATCTCGTCAACCACAACCTGAGTAGGGGCCGGCAGGGACTGCCGATCCAGGCGGTTCACGACATGCCAGTGCAGCAGGTCCCTGCAAGCCCAGGCATCCTCCAGACTGTCGTGGCCCCGCCCCGCCATCTGGATCTTGCGCTTGAGGCGCGTGTCCGTCAGTGCCTTGAGCGACGATCCCTGAACTGCAGGCGGCGGCGTGAGGTGGTCCCATGGTTCGCCACGCTCCTTCAGGGCCTTCTTCTCCTCCTCCATCTTCTCCATGGCGGCCTCAAACTTGGCCCTCTCCACGGTGGCGAACGGCTCCTCGATCAGAAACGTGTCCACGATGCGTGGATGGATCCAGCGCAGGGACGTGAAATCATTGTTCGACCCATGGCCTACCACGACCGTGTCCTGCCCGATAAACTTCCACATCTCCGCCCGCGCACTCGCCCTGCCAAACAAACAGGTGCGCCGTCGCCGCGCGTCGTTCATCATCTGGCGCGTGATGCCCGAGAACCGGGTGTTGAAGTGCTGCATGGGGCAGTCGGGCCACACGAGCTTGTCCAGCAGCACTTGGCCGGTGAAGTAGTCGATAATCGTCAGGCGGATGAGCTCCGTGTCGCCGTACTCGGACGTGCCCATTTCGCAGTCAATGGCCACGGCGTCGACGGGCTTGATCGCGGGGACTCTACCTCCACGACGGCGGCCCTGCATGTTAGGCGATGGGGAAGGCGTCGGGTGAAGCTGCCACTCGAGCTCCAGCTCATTGTGCGCGTAGACGCGAGGCGTGTGCTGCGCAGACTCGACACAGCCTGGCACGGCAACAAAGCCACCACAGCATGTCCAGTGCTGGGCTCAGTCAGCAACGTACTCAATTGTGTCCAGGCATTCCATCCTCATACCTTGGCTCGCACCGCTCCGGTATGGTACCTGCAAAGGTCCTTGGGGGGCTTCCCTTTGCCTTGAGCCTTGCCTTCAGCCCTGGTTTCCAACGACGCCCCACCCTCAGCGTCTTCCGGCTCCGCGACAGTCAATATCTCCACAGGACGTGAAATGCCAGAAGAGGCATCCTGACCAGCTTGACTCTTCGCCCAGTGGATCTTGTCCTTTTTCTTGAGAACTGGGTACAGGTAGGTCAGCATGCATCACGCGGCGCCTCGAACTCTCCCCTCGCCACACCTTTAGAACAGTGCAAGCATCGCTTCTTGCGCTCCAGATCATAGCTCGTCAGCTGCGCGGTCAGGTACCCTTTCTTGTTGAGTACGTGCTCTGGATGCGCGAGGCTCGTGATGGTCTGGAGGTAGTCGGGTGTCTTCTGGATGAGCTCGGGCCGGTGCAGTGGAATGTTCATCGTGAAGGGTTGCGCTCTGCCGAGATTTGAGGTGTTTGTTGTGATGAGACGGTGAACTGGGTTTTGGGCCTTTGCTTAAGATGGGATGATCACGTGATGATGTGGTGATTCAACGATAGAAACACAGCGCGCACCGATTGCAAAGACAGAAAATGGATGATTATTAGCCCCCTTGATCGTAAAGAATGGAAATGGTTGTGCAGCTAGGTCTTTCGGGTGCTACGCAAAGCAGCACGTCTGGTGAAGCTTTGGTGTTGGCCGCTGGCGTCGTAGCATCAGTATGTTGAACTACCCTGTACTAGAGATGAAGCACTTCTGTTAGCATCGAGTTGAGTCAAACAGAGCTTTGACGGTGAATGATGTTGACAATAATACGGAGTATGGCAGTATGTTCAACCTCGCATGTAAAGCCAAGGACAAACAAGGAAACTAGGTCGTTGCACTACTAGCTGTGATTTGCCCAAAGACAAAGGCAACCCTCCCGTAGCGTCAGATAAGGTACGGAACAAAACGCGACTCGCGGTCCTTAACTCCTTGACCAGATCGATATGGACCCCTGTATCATATCAATGCTTTATGTCCGATTTCTCATAGAAGCTTGGAGTAAACCTTGTTGGACCCTGCGTCCCTTGTACGTCAGGACCCAGACGGAGCGAATGGTCCGCCCACATCCACATCGGAGAGGTGCCCCGGCTTTCGTCACTGCTGAGGCAACGGCGGCAGCCATTCTGACCTCATCATTCCATCTCACCTTCCACATCACGCCGTCATCGCGATCTCACGGCGCAACAATCGCGCCTCGACGTGTAATCAGACGCACATCATGTCGTTCCTACCCGCTTTGCGCACGCACAAAGACGTGCGACCCCTCTTCTATGATATAACGCGGCAAGCTCAAATCGAAGCTCCCCGTCCGATAAAACTCACCGTGCTGCCACCATGCTCTCACGACGCTTTCTTCTCATCACCACCCGGCATACTAGCAAATCCACTCGAGCATCTACTGCCCCGATCCTGACACGTGTATCAACTGCACGGCCACACGCTACACTCCTCACACAACCCATTCCATCGCGAGCTTTCTCGTCTACACCCGCCAACATGTCGTCTCAAGAGAAGAAGGACAACAGCATCTTTACCCGTGACAACCTGTTCAACCTCCATGGCAAGGTTGCCCTCGTGACAGGCGGCGGCTCCGGCATTGGCCTGATGGCCACCCAAGCCCTCGCCGGCAACGGCGCCAAGGTCTACATCACGGGCCGCACCCAGGAGAAGCTTGACAACGTCGCCAAGACGTACGGCAAGAACATTGCCGGCGAGATCATCCCCATTGTCGGCGACGTCGGCACCAAGCAGGGCGTCCAGAAGCTGTACGAGGACTTTTCCCAGAAGGAAAAGTGCCTCTGCATCCTCGTCAACAACGCCGGCGTCTCGAGCGCCTCGTTCCAGACCGAGGCCAAGGACGCCACCGAGATGCGCAAGAACCTCTTTGACGCCGAGAGCGCCACCTTTGACGACTGGAACACCACCTACAACACCAACGTCACAGGCCTCTACTTCACCGCCACCGCCTTCCTGCCGCTGCTCGAGAAAAGCACCGTGACCCACGAGGGCTGGTCGTCCACCGTCATCAACATCACCTCCATCTCGGGCATGATCAAGGGCGCCCAGCATCACTTTGCCTACAACGCGTCCAAGGGCGCCGCCATTCACGTCTCGCGCATGCTGGCCTCCGAGGTGGCCTCCAACGGCCTCAAGATCCGCATCAATAGCCTGGCGCCGGGTGTCTTCCCCTCGGAGATGACCACCGACGGCAGCGACCAGGACCAGAAGAGCCACATTCCCGCCGAAAAGTACGCTGAGAAGGTGCCTGCGCGCCGCCCCGGCCGCGACGAGGACATGGCCCAGACTGTGCTCTTCTTTGCCGCGAACCAGTACCTGAACGGGCAGAACGTGGCTGTCGATGGAGGATACACCCTCGCTGCTGGTTTGTAAGATGATGAACGGTTTATGTAGCGTTTCAATCAAGTTAAATTAAGTAAATTGGATTTTCGCAATTTTAAGCAAGGGTGTCATAGTTCTAGAGTGCCAAAATCTGTCCAAATTAATTACTCCTTCAACATACTCATTACCGGGTAACCTGTTCTACCCATCCTTGTGGCTGAAGCACTCGCCATCATCAGCCCCGTCATTAAAAGCCTCCTCACCGTCCCACACCTTGCCCGCCGCGCTCACCGCACACCCCGCTGCAAGAACTGCATCGGCACAGAATGCACTCCCCCCTAGCTGGCTAGCGAGGGACCCTGGGCCGATCACCGTAGGGCTGAAAGCGGGCCGCAGATGTGTGTGATCGGGTCGCTTTCCTCTTTTCCCTCCCGCAGCATTCCTCCGCCTTGGGGGATGGGGTTCGCCTGGCTTGGCCTTGATTGTGTGCGGGCGGTCCTCGTCAAGTTCTACCGCGTACGGCGGGACGCACACAGAGTTCACATGTGGAATGAGAAATAGCTGTAAAAGAAAAAAACTTGTCCAATTGTGAAGAGGACGCGCCAAGTCATCTTTCAGCTACCCAGGCTACCTGACATAGTAATCCAAACCGGATATACAGGCCATTTACCCGTCCACAAACTCGGCTCCTGGGCCCCCAAGGGGAAAAAAAAGACAAAACGCCTGTCATGCTCGTCCTACACAACCCTTGTGTACCGCATGTGAAAATAAATAAAACGCCGCTGTGAAGGTGTGGAATAGAGTGGAGTTCAATGGGGTATTCTGCACTCCGGGTATCGTTGTGAAGAAGAAGATCCCTTCCTTATGCTGATTGTTGTATGATGCCGTGTCGTGTGTGTGTATGTGCTCGTGACCATGCTGGAAATGCGAAACCGCTCGCTGATGCGCAAAGATACTGATAACCGTGAAAGCCAAAGAAAGACAGAGAGAAATGAATAGTGCATGTTGAAGTGCGCCATAGGTAGTCGTAAGGTCGTGTTTGTCCGTCCAGCCAAAGTCGTCATGGAATGCCCGTCGTTCCGTCAGGGTTTATCAAGATGTTTGTCCATCCAGTGCTCCTGTAGCCAGCCGACCTTATCGAATGCCTGCCAAAGCTTCGAGGCTTTGTTCACGTCGATCTTGCACGCCTGCTGCGCATCGGTCTTACGGAACTCCTTGGGCTGCTTGATGCAGGCCAGACGGCGCTCAAAGATGCGGCGTTTGCTAGTGAGATAGGTCGCGCAGTCTAGGCGCAGATTGCTTGCGAGAGCCAGCTCGGCAGGATGCAAAAGGTGGGCGTGGGGATCGGCGGACAGGTCCAGAGGCTGGCCCTTCCATTCCACCTTGAGCGCGTTGCCGCCGGACAGCGTCTCCCAAGGATCTGGCCCCAGGTCGGGGATCGACTCGAAATCCTTGTCCTCGCGGTTCGGCGCGACTGTTCTGCGTGACGGCTCGGGCGTGGCGCTAGCGCGGGAAGTTGATCGCTTGCTGGGGCCGGGGCTTGAGCGGGTGGGGCCACCAGCTGTCCGGATCACACGTGGGCCTGCCGATGGCTTGGTGACCCTGTCTGCTCGTGGTGCCCGCGCAGCCCTGGGCACCGTTGTCATGTTGTTGTTGATCGTGGGCCTCGCTGGCATGATGTTGGGGTAGCGCTGGGCAATGAGACTGTTGTCGTGCCTGACCTGCGCCAGGTTCTTCAGAAGCCAATTACGTGGGTTCTCACGGTAGCGATCCATAATCTTAGACCGGAAAGATAGCGTGAGCAGGTAATCGTGGTCGCTGGGCCCACTGAGATCTGATTCCAAAGGATGCTCTCGTCGGTGTTGCTCAATGGCCTGGCGATGGGTATGCTCCAGATCGTACATGAAATTCTGAGAACCCCGCAGCGCATTAGACGGCGGGAGCATCGAGTCTGGACGAGGCGACCGTGGAGGATCAAGCGTTCTGTGTATTGGCGAGTGGGGAGGCGACAGTAGCGGGGGAGGGTGAGACGAAGATTTGACGTTCGCGGGGGTGAAAAGAGGGCCCATCGTGTTCTGCCCTTCCTGAGGAAAATTGTCGATCACCTGGTCGGGCGGTGACATGAGCGTGGGAGGATCCATTTTGGCCTGTGTTTGCGTGGCTTTGCCTGGAGGTGCGGCAGCTGCGTTTGCAGGTGTAAATGATATGGATGGCGCTTGCGCGTATGACTGGGATGCCATGTTTTCGCCGTACGACGCCAGAGACGCAGCAAAAGGGTAAGGCTGTGCTGGGGCACGAGTATGTAAGGAAGAGGAATTGGCCTGGGCAGAGGCAGGGGAAGGACGTGAAGAAGAAGAAAAAAAAGACGGACGCCTCGCAGGCGGCAGCATAGTGCCTTCTGGTCCCTTTGAGGTAGGCATTGGTGACGGTTTGTCAGCCATGGCGTGGATGATTCCAGGCGATGATGACTGGTGTGTCATATGCGCTGGCACGGGTGGCGACAATGCCTGTCGGGGTTCGGGTTTAAGAGAAATGGTATTTCCAAACTCGATCTTCTCCAAAACGCAATTGCGATTGTGCTTGGGTGCAGTCACGAGCTCAGACTCGGGTGTGCCAAAGTGCGGCAAGCTGCGACGGAATATGAAAGAAGATGAGGGAAGCAGCTGGATGACCAAGGGGGCGAAGCAAGAAATCCAGAGCCATTCACTTCCAATTGATTCACCAATTGACGAATGGTCGATGAGTCCAGATGGATGACGGACTGATTATCCCGTTGTCAGTCAATGAGGACCCGATTCGTCAATGGGAGTACCGGACGCTATTGTCCCTGGGTGCAAGGCTGTGAGTGGTGGTGCTGTTGCGCTGCTCCCAGCTGACCCGGCTTGGTGCGAGTCTAGCCGTGTGGTTGACGTTAGGCAGACGTACGTGTGCGATTCTGCGTCCCTTGTGGCGCAGGCGCTGCTGTGGCGAATAATGGTTGACTCAACCAGATGGCACTCTTTTGGTGGGTGTCCTGAACTTATAGAAATTCTGGGCAGCGGTGAATCGTTGTTGATTCCAAAAGCCGGCGGCCAGCAGTTCCGTTGCTATTGGATTGGTGGGTGGGTGCCTCCAGGGCCAGGCTGCCGATGACTCTTTCACTGCGGTAACCGTGAGTGAGCACAGGCTGAGGCGTACGGTGGCGCGGTGACTGGTTTTCTTGTTGTGCCTCCAGGCAGCAGAGGCTGACGAGTATATGACCGCTGACTTGCAAAGTGCAATCAATTGGGACAAGACGTAGGCAGCTGGAAAGCAGAAGGTCCTCGCCTTTTCATAAGGCGGCGGGCGAATTGGTTCGTTTGAGAACCCCTCTCACGGATGGAGGTTATTCTCCAGTAAAACAGGCCTTTACCGACAAGTCGTACCCACACAGATGACGGGCGTGCGAAAAAGTGCAGTGTTGAAGAAGACAACAGAGGGGAGCAAAGCGATGGGCAATCGCCGTTGATATGTGTGCGTCCGGCGGTCAGGGCGAAGCGCAGACATGGGCGTGTGCGCAGCGCAGTGTTGCCGAATGATCCTCTGTTCTGGGGGTGGTCCCGGCCCTGCGGAGTTCAGTCACGTCTGCTGCAAGATAGGCCACGGACACATCAGTTCGGGGGAACCCAGATGACCCGGATGTGTTGGCGAGACGGGCGAATGACTGGAGTGTAAGGCTGCCTTGTGATGATACCGTCAGAACGTGGAGGTGATGATGAGGCAGATACGAGGAAAGGACATGCATTCTGGATCTTTTTAACTTCATTTATCCCATTGACTCTGCAGTGAACACATCAACACTTTAAGCTTTAAGGTAAGAGCGAAGGGTTCTGATCCCTTGTTTGCTGCTCGAAGGAAAGAAGAATGTCGCCTTACATATGCTGGATGTACCTTCATGGAGTCTGATAGAGACACCCCCCTCTGATCACGGGGGTCACAGCATGCGCTTTTCTGTCTAGGGCGCAAAAATAGAACCACCACAGCGCTCTTCACCCCTGAAAGTCAATCCGCCTGCCACTAGCGACACCTACTATTCAGCAGAACTACAAATAACATGAACAACTGCCACCTGCTGTCGTCATGTCTCATCGACCCCCATCCTCGACCTTCATGTTAGGGCACTCGCGTCCTCGTGATATCGTCAGATGGTTCTATTCATCAATTGGGTTCTCGTCGGCCCCAATTGGCGTGCTTCACCAAGATGCTTTGGACATGGCGCTGTCAATGGCTCCAGGCCTCATACAAAGATCTTGGGCTTTGACTCACTGAAACAGTTCACGACTGGGCCTGCCGCATTGACGACGCATTAGTGGTCAATGGCTGGGGCTGCATGGACAATCGATGAAACGCTGCCTAAAGGGCCGTCCGTCCACCTGGCTCTGGACACGGCTGGAACCTGGGTACCTGACATAAGGGCCTCACGATCCTGGACGCTGCAGGATTGTTCATCTTCGCGAGGAAACGTCGTCTGTACTGCCACGTACGCAATACTTCATGATGCGCTGGTCATGGCGATGTCTGTTCGGGTACGGGAAGAGGAGGAGATGCTCCAGTGTAGTGTTGGCGCGCCCATTGTCGACACCCCTCTTCCATCTTGTTTGCGGCTTTCGTTCAGGCGGAGGCCTGTGACCACCAGTCCGCACGTATCGATTATGGTTGTCAACAATTCCCACCGCGTCCGGCGCCTAGGTAACAAACATGCTGATCCCCTTGCGTTGCCCCTCTCGGGGTTGCACAACACCGTGGGGTGAGGGAGCCTCACGACAAAAGTAGGGGACAAGTCCACGGCCATATTACGAGTCTGCCCGTAAATTGTCCTGGAATTTCCAAGCCTCCTGAGGCTCAATTTATTCCGCGAAAATTGTATGTTTAAGCAGGACATGCTCAACTACGTACCTTGGACCTTGAATGCTCTTTTCTGGTAAGGATTGAGTCCTACTGGCAACTTGCGACGCATATTGAGGGGGGAGAGCATTGCGCTGAAAAAGGAGGGGCTTTCTTCACCCTCACATTGAGGCCTTGTACACACCTCCTTTTTCATCCCACGCCCACGAGCGCGACTGGCACGCTTCAGTCCTATCCTATCGATGCCCGAAACGCCCATCGCGATGATGCCCAATCACAAGACATGGAGATGGGACTGGGTCTCAGTCCAGTCGGGACAAGTTCACCAACAGGCAAGCGCAGCAACAGCCAGGAGACGACCTCAGCGCTTCGCTCGGGCTCTTTTTGTCGAAAAGGCGCGCAGACGTTCGGAACGCCAGATATGATGGCACGGAAGGGCGCGCGCGCGCCGGAGATAGGAGACCACCACCATGAATCAACCACCCAATGCGACGCGTGACACTCCTTTGTCCGTTCGGCCTTGGTCAGCCCCTTCTGCCTGGGAACGCCTTTGCGTCGCGAAGAGGGGTTCTAGGCGCGTGCGTGTGAGTCACAGGGTCCCCCCTCAATTGGCTTGGCTCCATCTCCTTGACCGACCCGATGCAGCCAATGATGAGCGGGCTGTGGACACGTCAGACAGGGGTTTGTAGTGTCAATGACGGAGGGGGATATGGCATTTGGATTCGCGCCTCTTCTCAAGGTGGCCGTCAACTTCGCGGTACTATCGAGATTGCAAGTCAATGCAGTAGTCTAGGTGGTCACGGAGGCAATTGGCAAGTCTCGCCGCCTGAGATTTTGTGACTGGATCAGAATTGCTCGCGCAGACGAGGCAAGTCGCACACATTGACGTGTCTTGGGCGACGGCGGGATTGGGTGTGGAGCCCTCCCGCACCGTCTATCCGTCAGCCACTGGAGGATCCATGAACCCACTAAATCCGAGATGCACTGAGATGCCCACTGAGATGTCGAGTGTGTACGCAGCCAGGGTAAGCAGCCGTCAGATGTTGTCGCCGAATAAAGTCCGCGACTCCGTGCGTAGGAGGAATTCGCGAGAGATGGTCTCTCGAGAGACTGCGACTTATTTCTGTCAGGGCAGTGGCTTATCGGGTCACACGTGTGGCTCGAGGATGCGACGGTGTGATAGCGTCATCTGCCTCCATGCGCGGTCATATGACAATGGGTTTGAGACATGAGTGCCATGTTCGCCACCACGGACGACCACCTCTGGGGCCTCTTCATGGAAATGCATCTTCAGAATGTGCACAACTCGCCGGGGCTGTCTCATTGTTACGATAAGACTCTTGAACACGTTGTCACATGCAAGATGGCAAGATCCTGTAGCAACCCCGCGGTGGGACTGCCTTATCGGTAAGGGGCGTGCCGTTGAAAGCCGTCGACAACCGTGGGGACTTGTTGAGTTGTAGACCGCTCAGGCACCATTGATGTGTGCAATTGTTATGCTTAACTTAATAAAGGCACGCATGGCTTGATTTCATCGTGAGTCATCTAAACTATCAACTATGGAGGTAAATTATAGTCTGGTCATGATTTGCTTCAGTCGCAATACCTATCCTATAGTTGTACGGATTGCGGCTGATACCTTGGTAGCCTAGTCTTGGCTAGTCGTGGCGAATTGGTGTAAGATGAATGGCTAGTATAGCAAATAGCTTCGACACGGCACAGAGTCAAAATTATCATGAAAGATTTTTACTCAATTTAATACAAGTAGAATGAGCATGAAGATGCATCACTGGAAGTAAGCACTTAAACCTGGGCTGTTCTTCCTCCTTCGACTTGATGACCGTGGTTCACATGGAAGCGTGGTAGCTTTAGGACTTGCGGCAGTTGGTTTCTACTCATCTTGGCCAATAAGGTTGGCATCGCGAGAAGAAGAGAGGAACATGCAGTCTCGAGATGACGCGAACATTCCATGCCAATTGGCGATCTTGTAGTTTTCGCATTGCCTGGGCCAATTGGCATCTGATCGACTCTCTACCTTACTTCGGTGCCGCCGGGAGTCCAGGTGTCAAGGGTCAACCCGAGATCACCGGCCCTGGAATAACCAATTGAAAGTCCACTCCCATAATACTAGACTGAGCGCGGTCGTAATGCTGTGAGGGGCCTCGGCCACACCTCTCTGGCAATACTGAATCAAACAAAGGCTTCGGCAATCCATGTCAACGCACGATTGACACAAGTGCACACGGCAGTCGACACAGGAGCGTGAGCATGAAGCCATGTCACGACTCTGAGCAGTGCCACGTGTGTTCACACTAATCCTCTAACTCAAATTCCTAAAATTGTGCTTGGCCATTCCGAGCCCAAGGGCCAAGTTGCAAGCTGGAATATGTAGTCCGTGTCCCTTGCTGGGCAAAGTGCCTATGTCTCCAAACAGGATACATGCTCAGCAGACATTGGATAAGGTGACAGACGTCCTTATTCTCGGATGCAAAAAGGGCCAATCCGGGCCTTCCGCCTCTCATTGAATGTTTTATCATGTCATTCCCGCTGCAGCCTGTCTTGCCAAGGCTTCAGCTGCTTCTGGGGAGGGAGTAGCTGCCGCATAGTACCAGTTATTGTCAACCTCGTGCTAGCCACCGCGGCGGATACACTATGTTATCTTGCTCGACTTTGCAAAAGAACACGCAGAGCGTCCTCACACGCAGTGCAGGCACCGTCATTGACCATCTAAAGTCAGAAAATCGGTATAGGGCCGGTTCCGACATACGCTTTCCCAGCAAAACTAGTGGTGATCAGGTGCCAGCGCGTAAGTTCCCAGGAAAGTTGAGCTGTGGCCTGGTAAAGATAGGCAAGACGCCTTCCGCGTTGAGCCTTGAATAGACAGCGTACACTGTCCACCTTGGATCGATCCACCGCTTTGAGCATCGCGGAATCCCAAAGCTGACGGGGTCTATCCAGCGATGACTCAGAGGACCAAGTCCTCTCCCATTGATCGGCAGCGGATAATGGTCTTGTGCCCATGAAGTATCCATGATCAAGCAGAACATCGCATCTGGTGAGAGGCCACTTGAAGATTGGCATGTGCTTTCTTCGCGAGGGGACCCTGTCAACGCCAGTGCGTCAGGAACAGGGCCCACGAGGCCAGGATCGAACCCTTGGGCTGCTCGTGGATATCCACACTGGCCGGGCTATGACAGCGCCAGGAAGCCTTCTCCAACGTATCTGCGCTGCCACCACGTCAAACCCTGGGCGGTGACTTTGCTCCGCGCACCTGCGGTCGTGGCTGGCTTCTACCCGAGCATCCCCTGCACCTTGATTCTTACCAGCGGTCCGAGAGCTTGTCATTGCCCTCGTAGGGCATGTTTGAGTTCCAGGGCCTTGCTCCTCTTCATGTTTGTACTCTTGTTTGCCTCCGATGTACCTCTCCAAGTGCCGTGTTGGTTTGTGTTATGTCGACCCCCTTACGCGGATGGACATGACCTCATCTGAAGTCGTAGACCATGAGACTTTCCCGTCCATCGCTTTGCTCCTTCAGCACGATGACCATCTCCTCGTCAAAGCCGACCTTGTTCTTCATCTCCTGGTCCAGCACTCCGACTGTGCTTGTTGCCGCTTCTTTGTCCGACAATCGTGGTCGGACCTCAATGCTGCGGCCGCCCAGCCGGCCTTCCAGCTCCCAGACCCTGATCTCGTTGCCTTTAGCACTGACGCTCACAGCCTTGCCCCGGGTGGTGATTTCGGCGTCGGATATGCCGGATGTGTGTCCCCATAACCGGATGCCCGGACTGATGGTGAGCTTCGCGGCTGTTGCTGTGCACAGATGCAACAAGAGCGTGTTGTCTGGCAAGGTTGCCAGCAGGTAAGGGTGGCTATAGCACAGGCCCCTGGGCCTGCCTGCTATCCCGCTCGACGGACTGTGCGCAACCCTTGAGTGGACAACTTCTGGTAGAATATGCCCTGGCCTAGACATGATATCCAGATCCTGCACCCCAAGAGACCAACCATCAATGGTGTCGATCGTATATGCCATCGATGCCACCACTGACACCCCGACGCGCCGCATGGACAAAGCGGTTGGCGATCGGACCGTCTGCGACCTCAGTGACCGCAGTAGATGAGGCTGGTGGTGCTTTGAATGGTCGAGCGTGTACAGAAAGATCTGCCCCTTTCCCGACGCTGCCAGGATGAAAGGATGGCAGTACGCCACCCCTTCTATCCCGCTGCATTTCTTCTCCGTCGTTCGGCACGTGAGCACGAGGCAGTTTCGTTCGAGATCGGTCTTCCACACACCCAATGTACCATCGCCAAAGCCCACCGCGATGTCGACCTCCCCTTCCGACAACGCCTCCTCGTCCACAGCCAGGCACATTGGCCGTGCATCATGACCCAGCTTCGTTCGCGCAACTGGTAGCCGTGTTCGCAGATCCCATATAATCAGCCCAGACGCCGCATCCGCTGTGATCGCCAGACCTTCGACAACCTTGACTAGCGTCTTTCCGGTGTTCGGTTGCTGGTGAAGTTCAAGTTCGTCGACTTCGCAGCGCCCCCGCGCCCAATTATGCAGTAGCTTGTACGCATTCTTCCAGTCGACGCTCTCCTGCTCTTTGCCTCCGCTCTTCTTTCTCGGACTCGTCGATACCGTCGGAACGGCCGTCGGACTTTTGCGAAAGCCAGGAATCAGATGCGCGCGTGGAAGGATGAAGCGTCGATAGTAGTGTCCCCGCCATAGCTGCGCATCGCTCGTGACGCGGTGGAAGAGCTTGGAGACCGGCGCGATGGAAATGAGCGTCGATTCGGGGAGGTTGGAGAGTATTCTGACGAGGAGTTCGGCTGGGAGCTGCGAAATCAGATCATGCAAAGGCGGCTCGTAGTAGGGACGGGCGCGTTTTCGCCGGTGCTGCGGCGTGGAGCTGGTTGTAGCGTCGGGGGTGCTGCTGGGTCCAGGGCTTGAGCTAGAGCGACGACGTTTGAGATGCATCGTACTCAGTTGGCGGGCGTTGCAGTCGCAATGGTTGGACGGCCGTTGCCCTCTCTGAGAGTGTGTCAGAGAAAGTGGTGAAGAGAATAGCAGTAGGTCGCAGAGAAGTGGCGGATATGGGTTTGTCATGAACCACATCCGTCAGCTCCAAGGTTTGCGGTAAGGCTAGCTAGCGATTGGAGGTGTTAGGACCGCCACCTATTCTGTATGCCTGTCTTATCGCGAACCATCACTTTGCTTGACCGACATATAGCGTGCCTCAACGTATCCTTTGCATTTCATACACTGCCGTACCTCACTCCTATTTAGCGTGGCACTCCGAACTGTGCGCTACATTTTTTGCTCAAGTGGCCCAGCATTTCCTGCATGAAAATGTTGACTATTCAGATTCTGCCCTGCAACGTATATACAAGACGTAACCCATAGGCGACTCCCTGACGCCATCACAATGCATGGGTATCCCATAGCTCACGCTCCGATCCTCATGAACATGTCATCGTACAGTTTCCCAACCCAACCATCGCTGGCGCCCGCTCTGGCAACAACACCCAGACCCCCGACAGCCCAGAGGCCAGCTACAAGCGCCGCCACGCCTTGCACAGCGAGCCACTTGCGCCGCCTCTCCTTGCGGGTCTTCTTGTCTACAACAGCCGACGCATCTGTTCCCTTCCGCCTCTGCAACCAACCCCGGGTGGAGGGTGCGACATTCAGCCACTTGGCCGACCCCCAAACAATGTGGCCCGCGCTCAAGCCGATCAGGCCGGCGTAGAAAATCCCCGATACCCAGGGACTTCTGGCAAACCCGTGCGCGACGTACGCCAGTCCAATATTCGAGCTGTCGCCCTCCACGGCCAGCGGCAAGATGCGATTCACGAGCACGTGCGCCGAGTAGAAGAAGCTCAGGGCGTACCCTGATAATGAGATGTAGCTCATCTCTGGCCAGGGGCTCATGCGCTTCCTGTGGCTTCCCACGGCCCAAAAGCCTGGGGTCGTCGTCCCGTATCGTTGCACGTTCTGCGATCTGCGTACCAGACGCAATGCTATGCCGGAACCAATATGTAGGATTGCAGGTAGGGCAACAAGGAGCGGCTCCGTGATGGCGGTCTGGTAGATTTCGCGCGTCATGAGGAGATACGTCTCCGAGGCGTCGGTGGAGCCTGTTATCGCTGGTAGAATCGAGACATTTGTAATATGGAGGGCGAAGAAGGTGTTCATCGCATACGACGAGTACTTTTGTAGGCGTGTCACTGCTCTGGTCAGCCGCCGTAAACTAGGCGCATATGTCGAGCCAGAAGGAAGACGTACAGTAGTAGATGGGGCCACGCCCTGAGCCACTCAAACCAGGGGCTGATGCTGAGCCTTTCGAGGGCAGTGAGGCGCTCGGGCTCTCTAGATCTTCGGAGGATTCATCTTCAAGCGGCGGAACTGGGCGCTCGACTTCGGGGGAATCTATGGGCGCCGGGTCGAGCTGTAATAGCGACACGTTGGTCGACAGAGAGTCGCGTCGGTCGACCATGGCGTCAGTGTACGCTGTAGCTGTCTGGGCTACCTTGCGTACTGACGAAGATGTCAATGGGAGGTGAAGGGGAAAATGTCGGTGTTGAACCCGGTCGTCAGCGGGCGCTTGGTGACGTCTCCAAATGCTGGTCCGGGGTAATTAAGGTACCCTGCACCACGTTGGCCAACCACAATACCCCAATTTGATGTCCCCGAGCTCCAGGGCTTCACTCTACCATCAACATCAGCGCCATGCCACCTGTAAGCCGCCGTAGCACTTTTCCATCGTCCAAGGCTAACTTGAATCACACAGCGACACCAGACCCTGCCAGCGGCCGCCACTTCGTCGGCGCGCGAGGCGCGACAGGCTTTCCACTGCAGTCTCTGCAACAAGGGCTACTCGCGCATGAACGACTACGAAGCCCACCTCTCGAGCTACGACCACTCCCACAAGCAGCGACTAAAGGACATGAAGGCCATGGTGCGCGATCCCGCCGCCGTCGAACGAGCGAGAAAGGCCGAGGCCAAGGCGGACGGCATGGTCAAGGTGGTGCCGGCCACCGAGGGGACAGTGAAGAAAGGCGGCTTCAAGAAGAGTGGTTTCAAGAGCGCTTTTACGAAAATAGAGGGAACTCCCGAGGTCCCCAAGGCGGTGGTGGACAATCGGCCATCACTGGTCAACACGGAGCCGTTGGAGAGCGATACGGAAGATGAAGGCTACGAAGTCTATGATCCGCGATACCCGACAGACTGAACATGGAGGGCTGTTCCAAAAGAAAAATCCGATAATGACATCCTACATCTGCTGGTCGACCGGTGCCATGTCTTCCGACGGCATGTAGCCCAGCGTATTCATCTGCGACAGATCCTCCTCCATCAGGCCAAACATGTTTCGATTCCCGGAGAACCAATCCGCCATTTGCGTCTGCTGTCCACCCATCACAGGCGTCTGCATCATGGGGGCGCCCGTGGAGGGGTGGGACGCCGCCATGTTCTGGTCGAGACCGGGCATGAAGCCCAGCTGCGAGAGGTACATGTCGAGCTCGTCTCCAATGGGGACCATGGTCTGGTCCTCCTGCTGTTGCGACTTGGCGTCGACGTAGACCATGGCCACGTCGCGGTAGACCTGGAAGACGCGATAGAGCTTCTCGACCTGCTCAGAAGCGTCCCGGAGACGATTGATCGAGTCGACAAACTGCTGGAGGATTTCAAGATCGTGGCTCGACAATGATTCGATGACGTGGCAGAAGAGCACGAAGAAGGGCGCAAAGGGTGTCAGCATCAGGTTCCAGTGTACGTATATGCTCTTCACGTAAGCGCCGTGCGTCAGCAATCCCATGCCTGTCTGATGCGCTGTGATGCACTTGCGCGCTGTCTCGAGGCAGTCCTCGTTGAAGCGACTCGGCGACCCCGGCGGGGCAGGGATGGCGCGGTACACCATGGTGAGCACGGATAGGAACTGGATCTCGTCGCCTATGATGAAGATGTCGACGAGTTTCGAGGTGTTGATGGCCCGGAGATACGTGATTGTCTCGTCGCGTGACTTTTCCACTTCGTCCCAGAGTCCACGGCAATTCACTGCCAGCGACTGGGCGCGACGGGAGAGCTCTTCTTTGGATTCTCTGAGCGCAGCGGGCGAATATCTGTCAGATGTCAGCAGCGCATAGTTAGGCGGTCTCGGCCAAACGTACAAGTCTTCAAACGTCTTGCCCTGGAACTTGGAGATTGTGAGCCATAATTGGGGCGCATCACTCTTCTCGAGATGCTTGAAGCCCTCATAGCTGGGCCCTTCGGGAATGCTGATATCATAGTCCTTCATGATACTCGACCTCCCAAGCCGGAGCGAGAGACCCTTGTCCCAGGTGTATACCTGCCAAAAGACAATGGCCTTGACCTGGGCGACCTTGGGCGGGTCATTGGCGAGCACCTCGGCACGATGGAACCCACCAGCCTGGCAGAGCAGGGCGGCCATGCAGTTGAGGTGCCATGCTACGCTGGGGCGACACACGTCGATTGCGTATTGGGCCTACAGTACCATGCGTCAGACAAAAGCGAGGGCCAAGGATGACTGTCAGACTTACCCCGAACACCAGCGCTTGCACGTTTTCCACCTTGGCACTTTGGAACAAGGGCAAATTGGCCAGGAACGTCTCCTGGTTTGCTTGCGCGACGAGCCCATACTCGTGGTACATGTCCCGCTTGGCCACGTCGTCGGCCAGCGAGTACTCCTCCATGAACAGATTGTACAGACCCGCGTTGACAATCGCCCACATTGCTGGGGTGACGTCGTCCGTGGGGAAATAGACATTACGGCAGAGACTCGAGAAGTCGCGGATCCCAGCCAGGCCGCAGCTCAAGGAGAAGAGAGACGGTGCCGAGTGCTTGGATGACTTCAAAAGGCTGACGACCACGTCGAGAGGCGGCAAGGGGAGCTTCACCACGCCACCCGGCGGAAGGGGCTTTTGGTGAGGGAATCTTGGGCCATGGCTGATGCTCTTCCCTTTTTGCACCTCGACAAGCTGCCGAAGGTTGTTCAGGGCGGCGTTGACGTTGGGGTTCACCTCACGCAGGGATGTGCGCTGCACAGCGTGTTCGATGAACTCGGTCGCAAAAGCTGTCTGCGAGGCAAAGCCCGCATCGCCACCGACGGAGTCGTCATCGTCGGACTCTTCGAGGTTGTCCTGGGAAGAGGCTGTGGGGTGCGACGATGGGGTCGACACGTGATGGTGGACGGAGCTGCTGCCCGAGGACGAGATGTTCTTGAGCAGACTCTCGATACTGCCTAGCCGGGACTCAATCTGATCAATCTTTCTCTCACTGTCATCCCAATGTCAACAGAGTGCAGGTGAGAGAGGGGGTGTGCTGGGTGGAGGAGGTGCATACTATTGCGAGGAGATGAGGACTCGTTGTCTCGGCTCCTTTGGTCGCTGTCCTAGACCTGTCGATGTACATGGGCGCTTGGCGGTACGACAGTTTGCGCACGGATAGTCCTTGTCACAACGGACCTTGAAAGAGTCACTATCATCAGCTCTCGTGTCTTGGACAACGGTGGCCAGCCGTCCTGCAACTGCAAGACGGACGTACCTTTCGCATGCGGCATTGGTCACACTGCACACGTTAGTATGGTCTCTCTCAGCATCTACAAGTACAAGCCCATGACTGGCACAACAAGTCGTCCCTGTACTCGGGCAAAGGCACCAGAATGCATGCACCTACCGCTCGTCGATTGGGGTCGTCGGCGCCCGCGGACATGGAAGCACCATCACGTCCCCCTCCAGCAGCTCCTCCAACAGAAGCGTCCGAGGCACTCATTCGCAGTATGCAGTAGGGCTGATTGTCAGTTAAAGTACAGTACACATGCGGCGTTCCTGAATCCTGGCGATCCGCAGCCAAGGCCAAGTCTATCAATCAGACAGACCCCAGTGGAGGCGTACAGAGTCGGGTACTGACTGCGTATCCACGGGATGCCGTAGGACGTGAAACAGTTTCCCCCTGGCCGCGAGAGTGAAAAGGCGAATGATCTCGCTTTTCTACCTGGCGAGACAAATGTCGTTTGCCGGACCAAACAAACTCTGCGCCACTTCTTAATGCTCTCAAGGCGGCTGTGCTTGCTCCCGGCGATTCACTCAACTCTCACGAGTTAGTTAGTTACCACGCGGCTACCGGCACGAGTCGCACGATTCAAGGTTGGCTTGCGTAATCGTCGCCAAGACTGTTTGAGGATCATTTGTCAGGCCGTGTCTTTTGCTGTAGGCAGCCTTGTGATGATGTGTGTTTGTTGAGCAGTGCGTGCATTGTACTCCGTATCTTCTATCCTGGTCGTCGCAGAACTCGCGGACGTCCGCGGACACCGAGACGCTAAAACGGGTCAGAGCTAGCCTCGACTGGGGGATGAAGTGTGGGTCGCTAACCTCGACTCCCGCTTCCGAACCAATGAAAACCGCATCCTCCACGGTATAAGCTTCGAAGCGTCTCAAGTCGGCCTAGCGCAATTGGGCGGAGCTCCAAAGCGATCGGATTCGGTAAATTGTGTCTTGTGAGTCTTCGGCGAAGGAGTCCAGGCTGCATCTGTTGACGACGTGGATCCTCATGCCATTTAAAAAAGAGGTCGTTTCGATCCAGGTAACACATTGCTCACTTTGCGTCGCCATGCAATTCCACGCTTCGACGAGATGAGCGAAAAGGAGAGAAACGAGGCGCCTGGGCCTCCAGCACCGTCAACCACAGCTCTCGCCTCGGCAGAGCCAGCGCAGGAAGAAGTGAAGGCCAGTGATTCGAGCTTCAAGTTCTTTCTGGTAAGTGGCGTCCACGGGGAGGGTCTGAGGGCCCCAATTCGTCGGTCACACATTGACAGCATGGGTCATTAGCGTGTCTTCACCTACAACGACGCTCGAGGATGGACCCTGAACATCATTGCCGTGTTCTTCATGATCGCCTCCGGCACGGTCCTACCCCTGATGGATGTTATCTTTGGCAAATTCATCAACGTCTTCAACAAGTTTGCCACGGGTCAGCTGTCGCCTAGTGGCTATCGTAGTGAGGTCGACAAACACAGGTGTGTTGCTACTTGTTACATCTTGTTCCGCAGAGACACGCTAATCACGGGAGCAGCCTCTACTTTATCTATCTCTTCATCGGCAAATTCATCTCCACCTACATCTGGACCTTCTTGATCAACCTCACCGCTATACGGACGACCAAGGAACTGCGCATCGCCTTCGTCACGTCCCTCCTCCGCCAAGAGGTGTCCTTCTTTGACTCACCGAGCTCTTCAGTCTCCGGACAGGTGACCACCAATGGCAATCTCATCAACAATGGCATCTCTGAGAAGCTTGGTCTCACCATTCAAGCCATCTCGCAGTTCGTCGCCGCGTTTGTGGTGGCCTTTGCCGTGCAATGGAAGCTCACCCTCATTGTCATCGCCATTGTCCCTGTCAATATTGTCGTCACAATCATTTGTGTCATCTGGGACACGGGCGTGGAGTATCGGATGTTTGACATCTATGGCAAGTCAGGCTCCCTCGCCGAGGAAGCCTTTGGCACAATCCGCACAGCCCATGCCTTCTGGGCATTCCCCAAGCTCACACGTCGGTTCAACGCCATCCTCGAAGAGGCGGCGCAGGTCGGTGCCGTCAAGTCCCTCATCTATGCTATTCTCTTCCCTGTTGAGTTCTTTTGTATCTTTGCGGGCTATGCCCTCGCCTTCTGGCAGGGCATAAGGATGTACTCCGAGGGCGAGATTACCCAACCAGGCACAGTCGTCACGGTCATCTTCGCCGTGCTGGTGGCGGCCCAGGCGCTGACGCAGATCGCGCCACAGACAATCGCCATCTCGAAGGCTACCGCCGCGGCCTCCGACATCTTCGCCATCATCGACCGGAAATCAAACATTGACTCGCTTTCGACAGAGGGTGCCACCATTGATGGGTTCAAGGGTGATATCAAGCTGCGAGATGTCAAGTTTTCGTATCCCACCCGAAAGGATGTCCCTGTTCTACACGGTCTGGATCTAGACATACCCGCTGACAAGACGACCGCCCTGGTTGGTGCCAGTGGTTCCGGGAAGAGTACCATCTTTGGTTTGCTAGAGCGATGGTATACGCCTTCTGCAGGGAGCATCACACTCGATGGGCAGGAAATCGAGAGTCTCAACCTGCAGTGGCTGAGGACGAATATCCGGTTGGTACAGCAAGAGCCCACCCTCTTCAGTGGGACAATCTACCAAAACATCGTCGACGGCTTGACTGGCACGCCCCTTTCCACAATCTCAGATGAAGACAAGCGCGCCCGCGTAGAGAACGCTTGCCGGTCCGCGTTTGCCCACGACTTCATCTCTGATCTCCCACAGGGTTACGATACCGTGATTGGCGAGCGCGGTGCCTCCTTGTCAGGGGGTCAGAAGCAACGCATCGTGATTGCAAGGAGCATCATATCCAACCCCAAGGTCTTGCTGCTAGACGAAGCTACGAGTGCTCTGGACCCCAAGGCCGAGAAAATTGTGCAGTTGGCGTTGAACAATGTCGCCAAGGGGCGGACCATGGTCGTCATTGCGCACCGCCTGAGCACAATCAGGGACGCGGACAATATCATTGTCATGGCAAAGGGTGAAGTGATCGAGCAGGGGAGCCACGACAATCTGACCGCACAGAATGGAGCATATGCGCGTCTCGTCAAGGCGCAGGACCTGGGTTCTGGCACTCTTGAAGAAGACTCGGGGCCAGAGGCGGACGCTCATGAAGATGACCTGGACAGACCTTTGACGACCGTCTCGACAAACGCCAGCGCAGGCGGGCCTCTCGGCATCAAAGATGAAGAATCATACTCCCTCTTCCACGGCCTCTGGTTGATCCTCGCCGAGAATCCCACACTCTGGTGGGCGTACTTTCTCGTGGCCATCGCCTGCATCGCAGGTGGCGCGACGTATCCCGCTCTCGCCGTGCTCTTCGCCAAGACCATGCAGGCTTTCGAGACCATTGACGTATCCAGGGTCAACTTCTTCAGTCTCATGTTCTTTGTGGTTGCGTGCGGGAACTTGGTGGCCTACGCCGTGGCAGGGTGGCTGTCCAACGTCGTTGCGCAGCATGTCATGAAACGGTACCGGGGTGAGCTCTTCAACGACACGCTGCGTCAGGATATGCTGTTTTTTGACCAGCCGGAGCACTCGACGGGTGCGTTGGTATCGAGACTATCCGCTGAGCCGACGAGTCTGACAGAGCTTGTGTCAATGAACATTGCGCTTCTCCTGATCAACATTGTGAACCTGCTGTCGAGCTCGATTCTCGCCATTGTCTACGGATGGAAACTGGGACTGGTCCTTGCCTTGGGCGCGCTGCCGGTCCTCGTCGCCTCGGGGTATGTCAGGATCCGGCTGGAGTTCTCGTTCGACGACGACACGGCGAAGCGTTTCTCGCGTTCCAGCGGACTTGCGTCCGAGGCTGTTCTCGCTATCCGGACTGTATCGTCACTGGCACTCGAGTCCGCCATCATCTCCAGGTACCGATCGGCTCTGGAGGGTATCGCCGCAAAGTCCATCGGAGGTTTAGGGTGGCGCATGCTGTTTTACTCCCTCAGTCAGAGTATCTCTTTCCTGGTGATGGCGCTCGGTTTCTGGTACGGCGGACGCCTCGTGAGCACGGGCGAGTACTCTACGGGGATCTTCTACACCGTCTTCATTGCCGTCGTCTTTTCGGGCGAGTCAGCCGCCCAATTCTTCCAGTACACCACCAGTATCACCAAGGCACGCACGGCCATGAACTACATCTTCGCCATGAGACGCAACCGTCTCCTTCAGGATGCTCCGGACGACGACGAGGGCCAGGACGCCGAGAAGAGCGCAAAGGGCACGCACGTGGAGGTGACAGAGGTCGCATTTGCATACCCGTTGAGACCCAAGCTGCAAGTGCTCCGAGACATTTCCGTGGACATTGAGAGCTCGAAGATGGTCGCCTTTGTCGGCGCGAGTGGCTGCGGCAAGTCCACCATGATTGCCCTTTTACAGCGGTTCTACGACCCGACCGCAGGCGTCATATCGAGTGACAAGGATGACATCAAGACTCTCAACCGACGCTTCTATCGAAAGGACGTCGCGCTTGTGCAGCAAGAGCCCGTGCTCTACCAAGGGTCTATACGGGAGAATGTCGCGCTGGGCATCGAAGACCGGGAACCGACAGATGACGAGGTGATCGATGCATGTCGTCAATCGAATGTCTGGGATTTCATTTCTAGTCTGCCCGATGGCCTCGGTACCCCCTGTGGCAACCAAGGGCTGTCCCTCTCCGGAGGCCAACGACAACGTATCGCTATCGCCAGAGCATTGATCCGCCAACCGCGTCTTCTCCTCCTCGACGAAGCGACTTCCGCGCTGGATACGGAGTCTGAGAAAATCGTCAAGGAGGCTCTCGATCGCGCCGCAGAGGGACGAACGACGGTGGCCGTGGCGCATCGGCTGAGCACCATTCGTGATGCGGATCTCATCGTCGTCTTTGAGCGCGGAAGGGTGGTGCAGATGGGCACGCACGAGGAGTTGATTGCCAAAAGGGGTATTTACTGGGAAATGGTGCTCGGGCAGTCTTTGGATCGGGAGGCCTAACGTTAGGTTTAATTACTCGCGCATTGCATGGATACAGGGCACCAAAGGTATCGTCACACTCCATACTCATAATAATTTTCATCTATGTATCCCCTCGCCATCTATCTGCGTCGTATTTTCATCGTAAAGTAGCCGCTTAAGCAAGAGTCTTGGCGTCACCCTCCTTGAGCTTGCCAGCCTCGACAAGCCTCTTGACCTCGTCGCTCCAGACACTCTTGATCTCACCCGAGACCTTGAGTCCGTTGAGCTTGTTGGCAAGCGCAGCAATCTCATCAGGGTCAATCTTGCCCTGCACGAGGTCGACATCGTTGAGCACGGCATCGACCTGGGCGGCGCTCGCGTCACCCTCGGCAAAGTAGTTGGCGTCCTTGACACTGCCCTTGAGAACACGCTTGTTCTTCTTGACGGCATTCTTGGCCGCCTCCTTGGCCTTCTTGGACGACTCGCGCTCAGCCTTGGCCTTCTCCTCGGCCTCAGCCTTCGCCTTTTCCTCGGCCTCCTTCTTGGCCTTGGCGTCCTCAATGGCCTTCTTCTCGGCCGCCTCACGGTCCGCCTTCTTCTTGTTCTTGGCGGCGTTGGCTTCTTGGCGGAACCTCTTGATGCGCTCGTCGCCGGCGGAGGCGTCGTCGAGCAGCTTGCGCAGACGCATGTTGTCCTCGGCCTTCTTCTTCTTCCTGGCGTTGGCGTTCTTGCGCTCGACGTGGCGCTTCTGGTCGCGGTTCTCGTTGTCGTCGGGGACGTCCTCGTCGAGGTACTCAAAGGTGCGCCACGAGTCAAAGTTATACCAGAAGTTGTAAAAGTCCTCGACGTGCTCCTTGGAGGCGTTCTCGTCGCCAAACGTGGGGACGGGATGCTCCTTGCTAAAGCGCGCCTCGGCCTTGAAGAACTTGCTCCACGCCTTGTAAAAGTCTTTGCCGGTGAGCTTCTTGGTCGGGGGGTCGACGTCGGCCTCCTCGTCGACCGAGTCGTACTGCCTCCTCTTGACGGGGTCGAGCAGGACCTCGGTAGCCTTCTGGATGCACTTGAAGAACTGGTCGTCCTCGGTGGAGCCCTGGGCGGCCTTCTTGTCGGGGTGGTGCTTCAAGACCTTCTTGCGGTGAGCCTTCTTAATCTGGTCCTCGCTGGCCTTCCAGCGGTACTTGCTGAGGCCGAGGATCTTGTAGTGGTCCTGTGTCTTCCAGTCCTTGGCCTCGCGCTGGAGGTCCATGGGGTCCTCGGGCTCGGAGATCTCGCCATCGTCGACATCCTCGGTCTTGCGGGCCTTCTCTTGGGCCTGGATGCGGTCGTCCTCAGAGAAGGTGCGCTTGTGGCGAGCACGGCGGGCGTGGGCGAGGAAGTGAGGGCCAACGGGCTCAATGGTGCGCTCAGAAGCGGAGGACAAAGCGTTGAGGCGCTTGAAGTCCTTGTCCGCGGACCAGTCTGCGGGGAGGAGAGGGAGGGCCATCGTGACGGTTGATGATGGTGATAGTGATGAAGACAGGACCTGGGCTTGGACGAAGAGCCTGAGGCTTTTGGAATATTTTTTTAGGTGGGGGTGGGGGCGGATGCTGGACGGTGCGTCATTCTACCAACACTGTGTCTAACCTTGTTGAGCCTGTCTCATTCACTCACTAACACGACACGGAGGCTTGAAGTGAACTTGAAAGTCAACCCTCGACTTATTCAAATCGATTATCTCAATTTTTTGGCGGCTTGTTTCTCCTACGCATAATGGAGCACTGCCAGCAGAAAGTCCAGTCACTCCTCGATCGCTTCGCTGCTGCCAAGATAGACCTCGTGGAATGGGACCAGAATGCCCTACGTCGGTTAGGATGTCCTCTCACCACTGGCCTGGTAAGTTCTCCCGAGAGCTTTCATCAGCTTGTTCTCTGACAGACTCAGGATTTGACCTTCCTGGTGCCAGATCACCAGCTTCCTCTCGTTCGGACGATCGCCTTAGAAGAGGGCTGCAAGCTAGCGGACGACCTCCATGTATCTCCTGGGTTGACCTGCGAGTACTCCGACTGTGCACTACGATTCATCATAGGCGACCTGTCTAAATCCCAGAGCCGTCATAGCAGGCTGGTCGTACTGCCTACTTCGTGGGCCCATGTCGATCTAGACGAGTTGGAGCGCGACAGTATTCCCAGTCTTCGACCTTCGTCGCCACCAACGCCAATATGGACCGTTCCTCTTGACGTTATGAGCGCGGCTCTGGTGCGAATCGCATCAGAGACTACACGTCTCAGCCAATTACGAAAACAGATTATTCGAGACTTGGCAGGCTTAATGGCTTATGCATTGTTCGACTGCTCCTATGAGGGTGATTACGAGGAAATCATTCCCAATGATGTTCCCCTGTCAGAAAGTGAAAAGTCTGAGCTGGCGCATGCACGCAAAGTCATTGATTCCTGGAGAATGCGACCAGGAGAAGAATGGATCGCGAGTTCTTTGGCGGATGTCGTGACAAAAGGGGTGCCATATAAGTCTCTCCGTGCCAAAGAAGACAGCCAGCCAGCTGCAAACGGATGCGCGCAGTCGACTATAACATCAAATGAAAATGAAACAAGAGACTTTGACTGAACATTGCGCCTGGCTATTTGGATCAGACTCTGTTTTTCAACATTTACCATTGCTTCAATTCATGTGCGTGGTATTGCTTAGAGTGGTCTGGTATAGACGACTGCCCTGCCGCGATGACAATGTTCCTGTCCGCAGTTCACCTTATACTTTCAATATTTCTCGGTCCTTTTGTGACAGTGTAGCTTGTAGCAACTCCATCTCCTCGCTATAGGCATCATCTTGCCAGTAGTCTGCAAGATCTTTCACCGCCGCATACAAACGCCCTCTATTCTCGTCAGGGGTGTTGTACGCGTCGAAATCAACCGTCTGGTTATGCGACTTGAGCCATCCCAGCAAGAAGACGATATCAAAAAGATCAAATTCAAATTTTCGGATAGATCTTGGTCGAGTGGAACCAATGTAGTGAACGCAGCGCTTGATCTTCGTGAGAATCAGAATATCGGGTTGCAGGATGGGTATCATATCTATGCGGTTAGCATTTGATCAATACTTTTCCCCAGAGGTAGCCAAGTCATCACTAACGTTCGCCGACTTGAATCGTCTTGATCTCGCGGGGTAGACCCAACTCTCCTGTTGGTAGAGTCTCAATAGGAATACGATGTGTACCGCAGGTGAAGGTGAGCTTGTAAGTCACTAGAGAGAATCTCGTGTCTGCATCCAACAGAAGTTGGGCCATGTTTTGGAGCGCTGGTTTGTCGTTTTCGATATCGATCAAGATGTCAATATCGTCGGTCTGGCGATCGTGGCCCAAAACGTTGACTGCATAACCGCCAATATAGGCATGCCGGATGCCATGCTGTTCAAGGATAGGGGTCACGGCCGCGGCGGCCTTATCCTTGGCTTCAAGAATGCTTGAGTTCATAGCGATGGTGTTGTCAGGTCATGGCAAAGAGAGTCACACACGAGTGACACGAAATAATAAATTAATGAGCACTTAGTGATGCTTCCACGAACGAAGGGCTAGGAAAGCCTAACGCATTCATCTGATGTTGTACATAGTAGTATCATCACGTGAATTAATATTCCGCTATTTATAACAGTTGAATTTGATGAGTCAATAACAACGGCATACCCCCTACATGATGTTATTTGCATCTTCTTCCCATCAGGGGATACATGTTGACTGGCGGAGTTGATCAGAGAATAGGGGCGTTCCCTGTTGCTTAAACTTTAGCCACCCAATATGACCCAGACCCCGATAAATGCTAGGGTTCTGGCTAGCTAGAGCTCCAGTCCTGGCCGCAAATCGCACTCTATGCGCAAGAACAGTTCTCGTGTCCGTGACATGACCGCCGGGTGCTTTCTGCGCATGGTCAGCAAGCCCCCTTGCTGACAAGGCCAACAACGCCGCCAACACTGCATCACGCGCGTCGAGAGGATGTATCCTGGTGTTGAAGGTTTCGGCGCGTGATGTTAAGGGGAAGACTATGGCCAGGACACGGATGGTGTGGAAATCTTCGAGACAGTGTGGTATAGCGATGGCGTGGGTGATGAGCATCTGGAAAATCAGGGGCTGCGCATCATTACTGAGATTGTGAACCTTTCGACTCAGGCTCGGAGAGACATTGCCACTGGGTGACAAGTCTCTTGCTCTCCCGTCGTAGAACTAGAGTTATTGTGTGTGACTGGGAAGTTTCCTGAACTACAGGCAAACCCACGATCGCATGTGTTTCAACATAACCTTACCTGGCAATCAACCAAATCATGCTACAATTCTTGTTTGAACTTTTTTTTTACCAGTGATTTCATGATTACGAATTTTCAATGCTGTCTAGCATCTTATGGTCATAGTGAGATATATTTATTTACTGCCTTCCGCACGCAAGAGCATGCGCCGTACAGGGTAGGCCAAAGCGCTGCGATTAATGGCAGCCGATAACTTTTCCAGCATTACGAACTTAACCTCTGGGTACTCTATCAATCCAGCACCTTCACACCAGCGCCATGTCACTCGCCGCCTACAGAAACTTGATGCGTGCCGCTCGCATCGCCTTCCAAGGTACGAACAATTGCAAACCGTCATAGACTCCCGCAGCTCACAATACAGGCGATACGCCCGTGCTCTCGGCAGCCCAGACACAGATCCGCAACGAATTCCGCCAGCGATCGACCCTCTCCGAACCAAGCGAACTCCAGGCCGCCGTTGATCACGCCCAGTCTGTGGCGCAGATATTGAGGCAGAACATTGTGCAAGGAAAGCAGACCGAGGGCGACGAGAACAGCTACAGTAGGTTCCTCTCCAGGGACGGCCACGTTACGGAAGGCTAACCAGCAGAACTTCGGATACACAAGGACACCGAGCGAGGCGACAACGAGAGCATCAAAACGGCTGGGAAGGGCAAGACTGGTGGCGCCGGGTGCTGCCAATCTCAGTAGTAGCCACCCGTGCTTGTATAACATGTACAACATCACGATACCCATGCCATATCTCGGATAGACATACATCCTGTATTACAGAGGCCAAACGTTGCCATGCTCCAAATTCTCTATGTAACCCAAACGCCCTGCGCCATGCTTCACTCTGTTGCGGCCTAGTCTCCAGCCAGGCTCGCATATTGCGGTGTATCTTCTGCGCCCGGCGGCGCGGCCACCGTACTCGGGATAGGATTCGCCTGTGACGACGATGACCCTCCCTCAATCGTTTTCTGTTGGCCCCCCTGCCTTGCCCTGGACTGTACCCTCGCATCACCGAGCATCTGGGCGCGCTCCTGCTTATCCATGTTGCCAATGGCCTTGGGCTGGCCCCATCGTATTCGGAGAGGGCACCCAGCAATAACGGCCCGTCCCTGACACGCTGCCGCCGCCTTCTCGGCTGCTTCACGCGTCTCGTAGTTGATGAATGCGCAATGCGACATGTGCGAACAGACCAAACTCTTGATCTTGCCAAAGGCCTTGAAGAAGTCTCGGATCTTGTGCTCCGGCAAGTCGTCCTCCACACCCGTGACGAACAGCGACATGATCTTGGGATCGGACGGGGGCATGTAATCGCGAGGCGTCGGAGGGAGCTGCGCCGCGCTGGGGAACGCTTGTCGACTCCTCCCCGACATGGTCGTCTTCGCACCCGCGGCTGCAGCTGCGCGGCTGTCTCGTGTTCGGATCGGACCTGGTCCACCCATGCCCGCCCCCACAGCAACATCACCGCTCCTCTCGGCAGCAATGTCGGCCTCGTCCACGGCGCGTCCCTTTTTGAAATACGGCTTGCTCTGGGCCAGCTTCCGTAATAGTTCTCGTGCCTTATCATCGGTCTTTTCGTATTCCTCCGTTCCTTGGCCGTCTTCGATAAGCTTCTCGTTGTTTTGGGCAAAGTATTCGCGGTTAATTTCGGACTGTGGGCCTGGCGCGACCATCTTGAGAGCTGCGTCACGGATGGCAATGGGAAGGCCGAAGGAGAGGTCGAGCATGCAGCACTGGCAGCAGTTCTTAAGGCGGGCGCATGTCAGGCAGATATTGGTTCGTTGCTTGCGACCGGCGGACCGCGTTGCGTTCCACCCGAAGACTGTGAATGGTCGTGTGCACTGGCTTGTTAGCAAATATGTCATCAGACTTGCAGACAGGGAACACCTACCAGTTTGCATTCTGCGCCATAGTCCTCCTTCAACATCTTCACGTAGGGGTTGTCTGGTAGACAGTTTTCACACACGGATGGAAAGTCGGTCGACTCCCATCCTGAGCGATTCAGATCTTGCTTGATTTGAGGCGGCATCTCGACGGCGCGCTGATGCTAATGTTGGCGACAGAAAGTCAGTCTTGCGCAATGTGGCGTGCCCAAAGACTTCAGCCCGACTGACGTTGTTTTGTGATTATTCAGCAGTCCCCAGATGATCGTGGCTTATCGATAAGAGCATGGAAAATTGCAGACTCGGGGCATTCCAACACTCAATTTCCACAGTGCATCGTGGTGGGGGCGGCGCGTTCACATGAAAACGATGCAGCCTGATTCGCGTTCGTATTCGTGTACGTCTTGACCGCCTGCTACAAAGGGGCGGAGTTGGCAGCCACTAAGCTAGTTAGAGGCTAGTGTCTCGGCAGAGTCCCAAGATCGAACGAGATCCAGGGGCCAGAAGGGGTCGTCTGAAATTGGTGTTAATTCCCAGGTTGCAAGCGACGCAGTAATAGATAAAAAGTCCGGGTAGCCTCCTGACAGTGCCATTGACCACCAACAACTCTCACACCCCCATTCTCCCCTTTTTGCATCAACTGCACAACTCTATATCTCCGCTGTCATCATGGCTTCCTCCACAATGTCCAACCTCGAGAAGGAGAACCACCAGCGCGATGCCGATTTCAACAAGGCCCTCCACGGCAAGTCGGCCCAGGCCAGGGGCGGCATTGCTGCCATGTTCTCCAAGGGCGCCTCTGCCAAGGGCGCTGCTGTCGACGAGTACTTCAAGCACTGGGATAATAAGGGCGCTGCCGACGAGACTGCAGAGACCCGTGCTGTGAGTCGTCCCAGACCGCTCGATGGAGGGGTATGCGCTAACATGCCTCGATAGCAACGTCAAGCCGAGTACGCCACCTTGACCAGGCAATACTACAACCTGGCGACCGATCTTTACGAGTATGGATGGGGCCAGTCCTTCCACTTCTGCCGCTTCGCCTACGGCGAGCCCTTCCACCAGGCCATCGCCCGCCACGAGCACTACCTCGCCCACGCCATTGGCATCCAGGAAGGCATGCGCGTGCTAGACGTTGGCTGCGGTGTCGGTGGGCCTGCCCGTGAGATCGCCAAGTTCACTGGCGCTCACATCACTGGTCTGAACAACAACGACTACCAGATTGAGCGTGCGACGCACTACGCCCACAAGGAGGGTCTGTCAAACCAGCTCCAGTACGTCAAGGGCGACTTTATGCAGATGTCGTTCCCCGACAACAGCTTCGACGCCGTGTACGCCATCGAGGCCACTGTCCACGCCCCCACCCTGGAGGGCATCTACAGCGAGATCTACCGCGTGCTCAAGCCCGGCGGCACCTTTGGTGTGTACGAGTGGCTCATGACCGACCAGTACGACAACGACAACCTGCACCACCGCGAGATCCGTCTCGGCATCGAGCAGGGTGACGGCATCTCCAATATGTGCAAGGTCGAGGAGGCCCTGCAGGCCATGAAGGCTGCTGGTTTCGAGCTGCTGCGCAACGAGGACATGGCCATCCGCGATGACCCCTTCCCCTGGTACTGGCCTTTGTCTGGCGACATGAAGTACATCCAGTCCGTGTTTGATGTCTTCACCATCTTCCGCATGACACACGTTGGCCGTGCCGTGGCCCACAGCTTCGCCGGCTTGATGGAGACCTTGAGGCTGGCGCCTGCTGGCACCAAGAAGACTGCCGACAGCTTGGCGTGGGCTGCCGACTGCCTGGTTGCTGGTGGCAAGGAGAACCTTTTCACTCCCATGTACCTGATGGTTGGCCGCAAGCCCGAGTAAAGGGTGCAGGGAACTAAGTTAAAAGGAAAAGGATTGGGAAAAGGGTTGCATGATTTAGAGCGGATGAGACATGAGCTTGTGTAGACGGCTTGCAGCATACATACTTTAATCAATGATAATTACCTCTTTTCTGTACAACAGCTATCCGTCCTTGCTGCTTGAGCAAGCCTACGAAGCACAGTACTCGTAGATACCGCAATCGGAGCCCCTGAACGCGTGAAGCTCTGTCTGGATTATCGCTATCGATAAGCGCCATCTCGCCTGCTTCAGCAGAGATTGAGGGACCAAAATGCACCGACGGGATCTAGCTCATCCAGAGTCGCCTGTATGGGCATCAATGATACCATTCCTGTATCGATAATGCACCAACTTTACGATCCATCTGCATGAAATCCAGATAGCCCAAGCGAAGACTGCTGCTCGTAGATGTCCCAACAATTCTCGGCCGGGATTCAACCGACATCGTACAGGGCGCTCCTCCACTAGCACCAAGCAGCTTCAGCGCTCAAGGCCCCTAAGCTCCACGCACGGGCCCCCAAGAAAAAAAGTTGAGAGCGCCAATCACGAAGCTCCGACTCTGCCCTGCCCGTCCTCCGGAAATTCCCTCCCAGCACGACGGCGAGCGACAAACGCCAGCCAGACAGGTCCTTTCCATCCTCAACCTCATCGTCAATCCCCTCATCTGTCTTCTCCCACCTCCCCTAGACCCGCCGCTGCGTTCGATTGACGCTCCTCTCGCAGCATGTCCCGCATCCTCCGACCGGCCGCGCGCCTCACTCGGGCCGCCGCTCCTCGCGCTCCCATCGCCCCTTCGACCTCGACGCTGGCCCAGGTTTCGCGCGCTGCCCTCGCACGCAACGCCTACTACGGCGCCTCGCAGACCCGCGCGTACGCCGATGGCTCCGGCGTCAAGGAGTACACCGTCCGTGATGCGCTGAACGAGGCTCTTGCTGAGGAGCTCGAGGCCAACCCCAAGGTCTTCATCCTGGGCGAGGAGGTTGCGCAGTACAACGGTGCCTACAAGGTCACAAAGGGTCTCTTGGATCGCTTCGGTGAGAAGCGTGTCATCGACACCCCCATTACCGAGTCTGGCTTCACTGGTCTGGCCGTTGGTGCCGCTCTCAGTGGCCTGCACCCTGTGGTATGTGTGGACCTTATCAGCGCCCCCAGGAACACATTGTCTAACGATAGCAGTGCGAGTTCATGACCTTCAACTTCGCCATGCAGGCCATCGACCAGGTCGTCAACTCGGCCGCCAAGACCCTCTACATGTCGGGCGGTATCCAGCCTTGCAACATCACCTTCCGCGGTCCCAACGGTTTCGCTGCCGGTGTCGCTGCCCAGCACTCGCAGGACTACTCTGCCTGGTACGGCAGCATTCCTGGCCTCAAGGTCGTCTCGCCCTGGAGCGCCGAGGACGCCAAGGGTCTCCTCAAGGCCGCCATCCGCGACCCCAACCCCGTCTGCGTCCTCGAGAACGAGCTCATGTACGGCCAATCGTTCCCCATGTCCGAGGCTGCTCAGAAGGACGACTTTGTCATTCCCTTTGGCAAGGCCAAGATTGAGCGTGCCGGCAAGGACTTGACCATTGTGTCTCTGTCCCGCTGCGTTGGCCAGGCCCTGGTTGCTGCCGAGGGCCTGAAGAAGAAGTACGGCGTGGAGGCTGAGGTTATCAACCTGCGCTCCGTCAAACCTCTCGATGTCGAGACCATCATCCAGTCCATCAAGAAGACCCACCGTCTCATGGTCGTCGAGTCTGGCTACCCCATGTTCGGTGTGTCGGCTGAGATCCTGGCTCTGTCGATGGAGTACGCTTTCGACTACCTTGACGCGCCTGCCCAGCGTGTCACTGGTGCTGAGGTGCCTACTCCTTACGCCCAGAAGCTCGAGGAGATGTCGTTCCCCACGGAGCAGCTGATCGAGGACCACGCCGCCAAGCTGCTTCGCGTGTAAGAAAGGAAGGAAGTCGAAGGGTAATGGAGAGGGTTGAGCGAAGAAGAATACATGGCGAAACGGAAAGCCATTAGTAGGTCAGGCATACCAGTCTGTTATTTTTTCTTTTTTTATATAGACGGGAAAGGATGGGACCTGTATTTGTATTCCACTGCCATGTACACACATCAACATCCGCCTATGTCTACTGTGGCTCACCGACCTTGTATCGATGTCATGTGCTCCCAAGGTCTTGCCAGGCCCCATCTGAACCAGATGTGAACTGGAGTCTCTGCCTTGTCAGGCTGTTCGTGACTGGCCATCAGCTGATGCCAAATTCCACCCTTCGCCATCAACGAGAGCCGACGAGCCCAACCAGCCCTTTGCAGTAGCAGGATCTTGCTACGCCCATTCTTACCGGTACGGACGATTACGGCCCCGATAGTAATTTTGTCGATCGGGAAGCATTGTGTACTAAGGAGTTGATTCAGGCTTGTACATTCTCCTTGCACATAATATCGAGACATCCATGTCTATGAGTCACGGTAGAGGCCAAATGGCTGGGGAACTAGACTCCTGGGGGGAAGTGATGAATTACGATTGATGTGGGGGGGAAAGCATGTCCAAGTGAATGCACCATTCTCACTGTGATAAAGGACAGTTCTTTGTAGGAATGTGTGGCTCAAGTTGCAAAAGAGAGTACCTTACGTACTAGAATACGTCACACTAGTACTTCCACTGTGGTAAAACCCAGAACCTCAAGTTAACCTCAGCTCATGGTGGGGCAGCCTTTCACTTCTGAACCTCAACTCACCATTACACTCGCCTTCCCACAATTTCCACTCTGCCGCAAGACAGGTATTTGGTTGTTCTGCGACCGGACGAGATGGGGTCCATAGACGATCTCCTTCTTGAGGAGCAGTCTCTCGAGAACGGCCCACGATCGGCGCCCACATCCTCGCAGGATCCTGAGCAGCTCAAACACCGGCTAGAGGAAACGTTTCTCTCGCCCTCGACAGAGTTTTCGGAAGAATGGCTCAACAAATTACAGCAGCGATGGGATCATGAGACAGACTACTCGTCGCTGTTCAAACTTGCCCCCACGCAGAGTCGGACTGTCACTAGATTTCAGCGACATGGGTTGGAAGGTCGAGTCACAGGCTATCGCAACGTCACGGTCCCCGCTTCAGGTGCCACGGCCAAGAGCTCAACCTCTTTCTCGCGAAAGCCTGCCAGCAGAGCTGAATTTGTCCGGGGTGCGGCTGGCTTCTTTCCCTTTGCACCCGGTGGTCTAGAGGGCATCGAGGCGACGGCCGCTTTAGAGGACCAGATTCACAGTGGTGGTGCTACTGGTGAGGGCAACGACGGCAAAAGCAAGCTCGACAGGGTTATTCAGTTTGGAGCTGAGGGCGGTCTACTATCGATCCCACCGGGGTTCGACAGAGGTATCGACTTTTCGAGAAAGAAGTTGGACCAAGGTGACGCAGACGCTGTGAAGGAGGTGCTTGAGGAAGATCCTGAGGCTCTTGACGACTTGAATGAGAGCAAAGACGATTCGGAGACGGGCACGCCCAGCGACGACAAGCAAGATGCCGAGGACGAAGACGACGACATTGACGACATCTTACCCAACGAGTTTCCTTCACTTGAACCTCATGGGGTCCTCGCCGCCTCCAGCGCTAGAAAGGCCGGGAGGGAGTGGGCGCACATGGTGGACATCAAACATTCTATGCCCAACTTCCGTGAGCTAGTTCCGGACATGGCGCGTGAATGGCCATTCGAACTCGACACTTTCCAGAAAGAAGCCGTCTATCATCTTGAAAGCGGGGACTCTGTGTTCGTGGCAGCACATACATCAGCTGGTAAGACTGTGGTGGCAGAATATGCCATTGCGTTGGCGGCAAGACACATGACAAAGGCCATCTACACTTCTCCGATCAAAGCCCTGAGTAACCAGAAGTTTCGCGACTTTCGGCAGACTTTCGACGAAGTGGGTATTCTCACAGGTGATGTGCAGATCAACCCCGAGGCCAGCTGCCTGATCATGACCACGGAGATTCTGAGGAGTATGCTGTACCGTGGTGCGGATCTTATCCGCGATGTCGAGTTTGTTATCTTTGACGAGGTACACTATGTGAACGACTACGAAAGAGGCGTTGTTTGGGAAGAGGTCATCATCATGTTGCCGGAGCACATATCCCTAATCTTGCTGTCAGCCACGGTGCCCAATACGTACGAGTTCGCATCGTGGGTGGGTCGAACAAAACAGAAGGACATTTACGTTATAACGACACCTAAACGTCCAGTACCGCTCGAGCACTATCTGTGGGCCAACAAAAACATCCACAAGATCGTCGACCACGAGAAGAAGTTCATTGAAAAGGGCTGGAAGGACGCCCATCACGCCATTCAGAGCAAAGACAAGGATGCGAACCAGCAGACTGTCGCCACGCGAGGTGGCAACCCGAGGGGCGGACAGCGAGGCGGACCACAGAGAGGAGGACCGCAACAACGTGGAGGACGAGGTGGTCCACCGCAAAGAGGCGGCAACCAGCGTGGCCGAGGAGGCGGCGGCCCTCCCCGAGCCAGCCATGCACCAGGCCATATGGGCCGCACCGGACGACAGGGTGGCTTCACATCTGCTGCGCAGGACAAGAACCTTTGGGTACATCTCGTTCAATTTCTGCGGAAACAGAATCTTTTGCCAGCATGTATCTTCGTCTTCTCCAAGAAGCGTTGCGAGGAGAACGCGGACGCGCTGAGCAACCAGGACTTCTGCACAGCCAAGGAGAAGAGTCACATCCACATGATCATTGAACGGTCAGTTGCGCGGTTGAAACCCGAGGACAGGGTATTGCCCCAGATCATCAGGCTAAGAGATCTTCTGGGCCGTGGTATCGCCGTTCACCATGGTGGACTGTTGCCCATCGTGAAGGAGATTGTGGAGATCTTGTTTGCAGAGACTCTAGTCAAGGTGCTCTTCGCAACAGAGACATTTGCCATGGGTCTGAACCTGCCCACGAGAACAGTCGTCTTCTCCGGATACAGGAAGCACGACGGACACTCATTCCGCAACTTGCTTCCGGGCGAATATACGCAGATGGCTGGTCGAGCCGGTCGACGTGGTCTCGACACTGTCGGCTCTGTCATCATTGTGCCTCCGGGAGGTGACGATGCGCCACCCGTCTCTGATCTGAGGAACATGATCCTGGGCGAACCGTCTAAGCTGCGGTCACAGTTCAGGCTGACCTACAACATGATCCTCAACTTGCTGCGCGTAGAAGCTCTCAAGATTGAGGAGATGATCAAGCGGAGTTTCTCGGAACATGCTACACAACAGTTGCTGCCCGAGCATGAGAAAGATGTAAAGCTGGCCCAGGCTGACTTGGCCAAGGTCAAGCGTGACCCGTGCAAAATCTGCGACGAGCACATGGATGACTGCCATCAAGCCGCCCAGGACTTGAAGCAGCTGACCTTTGAGCTATACAAGGGCTTGCTGGGTATTCCCATCGGACGGAGAATGTTCCAGCAGCAGCGCCTCATTGTCTTCAACTGGGATGGTATTCGCACTGTTGGTATCCTTCTGCAAGATGGGGCCAGCATGAAAGGCACTACCGAGGACCCTACTCTCCATGTCTGCGCTGTGAAGCCGAACCGCGAGCGTCGTGACGGGACGGACAGTCTGCCCTTCCTACCGGGCTTCCGCAAGATGTTTCACAAGCTACCGCAAACCAAGCGACAGCTCAAGACCAAGACGCTACACGTGCCCATGAGCGATGTCGAGTGTCTCACGCGCTGGGTAACCAAGGACATTCTGCCCTTCATCTTCCAAGGAGGTGAAGCTAGAGAAAACGCCGAGAGGAGGCTGATGGACTTGTGCAGCTCGTGGGACGATCGCTGGGACGAGATGGATTTCGGCAAGATCAAGAGCATGGCACTGCAAGAGTTGATGGAAAAGAGAGTCGCGTTGGTGGACAAGATCATGAACTCGCCCTCCATTCGCTGCCAGGCCTTCCTCCGTCACTACGCCATGTGTCACGACCAGTGGCTCATCAAGGAGCACATTTCTCAGCTCAAGCAGTCGCTCTCTGATCAGAACCTGCAGCTGCTGCCCGATTACGAGCAGCGTGTCCAAGTGCTGAAAGAACTGGGGTTCATTGACGATGCGACACGTATTCAGCTCAAGGGCAAGGTTGCGTGCGAGATTCACTCTGGCGATGAGCTAGTCCTGACAGAGCTGATTCTCGACAACGTACTGGCGGAGTTTGAGCCGGCTGAAATCGCCGCGTTGCTATCCGCCTTTGTCTTCCAAGAAAAGACAGACGTTGAACCTGTTCTGACGGGCAACCTTGAGAAGGGCAGGCAGACCATCATTGCTATTTCCGAAAAGGTCAACGATGTCCAGACGAGGCTGCAAGTGATCCAGTCCACAGAGGACAGCAACGACTTTGTCTCGCGTCCGCGCTTCGGCATCATGGAGGTTGTCTACGAGTGGGCGAGGGGTATGTCCTTCAAGAACATTACTGGCTTGACGGATGTCTTGGAGGGCACAATCGTGCGCACAATTACACGACTGGACGAGACGTGCCGTGAGGTGAAGAACGCAGCGAGAATTGTGGGCGATCCCGAGTTGTACCAGAAGATGCAAACGGCGCAGGAGATGATCAAGAGAGACATCACTGCAGTGGCGAGTCTGTACATGTAGAGGGTCTGTTGAGATAAATGAAGAAATATCCTGATGCTGTTCTTCCACCACTGCCCAGTCCATCATGTTGACAGTCACGAATGGCTGGCTGCTTCGATAAGCCATGCGGCATTTCCAGTAAATGCCTATAAAAACACAACCATGTTGTAATCATTCACATACACAAACGTTATACGCAATCATTCCCGCAATGTGCAATCCAATCCATTCAAACCTAGGCGCCTACCCGCTGAACGCCGTTGTGTCCCAGAAAATGATGTGTCTATGCCCTCAGAGCGCGCAACCTCTGCTGCAGCTTGTCTTCCTCCTCTGCAGTCGGCTCCGCGCCGGCTGGCTCTGCATTCGCGGGGGTCGCCTGGTTCAGCTCCTTGCTCAGCTCCAAGCCCGCGTCGTCGGCCAGCTTGCCCAGGAGCTCGTGTACAGCATCCTCGGGAACCTGCGCCGAGGTGGACTGCGTCATGGCGTCCGAGTAGATATTGTTGCTCATAGCGTACTCCTCGTTCTGGTTCTTGAACTGCTCGAGAGTGAGGAGAGTCTGCATCGATTAGCGATCCGTCTGAGCGTGGTATCCATTCGCCGGCCACTGACTTTTTCCGGGTTGGCATTCTTCTGCGCCACATTCATCACCTTGGAACTCTGCCCCATCATGTGCGTCATCTTGTTCATGGCGTTGTTCGCTTGGATCTGGCTGGCGTTCAGCTCTGCCATGTCGGCGATCTGGTCCATCTGGCTAGCGAGCGCCTGCTTGCTGAGCAGCATCTTGGCCTTCTGGTAGGCTTTTTGCGTCTCGCCCTTCTTGAGGAGTTCTTGAATCTGTTTCTTGAGGACCGGATCTTGCTTGGCCGCCTTTTGGGCTTCGCGACGGGCTTGCTTCGCTTGGAAGCGGGCCTGGAACTCGACGTTCATGTCGCGAGCCATTTGACGGTTCGACATTGTGGGTGGTGGGAGGGGTGTTGGAGGCGAACGGGTGCTGCGTATTTGTGAAGTCGCGACCTGACGGATGCCGGCGACTTGATGAGGCTGATATTAATGTTGCGAGCGATTCTCGATGAGGTGAAGTCGATCGTTGAAGATGGGGCTCGTAGGTGCCAGTGGGGAGGAGGATGGGGAGCATGGTGGGATGCACATGGAGAGGCGCCACACGGGTGACGCAACTATCATCAGCGCCAAGAATAAGGTGCCACAGCCACTGCTCACTACCTTGTCAGCCACACTTGCTTTCACTTACCCTACATGTCCACATTTTGATGAGTGTGCATTCAAGAGTGTGTTCCTGGGTATTTCTCAACGATGCATGTGAATCATTTGTCTTTATTCAAGCGCAGTTAGAGAATATAATACAGACAGTTGTGTGGCTTTTGAGTTGGCCATAGTGGTGAATGCACGATGATTCATGACTCCCCGAGTACATCTACACCCTCCTCATAATTATCTGCGGACCAACATGACTGCCGCCAAACTCGTGTAGTTACCTCCAAGTTCTTCATGCAATGCTGAAGAGATTCGCCAGAAACATGTCTTCGAAACCAACCATGAACGTGCAATCATTTCCTCGCCCCCCAAAGCTCGAGAAGATCTCCAGACATGTACGAGTCGTCTGGGAGGGACAAGACATTGCCGAGACGAACGAAGCATTCTGGGTTCTAGAGACGCATCACCCCCCGAGTAGGTACTTGAGAGAAAATCCTGTGCATCTTTTAACGAATGAGACAGCCTACTACTTGCCTCCTTCAGCCATGAAAATCCCCTTGACGAAGCTCAATCGCAAAACATACTGCGAGTGGAAAGGAATGGCTACTTACTACTCTGTCACATCCCCGAGCTCCGGCACCACAGTCTCCAACAGGATTTGGTCATACGACAACCCCACGAACGGGTTTGAGAGCATTAAAGGATATCTGAGTCTTTATGCTGGTCCCTGGGATTGCTTTGTGGACGGCGAGAAGGTGCAGGCCCAACCCGGAGACTTCTATGGAGGCTGGGTCACTAGCGAGATCCAAGGTATCGTGAAAGGTAAGAACGGCAATTGGGATCCTGTGCTTTGACGTTATGGACGCATGGCAAGTGTATCCTGTTGTATGGCACGAGACGAGTGTCAAGTATTGAGGCTGGCAAGGCTAGACTGTTGACGCCTGATTTCATGGCTGGCTAATGAAGGATTGTCAATGATATTTCTCAGAACCTAGCTCCAATAGTTGCGCCCTTTTTGTCAGTGACTCTGGAACCGTTCGCGCATACATGTAGGCAAATTGCGCTGGACGTTCACTTGGTGAGAGTGATGGTAGCACCCCGCCCGACCGGCATTGATTAAGGTTACTCTCGATGACTGCCTCCTGAGTACCGTTTTCAAGGTTCTTCCCCGGATCTTCATCTTGGAAGGTCTCTTTCATGCTCGTCTCACGCGGGGGAGAAGAGCATGGAAGACTCCCCAGCCCCAGAGATGGGGCTTTGCCCGAAGAGGCAGCAGCGAACATCACGGAACGAAGAGAGGTGACATTGCCTGTTATAGAAGGTCGGCACATACTACTAGGCAGCCCCTCGAGCGATACGACGGAGCGACGTTTCGAAGAGACGATCAGGGTCCAGCCCTCGTTTCACTACAAGAAAATTGTAGCCTGGTGGCTCTGCCTGGGTTGCACAGTGGACTGCACTGCTACTGTACTCCGTAATAGGGTTGTAAATACTTGAACAACCTGAAGGACGGTCGCTCGCAAAATTGGCAACGTGATTGATGGACAATCTAATTACGGAGTATCCTGAGTGGAATGAATCAACTTGCGACCGCGTCTTGAAGCGCGGCAGCCGGGCCTCCTCCCATGTGGAGCATTATTGACGGAATGTCAGGGCGCTCGTTCCAACTTCCGTATAGTGGACTTGTTGGTGGAGCATCGTGAATCAATCAATAGCGTTGAATCCGACGATGAACATCAGCCTCTTACGTCCTTCTGTCATGAATGAACGGAGGATGATGCCTATAATTACAGCTTAGGTGCCTGATCTTAGGTGCCTGCCTAGCAGGCTTCAACTGTGTAATGCTCAGTCGCAATTACGCTACGTATCTCGATGGTTGTCATACTTGGGGGACTTTTTGTTGCGTGGGAGCGTCCTAGCGATCCTGAGACCTGTGGGGTGATGTCTACGTGCATAGCGCGGAACGTGTGTCCTTGCTTTGGACGCTGTTTGTCGTCGACTCGGACGACTCGTGCGTAGCATCCTGCGCCTCTATGGAGAAAAGTCATAATACCCGGGTCGTATCTCGCCGTGACTAAACGGCCTAGCGGAGGATCGTTGATTGGTGTCGGGACCAGTGGTTGTTAAGATTGTGGAAGATGCTCGGCACCTTTCATAATCGGGACGCCGGGCGGCAATGTCTAATGGAGGGACGGCCTCAGCTTGAATAGCTTCGAGGGATGCAACGTGCTTGGCCCCATCTTCCCCCTTTGGGTGGTGCGAGCTGTCTTGGGCCGTTGCACTCCGTTCCAGATCGATCAGTTGATTCTTAGATGCAGCCAGCGTACGGAGCCTCCTAGAAGCAGTTGGCAATCAAGGTCAGGCAAGGCGATGAACGTTATCAATAGGTCTAGTTTGGTAGCGTGGACATCTTTTTGCGTGCCTCAGGTAATGTAAGGTACCTTATGATGAAGCTCGTAAATGATGGAAGGCGCAGTCAATGAGCTGACGGAAACTCGCAAGTCTCAAGGTGGAAGGGCCTGTGTCAGGACCAGGAGAAGGAGCGACCGGTACGGGGCGTGGTAGCCCCTGAAGGGATAGCGGCAAATTAAGTGCAGCACGACTCCGGGTTAGAAGCGCGCAAGAGCACTCGTCTTATTTTGACACTTCCTGTGCCTCCATTGGAATGTTCCAGGTGCAAGGGCGGCCTTGGCTTAGCGATTGGCCCCCCCTTGAGCCCCCTCCAGAAGACGGACCCGCCCTCCGTGGGCCCCATTCAAACGGCCACCTGTCCATAAAGATGGGCGACTCCCTCCCTCCACGCCATCGAGTCACACCCGCAACTCAGCCAGGCAGACGGCAGCACTTCTTGACACTTGTCCTTTCGACTATCTCACCACAGGCCTCATGAAACTGCCCGTCACCTGACTTGACCTGACCGAGCTCATCCGTCCTCATTCCACAGTCGTTCGCTCCCACACCTTGGATAGCGTGACTCATCGGCAAAGTACCGTCATAAACTTCCGTCTACCCGCATTATACTTGTCGTCACTTCAACTTAGTTGCCTACAGCGACACTACAGGCCGCGCTGCCCCAAGTTGGACATACTTATTTAAAGCTTGGGCACCCCAACATCAACGTCACCCACAATACCAAAGTTACCTAATCTGCAACGCGCCCTATATACATCAACCATGGCCAACCCCCAGTACTCACCGGCCGAGTCCCTCATATCGGTAGCCGGCGATTCATACACATCACTTTTCCCAGAAACCATGGCGCTCAAGGTCGAAGAGCCGCCGACACCTGACTCTCACCGCGAGACTTCTCTGCCTCTCACACCACAGTCACAAGAAGACTACAACAGCAACAAGAGGGCAAGTCAGGACTCTGCGGATGACAAACCTGCAAAGAAGCCTCGCAAGACTTGGGGACAGGTCTTGCCCGAGCCCAAAACTTCCCTGCCCCCGCGCAAACGAGCCAAGACCGAAGATGAAAAGGAGCAGCGTCGAATTGAACGCGTCCTTCGCAATCGCCGCGCCGCGCAATCATCCCGTGAGCGCAAGCGCAAGGAGTCTGAACTGCTCGCCGTCGAGAACGACGCGCTGCAGGGCAAATATCAGGCACTCCAAGCACAATACGATCAAGCGGTGGCCAAGAATGCTTCACTGCTCCAGTTCCTGGACCAGCTGAAGGCCAAGCACCCCGAGATCGCCTCCGACGTCGAGCCCTTCCGCGCCGCCGAGGTGACTGTCAACCCGAAAGAGCTCTCTCCGAAATCCTCGCCGGCCACGAACCACGCCGATGAGACGCCCGAAACCGGTCGATCCGAGTCCCGTGTTTTGATGGAAATCAACAACTCGCTTCCTTCCACTCCTGTGGCACAATACCCTGCAGCGGTATTGTGTGACTCCCCCGACAAGGCCTGCTGTGCCATCGGGAGTGGAGAGCAAGCCAGAGTCAACGATTCCCAGCGAAAACCGCTCGGTCTTCGCCGACCCAAGCCCCTCGGAAACAAACATGTCAACACCGTCCATTGCGGTGCCTGAGGCAGCCGATTTCATCATCTTTGGCCCCGATGACACTTTCCACACTACCGACACGAGCAACCTGCTCCCGCAGCAGGAGGATTTCCAGCTGTTCGAAGACGTAGCCTGCAACAGCTCCCTGACATCGTTCGACGAGGACTTTTTCACAGCCTCGCTGCCCGGTCCGGACCTTGATGACGACTACAGCGGCCTTGACGGTATCACGCAGCCCTATGCTGGCGCGTCCTATTAATGTGGATCGCGACGCTGATGGCAAGTGCGGATACTAACGAGATCGCTCCAAGTCTCCATGGTCGTGGCTGAGCGCTGGCTTGGAACACACTTGTCAAACTAATGAAGGTTGAGCTGTAATGGCGTTGCGTTGACGATCGCCGGTTGGCTCTCAGTACAGAGCGTAGGGAGGAAAGGTCACGGCAGGTTGAAATGATGTATTTGGATCGAGGTCTGGTCCGGCGGGTGAGTCGTTGGGACCGGGAACAATAATGTGACCAATGAATTCTAGGGGACGGATAGGCAAGGCGTCTGGCGTTGAGGAGGACGAAGATAGTCCCGGAAACATTGAATTAAAACTGTACTTTGTACACGTTACCCATCATTATCTTGACAGTCATTGCCTGTTGATTCTATTCGTGATGTGTAATTTAAATATGGCTGCTTCTTCGTAACGCAGCAAAAGTCAGATCGCTAAGTATGGGACGCCGTTGGTATATCATGCCATGCTCTTCACCAGCCCTCCATCTCCAGCATCGCAGCCTCGTCTTCGTCGTGGTTTTGCTCCTTTTGGGTTGAGGCGCTGGGACCGTTCCCCCCTGCATCGTGATTCTCCGCCTCCGCCATTAAAGCATCCAAGTCATCGCCGTCGGGTTCTTCGTGTGGTCTCGAAGGTAGTGTCTGTGTTGGCTTGTCCTGCGCCTCTGACTCTGCCATTAATGCGGCCAGGTCTTCCTCATCCGGCTCGTTCATCACCGGCACTGTTCTATGCCTACTCGGCGTAGCGTCGTACAGATCCGCATCGTCGGGCACCCCACGATCCCCCACAGGTGTCTTAGCCCTGGAGGTTGGGTTGACCTGTGCGTCCAGCTCTTCAATGGTTTGCATTTCGCCATCGTCGTCACCGCCTCTCTCCTTTCGTTTCCCTTCTAGGATCCATTCGCCTCTTTGACCTGCGACTAGCTTCTTGTGTCCCAACTTCTCCACCATCCCTAGGGCATCAAGAAATTGTGCCTTGGGATAGAGATCATCGAGCCAATTCTGGTAAAAGACCAAGAGCCTGTTCGCGTCGCCCCATTCATGGCCCTTGCCTTTGAGTTTAAGGTGTTTGGCACGTGATCGTAGTTTGGGGATGCCAGCTGGCGACAAGAGGAGGGTTTCGTCGAGTTTCTTGGTCGGTGCGCGCACGCGCTTCTGCACATTGATTTCAGCGTCGAGACCGAGGGCATCGTCGCCAGAGGGTGATTTGCGCTTCTTGGATGGTGGACTCGGACTTGCGAATGGATCGTCTGAAAGGTTGGCGTCGTAATTGTCGATATCATCGACGGGTTTCGATGTGGCGGCAGGCATTCTTGAATTGCCCGGTATCTAATCGCAACGTCGAGTGAACTGGCTGGCCTGATGAAAGCAAAGTCGGCGTTCAAAGTCGATCTGAATGTGTTGACTTGTACTATCCGTGACCGTGTAAAGTGGCCATGACGGAGACGCGTTTGGTGGGGGACGCGTCGGGAGGACAGGCGCGGGCACGTGACCGTCATCACATGACCGATCCACTCCAAACGTCGAGTGCAGCTCCGTCCAACTTCCATCACCGGAACACTCCTACGGACAAGAGACCCACGAACCCACGCACGTCACGCATCATGGCGACCGAGCAGCCGCAAAAGACCTTCGCTGGGCCAAGCAAGACGGTCCACGCGGACTATCCGGTACGTTTCACCCACGATTGGGCGCGCAATGGCCGGTGATGGAGACTGACGAATGGGATTTAGCTCATTGACAATGACCCGTATGTCCCCCCCGAACGAGCGAGACGAAGCGACACCTGCGAGGAGCGATTCTGAAGCGACGCTCAATTGGAGAGGGGCTTGAGACTGACCTTGTACAGCCATTTCAAGCGCGTTATCGGCTATGCCAGGACATCAGACTACGCCGTCGGAGGTCTCGCTGCATTGTCGGGACCAGGCCTGATGTACGCCGTCGAGAAGTTTGCGCCGTCGCACGCTGGACGTGGCGCTTTCCCCAAGATCATGCGCTTGGCGGGTGCGATTGGTATCACTGGTGGTTTCCTCATCTTCTACCAGCGCTCGATCCGTGCGTCTACCCTCGCCTGGCAGCTTCCGCCTCTATCGTGGAGCATTGAGGGGGGCCTTTTTTGGAATGCAGAGCTGACGATTTGTTTTAGTCCGATTCTACGGCGCCACCGAGAACCGCCGCGAGGTCGAGATGGACATGCGCGAGATGGTCGACAAGGTCAAGCGTGGCGAGTCGTTGTACGGCGAGTCCCAGCTTTCGCCGCACATGCAGGGCGTCGCGGCGCGACAAAGTCGCTACTCGGCGCTGTTTATGGGCGTGGTTCCCTGGTTCAACTTTGTGAACCACTCGCAGCACGGTGTGGACACGGCAAAGTACTATCAGCAGGCGGAGCGGGAGCTGGAGGCCGAGAAGAAGGCTTAGGATGTATAAACATGGGGAAGAGCGGTGGTGAATACACATACCATATTGTTCTTTTTGTTCAAGCGGACTTGTCTGGTTGATATCAATGCTGTCGATGCGGCATGCCCGGATTGCGGTTTATCGAAGTGCAGGCAGTTGTCGAAAGCTAATGGCGAGAGTAGCATGCAAAAGTTCACCGAATTTCTTCACGACAAACGCACGAGAGTCAAAGACGACGGTATGTTGATTTATCTCTTCTTACGCGGTCGGACCAGGTTCTACGTCCGAGACCGCGGTGTCGGCCATCACAGCCGGCTGAGCTGCGTCGCGAACCGATCCAAGCTCGTCATGGCCTGGTGGTGCAGGGATCGATCGCTACCTACACCCTCCATAATACTGTTATATGGTTTCGCCCCCTTTTCGAGGCTCCTCCAGTTCCAATACTGCAGATAGTCGTTCTTCTTCCCCTCGATCCTGTCCACAACATGCTCACCGAGATTAGGGAGAAACTTAAAACCATGTCCGCTGCCACCCGTGGCCACCATCAGACCGTGATGGTCAGGCACAAAATCGATGACAAAGTGGTTATCATAGGAATCTGTGTACCAGCACAGTCGGCTTGTCATTTCGCAGTCAATCAGCTCAGGCAGGTAATCCCGCACAAAGCCTTTGATGACGCGAGACGCCATGAGCGGGATCTGACGGATGGCTTCTTGCGTCCAGCGGGTGACGGGCACGCTTCTGCTTGCGCCATCTGCTTGCGTCTGGGGATTGGTGAACTTGGTACCACGGTAGCCAATCTTCACGACACCATTCGGGTCTCGTGCGAAGCCGTACAAGCCACCGTACTTCCCTCGGCGGATGTCGTACCTAGATAAGAGTGTAAGTGCCATTTCAATTGTCTGGATCTTTTCCTATGACTTTACTTACGACCATGTAGGGAAGTTCTCGGGGGCGAATTTGTCCCACAAAGCTTTGTCCTGCGGCAGCTGGAACATGGCGACGCTCCCTGCCGTGGTCTCGCAGAGATTGTCCAGCTGCGTCAGAAGAGAGGGCGTCCACCCTCCGCAAGCCATGATCGTCAGGTCTGCCTGATGTGACACTCCATCAGCCGTCTTCACACCCGTAATTTTTCCATCGGCATTCTCGAGAAAGTGCGAGAACGTGCTCTTGGAGCCGCCGAGAATGGCCTTCACACCAAGCTTCTGCGCCTTGTGCAGCGCGAAATGGCACGCTCGATCAGCATACACGAAGCCGGACTGCGTGTCCAGCACACTGCTAATGTTGCTGGTGCTGAAAGCATCCACGGCGAATCCGAATCCTTTCGCTCTTGCGCGGGCCACGTCTTGGGGATTGTGGAGGTTGACCTGCGTCTCCCTCAGTCCCACGCGGTCCATGTTCCGGATGGTGTCCTTTTCGAATTGGTCCATCTCCAGGCCAGTCGTCATGGTGACGGTGCTATTATTAACGAACAGCGCGTCGCTGGTGGAGAAGCCTGGGGGAACTGTCTTCCCAGTCTTGAGCTCCTCATTCCATTTCTTCCATTTGGCAATGGCGTCGAGTGCGAGGGTTTGATACTCAAATTGGGAGCCGTACGCAGCCCGTATTATCTTGTTGATATCTGCAGTTGAGCAATGTGAGCAACTCAATGAGCCATAGTCGGTTGTGTGTCGCTCTACTCACCAGCAGAAGCAGCATCACAACCCTTCTCGTAAGCATAGTGCGAATCTTGGTATGATTGCTTATCGAGGATAGTGACATTTGTATATCCCCGTTCTGCGAGATGAATGGCCGTGCTCAGACCAAAAACACCAGCGCCGACAATGACAATGGACGAAGACTTGCTTTCGACTTGGGGCGACATGTTGGCGTCAAGCGGACTGACACTCGGAATCAGCGGCGATTATCCAATGTCAAGACTTGATCGAATTTGATACACCCGGCAAAGGAAGACGGTCGTACTTAAATTCGATGAAGCATTCCCCGACCAGCGGGAACTTGATCACACCTCGAATACGTGCCTGCAGCACTTTGAAGCTCCTTGCCAAACCGACTAATGGTGCTGCCGCTGGGCCTGGGAAAGGGGCCAATAGGCACGGTCCTTCGTATCTTCCCGAGATATGTGGTCATGTACTCCACATGGAGGAGAACAAGTCCCTAGCTGCGTCCGGGAATTAAGAGGGGTAATCTGTCAGTACAGTGGCTTCTCCGATTCGGAGGCAACCCAACGCGAGACAATCGCGGGTTGCACAGGGCTATACACGAATCTCTATCTGACCCGACCTCAGGATGAAGCAAGCGTCAACGGCACGGTATCCGAGTCCATAGCGAGGAGACGTGGTCGAGAATCACATCTATGCGGGGATAGCGGCAACTGCTAGTCATCAATGGTTATCAACATCTTGGATCACATGGAGAGGAGCACTGGAGCAGTCCTTCAACGCCCATGAACAACAAGAATTATCCCACCATGTCGCAACCACTTCGGAGCCGACCGGCCAAGGGTTCTGCAACGCGAATGCGGACGGGCAGCAGAACGCTTGTGGCGTGTGTGGGCTGCAAAGAACGCAAAGTCAGGGTCAGACATAACTACTCAACCGTTCATTTATGATCGGTGGCTTACACCCTCATGCAGTGTGATGGCCAAACACCAGCTTGCAGCAACTGCCAGCGCAACAACTTGGGTATGGCCTCCTTGCAATATAGTTCTTGAACATGTGGAGTGACCTCCAGCATAGTCTGTTTCGTCGAAGATCCCGCGACCAAGAGGCACCAACCCAGGAAATACCTTGAGCAGCTGGAGCAGAGAGTCCTGCTGCTAGAAAGCCAATTGAGAGAGGCAAGGTCGAGCGCGGCATACGAGTCCCCATACAAGACCTCTCCTGATAATGGCCTTGCCGTAGACTTTGAGCAAGCGAGCGCAAGTACTGCGGCGGACGATGGCCAAGAGTTGGGAGATTTGTCATCCATGATAGGGACCCTGAGTCTCAACGCAGCAGGCGCCGAGCCCAGTTACTTGGGTCCCTCCTCTACCTTTGCCTTCACGCGCTTCGTGAAGCCCTCTTTAGGGCAAGCGATCGGACCTTTGTCGTCCAACGCCTTGAGATCAGATCTCGAAAATCAGGGCGGGCTTGCGCCAGAGCCGTGCGCACTACCCGAGTATCATATAGCAATGCGGCTGAGCAATGCATACTTCCACAACATTCACGCACAGTACCCGTTTCTGCATGAGCCGACTTTCAGGAAATGGGAGGCTGCTCTGGCAGATCCCTTTGGGGCCCTGAGCAGCCTCAACTTCGACCCTCTGGCACTATACTTTCTGAACATGGTACGTCAAGTTAAGGGGCAGCGCGTTGAGTCCATGTATGTGACTGACAGCTCGAGGTCTATGCTGTTGGTGCTGTCTTGCTACCCAACCTAGGTCACGCGGCAGAGCAACTCTACACCTCAGCAATGCTCTACATAGACGAGATACTGTGCCACGACAACCTGGAATCTATCCAGGCGGTACTGTGCTGCGCTGCATACTCGATACGATCTTCCAAGGGCACATCGCATTGGTAGGTGATCTGAGCCACTACATTCGATGCGTCCTTGCTCACGAATCGCAGGAAGCTGAGCGGACACGCACTGCGCCAATGCATCAACCTCGGCTACCACCGTAATCACCGACGTCTTAGGTCGACGATAAACCAGTTCCAGCAAGAGATGCAAAAGCGTGCCTTTTGGAGTGCGTATGTAATGGAGTGCGCAGGAGCCGTCATGTTGGGCCGGCCACTTGCTCTTCACTTTCAGGAGATTGACGCAGAGGTAGGGGAACATGATGAGCATACTTACTCGACGCGCTTTCTGACGTGGGCCAGTTTCCGTTAGATATTCACGAATCTCAGCTCTCGCCCGAGGGTATCACTGGGTCACCGCGCTCTCCTGCGGAGCCCCCTACCATGATGACATACGCCATCCACGGCTTTCGCATCCGCTCGTTGCTTGGATGTATCCAGACCGCGCTATACTCAGACGTCACTCTCAAGAGTCCTGAAATCCGCCAGGCACGAGTTGAGCAGCTTTCCGTCGAGCTCGAGACGTGGTGGGCTTCCAACCCTCCGCCTATTGTGCCGCCGAAAGAGGGCGCGCTATCGTTCTACATGACCCCCGACTTCTACGAAACGAATTACCACTACGCAATATTACAGTTGTACCGCGTGCAAATCACGGACCGAAAGACCACGGCGCCTGATGACGTCTTTCTGAAATGCCTCGAGGTGTCGAGGAAAACGTGCCGCAACTTCTGGCGTCAGTTTCTGGGCAAACAATTATCATACACATGGGGCGCGGTGCACGAGCTCTTCCTGGCTGGGCTGACGTACATATACTGTCTGTGGACGTCTCCTGCTGCTCGGGGCGTGTCTCGACAAGATCAGGTGAGCAGTACCTGCACGGACTGCACCATGGTACTGGTGATTCTGGCAGAGCGGTGGCCCGAGGCAGCGTCATACAGGGACATTTTTGAAGTGCTGGCCAGTCGGACAATGACCATGTTAACGGACGTCCAGCAAGGGAAGATGGTCGGTTCCACTGCGCTTGTTCAAGGACAGGAGGCGTATCCAGAGGATTTGCCGCAGTGGATGGCGGGAATCAGTGATACGGGGTACTCGACGGGGGCTGACTGGCTCTTGAGCGAGCTGATTGATGAGTATCCGAACCCTGATACACATGTACACAGTGGGAGTTGGCAATGATAGCCTTGATAAGAAGATGAACTTATTTTCTGTTGGCGCTAAGGGCTCTCCATAAGCAATGAATGCCATTGATGGTGCTGAGGACGGGCGTGTGTAAGCATGCCATCAGACATGCGCAGAGTATCATGGCGTGACGGGCTGGAACTGTTCAGCGCACATGCGTCAAGAAGGTGAACCCGTAAGAAACTAGGCTTGGTACTACTTACAAATCACAGACTGCTGGCTTGCCCCCTCCCCTGGTGTTCGGGCGCATACGAGTGACCTGTGTCATTGGGATATGTCGGTACTCTGCCAACACATCCTCTCGGGAGGAAGTCACCGACACATCCAAAACAAAGGGAATGAAGGCCTTCGGCTCACAGCCGACAAGAACCGTCTTCCTGATTGTCTAATATCGTCCCGGGAGCGTCACCTGAGCTCATGTGGAACACGGAGTCCTTCCGATGAACAGGATCTATTTAAGATCAGACAGATCACAGCTAGACAGGCTGATTCGAACATTGAAGCATACATTTTCCCGACAATAGATATTCATATTCGAAAGCGCAGTCACAATGGCGACCAGACAAGTTCTCAACCGACCCGGCTACAGTTCCGCCATCCTTTCAGAGGCAACAGTGCACAATGGCGTCGTGTACTGCGCTGGCAAAGTTGGGCTGGATCCTGTCAAGGGCACGCTTGTGTCAGATGATGTGACAGAACAGACTGTACGCAACAAAAGTCGGACACATGAGAAGACTGTTGACATGTTGTACAGAGGGCCACCCTGAACTTGCTCAAACTGGTGCTGGCCACCGCAGGGAGTGATTTCACCAAGTTACTCAAGGTCAACATCTACCTCATCAACATGGCTGACTTTGCTGCCATGAATGCTGTTTGTATGCGGTCCTCGGGGTGGATTGATAGTGTCTTGGATGTTGACCATAAGTAGACACCGCCATGATTCCGGAGCCACGGCCAGCAAGGATATGTGTCACCGTCAGCGAGCTTGGAAAGGATGCAAAGGTAATTTTCTCCAAATGAAAGGATATTCTATACTGACGACCGTATTTCAGATTGAAATGGACTGTATTGCTATTGCTGGGGACAAGCTGTAGGCCTCGACGTCCGAAACGATAGGATGCATCGCTAATTGATGACCGAAGCATGTCAAAATTATAGGCCAATATAGGCTAGAAAGAAGCTGAAAGGGGTTCGTTGATTCAGCAGCAGTAGACAATGAAAGAAGTTGTGTGGGCATGCAATGAAGCGCTGATTGCTAAACCTGGCATTGTGTATAAACATGTCCATAATATCTTGACTACTTACCAGAAACAAAAATGAGCCCTGTCCCAAGAATCTACGAGACTTCCCGCCCGAGCCTCTTATGTGCCATGTTAATTTACAACTCGGCGAGTGTGACAATATGCACCCCGCAAAGTGAAATACTCTTGAGCCTCGCTAGCTCTATCCCTGAAATGGGGAGCAATGTGCTATCTCGGTGAAATACGAGATATCCCATTACATGAGATAACCCCAACTGACATTGTCTCCAACGGGTATCTGATAACAAGTCGATTCGGCAAGTGGATGCGCCTGGCACCGCGAGTCGGAACCGAAGCCAGGACGCTCGGCAGAATACGAAGCAAGCATCTCACTTGACAACTGGACTGGTGTACATGTATCTTATCAAATCCGGGGTTGGACCAGGAGTACCTCATCCGGGAGCATGGCACGCTAGATGCGACTGCATCGACACAACGACAGACAAGCCCAATGGCCATATAATCGAACCTTTGCCCGCGAGCAGAAGCACGAATTCAATGGTGTCGCAACAACTCTCATCCTACTAAACTTCACACAGAGGATAACATGACTATCAAAGACATCTTGCGCAGATCGCCCTTGGCAGGCTATGGCCAGGCCATTCGCGAGGCCCCTCGCGAAACCATCTTCAACCGCCCCCTGCTGCTCTCCGCCTTCGTCTACGCTCTAGGTGGCATGCCTGTCAGTAAGTACTTGCCGCGGTGTCCTCCTGGCTTCCAAACCATCATGACAGGGCAACACTGACAATCATCCAGTCTGGGACCAGGGCGCGTCCTCCGTCATGCCCTCCCTACCCGGTTTCCAGGAGCATTTTAAGATCAACTCGGGCGCCAACGCTGACGAAATCCGCATTTTCATCTCCATCGTTTACGTGGGCTACGGCATCGGCGCAGGCATGACCTTCTTCATCAACGACGTCCTGGGCAGGATCTGGCCATACCGGCTGTACACTCTTGTGTACTGCATCGGGACCCTCATGGCCATCTTCTCGCCCAACACCAGCGTTCTGTACGGCGCACGCGTCGTTCAGGGGTTGGGTCTTGGGGCATTCACCGTCAGTGGAACCATGTCCATCGTCGAAATCGCGCCCGCGCAAATCCGCGGTCTCTTGGCCAGCTGGTTCAACCTCGCCATGGGCATCGGTCTGGTCGGAGCTGTCTTTTGCACACTCGGCTGCTATCGACACATACCTACCAGCAAACTCCAGTACCAGATCGTCATGCTTGTCCCCATGGTGTATCTGGCGCTCTGCATGGTGGGCACCTTTTTCATCGAGGAGTCACCTCGCTGGCTGTTCCTGGTGAACCGTCGCGAGGAGGCCATGGCGGGTCTGTCCAGGCTGCGTGGTCTGCCCGTCGACGATCCCCGTGTACAGCGTGAGATTATGGAGATTGAGGAGGACATTAACCGAACGGCCGAGGAGGTGAGCAATGCGAGTTTCTGGACCATTGCCAAGGAGACTTTTACCAAGGCGTCGAACCTCCGTCGCGTGCAACAGAGTCTCCTCACGTATGCGCTCGCGCAGCTGTCGGGGGCGAACCTGATCACGTCGTACTTTGTCCCTATCCTTGCCATTGTGGGCGTCTCGGGCGGGACGGACCAGTCCATGTTCCTGAGTGGCATGTACGGCCTGTCCAAGTTCTTCTTTGTCTTGATCGCCACCTTTTTCTTCGTCGACGCACTCGGTCGTCGCAAGTCGCTGTTCCTGGGCGCGGGTATGCAGCTGATCACGCACATTTATCTGGCTGTCTATGTGCGGTACTCGCAAATGGGGCCCGTCTCGGAGGCTGCTTCGAATGGCGCGATCGCCGCCTTGTTCATCCATGCATTTGGCTATGGCGTTGGTGAGTTTCAATGCTGATCCTTTTGGCTATGGTGCTGACCTTTTGGTAGGACTGTATCTCCTCCCGTATATCTTTGGTGGCGAGCTGTGGCCGAACCGCATCCGCTCGTTTGGGGCTGCGCTCAGCCAGACGTTCCACTGGCTCTTCATCTACGGAATGCAGTACAGCATGCCGTCTATCCTGTCCAGCTTCCATCAATGGGGGGCGTTTCTCTTCTTTGCCGCCTGGTGTGCTGTCGCCATCATTTACAACTTCTTGATGATCCCTGAGGTGTCGGGTCTGACCGTCGAGGAAATTGAGGATATCTTCAAGGGTCCGTGGTTCAATGCTTACAGCACCACCCGCAAGACAGCAATCGAGGGACATTGCGATGATGGAGAGGGAGGCCTCCGCAAGACCTTGTAAGCAGACCACCTGACCAGACCTTGCCTGACGAAGCTAATGTCTCAGGACACCCACAGCGAAGGATGTGGACGACGATGGCAGCGTCAAGCACTGAAGTGATGGCGTATGATGGGTGAGACGAATCTGATTGTATGGATAAGGTATAGGCCTCCGTAGCGTGCACGAGATACTCCAAAACAATGCTCTAAACCACTCCCCCGTATTCTGCAATGTCGCTCAGTGTCTATTCAAATTCAAAGCCTGTGCTTCTCGGCTAGTCATATCACATTCCTCAGATCCTGACCCGCAATGAATCTCCGCAAGTTGTACGCAATCAAAGCCTCCGCCTCCTGCGGTCGTCCACCCGCCGCATGGGGCGACACGAACGTGTTCTTTGTCTTCCACAGCTTGTGGCCCTCGGGCAGAGGCTCGACCTCGAAGACGTCCAGCGCCGCGCCACCAATCTCCTCCTTGTCGAGCGCAGCCGCCAGGGCATCCTCGTCAATAGACGTGCCGCGGCCGACATTGACGATCCAGGCGTGTTTGGGGAGCAGCTTGAGACGTTCGGCATTGAGGGCGTGCTTGGTCGACGCATCACCGGGCAGAATCATGACGAGCGCGTCCGTGTTGGGGAGAAGCTCGGGAAGGGAGGACTCGTTGTAGATCTCAATGCCGTTGCGGACGCCGGGTGTGCGAGCAATGCCCTTGACGGTGGCACCGAGCGTGGTGAGACTGGGCACGAGGCACTTGGCAATGTTGCCAAAGCCCCAGATGAGGACGCGCGCGTCGCGTAGGGTGGTGAAGCGGTCCTTGGGACGGTCGGGTTGGGCACCTCCCAGGTGGCCGGGCCATTTTCCCTGGAGCTGATAATCGCGCATCTCGTGGAAGCGACGAGCAGAGGTCAGGAGCAAGCCCAGCGCATGCTCAGCGACGGTGTGGTCATGGAGACCAGAGCCGGTGGTGACGATGATTTTTGAGGGTTCAAAGCCGGCGTTGAGAACGTCGTTGGGGCCGGCGGCGAGGGACTGGATCCAGCGCAGCTTGGTGAGGTTGGCCTTGGCGTACTTGAGGTTGTCGGCTGTGTTGGTCCACGTGACGAGGATATCGGCGTCGTGGTGCTGAGAGGGGATGGTGGCAGCTTTGGCGTCGTACGGCTGCAAGTCGACCGAGAATCCCTTCAGAGAGTCGACATCGATGACCAGCGATGTTGGGTAGAGTAGCTTCATCGTGGGCAGAGCTGCTGATGGCAAGGAGGGGAGACGAGGTTGAGTTGGGGTTGGTGGTAGGAAGATGTGCGCAAGATGCAAGACGAAGGATGAAGGAAAGGGCGAGGCGGGTATCAGATGGGAAATCACACGGGGAAACTCACACGAATGAGGAGGTTATTATTACGTCGCTCGGTGCTTCTTAGACCCGGAAGCGAGACGCACTTTGCTGGTTTGAGTGTAGAGCCGACATCGGGGTTTGTCCGTCGATGCGGGGCAGCAAGCAGTTGGAGCTGCTCAGCGCGGGGCAGGTGCCATCGCCGGGTCTTACTGCTTTGGGCCGTCTTCGGCTTTGATCGGTCGGCGGATCAGAAAGTGGGGCCATTTCCGTTCCGCCCCGTGGGCCCGTGCTGTCCGATGAGACCTCCCGTTTGAATTTGAACTGTAAATTAAAAGTACAAACACAAAGGTTGTTTAGCCCAGTCACGGATCACGAGGCCCAAAAAAGCTACGTATTACAAACTCCTGATGGGCTTTGACTAAACGTGTCCTATTCAGTCTCACGCACATACTATAAATGGCTGATCTTTCAATTCCGTTCCTCATCCACCACGACTGAAACAACCACAATTCCACTTGTTCAAGAAAACGAAAAACTGCCTGAAAACTCAACATTGGGCCTTGAAAGAGATGTCAGATTTCAACATGACGAGCTGGGCAGAAATACGCCCAATACCCCCAGGCCTTTGTCCAGGTATTGACTTCGCCCCCGGGACACCTTGGCCTTATCGTTTTTTCTGGGACACTGTTCACCAGATGCCGTGCTTCCTGTGGCACTTCTTCATTGCTCTGGTGCTACTTGTACTCGCAATTCTTTTCATCATGTTGATGATCTTCGTGGCTTACGTCGATTACGTCGACATTATGGGTACGTTACGATATATTTGCCTGCGCCAAAGATTTACGTTACTAACATTGTATACCAGGGGGACCGGGGGAGTATAATCGACGAAACCATAAGTTAGCCCACGATATTAAACATGCACTCGAGGCTAAACAGCTGCCACCCGATGACCAACGTCAACTCGATGGCGAGTGGGAAATGCTGTATGGACCTGACGGTCCCCCTTGTCGCGCGTAACGCCCACTGCGCAATATTGTGGATTTGGAAGGGCGAGTAAAGGAACAAATGTTAGCTAGCAGGTGTCCACTTGTTACCCCATAGAGTCAAGAAGCCACCTCCCCTGACTACTCTTTCGTCAGGGCGAAGGTTGCTTTGCTATGCACCTAATTTGTCTTGTAACAGTTTCGATGATATATATCTTGCTCCCACTCCATGCCGTAATCCACAGTATTCCCCGATTCTCGACTCATCGTGTACGCATAAGCGCTTGAATCAGTTAGCATAAGAAGACATTGATCTTTCCCCTGGATGGCGTACCATGAGTCAATGTCTCTGTGCTCTATCCTCGCCCTCCACACTCCTCGGCACCATCACAAGCAACAGTTCCTTCGCATAGGCTGCCGCGACCAGTGCCGCATACCTCTGCCAGTCTTGATTTGGGGGAGAGTTCGAGTAACCGCAAATACCCCTTATCGCGACACAGGGCAAGAGATCCATCAGCAGTGCTGCTTCCTTCTCGAAACACAAGATGTTCTCCTCTGTCGATACTCGATCTCTTGTCTTTGCATCCCTCATGAGGCGGTTAGATGAGTTGATGGTACCATAATGAATCATGATCCGGTCATCCTCATCGCGGTCCGGACTTGTGAGGAAACCGTCCCCGGTGGGCAAGGCGCAACCTTCGGTGCAGTGGTCGGGGCGAATGTGGTGAGACTCAGATTCTTCTGAAGGCCTGCCATACTTTCTCCTCAAGTTACTGTATTTTGTCAAGGTATCTTCAATGACTTCCTCGATAAGGTGCCCGTTGATCTCATGATCAGCTCGCAAGCCCGCGATTGCTGTGCGAAGCACCGTTGGCGACCGATGTAGCATGCGTGCACGCTCAAAAGGCTTGTTCTGCAAGAACTTGCCACAATCATAGTGTAAGTCGCCATTCTCGTCAGCGCGGGAAGTGCTGACCACTATATCGCCCAGTCGTATGTCTTTCGTCTCATTGGAAGCTCCGACGCCAAGGCCCACTGCCAGACCAATCCGTACATTTGGGAAGCTGTTCAGCATGTTGGTCACTACCGTGGCAGCTGCTGACGTTCCATGTCTGTATCTAGCCTCCGGGAGTACGGTAATCACGACGTTGTGATCACCAATGCTACCGAGACAATACTGATTCGTATCGCATGGTGCAAGATACTGCGGCTGCCCATGCTCCGCGTCCAGGACTAGTCGCGCAGCAACGAATTCCGTGGCCACCGCGCATATCCATCCGATCGCATATCGTCCGTTCGCTGCCATGATCTATCACAAAGTCGTACAAGATCTTGTGGTGGGTAGTACAAAGATCTGGTGGTGGGTGGTACACGATGGGGAGTTGGCGGGGACGAAACTAATACCCAAGTCCTGCGGGTCTCTAACTCATCGTTTTCTCCATGATTGGGTCGATAGCCGCTCGGCGCATGCAAGGTTCTGGCGCACTCGGTGTAACCACGTCTTGTCCTTGTCGAAACCTGGTCATCGTTGAGCATGATGACCGTCTTACTGGGTAGATTCTGCCGAAATCCTCTTCAAGAAGTCAGGATTGTAACTTAGTCCTTGAGCTCCACATACCAGACCTCGCAGCATGGCACATCGTCCTCAGGGGTCAGGCAACACATTGCGCATGCCTTGACTGGGATATGTGACGCTGAAACAGGGCATTCATCAATACTGTTACGCCTGGATATACCTTCGCATGCGACGAACAAAATACTTGAAACTCACAAAACGCTCTTCACATAAGCGCCCTGCGCTTTTTCCCATAAAACCCCGAATGCTCAAGTTCATTGTGCCAAAAACTTCCGCATCGTACATGCCAAGTGCCAAATTGAGATGCACCAGCCTCAATTCACGTCGTAATCCCAGACGCCGTTTCCGTACAAGCTTTTCGCGGCGGCTTCCACGACATCAAAGAATCTCTCAGGCTCGATTTGAACGTCGTGGAAATGCCAATCACCTCGTTTGCCATGACGTTTCGCGGATTGGCCTTCCTCTAGTGCTCGCGACTCTTCGCCTTCCTTGATTTCTTTGGCGTGGACTCGATAATACCCAGAACCTCTCAAATGAGCGCAGTTGCGAAACATGCGGTAATTCACGCCTTCCGGTTGTATCTCGACCACGGCGCCCGCGTCCTCTCGCATAAAGAGGCTGTGCGTTAGACCGGCGCCGTGGACACCAACCAACAAATCCGTATTCCGAACAATAGCGAGTTGTTCGGAAAAGGGGATGGCTCCGAAATCGATGGCCTGGAAGAATATGTGTGGGTTCCGTTTCTTGAGTTCCTCAAACATACTTGACTGATCTACAAGTCGTCGGCTTCCTGTGCGGTCCACAAATGTGACGGTCACAGGGTCGTCTGCCTTTCGTGGGGCTGGGTCTGGCACCTGATAGAAGCCCAGGACACGCTGCACAAAGACCGACACCAAAGGCATAGAGTAGCAATTGGCCTCCTCGACGTCGTCCTTCCACATGGGATTGCTGCTCCCGGCCAACGGCACGATGATATTAGCTTGGTGAATCGCGTTGGCCAACTTGGGCTGCTCAGCCAACTGTCTGAGACGCACAGGTTTGCGAGCTGAAGCAAACAGGGTCCATAGGTCAAAGTAGGGACCGTCCTCGCGGTCATCCAAAATGACGACTTGTGTATCTGAGACGTCATCGGGTACCCGAAAGAAGGGGAGGTCTTGGTTGGTAGGGTCTCTGGAGATCCGTAGCACATCGAAGCTTATCCATGCAGAGAAGATCTCCAAGAGGCAATGCCACGGATTGGACTCTCCTTCGCGTTTCAGCAAGAGGAAGTTCTTGGGTGCGGTTTCGATAACCGCTGCCTCGGCGTCTTGGGATTCAGCATCGTGTGTTTCGCTTTCACCATCGGCTGCGTTGTCTGCATTCTCGTGACGGGGCTTCTCAGCAGCGGCCTGGGGAGCATGGATGTGGACCCCAGCCTTGAAGATTTCGGGTGGCCCGGTTTCATACCAGTAGGAACGAATCGACTCAAATGCCACCAGGCCTCGGTCAGATTCTTCCGAGGACAGGCTGCGAATGTCACATTCGAGGCTGAATTTGCCGGACTGGACGTCAAAATCCGCGCCGCGACCAAAGCACGTCGAGTCCGTTTCTCCATTGCCAGGGTTCCTGCTATGGAAACAAGTGAGGCCGGAGCTCGAGTCCGGTGAGCAGTAGGCAACGGCGTGGTCGCGGAAATCCTCGACGTAGTGCCCACCGAGCCGCTCGGCGCACAGGGGATGCCGATTTGGCGACAGGTCGTACTCAGGAGGGAGCTCTAGCGGTGGAGATGGCTTCAAGGTCGGTTGCACCTCAGGTGGCGACGAGGACAGTGAAGGTGGGAACCCGCCAACAGCGCGGTTCCAAGTACTCAAGTCATACTGGAATGAGTAGAGCAAGCCCAATGTGAGGCATAGCACGACGAGCCCAGCGCCAGTAAACCTGACGACGCGTCGCTGCAGGCAATACCCCGGTACCAACATTTGAGGTCGCTTCGGACTACCACTCTCGTATGAACAGGACGAGATATGGGACAGGTTGCGATGAGAATTGTCAGAATAGGTCGCTGTCGTCGGTCGCGAAGTCGAGGCTGCCTCAGAAGGCTGCCTGACCCTCAATTCACGTGCCGCAGATCACTGAGACACTGGAGTCCGGGACGGGACCATTCAAACCGTACGGGGTACCCAATCAAATATGTTTACGTACTGTCGGGTGCTGTGTGCGCAGCAGCGCGACTGTATGCACCAATTAAGCCCAGTAGTATCCGGATTACAGGCAGGATGACTGGGATCCTGGCCAGGGGGCGGTTATCATCCGTCGCTCTGCCGCTGAAAGTTGCATGTAATCACGAGGCGACTTGACCATGGCACGACATTGCTCAACTGGTTCACGACCTGTCCGCCACGCAGGCCAGATCTGTGGGGTGGATGCCTCCAGAAGCGATTCGACTGCATGGGACTGCCATGTGAGGAAAGCGAGCACTTCTTGCTTTTGCCTTCAAAAGCCTGGGAAACGGAACCATGTCTGGTGGAGCCCCCTGATTCTTTTCATATCTTCACTCTCGAGCTGTCTATTGGTCAAGCGGCGGATCGACCAAAGCGTCGTCCGCGGCTGGCGCTTGACCAGTTCAGTGATTGGCGCCAAGGGCCCAAGATGCCATTCTAAATCCACATCATCCCGTTCGAGCCGCCTTTTAGGTCAACAATCCCACGTCTCTCAACGACAACATTCGCAGTCTTCCATCGACACGCACTTGAAAGATATGGCCAGGCAATGCGCACGGGACTGCACTGTCTAGTATCAAGAGATATGGACGGGCGGGATGGATGTAAGCCCCAAAGGCTGAGGGCCAAGCGCAACTGATGAGCTATGTTATGCGGTCGGGGCTTCATCCTGGTCTTTGGCGTGAGCCAACTGCATGAGATCTGTGCAACGTCAGCTCGGCGCGTTGGTCGCGTAACACCAGATGCCAGTGGCCACATAATTACCGTTGGCTGTAAAACGGAGCTGCTGCATATTCGTGCGACATGATTTGAGTCCCTCCCTACCCATTCTCTGGGCGGAACCTCTCTCCCGTTTCTCCTTCTCTTTCTGTCTGCTCCGAACAACAATTATCATGGACGTGACGCGGGCGCCGCTGTGCCGGAGAAGCCTGGCGCTTTGTTTGCTGTTCATCGCTCTTTACACCTGTCCGTCGTTCGCCGAATGCGGTCCTTATCCTATCGGCACCAGGCTTGGGAACGTCTCCCTTACGAACGGACAAACCGCCCGAGGTGTCGCCTATTCTGTCGGTAGTCCTGAGCAGGAATTCGCCTTTCTGCCCCAATGGTAGGCCGATGTCCTGCGATGCATGAAAGCATGCAAAAGTTAAATGTATCAACAGGCCCCTCAACAATGTAATGGCATATGGAACAAACGGGAAATGTACGCCCCCATCGCCAGCTGACGAGAGCGGGTGTACAACTTGGCGAGGCGGCCAGTACGATTCGCTCAGCTCAAGCACGAGGAGAGGCATCACGCAAGACTCATATCCCAAAGACGCCGACAACTACCCCTCAATGAACTTCTACTCAGATGAGCTCAAGCTGAACGACAACGTGACCATGTCACGGGTACCCATTGGTGTGCCACTCGAGGACTGGGGTCAAGAAGGTTATCATCCCATGATGGCTGTCGGGCTTGGAACGAACTCATCCATCCTCAACATGTTGAAGGCGGATGGAAGTATCTTGTCTAGGACGTGGAGCATGTTCCACGGCTGGACTGGGGCCTCCTCCACAAGCCAACATGACGGGACGTTCGTGTTCGGTGGCTACGACCGAGCCAAGGTCTCTGGCCGCGGCTACAAAATGTCCTTGACCAAGGATGAAGGCTGCGCATCGGAAATGATGATTACGGTCGGCGACATGATCCTCAACTTTCCCAATGGGACCACGAAAAGCCTTTTCACCTCCGAGTCAAAATCGTTCTCGGCGTGTCTGGTCCCTGACTACCCAGTCATCATGACAATACCACAGGATCCCTACTTTGAGAGGTTTCAGGAAATCACCCAAACGACCATCTCAGAGAGAACTGCCGGGCTCTCTTACTACAGTGTACTTTATGACGACGGCGATGATCCTTACGAGGGTGACTTGACCATCGAAATCCAGTCTGGTCCTTCGATCCGCATACCCAATCATCAACTTGTGACGCCGCAAAAGTACATCGATGAAGACACCAGAGGATGGGCCGCAAATGCCTCGAAACCAAATCTGCTCCTCAATCCGATACAAGACGTCAACGCCAACGACTTGCCAAAGCTGGGGCGGTACTTCCTCTCCTCGGCATATGTCATGTTGAACCAAGACGCAGGGGAATTCACGCTGTGGTCTTCGAACCCTACCGACGTCGAGGATCTAGTCGCGATCGACGAGAAGGGCGACGAGCTCACCGAGTTCTGCAACCCGACTCCGACACCCTCGCCGAGTTCGGATCCGAGTTCTAGTCCAACCGGTGAGCTTGTCGGGGGAGAGTCCACCGGTGGAGAAGACCCTGGCGAAGAATCGACCATGTCCACAGGCACAATCGTGGGGATCGCCGTTGGTGGTGCCGCTGGCCTGGGGGCTATAGTCGCCGCCGTGGTCATCCTCTGGCGGCGACGGCGCCGCAATAAGACACGCGATGTTCTAAACCGAGACGAGACCGGACCTAGCTCACACAATGCTGTCATGATAGAGGATCCATATGCAAAGAACAATTACTACCACGCAGAGCTACCCGGGGGCACGCCTTCACCTTTGGACCATGGGAAGAGCGTTCATCCCAGTCATTACGAGTTGGCTGGTTAGGTTTGTCGATAGCTAGTGTCGAATGTACGTGAGGATTGAAGTTCGCGCTTAGAGCACTACCTTATCCGTGCGTTAGTGTTCAATATTCATGTTCTCGATAGTACATACTTGCAATAATATTACATAGAGTTAAAGGCACATTCTCACATTTGTCCATTACCCGGCCACCAAGTCGCGCAAACAATTTGTAATTGATTCTTTTCGTCGAGTCTCGTTGATGCGATGTCGTATACTCCCAGTCTCTCACCTCGCAGTACCAATGCTCATTATTGACCTTCACGCGGCGGCGCATCCAGTCATAACAGATTCACTTCGATAACTTTCGAAATCATATATGCGCACAAACTCGAAGCACTCCCCTGCATCTTGAACAGAGAATGTTGCATGTATATGCATAGCGTGGGTAATTCATGCTCAAGTAACACAGCATGCGCGGCACGGCCCGCGGTGGGACAAACCGTTTAAAGTTACACGACCGTCGACAACGTCTGCGAGGCAGCCTGCTTCATGTGCCACCGTGTCTTGGACCCTTCGACGAAGTTTTCCGACAGGGGAACCAATATAATCCAAAAACCACTTTCAGACATGTGTCGTTCTGATTGAGAGAAGTCAAGTTCTGGTGTGCTCTCCACCCGGGGTCCCGGAACCCATCCTCATTCCACATATGCAGCGTGCGGGCTGTTATTATCACAAATCTCGAGTAGGTTGTATTGATAAGTTCGGAAGACTTAAATGCATCTTTGGGTTCTAGGCTCTCTATCTCAGAAATTGCGGTCTTCGTGTGCTTGTTGGTCTCTTGTTGCAAGTGACAGGACTCGCAAGCACAAGGTCTTGTACACGGCTGGCCAAAGATGTAGCAGTTGTTCATGACATGCGCAATCCAGTGATCCCTGAAAGATATGGTGCGATTGTGCGACATGTACGGGCTTCACACGACGACTTTCGGCCTTGTACGTGTGCTCATGCCACTCTCCCTACGTCATCCTTCTGTACTCCCCGAATCTCAGGATCCTTACACAGCACGTTGTACGTCTCTCGGTCGCATCGTGATTCGCCTGTCCCGTGTCTGAGTAGTGGTACGGCTGAATTATGAATCAGTGCTAGCACAGGCCAGTCTTCCTGGGCATGACGGTTGAAGGGTGGATACGCGAGATCGGCTCTTTCGGAGTCACGAAGGGTAGTCTCATGATAGCACGAACACGACGAGCTTGCCATCGAGTTGAGATACCCATTCCTTCCAATACACATTGCATGCGGTGGAATCGTCCCTGCAAACCAAGATCATGTATAAAGCACTCACACATCCGACGTGAAGCGCTCCGGTATAGCATCACTATCGCAAAGTCCAGAATCGAAATAAGAGCGCACATTCTAGTCTGAAACTCACGACAATGCACGCCTCCATCCCGCTGGCAACTCTCTTCCTCCCCCTTTCCCTGGGCCACCCAACACGCCCTTCCTCTCAGATCGCCCACTTCATCTTCCATCGAGCCTCGTCTTCAGACTCCATCGCACTGAACGTCACAACGGACGGTATGCCAGCAGTCCTACAAGGAGACAGCAAAATCAAGTCCATCGACATTAACGACTATGACGCCAACCAGCAATGCATCTTTAAAGCCCCCGACGACACTGTCATCGAGCCCAAGCTCGACATTGACACAGAGACCGGTGAGCAAAGGCTCGTCTTTGCAGAGCCTCGCGAGGTCGGCAGCGTGAGCTGCCGGGGCATGTGTATTCCCGTCTACGGTGAGTTCTGAGATATATAACATGAAAGGCCGACACCAGAAGTGGGATGCTGACCATGTAGGCGAATGCTATGACTCGACTGGTATGCCCGTCGGCCTCTGTTGTAACGGAGTATGTGCAGCTACGAGATGTCGAGCCTGGAACGCTGCCTCAAGCCATGGATTCAACGAAAAATGAAGAATCAGCGAAGGTGGCCTCAAACTAAATTTGGTTGTATTCAAGTTGACATTCTATTCATAGCTCATACACTTCATAAAGCGTGCCTGCCAGTCTAGTACAGATTGACCATGAAATCCTCACCATGCCCTATCTTCTTCCCAAAAACACCGGCCTTCTGCATCCTGAGTTGCGATTTGTTCCTTGTACATAGACCCTCATTTCTTGAACACGCCATCGACAAAAGCAGCACTCAGCGCGGCCGTCGCAACCTTGGCCCCCTTGGGCCCAATCCAAGGACCCGTGTCATTCTTACTTCGATACGCCGCCTGCGCACCCGCGCTGAGGGCCTGCCGCGCACCATTCTGCACAAGCGAATGCTGCCACCACGGAGCGCCACCGATTTGGCCCTTGGTGATGGCGGCCGGCATGGACATGCGACGTTTACGACCACCGCTCTTCCCACCTGGCGGGCGACCACCGCCCTTTGCCGGTGGGGGTCTCTCTCGGGGTGGTGGGGATCCATGTGGAGCTCGAGCTTGTGAGCGAGGTCGGTGCGGCAGGGCAGCCCCATAGCCATCATCATCATAGCGAGAAGGGCGATGGCCTCTGTCTCGCGTGCGTGGCTCGTAGGGGTCTCGATCTCGCGGCCCTGAGGGTGGGGGCGATCGTGGGCGGCGACGAGGACGCTCATACGGGTCGTCATCGCGGTGGTCTCGCGGTGGCCGGCCGCCATCTCTTCGTCCATCCATTGGCGCGCCGGCAGCGCCATACGGATTGTCGTACACGTCGTCTCCTCTGCGCGGGGGAGGCATTGAGTGCCTGTCAGCCCGTCTGTGCCGCTCTGAATCTCTATTCTTGTGTGCTCTCTCTGGGCGAGGTGGCTCTGGGGCATATGGAGGGGTCAGCGACCCAGGCGCGCCGCCGCCGTGCCTGCTGCCTCCATTGATCACTTGAGGTGGTTGCCTAGGGTCGCCTCCTCTGCGACGAGGTTTGTCGTATGGGTCATGCGCGGGGTAATCGGGGCTTGGTTGACGCCGACGCGAGGGTTTCTGAGGCGCATCAAATTCTGGGTAGCCAGGGCTTGGCTGGCGTCGACGAGAGGGCCTCTGGCGTGGGTCATATTCAGGATAGCCAGGACTCGGTTGTCGTCGCCGTGACGGCTTTTCATAGGGATCGGCATCAGGGCTGGGTGGTCGTCGACGCTCCGACTTGTGTCGACGCGGCGGACGATCCTCTGCGTGTCGGTTGCGCGGGGGAGGTGAGTACGGGTCGTACTGCTGACGCGGATCGGCAGCGTAGTCTTGAGGGTCGTAGAATTCTTGTGGCATGGGTTGGCCTCGTTCTCTGCGACGAGGTGGCGGTGCCGACATGGTGGCGCTCTGGATGGTTCTGGCCAAGGTAGGTAGATGTCTTCTGGGAAGAGGATTCAGAAAAGCAACGAAGGAGGGCTCAAATGAGTATATGAGCACGAGGGCTGAGGCAGGGCGAAGGATGACGATGTCCGAGGAGGCGCGCGTGGGATGGTCAGCTCCCGTCGGAGAGGTATGAGTCGTACGCAGTTGGTGTTTCACAAGAGCGGTGAAAAGGGGGCTGGATCACGCTCGGCTGTTGAGGGTTAGAGCGGGAGGAATCAGGGTCTTCCCGGATCTGATCAAACCCAATTAAAGGGGACTTCAATTGGGGTTGAGGTGGAATGGAAGAATGCTCTCGACGGTCCTGAGCGTCTCCTCAGCCGCTCTGGAGGCTGTGCTTTACAGCTGCTCTCAGTGGGCGATGGGACACAATTGGAACTTCCGTAGGGTCACGACAGGCGCTCCTCCCCTGTGCAACAGCAGCATGACCCTCGTGAGTCGCTGAAACAGGGACCATCTGACGTCATTTGGGCCAATCAGAAGGCACTTCGCTAGCGCGACTGACGTGGGACGCTCTCGACCCAAACATTCTGCCCTCCTGACGTCAAAGGGCAGGAACTACATTCTCAGAGGCTGACGCATCCTGTCGCACGTCAGGATGCATCGTGAGGTTCATGCCTACGGATACAGAGGGCGCCGAGCGCATTGACAGTAATGATGACATGGTCGGTGTCTCGCGCAATTGACAGAGCACAATGACCGTCATGTCGAAGGGCGAGGGTGACATGAATGCACAAGAGCCTACGGCTAGAGGCAATCTACATGGCGCAAGGCCATGGCCGCACCAGATCAGAGGGGCAGTTGGGGACTCACATTCGAGTCCAAGATGAGCGATTATTGGTTTCTTCTCCAAGTGGAAAAGGTTGAAAAGGAAGAGGAGCTGAGAAGCTGAAGAATCCCGGGACCTGGATGATTGATGGCCTTGGGCAATCTTCGGGTACCTGACGGTCCTGACCAGGGGAGGCTCGGCACGGAGCGACGGGATGGTATTGATAGTCCGTGCAGTATCCGTGTGTTTCACCCACACGTCAGTCCTCTGATGAAGCGAAGCAATGTTTAGGACCACAGACTGGCTGTCTGCAAAGCAACTGCCTGTTGATCTGTAAGCTGTCGTCGTACGGAATACGGAGCACGGCCTGATCCAAACGTCCAAATCTTCTTTCCGTCGCTCCCTAGACTCATGACTACCCTATACAGTCGCTCTCCCCTCTAGCTTTTGATACCTGCGGCGGCCTCGTATAAAATGCGGCAATCTGAAAGATGAGGCTCTGGTTGTGATGATCAATATGTACGTACATTGAAGCTTGAGCGCTCAACGACAGATGTTGAGCCTACGCTTGATTCTATCGATCATGGTTGCTTCGTCTTTTCTGTTTGAGAGTCTCACAACTCATGTCAATGAATCTGCGTGTACCGAACCGAGAAGTATAGTGTAGAGATACCCGATATACACTCTCTTAGATTCCACTACACGAAAATCATTGAGGAACCGAGTGTTTGGTTTCTGAGAGTTCCAATACCGACTTACAGCAACTTCTGTCACATGCCACTGCACGTGACCGCATTTGTCACCCCGCCGCTGCTGAGTCAGCCTGTCAGGTGGCTTTACGCCCCACGTCCAGCCTCGTGGCTCAAAGGCCGCCGCCAGCTTACACTGGCAACGCCCAAGCTGGCCAAGCATCGGCCAGCACCGACGGGGAGATCCTATCTCACAACCCCCCCAAATCCGGGGTACGCCGGACGATCTGGAGGACATGCAGCTAAACCACTAGCCTTGCCGTATCAAGATGTGGTGGTTGCCCAGCTTGATACCGCGGTTGTCTCTCTTGAAGAGCTCTGGGCGAGGCAGCTGATGATGGTGAGCACGGCAGTGATGAGAAAGCTGATGAGGTAAAAGAGGCCCCGCCGGGACGACTGGCAGCGATTATCGCCTTCCACGTGATTGGCCACAACCCCAACCGCGGTGCGCAATCAGGGATGTGGACCTTCTGGTTATCATCCCCCACCACCAGTAATCTGGTTCTCATCAATCCGCGCCTGGTCCTCTCGCTTGTGCGCTCGCACGTTCGGTCTCTGCCGGTGAGGATGCTTCCCAGGAGCAGAGCATCGTCGGAGACTCTCCCAAGCGAACTTCACTTTTCGTTGCTTGCTGGTCGACGGACAATGGAGACAGCCGATGTTGTCCTGATAAGGCGCGTGGGATGGTATCGATAGCAAAGTGGGACGGTAAACTTTTTCGAGACGGGTTCGACGCAGTAGTGGGTGGGAATGGACCCCTAGTTCGATGGGAATTCTGGGGCACCACCTAAGGATGGCGATACGGCACGCGATAACGGGAAACGCGACGGGCATTACAGGGTGGTTGCTGCGAGATGGCTGATAGACGCTCTCTTGAGGAGCGGTTGGCAGCGCACCGCGGCGACATGAAATGTACATAAACCAGACCGCGCGCACCCTCACGAGTCCATCCATCCTGCTGGTGCGCCTGCTGCAGAATAGTGATTGCTCTTGCCTACCTTACTGAACTAGGTACTCACTGGCCGATTCGCGTCTTCATTTCACTGTCCGGCCCTTATCAGCAACACCCGGAAGGGGGCACCCGAAGTGGAAAGAACCATCAATCGCTGCGCCCGTCGCGCCTCCCGCCTCGCTGGGACCCCGAGTGAACCGCCGGCCCACAAAACGACCAATTCTTTCACTCGCCGCCTCGCCTCGCCTCTACCAAACTTGAAATTCGCCATCCTTAAAAACTCATCCTCTCGCTGCGCCTGAGGGACAAGACATTCTCGTCCTCGCTGACGCTCACCCCCCGATCATCGACAGTCACAATGGCGGCACGCATGCGAGAGTGGTCGGCAAGCGTCAATAGCGCGGTGGCCAAGAGCCGTGTTGGGTACTGGTTCCAGCTCGATGGCTCAGGTCATGTAAGTCTACCATGAGAGACATCTGAGGCTCGACATGTGTCGCTGACAGCCCGCGCAGCGTCGCGAGCGCAAGGGCTCCTACTTTCTGACCGAGCTGCGCGCCGGCGTGGCCACCTTTTTTGCCATGGCGTACATCATCGCCGTCAACGCCTCCATCGTCGCGGACTCGGGTGGCACCTGTGTCTGCAACGGCACCGCCAGTGACCCCATGTGCGATGCCGACGAGGCCTTCCTGCTGTGCAAGCAGGCCATCCGGCGCGATGCTGTGACAGCGACGGCCGCCATCTCGGCGCTCGCCACCTTCTGCATGGGCCTCTTCGCCAACATGCCCGTCGGCGTCGCGCCTGGTATGGGCCTCAACGCCTACTTCACCTACACCGTCGTCGGGCGCCACGGCACCGGGCCCGTGCCCTACCGGGTTGCGCTCACGGCCATCTTCATCGAGGGCTGGATCTTCTTTGCGCTCGCCATCTTTGGTATGCGCCAGTGGCTCGCGCGCGCCATCCCAGCCTCCATCAAGATCGCCACCGGTGTCGGCATCGGGCTGTTCCTCACCATCATCGGTCTGACCTACGGTGAGGGTCTGGGTCTCATCGTCGGCGCCCAGTCCACACCCGTGGAGCTCGCTGGCTGCTCGCCCGAGAACATGCTCGAGGACGGCACCTGCCCCTCCTGGGACAAGATGCGCTACCCGGGCATGTGGATTGGCATCTTCTGCGGTGGCATCTTCACGGTGCTCCTCATGATGTACCGCGTCAAGGGTGCGATTCTCGTGGGTATCCTGCTGGTCAGCATCATCTCGTGGCCGCGCGGCACGCCCGTCACGTACTTTCCCTACACGGCGCAGGGCAACGACTCGTTTGACTTTTTCAAAAAGGTCGTCACGTTCCACCCGATTGAGAACATTCTCAACGTCCAGGAGTGGAACATTGGCGAGTACGGGGGTCAGTTTGGCCTGGCGCTCATCACCTTCCTCTACGTCGACATCCTCGACTGCACGGGTACCCTGTACGGTGTGACCCGCTTCGCCGGCCTCATCGACCCGCGCACCCAGGACTTTGAGGGCTCCTCCGTCGCCTACATGGTTGATGCCATCAGCATCTCTATCGGGTCCATCCTCGGTGTCCCCCCCGTCACCGCCTTCGTCGAGTCGGGCGCGGGTATCTCCGAGGGCGGCAAGACTGGTCTGGTGTCTGTCTCGGCCGGCCTCCTCTTCTTCATCTCCGTCTTCTTCGCACCCATCTTTGCCTCGATCCCGCCGTACGCGACTGGCTCGGTGCTCATCCTCGTCGGCTCCATGATGGCCACCGCCGTCGTCGACATCAACTGGAAGTACCTGGGCGACGCGGTCCCCGCCTTCCTGGCCATTTCCATCATGCCCTTCACCTACTCCATTGCCGACGGCCTGATTGCCGGTGTCATGAGCTACATCATCCTCAACACCATTGTCTGGCTCATCAAGCTCGCCACCGGTGGCCGCATCAAGCCACCCAACTACGAGGAGAAGGAGCCCTGGTCGTGGCGCATCCCCGGCGGCTTCTTCCCCGGCTGGCTGACACGTCTCGTGTCGGGCAAGAAGGACTTTTGGAGGGAGCACGACAGCGATCTCGAGAACACGGAGCCCCCGCTGGGCAAGATGGACGAGCGACAGATGAGCGACGAGCACGTTCCGTCGGGTGAGATTCGCCCTGCCGGGGGTGAGTATGGCCTGGCGGACGAGAAGACGGCGCAGCCGGAGACGGTGACGGCGAGCAACGAAAAGGGGGCGCGCAACGAGTAGGGTGGAGGGGTTCTGATGCCATTTCTGTTGTAAACATAGTAGCAGGAGTATATACATGCGTTTACATGCCCGCACCCGGGTGTTCTACCTCCTCCACCTCGTCAATGGGGGGGAAGAGTACAAGAGTGGAAGCATAGTCCCGAACCAGATCGTCCATGACGTCCCGTCTCACTCGAAAGCCGTCGAGCCTCGCCTCGGCGCTCGGTTGCTTACTACGGTCGAAGCGTTGGCGAAGCTCCCTCATCGACATGCCCTGGCCTTGCTCCATGACGGACCGGGCAAGGGGGTTCTCGAGCCGGTCCGAGTCCCAGAAGACGTAGCCTAGCAGCCTCATCGGCAGCCAGCGAATGTCGTCCTCGCGGATCTGCATGTAGATGGTAGTCACGTCCGGGGCGTATTGTAGGTAGCCCAGGTTCGGCAGCGAGGGGTCGTCACCGCTGAAGTCTCGGGAGATGGGTGGATGTGGGATTTCTTCTGCTCCACGGTAGAGGGCATCGGCCAGTAATTCCCGCGTGCCGGGCCCGTGGCTCCGTATCAGGTCGAGTCTCTCGGTGCTGGTGGTAGCATGGAAAACACTGTTCATGAAGGCAAGACCGGATGCGGCAATGTATCCCAGATTGTGGGGGGAGTCCTTCCGCGCTTCCGTGGAGAAGAGCGTCATCTCTCTCATGTCGAGCTCATCATAGTATAATACCTGCTGAGCGTCGCCAACCGGGGGCTCTCGACATGCGTTGGCGAGAAAGCGGGTCACCAGCTGGCTTTCAAGGTCATCAACGATCGTGCCTAGATGGTAGACAAAGTACTGATGTATACAGACGATCTCCTCCATCTCCCAGGGCTCTAAGCGTTTGATGAAGCGTTCGAATTGCTCGCGAGCGGAGGACCGCGATTGGAGGGCGTTCCCGGGCTCTGCTGGGAATACTCGGCAGTACAGCTCGTACCGGTAGAAGCCGCGCTCGAGCCTTGTAAGCTCGGTGCTGGAAAGTTGTTGACCGCCGTCGGTTGCAGGACCTGACAGCTGGGCGCACGTCTGATCCGCATATCGTCGAATGTGACGGCAGACATGGGCGTGGAGCGTGGCCAACGCTCTGGCCTTGCCGGGAGCTAACAGGGCGTCTTCAGAGGGTTCTGAGCCGCTGCTGAAGTAGCGATCGAGGACGTTCCACGGAGGTTTGAAGTTGACACTGGGAACACTGATCGTGGCGACGGCGTGTCGCAGTGACTGGGGGTGGATGCGCCGTCGCGTGACAGTGAGCAGGACACGCTCCGAGGCGGTCTCGAAAATACGCAAGGCAGCCGGCGAGGCGCTGATGACGGAGTAGAGATCTGCCGTTGACTCGAGCAACTCCAAGATGCGCATCAACAGCTCTGGAGGAAGAGTGTCGACGGCCATCGTCCGCGGCTGGAGGATGAGAGCTGAAGTTTTGAGCAGCGATAGGTGCCACTCCCCCCACCGAAGCAGCGTAGTTATGCAGGTACAGCTACATGTACCTTGGGATGCCTCTGGGATGCTCATGACTATAGAGGTAGTGTACAACCCGCCTCGGGTTCTCATCTGCCATCTGGGTTCTGGTATACATGTCCTGTGAGAACACATTTAATTAATATCGGCACTGTTCTAATGGCCTCTCGCTCTTTCGACACTCCCACTCTGGTTCAGGAGAGAGCCTCACCCTGCCTACGGCGTGCGCTGGCTGCACTGCTCTTTATCTTCACCCTTCATATGGTTACGGCGGGCAATGTGGATGCAGCCGACATCATCGCCTGCAGCGTGAGCTGTGCCACTGTGGCCGTGGTATGTGCCGCCCTGAGACTATACTCGCGGCGGGCGCTGGGAAAGAGGCTCGAGGTGGACGACTGGTTGTTCATCGTCGCAATGGCCTCCTTCCTATCGTTCGCCGTGGTCTTTGGGGTCAAGGCCACGTTCTCGACTGAACCTCGGGCTGGAAACACTCGGATGCTCGGACTGGTACGTTTGAGAGCAGATTCCTGACGCATAAGTAGCTACTGACGTGCGAAGCTTTCCATCGTGGAGGCGAACCGGTATTTGGGGACCATGTTCATGGTCAAGCTCAGCATTCTTGCCACGTACAATCTGATCGTGTCGTCACGGAACTTTCGCCGGTGCTTTTACCTGCCGGGCTGTTCACCTTGCTGTGGTTCATAGCCGTGCTCATCGTCACGAATATCCAGTGCAAGCCGCTGTGCAAGCCGCTGTGCAAGCCGCTGTGCAAGCTCTGGGGCGAGGACCCGGAGGGCGGATGGGTGTATAGCCCAGAAAACCTTCCATCTGGCGATGACGGGTGCAAACATTGTGGGAACCCTGGCAATGCTGGGTCTGGCACTGCCCATTGTGCTTCGGCAGAATCTCTCCGATCGGAAGAATAGGCTAGTCATGGTCGCCTTTGGCTTCGGAGGCATGTGAGTGGATGAGCAAGCAGATGACTACGTCGAGCACAAACTGACAAGTCAACAGCACCTGCGCCATTGGCATCATCCGATTCGAACACCATGAGCCAACCGATCCGGTCCACGGATGGTGCCATGCTGTTCATCTTCAGCGTCCTCTCAACAGCCGAACTCGCACTTGGCCTCCTCTGCGCCTCGCTGCCGGCCTATGTCTACTTCTTCCCCGGTTTCGACAGGCCGTCCACGCATGGCGTCAAGCTGAATATCAGTACTGGCGCTGGCATCCGGCATCTACGCCCGCCACGACATCACGCCGACATTAGCGTCAAGATCACGGGGGGCAGGACGCGCGGGCCACGCAGGAGCGGCATCGTCGTGATGGACGAGGTCGGTATGACGAGGCATGAGAACGTCAATGGCGCGTGGAGGAGGAGGGTGCTGAACGATGACGAGGACGACGAGAAGGCATTGATGCCAAGCAGGCACGGTGTAGGAGGTGTGATGAAGGAGAGTGACGTCCCAGGGCGGGCGGGCGGCGGCAAATATTGCTGATATCAATGTGAACTTGATTCGGTATTTGCTACTGATCTGGTTCCATCTGGCCAGGGGTACGCAGACGTGAGCCGCGATGGACTGGCAGCATGATGCGATTGGAGTGTCTTCAAGTCGGCCCTACGTCAACGAGCCAGCAGATCTGTGTTGTCGTCCTCTGGAACTTGCAACACTGGAGCATCGGCCGGACATTTTCATCTTACAGACTTTAGTGGCTTGTCCACCGGCAGGTTTCCCCCCTGGGCCGTGACGATATTGCCACGAGCTAAGCTCCACTGCTCCCATCGATCGACCACGTCCTCCAAAGGGACCCTGGCTTGACTTCAGCCATGAGGTCAATTGGCGACGTTGATTGGTGGCTGCCGGGCGACAAGCCGGTTTCGAGGATATAGTCCGGGGGGAGAGGCGTTATATCCCCCCCGGTCCATGTCTGTGGCCCCATGTATATCACGGCAATTGAACCGGGTCTCCGCACTGCAGTTGACGGGTGCGCCACGGTTTGCCGTTGTCACTTTTCTTAGAAAATTCAGGGCTCGAAAGGGTAATGAACGGCAGCTTTTCAGCTGGCCTGAGCTGAATAGATTGAATTTCGCGGCAGTCTGGTATTAGTCTGCTGGGTGTGTTATGCATGAGGCGGCAGGCCGACGCAGGGGCAATGGATACACTTGGCTGGACCCTGGCAGTCGTGATGACTTCATGTCATGAGGCAACAATGTTTGGAATGGCTGGCTCCAACTGGGCATGGCAACGTTGTGATCCAAGCGTGGCGTTTCCGAGTGCAATATGGGAAGTCCAAAGGGTATAAAGAGGCCAACGACTTCCACTTAGACGAGTGCTTTCGGTATCAACATCAAGTCCTTCATCAAATACACAGCTTCTTCACAAATCTTCTCAACAACTCAACCGCCTCACAGCCACCATGCAGTTCTTCACCGTCCTCTTCTTCGCCGCCACTGCCCTTGCGGCACCAGGCGCCCCCGTTGAAGAGCGCCAGACCTACGTGGCCTGCTCTGGCGTGTACGGCAGTGCCCAGTGCTGCGCGACGGACGTCCTTGGTGTTGCCGACCTCGACTGCGGCCAGCGTACGTCTTACTGATAGAACCCCTTTCTCGTGGTGGTTGACTAACATGGAGGCAGCTCCCGAGACTGTTGGCTCGGCTGACGAGTTCTCTGCCGTGTGCTCTGCCATCGGCCAGAGGGCCCGCTGCTGCGTTCTGCCCATCCTTGACCAGGGCATCCTGTGCAACACGCCCGCGGGTGTCGACGAGTAAAGTTATGGCCAGATGTATGATAGGATGATGGTTCAGGGTAAACATGTCGAAGGGAGGTGATAGTTCAGCTCCAGTACTTCAAGCAACAATACACCAGATTTACTTGACTTGTATTTTCCTTCTTTGATAATTCTGAAAACTACGTTGATCTTTACATTATCAGGCATCTCAGTAACATCAGAGGAGGAGGATGTGCATTGTCAACATGAACATGAAGGTATGCACGATTTGGTAACTCATGACCAACAAAATGTGGCCTAGCGACTCCCGAAGCACCTTGATTATAGCAATGTGCTTCACAATCACTCGATTTCACTGACTGCTAAGAATTGTCGGCCGGCTCCGACGCCAAAATCAGGGTCCTTTTGCGGCCCCGCAGTCACGAGCCGAGAATGGAAGGTCTGCACTTTGCACGACACGGTTTTCTTCCAAGTTCTTTTTTTCTTCTCTCAACCTTCTAGCCTTTCCTTCTTCCACTCATCAAACTCATGCCCTCCGACAAAATGGCGTCCGACGACATGAACCTCCCCATCATCGACTTGGACCTCTTCCTGTCGCAGCCCGCGACGTCCGACGCCGTGCGCGCCGAGTGCAAGCGTGCGGCCGAGGCCCTCATCACCTACGGCGCCTGCATCCTCCACGACTCACGCGTGCACGCCTCGCACAATGACACCTTTCTCGATCTTCTGGAGGACTACTTTGCCCAGCCCGAGGAGGCCCTGCGCAAGGACGAGAGGCCCGAGCTCAGCTACCAGATTGGCGTCACCCTCGACAACACGGAGAAGCCAAAGTGCGCCGTCGACGAGCCGTGTCTGGACGTCATCAAACGACTCGCGCCTGACCAGCGACCACTGGATATCTCGGGCCACTCGCCTGATCCCAAGTGTCGCTTCTTCTGGCGGATGGGCGATGCGCCACCGTACGAGTCCAAGTTCCCGGGGTTAAACGCGCCCAATGTCACGCCTGAGGCTGCGCACATTAAGGATCGCTGGGCACCGACGATGGATCAATGGGGCAGCGCCATGAAGGACGCGTAGGTTCTGATGTTGAGAAAAGGGAGTGACTATGGCTGACGGAAGCGGAACAGCGTGTCCAAGCTCGCGGAAATGACAGCGTTGGGTCTGGGCCTCGAGCAAGACGCATTCTCGTCGGCCGGTGCCTACGGGTGAGTCTCATTGCGCTGCCTTTCCAATCCATGGCCCTGCTAATTCAGACAGCCCCCACTTGCTCGCGCCCACCTCGTCCGACCTCACCAAGTACGGCGCCAAGGACACCATCCTGGCCGGCTTCCACACGGACCTCAACTTCCTCACCATCCACGGTCGCTCGCGCTACCCGGGCCTGAACATCTGGGCGCGCAACACGGGCGCGCGCATCCCCGTCAAGATCCCGCCGGGCAACCACCTCCTCGTGCAGGCGGGCAAGCAGATTGAGTACATCACCGGTGGTCTGATCAAGGCGGGCTACCACGAGGTGGTGGTGAACGACGCGACGCTGCAGGTCATGGAGAGGAGGAAGCGTGAGCTCCCCGACAGGCCGCTTGTGCGCATCTCGAGCACGCTGTTCTGGCATCTCAACTCGGATCACGACCTGGCGCCTATCCCCGAGCTGCAGCAGAAGGCCAGGGAGGTGAGGGCGGATCAGTTCAACCTCGGCAGAGATGAGGGCGAGGAGATGGAGTACCCGCCCACAAAGGTCGGGGCGCAAGTACAAGAGTAAGTCTTCCTTCTTCTATGGTGTCCAGATGAGATGGCTAACCGTACGCAGCGAGCTGAAGCACATTGCGCTCATGACTTGATGTTGGGATAGGCTAGATCATGTCGATAGGGGGAGAGGTGAATTGTCGTTGTACTTGTGAGACACTGTAGAGTGATTACATTCGATCATGGACGACATTGGTGAAGATCAAGAGAGTAGGACAATATGGCACAACTCAAATGCGTGTGGGAGGCTGCTCGAGATTCTGTCACTCCATGGCTATCCTATTGAGCATCCAATGAAGATACGATCGATGACACTGAAATGACTGAACGTCGTCCATCATTGAGCTTAAAGTACGTACGCCCTGCTCCATAGCGTCCCCGCATCAGCCTCGCTGTGTCCACGAGCTTATTCAAGGCTTTCCCCGTGGGGAAGCGCTCAGATACATAGGACATTCGGGGCTCACGTGGCTTGACAGTCTCCACAGACTGAACATTATTTAGCCGACGGTTGGGTCGGGTAAATGAGGCCTCCTCTTCCCCAGCTTCACCATCACCTTCACCGTTATTGTAGAGAATTGTTAAAGACAAAGAGAACCGTCGTTTGTTTCACCCGCCAGAGACAATGGCTGCTTCTCCCCCTGTGACCCCACAGGTCCCCCAAACCGCGGACACCACGACGGCCGCGCACCGCAGAGCGCGCAAGAGGACGCGTAGAGCGTGCGACAAGTGCAACACGTCGCGCACACGCTGTGACGGCGATCATCCTTGGTATGGTTGAGAGATGCAGGACGCCTCGCCAGCCGGTTCTGTACATGTGCTGATGCTCTGATTGCAGCGGTCGATGCCAGGGTGTGTGTGAACCAACCAATGTCCTGCCTAGGCTTGTGATCTGTGGCATACCATTGAATGAAGTGCCTTCAATTACTGATGGTATGTGCGTATAGAATATGGATACAACTGCAACTACAATCGTCAAGCGAAGAAGCGCGGTCGAGTACCGCTGAAAGCCAAGAAGGACGCCTCCAACTCGACACCCTCGGATGGCTCAGCTGACGAGGACCATGATCACAGAAATGAAAGTCATACTGAGAATGAGCTGGTGAATCCTGCCTCTGCTGCTCCCGTAGCCCAGCACACACCCGCACCACTCGCGCAGGCAGCGCCATCTGCGAGGCTCACATATGCCTCCCCCCGAGTCGAAGATCCCCAGGCCTTCCCGGTGGACAACCACTCCAATAGCGGGAGCCGACATCGATCAGATCTGTCCGGTGGATTTCCGCAAAGGATGGAAAACTGCCGTCTCCACGGCAGTTCCAATGGCTCATTCCATGGCTCCCCATCCGCGGCCACCCCTTTCTTCATGGCCACCCCATCACTCAGCTTTGGGCTTCCACCGCGCCGAGACTTTGAACGTCCGTCATCCCACGGTGGTGGTGGCCAAGTCGGCGAGCTTCGGTATCGATGCCTCGAGCCGCTGCTGCCCTACATGGGCAACAACTTCCCCGTCTCAGTCGCCTGCGATCTGTTCGACGTGTACCTGCTCGACCCAGGCGCATCCCTGTTCCGCTTCTCCTCACCGTTTATACTCACACGCATCTTCCGCAAAAAGTCTCTTCTGGGACCGAATCCTCGACCGACATCGGCTGCCCTGCTCGCCACGATTCTGTGGTGTTGTGCGCAGACTGCTGATATTTCCGTGCTCCTTGTGCCTGGTGCACGCTCGAGACTCACCAACGCGCTCTACGAGCTGGCGACCTATCTCATCTCGAGGCGTGATCCAGATCGCTGGAGACGTATACACGGTACTTGAAACAGAGTCCATCAGACTAGGCTCGATCACTGACAACATTCTGCAGGCGGCCTCCAAATTGAGTATGACCGTGAACAGGCCGACATCTTCCCCGAGACAACGGGCGAGCCAGCCGGCACCATTGACGACGTCCTCACCTTTATCCTCCTGTGCATCGGCGTCTCGGCTGGTGACTTCAAGTCCGACTGTCTCAAGTGGTGGAGCAAGGCGAAACGACTGGCCCTGGCATTACGCCTGGATCGACAAGACGCTCCGGGCGACTACGCGCACACGGCCGCCTTCTCTGTCGCTGATGTCGAGCAGCAGGAGGAGCGGCGTCGCGTGTTCTGGCTGTTGTATGCCATAGACAGACATCTCGCCCTTTCGTACAACAGGGGGATCCACATTCCCGATGCCATCTGCGATGTTTTTGGTAGGTCTACCTTACATCTTCCCAAGTGGCTGTGGACTGATGTACACGGACAGCTCCTCTTCCTGACCGCGTCTGGGAAGACTTTGAAGACATGAACGCCCTGCCACCGCGCACAATCGGTCCGCCAGTGACCATCACCGGGACCGGCTTCTTTGAGTACTTTCTCCCGCTCATGGTGATCCTCGGGGACATTATCGAAGTGCACCACGGGCAGTTCCACCCGCGCCTCGGCAGTCTGGACAAGAAGTACGCCGAAGGGGCCATTGCCGAACTCATCGCCGGCTGCGAGGCCAGTCTCGACCGCCTCGCGCGCAGGGCGGGCATCAACGGGGTCTCGCAGACACCAATGCGCATCAGCAACATCCTCGCCGGCCCGCAGGACATGACGCCCCTTGCTGAGGTACCACCTCCACTACCACCACCACCGCGACAGACGCAGTACGAGCAGACGCGCAACAGTGACCAGCTTGATGTCAAACTCGTCATTGCGTACTGCACTTTTCTTCTGCATGTTCTGCACGTCCTCTTCTACGGGAAATGGGATGCGATCAGCATGCTGGACAATGAGGATGACTGGATCACCTCGCCGCGCTTCGTAGAGTGCGCATCCCATGCGATCGAGGCGTCGGATGCTGTGGCTGATATCCTCAAGCTGGACCCGGAGTTGAACTTTATGCCGTATCTCTTTGGGATCTATTTACTGCACGGGAGCTTTATACTGCTGCTGTTTGCGGATCGCATGCCGCAGCTGGGACAGAACCAGAGCGTGGAGCATGCCTGTGAGACGATTATTAGAGCGCACGAGGTCTGCGTGGTGACCTTGAGTACCGAATTTCAGGTGAGTCTGTCTCTGCGTGACTTGGGAAGAGTGGACGTTGGGGCTGACGATGATGTTGTAGCGTAACTTTCGGAGAGTGCTGAGGTCGACCTTGTACAATGTGAGAGGGAGCACACACGAGAGTCGCGAGGAGCACCGGCTGGCGCGGCGACAGGTGCTGTCTTTGTATCGATGGACGAGGGGAGCCAAAGGACTGGGCATTTAGAAGGGCCTCTGTCCACACTGGTCCTGGTTCTAGAGCTTGACAGTCGATGAAGCCAGACCAGGCAAGGAGAACATGTGAGCTTAGAACAACCAAGAACTGCGTGGTTCGCTGGTGAGAGACTCGACTAAGCTTTATGGAAAACCTCTATGACAGAGTTTAGAAACACCATGGACGCCAGCCAACACTGCCCCCTGTGTGCGGCTGGACGTGGCTCGGCCCTTGGCAATCTCATGATGCAGCAACCGCATAACCGCATCTTCTCGATTGGCCACAAGCAGGGGTCTTCCACCCACTCAAGCATAGACTCTTGGCGCGACTCTGGCTCTCGCTTATTGGGGTGATTCCTTGGGGGCCAGGCGCATTCGTTCCGCCCACCTGAATCGGAATTAAGTATAATGAAGCGCCTGGCTGCAGTCTGCGAGCCAGCATGTGTCGAGCCCGTGAATCGAAATTCGAAATTGCCCGAGAACGAGAAGCGGCTGCATTCTTGTCCTTTCCTTTCCTCCCTCTCCCCTAATCAATCGTCCTACCTCTTCTTCCACGTTACCTGCGCCGTTCCTGACGTCGCATGTGACCTCTTGGGCGATTCACCATGAGCTCATCCTACATCACCTTTGTGAGCGTGGGCCTCTCCGCGGTCATCGCCATTCCCATCGCGGTGACGGGCATCCTCACCTGCCTCAAGGCCCGAAGAGGCGGCGATCCAGCACGAAGGGGCTTCACATGGCTCAAGCTGGCCTATTCGTTCATTTTCACGTATGTTCCCCCCCGGCCTGCCTCGCGCTGCTAGCCACGCGCCATACTGATCCGCCGCTTAGTGGCTATGTCTTCTCCATCGTGGCCGATCTCATCAACGGCCTGATGTACTATGGCGTCGCGTCCAACCAGCCCCACGTCACGAACGCGCTGATCGTCACGGGAAGCGTTATAGCCTGGCTCGGCGAGGTCTGCGTGATTCTGACGTGCACCGAGCTCGGCTGCGGCTTCACGTACGCTCTCCGACTGGAGCGCACGCCATCGCATAAGATCTGGCGCCTCTACGGTGTTGTCAGCGGGGCCATCCTCGCCATCCTCGCCATCGTCTCGGGCGCGTACAATGGCTGGGCCTATGCGCAGTACCTCGACTCGGTATACTACAGCTCGGCCTACGAGGCTGTCGAGCGGTCGAACAAGCTGAGCGCGGCACTGTCTGTCCTCGCCTTCTTTGTCTCGGCCGGTCTCATCGTGCAGGCCTCGCTGGTGAGAAGGAAGTACCTGTCGAACATGCCCGCTGCGAATGTGAGTCATGGATGGACAAGTGGGATGTACACCTACGCAGCGCATGCTAACTTGTGTGCTTTCCAGAGCGTCACCCTATATCTAGTGGCAACCATCCTCTTCGTCGTGCCCCGTAGGCTCTGGGCGATGGTCACCAACTTGGTGTATGTGACCCGAGGCTTCACGGAACTGAACGAGCCCACTGTCGGCGTCACAACTTGGCTCGTTATCAGCGGGATTCCCCAGCTCATTCTCCTCATCCTGTTATTCGTCGTGGGACTCCGAAAAAGTGATGGACTTTGGACGACGATGCAGCCTTGGATGCACCACACCGCACCCAACATGGCCAGTATGCCACCAACAACCCAGCAGCAGCCGCAAACGTACTACGGCACGCCTGCCGACGGAAACGCGTACATGCCCACGCAGATGGGACAGAGCTATGCGGTCCCTGGACAGCAGGACTACGCTCAGCACTACGGATACTACACCTCCCCAGCTGGGCAGTGGCAGCAGCCGCAGGAAGCGCCAGGTGCACCCGTGCAAGCGCCGAGCGAGGTCCCGGCAGAGCCGTCACGTACAATGTACAGTCAGTCAGGCAGCTCGCATGCCCCCCACATCCAGCAGGATCAGCATGCACAGGTTCAGTCGAGCGTGGCGTACGAGAAGCCTTGATCGGGAGGAGCTGGAAAAGGGCGTTTTGCACGTGAATAATTGGCTTGAGCAGTTTGTAAGAGATACCCATGAGAATTCATAACTATTTCGGCGCGAAATGAGCCTCTCTTACTCTCGACAGTGTGAGCCCGTGACATCGAACCGCCAGACAGGAAAGACCCCGTTACTTCCACGAAGACTCAATCGTGTACACCTTTGAGCAGTCCGAAGGAACGGTGTACGATCGATTCGGGTCACTTTCCCAGGTGACCGCCCCTGACGCGGAGACCTTGATGAACTTGTACGAAAACTGCGTTCCGGGTGTGAAACCAGTCGTCAGAGTCCATAGTGGCTTCGCATTTGTGTACTGCGAGGCCGACAGAGCGAGAGCCTTGCTCGTGTCCCAGCCGCCCAAGGCAGCGTCCGAGCCAACGACCTTGATCGTCTCTCCAAACGCGGTCTGGACCTGGTGGTTAAAGGCGACACTGACCTTGCTTCCCGCGGGGCATGGTGGTGTGGTAGGGTCGGTAGGGCTAGGGTCGGTAGGGTCGGTCGGGGTGCTGCCGCCGTCTTCGTCGACGATGGCAATGTCGGCGCAGGTGAGGTAGATCTGGCCGGTCTGGAAGGAGTTCCACCGCAGGGAGAGGAGAGTGTGGTTGGACACGTACTCTGGTATCTTGACCTTTTTTGTGACGGTGTAGCCACCCGCGATGGATGTATAGCAAGAGTTGAGGGGCGCACCGTCCACACCCTGGCATCCGCGTCTGTTGTCGGCCTGGAAGGCATTGCAGGTGAACCAATCGTTGCGCCAACATGGCTGACCAGGGGAGCAGTCCGGGTTGTATCCGCAGCTCTGGCCAGATACGTCGGTGCACTTGAGAAGACCCTCCTCGAAGCAGTCTTCCGCAGCTTGTTTCTCGGCCTGCGTCGGCGTGTAGTTAGGGTCCAGCAGTTTGTCGACAAGGTCCTGATCTTGGCAGATGCGCCAGCTAAACATGCCACCGTGGTCCCCATTGTTGTCAACGCACCACTCCACGTCGACGACTTGACCGGGCGAATACGTAGTGACCGGTGCTCCGCCCCAGTTGGCACCCGGCTTGTTATAGTCGATGTTGACGCGGGCATTGAAGCCACAGGGGCCGCTTCGACCAACCGGTGCCACGTCGAGATCCGGCCAGGCAGACACAGGCTCGAGGATAGTGCACTCGGGGCACGAGTCTAGGTTGGCCTATGTGGGAGTGCACGTGTAAGCTGGCGATGGACAAAGACATATCTATGGTGTATCACTCACCTCGGCACCAAGCCGAGTTCGGCTGGCGGGGATGGACATGTATCCATGCCCGAGTACCTGCAAGGCAGATCCAAGAATCGCAGCGGCAATAGTGGACTTCATGTTGAGCAATGGATGAGTTCCTTGGAGCTTTGTCTCTATCAGAGTAGAGTAAACCCGGACTTGGAAGCCTCTTTATACATCGACTCTCAAGATGTCCTCGACAAGAAAGACCCCTGACTTTTCGGTGTCTTCTCGGCCTGGTCAGCCAGTCTATTGGCATAGTGCAGTACCGACAAGACTCTTGGCCTGCGCCTAGTTGGGAAGTTGGGACTCGGGATGAGCCTCTCACTAGGAATTTAATCCCGCCTCTCCAGGTAGGTTTTCTGAATCAGGGGGTTTCTCTACTAGTAGCGGAGACTTTCTACTCTCCGCCAGTCCCGTTAGACCAATATCAAGTCGCGAAAATCCAGGTGCCCTGTTGGAAACGTGCTTGGTCTCCGAATGTACCACCGAGGCGCGCAACCATTCGCAGCGCCTACTTAGATGAGCCATTGCGCATGTGACGTGAGCGGATGCAAGTGCACCTCTCGATAGGGTTTTAGGCTTGCACAAACCCCGCGATGATGGAGATGACGGAAGCAAGAACCCTTGTCGTGCCGCTGGAGAAGTTGAGAAAGCGTCTCACTAAGAATGGGGCCCCGGACTTTGTCCCCGCAAAATTGCCTACTTAGACTAGGACAGAGCGGTAGTCAATACCGCTCTTCAAGGCCTGAATAGGTTGTAGGACTTGTCCATGACTCCGCGTACAAGTGGATGATCGCATAGCCTCGGCCATTCGCTGCGTGTCACGATGGCCCCGAGCGGTTGCCGGCGGCATTCTCCAACGACTTGCTGATTTGCCCTTCTCTTTTGCGTGTTGCCGGCTGCACCGTGGTTTGATCTTTGAATACCTTCATGTTGACAGTATGTACATCAGTGACATCTGCTGCAACGATAATGGCCTACAACTTCCGCCGACCCCGAGGAGCGTTGTGTTCACTCTTGTACTCGAGGGACTCGAATGCGAGGTTCTTCCCTGGGAATGAGGGATAACAACTAATAACAAGATATTCTACCTCAAGGACACGCTTCCAATGGATATAACGACCGACAGCCTCCCAGCACAACAAAAGCAATGCGCAGTTGACTCCAAGCCTTAGCCTCGCGTCCCGGAAGAAATCTCAGGCTCGCAGTTCCTCCCCGTATGTCCCTTTCATGACCATTCGTCACACTGGCTCCATCCATCATCATCTGCCCCCTGGACGTTGAGTAACCTCCTCATATACATGTTGTCCCGTGCCAGCCGGGCCTGCACTCCTTCAAGGTACGCAATGTACTCCGCAGCCTTGGTCAAGATGGTGGCTTTATTGAGCCTTTGCGGGGAGACACTGCCGTTGTGACTGCCACGCTCAGGGCTGTTATGGGCGGCGCGAAGATCGGGCACTGCGTCGCGGAGCTCGGCAATCTTCTCGTTCAGGTTGGTTCGATAGCGCTTTTCAATCATGTTGTGTGCCTTGTTCCGGGGATGCGGCGTGGTCTTCATGGGGGTCACTGGAGTTGATTCCTGCGAAGCATAGCCGGGTAGACCATCGCCTGCGCCAGACTGTGGGAAGGCCACGGGTTCGTGACGGTAGCTTTCAACCGGATAGGACTGGACAGCATCTTGAGTCAAGCCACTGAGGGGCTGCAACAGCGGGAGCGGCAGTTGGCTGAAATCCATGTTCTGGAAGAGAGGTACGCCTATATGGCTGTCCTTTTCACGAGGGAAAGCCGTAGGCGCGCAGGGCGTGTGGTGCAAGCAGCTGTCGTACACGGCAACAGGCATCTTTTTGACTGGAAGTTGGAAGCTGGTTTGCATAAATATGTTTGAACTGATACCCTCCACCAAGGCCGAGGACTACTGCCTGGCTTTTGAGGTCTGGCTCGTCTCCGCGAGCTGACGTTCTCGCTGGCATGCGCACCAAGGCAGCCTCCCGCGAGTCCCGCAATGTGAGACAGCCCACCACCACATGTTCTGCTCATGTCGGTGATTAGATGCGGTCCAGGATACTTGCGCGGACTCTGATATAAAACAGCACTTGCAAGCAGACGTTTCTTACCATCTTGCCCGCGAGACTCGCCCTAGAGACCCGCCAGAAACAAAACGTGCAGCAGCATGAACGAATGGGCTCTTCAAGTGTGTGTCATGAACGACATCTGACTTGCGTTGAAAGTGAAGCATGTGACGCTAGAAGAATACTTTATTCTATACACTTGATTATATGCGAGGTCACAAGTGAGACTGGATGCCAGGAGGCACTCTTATACCGAAGAGGGGTGAAGCTGCTAGTCACCTGGCCCTTGACTGTTGGGCTCATGCCAATGAAATCATCTTTCTGGAACTTTGGGCAATCTGTTGAGAACCTACTTGCTGTATGTAAATAACAATCTGTTCGTGAGTCCAGTACCCAGACTCTCCTGTTCTCGTTTGTTAAACTTACGAGGGGCATGAGCGCCTGACCACCAAATGCACGATCCAAACTCAAAGATGCTGCGGGGGATTAGATGTAATAACAAGAAAAAATGTGTTACTGTCATCTAGCAAAGTTTTATCTTCGGGTATACATATTGTGTGTGCTCAGACCCGGCCTCAAGGGTCTCGAGGGTTGAACTGAATTCAAATGGCCCGGACAACAGTCGTCTTGAAGACCGACTTGCCCTCTGCGACCTGTCCTTCGCTATCACTGCCTCCAATCCTCCCCTCAGCCTGCTCATGGGATGGAATCAGCCTCTCCACATCGGAGCGCTGCGCCCTCCACCTTTCCATGTAGTACGTGCCAAACATGAGGATAGACCACATGCTGAACTCAAACACCACAGCAGCTGGATACCCGTTTGGAAATCTTGGCGCTTGCTTCTGCGGAAATGTAAATAGAGGCACCCAGATCTGCGTGCAGAACCCAAAAGTCATCATGGAAGAAATGATAAGACCTCGTTCACCGTAGTTCTCCTTGAGGGTGGAGCTCACCCACGAGTACAAAATGAGAGACGACATGCCCGAGAAACCACCGAGATAGAAGGCGAGAAACTTCATGCCGTCAGGAACATTCCAGACGGCGAGCGTGATAATGGCGAAAAGGACCAATAATAATTGAGACGTCCAGAGGCCCCGGAGACTCAGACAGCCCGCGAGCGTGGTCCCAAGCCACGATGACAAGGCGCGAAGGAGGTCGATGAAAGTCGGCAGGATGTTGATCAGCTCGAATGAGTACTTCTCGGTGGCGCGTAGCCACAGGGCCATGTAGCCAGTCCAATAATGGGCCTGTACAAGCATCCTGTTGGACTTTGTCAGTGTCCCGACCAGTAACCCAGCTTCTCATGTACACTTACACGTAGCAAGGTACGCAGATCCACCACATGGGCCGTTTCAAGCTATACTTGAATGTCTTCCAGGTAATGCCTTCCTTTTCGACCGTCGGAATCCTCCGAAAGGCCAGTGCGTGATCCTCCTCCTTGAGATACCATCGTTTAGGCGACGTGGGCAGCCCTGGCCAGAAGCCGAACCCCAAGATTGTGATGGGCAGGGTGATGCAGCCCTGCACAAGGAAGAGCCACCGCCATCCAGCGCGGCCACCCACGCCGTTGAGACTGCGATAGATGGCGGCTTGCAGATATCCCGAGAACATGGACCCTACAGAGTTGCCCATGAACCAGACGCCAGCACGCTTGAAGAGTTCCTCGTTTTTGAACCATGAGCCCACTGCAGGAATCAGCATGCTCGGTCTTTGGCAGACGCGGACGCGACTTACGGATAAGATGTGTGCCTCCAAATAAACCAGCTTCAAGAAGACCCGTGATGACCCGAAGAAGGTACAAGTGCCAGTTCTTGGTCACTGTAGACTGGCAAAAAGCCACGACGGCCCAGGCAATTTGGACAGTAGGGATCAGATAAGGGGCACTGCAACACGGTCAGTGCAAGCGACATGTCCTGGAAATAATGCAACTGACATCTTCGCCTTTGTCTGGAGTGTCATCATGGGAATCTGTCCAAGGACGTAGGCTGTGTTGTCTGCGCCCTTGTCAACCTGATGCTCTTTTGTTCTGCAGTGGCTATCACATCACCTACAGGCCACCTCATAGTAGTTGCGTTCATTGCCAAAAGCCTGGAGATCCTCTCTCATACCCGAAGCAAAGGCATTTGTCACATTTTGCTGGCCGAGAAACTTTGACAGGTCAGGAAACATCGGATCCGGACAGGTTGGTGGCACGTATACGACAGAAGACTGCGACAGTGTCAGTTGTAAGTTCAGAGGCGAAGCAGAGTTGGTCAGGCTGCCAACGTACAGCTCAGACAGCCAAACACAAGAATGGCGAGATCAAGTTTCCTGAGCAATTTGCGCTCCTCGAGGGGGTAGTGGGAGGCTGTTGCGTGTCAGTCGCATGTCGGGCTATACAAGAACACACTGACGTACGGTACCAGTCGAAGACTGACACGACCACTGCTCCGGCCTTCGTTCTCTTAAGAGACGAAGAGATTCCCATGTTGCCTGTATGATAAACCAGAGTCGGTTCGAGAGTTTCTAGGCAATGACACAAATGACACAACCTTAGGGAGCAACATATGCTCGCATACAAGCTTTATATCAACAGGTCCAACCGTCGGGCTGAACTGCTCACCACAGAACTCCAAACACATACCGCTTATCGGCGTGCTTTGGTACCCGCACATGTGGACACGAACCTCGTCCACGCAATCAATGCGCGCATGACGAGTTTCTTAAGTATTGTATATTCATAAGTGACCAGTCGCTCCAGTCTCCACGTTTTGGGACCAGATAGCCCCCCTTCGAAGAAAAGTCAACGAATAGATCATCATCGGGACTCGCCTGACGATGCACATGTATCTTCCCGGTGATCAGATATGTTCTGGCCCCACAGGATGTTGTCGTGGATAATCAGCTATTTGGAGTAGGATTGCATGGTTGCGTGATCGCTTTCTATATGGCGACATTTGAGTAGACGAGGTGGTCCAATTAGGCAGTCGGGAAATAGCTCAAGGGGTCACATCCTTAAGCTATCCATACCGCTGATTTATTTGAACACAAATCCAACTATTGATCAAGGCGGGGAATTCATGTGAGATGCCTTGGCAGATATGGTGTGCTCGGGGAGTCCGTGTCTGCAACCAGTCAATGCCAGATGTAGGACGATCGACGAGAGACCGAGAGGTGCGAACAAGAAGAAGCAGAAAAATACCAACTATGTATGCCCTTGGATCCCACAAGTATTATCACCAGGGCTTTTTTGTCTTAGACGCCGTCGAGTCCAGCTCAGCATCCAGTCCTTGGCCGCCATCATGCCCTCCGCCACACCCCAACTCTACCAGTACGATCACGTCCCAGAGACCAAGGAAAACCTAGACTTGACTGAACGTAAGTTATCGATCAATCAGTTCACAGCCCATGTTCTGACCGTTGTAGTTCCGACCATTGACCTGTCGAAATACGGCACCCCTGAGGGCAACAAAGAGCTTGCCTCCACCCTACTCGACGCAATCCGCACCAAGGGATTCTTTTATGTGACAAACTTCGGCATCCCTCAAGAAGATGTCGACCGCCAATTCTCGCTCGGCCAAAAGTTTAGAGGAGAAGCTCAAGTATGAGCCGGACCTAGAAAACGGCGACTACAATGGCTACCGCCCCGCCGGGCGCCGGCTGCTGAGTGGCGGTGTACAGGACAAGAGTGAGGTCTGGAACATGGCGAGTATGTTAGTTCCCATGATACCAAGGTTCTTCAGCTCATGGGCATCTCTGCAGCAAACGACGGTCACATCACCCAACCTCTCCCGGAACTTCTGGACAGCAACAAGGCTGAGATCGAGGACTTTGCCAAATCCCTCCATGACAAGGTTCTCGATCCCCTCAATCACTTGATTGCCTTGGCACTTGAGCTTCCCGAGGACTTCTTCGTCAACCTGCACCGTTGGGATACGCACGACGAGTCCCACCTGCGCCACATGAAGTATTCCAAGTTCAACGAGGAGGAGATCGCCAAACTCGACGACGGGCTCTGGTCACAAGGCCACACTGACTTGCGAACCATCACTCTCCTGTTCAGACAACCTGTTGCGGCTTTGCAGATCAAAGACCATGAGACCGGACAATGGAAGTGGGCCAAGCCCCTTGATGGCAGCCTGACCGTCAACACCTGCGATGCCTTGAGCTTCTTGACCGGAGGCTACATTAAGTCCACGATCCACAGAGTAAGTTCGTTGTATCTTGGAAGAAAGCGACCCGCTGACCACGCAGGTGTCGCTCCCACCCCAAGACCAGCGCCATGTCGACCGCCTGGGTCTTCTCTACTTCTCACGCCCACAGAATGACCTGCAGCTGAGCACTGTCAACTCGCCGGTGCTAAAGCGAGAAGGCTTCACGCAGAATGATTTTGAAGCTGGGGGTCACAGGGTGCCTACCATGGGCGAATTCACAAAGCTCAAGTAAATTTGGCAGCAGCGCAAGGGTATCTCCTACAAGGACAATGCAGGACAGGAGATAGTTCCTGGGTTCACCGGCCAAATCTTTACTTGAGAGGGCTATGTACCACCAACTTGACAATAAGGCTATGCGTGCCTCAAATCTGCAATCGAAAAATCAGTGGTGATAACATTGTCATTGAGCCTTTCTGCATCTAACATGACTGCTTCTGCCATTCTGTGGCATCCCCAGTATTGCTTCGAATGCATGCGATGTTTGCGTGATTGCTAGGTTGTGTGCATGAGCAATGGATAACTGTTGGAAATCTCGTTTCATAGGTGGCCGTCCCTCCCCTCTCGGCCAGCAGTGCTATGTCAGCCTCCCTTCAGCAAATGGGCGAGGCCTTCACGAGACGAGCCTTTCCAAGCTGAAGACTCTCCATCCGATTGGTCACCACCTTTAGAGGCGTCTCTTCTGTGGGAGCATCGTCGTCTGAGCCTTGCCAACTGGGCGGCGTGAAGCACTGACTCGACTGAACCGTGCTGGAACCTTGCTCCACGTCTCGCTATTCCGCAGGCTTCTCGGCAGTTCCAGGAGCAGCTCCTCCTCTCCAGAGGCCATAGTAACCATCGCAGTTCTTCCACAGCTTGATTGTACCATCTTCGGAGCCGGTCGCGTACAATTTGCTATCGGGGGAAAACGCAATGGACCAGATCGGACCGTGGTGGCCTTTGTGGGTGTCAATCTCAACTTCGTCATCGTAGCGAATCACCTTGGCCCATGTTCCAGGTTCCTCGCCGACGACGAATTTGCGTCCCTTGACATCCAGGGCCACACTCGCAATCGAGTAAGGCAGTGTGATCCGCTTCAATTCTTCCCTGGCATCGTGACCGCCCCAGAAGTAGACGGTTTTGCCGGCCGCGACGGCTAGCACAGGCTTGCCCCCGCCAATGTCGCTTGGGGATGCACTGTCGGGAGAGACTGACACAAACTCGCAGGACTTGATTTCGCCGTCGAGGACTTCTTGATGAATACAAGTGCGGGTAGGAAGATCAAGCCAGCGCAGAGTCTTATCCGAGGCAGTAACAATCACGTTAGGATCATGTGTCCAGCAGATGAACTTGATGCTTGCTTTATGCACTCCCTCGGCAATCTCGAACCCAGTCGACGCAGGAATCGTCCCGGATTCGCCTGCTGGGTTGTTGGCCAGCTCGGTCAAGTCGAATATGCGAAGCTTCTTCTCCATGCCACCAGTCGCAACGAGGTCGGAGTTATCCGGGGGGTAGGCCACAGCGCGTACAATGTGGTCATGCTGGATGGTGTGAAGGAGCTCGCCAGTGTGGGTGTCCCAAATCTTTCTGGATTACTGTCAGTATGGTACCACCTGCGCCAGGTGCATGAACGACTCACGCCGTAAAGTCCGCCGAAGCTGTCGCAGCGTTTGTCGCGTCAGGACTTAGACGGGCCTGCCAGACAGCGCCTTTATGGCCAATGAATGTTCCAATCCAGTCGCCCGTGACGCCGTCTCGCAACATCGGGTTGCCATCTTTGCACGCCGAGATCAAGTAGTAGGTTTCTTCCTTCTCAAGATAGGAGAAGCTGATGTGTGGTACAGGCCTAGAGTGGCCGTGACACGTCAAGGGGACATATTGTCGTGGCGTTTCGGCGGCCATTGTGTCGTGTACTCGCAGGCTCTGTAGTGTTGAAGTGACAGTGTTTGCTTTTCGCAGGAGAGGGCTGCAATGCGCGACGCGACCAGCCTCAGCACCTCAGAATGCGACAGTGATCGTGGGGATCCTTCGGCAAGGCAGTGTGGCGCAGACAAAAGAGATTCGTAACGGTCGTCACAGTCGTCAAAGTCGTCAGAGAGAAACGCAGGAAGGGAATTTCGAGGAGGTTCGCAAAAAGGTCGCAGGACCCCTATCTCAAGCCTTCCTCGAGTAGGGTCAGGTCGAGGATGTTTCAAGTGGATGCAGGTGGACTGGACTCGCTTGCCATAAGTGCTGTAGGCAGCGTTGGTGGGGCAGGAGCGAACCTGAGCCACGCCTGAGGGGAACTGTGGCGCGACCTTGCGCCAGCCACACTTGAAGCTTCAACGGGCTTCCATCGTCATCTCTCCACCATGTCGCCTGCCTGCACTCGGATACCTCCAACGTGTTCCATGCATTTGTCAGTCCACCCTCCAACAACTCGCGGTTCTTTTGTCCATTTTGGTTATTGATAGATTCCCAATTTTCTCGCTGCCATCCTCACCTTGTGTTGTGAACAGCCTCCGAAGATATCGAGACCTCGAAGATCCGACCCCACTACGAGAGCGAGATCGCGGTTCACTAGTAGATATGGCTGAAGGTGACTTTAAGCTATCGGCTCAGCTCGTGGGCCACGAGGCTGATGTATGTCTCTGCGTCAGCTCCAGTCCGCCTCAGTCTGTCTAACAAGTCTATAGGTGCGCGCCGTCTGCTTTCCCACCGACAACCTTGTCCTCTCAGCATCTCGCGACTGTAGTGTCCGCGCCTGGAGGCGAAGCGCCGACAACAAGAACTCGTTTGACGGAACACTCGTCAGCCGTGGCAGCGAATATGTCAATTCTCTCACATTCTTCCCTCCGAACCAAGAATACCCCGACGGACTGGTGGTCTCAGGTGGTAAAGATACAATCATCGAAGTCAAGGCGCCCACCAAGCAGAGCAGCGACAATGCCGAGCGCCTCTTGATTGGACACGCAAATAACGTGTGTGCCCTGGACGTGTCCCCGGACGGAAAATACATCGTGTCTGGCGGCTGGGATGGCCAGGGTCGAGTCTGGAACCCATCCAAATGGGAGACCGAGGTTACGCTCGGTGATCACGAAGGGGTATCCGTTTGGAGTGTCATTGCCTTGGACGCAAAGACGGTGGCCACAGGGTGCGCAGATAAGAGCATTCGGATATTTGATCTGAGCAGAGTCTCGGCGGGAGAAGCGATGCCCAAATTTACGATACAGACTCCAGATGTGGTTCGCGCTCTCTGCCGTGTCCCCAAGAACCACCCCAGTGGTGCAGACATTGCTAGTGCCAGCAATGACGGTATCATACGCTTGTGGAAGCTCAATGGGCAGCAGGTCGCTGAACTGGCAGGGCACGAAAGCTTCATCTACTCGCTCGCGGCCTTGCCCTCGGGCGAAATTGCCAGTTCGGGTGAGGACCGCACCGTGAGGATCTGGAGAGGTTCAGACTGCGTTCAGACGATTACGCACCCGGCCATATCGGTGTGGACAGTGGCCGTCAACGCAGAGACGGGCGACATTGTGACCGGCGCAAGCGATGGTGTCGCCCGTATTTTCACGAGGCGCGCCGACAATGTAGCCGATGAGCAGACTTTGCGGGAGTTTGAAGACTCCGTCAAGGGATCCGCCATTCCCCAGCAACAGGTGGGCGGCGTTAACAAGGAGAAGCTTCCGGGTCCCGAATTTCTCACCACCAAGTCCGGAACCAAGGATGGTCAGGTGCAGATGATCAAAGAGGACAACGGCAACGTCACAGCGCACACGTGGTCCGTCAGCCAACAGCAATGGGTCAATGTCGGCACTGTGGTCGATGCGGTGGGAAGCACTGGCAAGAAGGTGGAGTACAAAGGCGAATCGTACGACTACGTCTTTGATGTCGACATTGAGGATGGGAAACCACCTTTGAAACTACCTTACAACCTCTCTGAGAACCCATACGATCGAGCAACGAAGTTCCTGGGCGAAAACGAGCTACCACTCTCATATTTGGACAATGTAGCGAACTTCATCACGCAAAACACTCAGGGCGCCTCGCTGGGATCGTCAGAACCGAGCGGGGGCTCAGACCCTTATGGAACAGAGTCGCGTTACCGACCCGGGCAGGATGCTCCAAGTCAAAAAGCCAAGCTTATTCCGCAAGCCGAGTTCTTGAGCATCACTGCCGCCAAGTACGAAGCGATCTTTAACAAAATCGCTTCTGTCAACAAGAACATGGTGTCGTGTGGCCGGAAAGACGCAGCACTCAATCCGACTGAGCAGCAGACTCTACAAGCTTTGCAGGAAGCACTGGCAGCATCAAAGCCCCCGCCTCCACAGTCGACCGATCTCATTGTTCGCGTCGTGACTGAGTGGCCCTACACGGACCGACTGGCCGGCCTCGACGCCCTGCGCTGCATGGCCAAATATCGCATCGTTGCGCAGTACTCCACCGCAGAGTATCCCTCCTTGATCCATCTGGCCATTGCGGCCTCGCTGCCGGCCGAGGAAACGCCCAATGAGAATGCCGTGATGATGGCGGCTCGCACGATTGCCAACATCTTCGCTACAGCGGACGGACGCAGTGCAGCTAGCAGCCATACTGATGCCGCACTGGCCTTCTTGGAGCGGGTGACGGGAGTTCAAGGGGCCGAGGCTATCGGCAAGCACAACCGCAATGTTCTCATCGCTCTGTCGACAGTGGCCCTCAACTTTGCAGTTCTCGTGGCGCGTGAGAATCTATTGACGCCTCAGCAGCGACGCCGGCTGTTTGTCATCTTTGGCGCCGTCATTGCTGATCAGACAGACTCCGAGGTTCTCTATCGGACACTGGTTGGCCTGGGCACGCTGCTCATGACGTCGCCGGAGTTGGCTACAGGGTCAGATGTCAAGAAATGGGTGCAAGGTGCTTCGGACAGGGGTAGCGAAGACAGGGTCAAGCAGGTCGCGGCAGATGTTGCCAAGGTCATACGGGCATAAACGGGAAGGGGTAGAGAAAACGTTACTACACATGGTAACACATCCGATCACGATCCCAAGCTGCACTTGTCAAGTAATGTGATTTGTTTTATGTTGAAGAGCGTGCTCTCACGTAAATACCCATTGGTAATATAGATAGTCCATATATCCTGAACTCCCCGAAACAGTTCCTCAACGCCAAAGACCCGAATTCCAAAACCCATTATATAGGCTCAAAGCAATGCCCAGCCCAAAAGCATAAGCAAAGGAAGTGACCCCAGTGCTGCTGATCGACCGGCAGCAGCGTTGTCCTCGTCAAACCGCTTGCCAGTCCTGGGGTTCACCGTCGCAATGGTGTACAACTCAGCAAAGCCCAGCTCTGTCGAGTTGAAGCAGTTGTCCTCGGTCACCTGCTCAATCTTCTCGTCTCCGGGTTCAGCGAACTCAATGTCGACGCACTATGATCCCACTGGTTAGCCCCAGATTAAATCCTTTCTCGTCTGCCGTTTCGCTGCTTACCGAGTACAGAGCCGCGCCGTGCACGGCGAGCTCCACGACCTGGATCGTCGCCTTGTCGCCGGCCTTGACGTTTGCGTTCTTGGGCAGGGGCACCTGCGGGAAGCAGACGGTGCCCGGGTAGGGACCGTTGGTTGGGCCGAGGAGCTGAATCGCCGGGAGCATAGGGTTGGACATGTCGACGGGGCCATTGTCAGGACCGTCGGTGCCGAAGCCAAGGTTGATGTGGACGAATGCTGTCTCGTGGCCGCGGAACCAGCCTGGTTGGAAAGCAACGGCGCCACCTGTCGTCGGCCAGTATGTCCTGTTGGTCGTGGTGCCAATACCACCGCCTGAGAGAATGTGAGCACGAGTTTGTGAGAGCGAGTATGGGTTGTGGAATCTTACAAGGATAGACCCATTGCATGCCGTAGGGGAAGGTCTCGTTGGTGATCAGGTTGTTGCCTCGCCATCCGGGGTAGCTAATGATGCTGTGGGCGGAGACGACCGTCGCCATCAGGACGGCGACAAACCCTGAGAAGAGCATCTTGTGGCGTTGCGTAGGCAATGTTGAGCAAGTGGTGTGGTCTGTCGTTGACTGAGTCGCGGCTGGACTACGCTCAAGGCGTCCTCTTGCGTGTTGGTCGCGGCGAGCAGGTGGGCAGACTGAGAGTCTCGTGGAGTTGAGTTGCTTATGTTCTCGATGTTCGACAGCTTCAATACCAAGCTCTGGCGCAGCGTTGGTAGGCAATATTACAGTACGGTATAGTCTGGGCTGAGCATGCGAGGAGAGGAAAGACCAGGCGCAAGGACAGCAGCCAAAAGGGTCTTATTCAACGCGGCCAGATCCTCAACCCACATCCCATGCAAGTCCGGCGGCAATGTCTCCTGTGCATCCTACCTGCATGCTTCGCTCCGGGTTGGCCAGAATGCTGTGATGGGCGGGAGTGCAGGCGACTCGTCGCGACGTGTGGTTGGAGGTTGATCATGTCGTTAAGCGCCCGGGCCCTGGTCGGGTGGCCATTTTGAGGATGGTGGTGCGGGGTCCCGCGAGCGCCAATCGAAGGCGTGAGATGTGGCATTTGTCGGCTGGCGGCGCGGGCACTTTCTAGTGACAGTGACTCGGTGGGCGGGGCGGATCGTGGTTCACATCAGGCTGTAATGCAAGCCTGTGCCGCTGTACAGATGCTGCCATGCGTGCATGATATGCTTCACAAGCACAGTCACCAACACTTAACAGCTACATCATGTTCACAGAGAGCGAAAGACATTGTAATATAGTTTTCTAGCCAGCCGCCATGTTCGTGAGAACTAGGCAGTCAAGGTATAGGGTAGCCGGCTCACCCAAGCACCTCCACGCGAAAAGCCAATACCGCTAGATGCATATACTGGTTATCCCACCACATGCGACCAAAAGTCTGTTCGACTCGATGAAAGCTTCAATCGCCACGACGAATCTCATATCCAAGAACATTCCTTTAGCACTCAAGAACAACAGATCCGTTCATCTCACAAGGCCTGCTCTGTTGAGCAGCCATGTCTCAGTCAATTACCGCCACCGCAACCCCTCTCGATGATGGCTGGACAGTTGTGAAACCAAAGTCACGCCAACGCGCACCAAAGCTCAGACCAAAATCCCGCCAAATCCTCGCCCAGGCATCAGCCTCAGCTTCGCAAGCAGACGTGAAAAGAGTGCGCTCCATAGCAGAGATTACAGCACAGTACGATCGCATAAGAACACAGTATGAGTCAGAAGCCTCATACACGAAGCTGAGGGACCTCGTGAAGGAGCATGCGCCCAAAAAGGGGGTGAAGAAGGCGGTATGCCTAGGCATCGGGACATTTGATCCAGTCGACGGGGGATGGGAGATGAAGAAGAAGGCCTTCATACAGTTGGCGGCGTTTCTTCTGATGGTGCAGGTGCTAGGTGGGAGGGCATCCATGAAACAAACAGAGCGCATACTGACAACCTGGCAGAGCACCAGTCACATACCAGCATCGACTGTGCATTTCAAGAGCCAGTATTCACCACCTCAGACAAGGAGTTTATCAAGTCCTTGGGCCATCGTGTTGTGGACTCACCTGAGGGGTTCGACATGGTGGGACAAGACACTCTTTTATTTGGGATACATCTATATCGACCGATATACATTCAAGCAATGGAGAAGGCGACCCCAATCATGTTTGTCGGGACGGAATTGGATGTTTGGGACACGTAAGTATGGACCCATGTTGCGTCCCGTCTATGAGTCTGACTCCCCTATGCAGTTTGTCCATCGACAAGAAGGACGACATCTTGGACGTGCCGACCATCAAACAGATGAGCCAGACGCACTCAAAACACACCTTTCCGAAAGATGATACCACCAACTCGTTCACGAACACTGCCGTATATTGCAAAGAAGCGTCATGAATATCTTTGCCTTGTAAACATTGCGCCAGCATTACCCACACCTTGGACCATTGGCTCTGTGCATTGCGGGTATATTATGCAAACGCCTGGTATTATTGAGTCTTTTCAGCACCGGGTATCGACATCTCAGAATCTCGCGGAGATGATCGATTGGCTTGGAACTTGGCCATAGCATCTAGATGCATTGCGCACTGCATTACTCGCTCAACGCCTGAAAAGCCTACATCGGATGACCTTGCTCTCTTCCATCCAGCACAGGCAACATATGCAGCTTAGCTTGCCCGAGTTTACTCTCTTCTTCTTCATCAAACGACCAGAGAAACCAGCCGACAACTCGAACTCTTCAACCTCGCAACCAACAGCTACGAAGCACAACAACACAACCACCGCTACCCTCCAAAGCCCACAGACAAAATGCCCGACAAGCGCACTCGAGGCTCGACGCACTACTCCAAACACCCTGCCACACGCAAGGTCCGCGCCCGGATCGCCGCCATGGCCCCGGCGAAGCGCGAAGCCTTCCTCGCCAAAAGCCACGAATACCAGGCCATCCGCGCCTGCTGCCTCCGCGAGTCCCAGCGACCCAGCTATCTCAACGCCTCCATCGCCCAGCGACGCACGATGCTCGTGGCGAATGCGCGCACCCTGCTCGAAAAACGGTAAGCTGTTCCCACCCTCTTATCTGGGAGCACGCACTCTAACGCAATCCCACCACAGGCGAGACGCTGGCAAGATCGACGGCAAAGTCAATCTCAACGACATCGTCACGCGACACTTGCAGAAAGAAGCCCGAGAACGCACAAGGGCTAGCGTGGGCGTGTCAGTCCCGCCGTCCGGCCAAGGTCTAGCCATGGAGAAACGCGAGACTGTCCCGTTGTTCGTCACGCCCGCCACGCCTGCGGCGGAAGACGGCTTTATGAAATTTGACGAGGAAGAGGGCGAGGGCGACCCTGAGCTGAGCGCCGTGGCGGTGGCCTACCCGGACTACGCTGTCGTGCGTGACATTGTGGACGCGCTGCGGCGTGAGGTTGCGTGTTTGAAGGACGAAGTTGGTGCGCTACGGGGCGAAGTCAATATCCTTCGCCAGGGAGACCCAATAGAGGATGACTTTTTGTAGCTCTCGGGGCGTATGCGAGGGCACGACTGCGGGTGGCAAGGAAGCACAAAGTCATGGAGTATCTGGAATTGCTGATTTCGTCATGGGGAGGCCATTGTTCACTTTTTCGGACGGGCGATTTGCTTTTGGGGAGTCGATGTCTCGTATAGAATGCAGACAATATTTGGGCGTCGATTTGAAGGATGGAAACCAATACTTACGCATCACCGCGATGGCCATAACTCCAACATCGATATATCACCAAGTCTCAAAGGCACTCATCATGCAGTGCTGTGTAACGTGAACCGGTCGCTCAGTTCTTGGTGCTATGTACGTTTGTATGTGTGCCGTTGTATTCCTCACAAACTTAAACCATCCACCAAATACAGCCGTCACTGTGCCCGTGTGCAACACCGCCAACCGCTTTGAAAAGTACAGAGAGACGCAACAACAATAGACAAGAAGCCAGACACCACCCCTAACCAGGGCAGTCGAGTCAAACAGCGCCACGTACATGATCCCCATTTCCCGAAACGCCACAGAGCTAAAGAACACGACTTGATCTCTCGTCACGATACCGTCTGACCATTGCAGTCAGGGATCTTTACCCCCTTCTTCACGTTCCGGTCGACATCCATGATACCCCACTTGTCCTCCCACTCTTTGCCCTTTTCGTTGAATCGGACCTTCCACGGCTCGTCAAAGGCGGAGAACCAAAAGTAGTTGGTGCCATTCTTGAGCGCAGGGCATACCCAGTCGTTCATAAAGGTATTCAGTTCGTCCACGCCGGCCACCGATCCGTCTGTACAACTCGATGCGCCGCCGCAATTCGTCCCGCCGCCCGTGGGCCATCCGGTCTCGGAGATGACGTTTCGCTTCTTGTCCGTCTTGCCCCCCGTCGTCTTAAAAAAGGGGCCGTTGTTGTCTTCGAAGAAATTCATGGTCCAGGCAGCAGCTTTGTCTGCTGTCACGCCGGCAAAGAAAGGGTGAATGTTGGACATGAGGTAGTCGCTGGTGTCCGCGAGCGCAGACGTCCAGTCGTCACCCAAGTCCGAAGTCGCGACGGGCAGATCCAGATTCATCTTGTCGAGCTCGCTGCGTACGTCATCCAAAAGGTTACCCAATTCTGTTACGTTCATCTCCTCCCTGAAGAGAATCTCGTTGGCAACAATGAGACCCTCAAAATGCTCATCGCCGTAATCCTCAAGCGCCTTGTACATCTGGTCCAGCTGACGCTTGTTGGTTGTCGTGTTCTTGTCCTGCCACACGCCCATCCAGATTTTCATATCGCCCTTGAGGTCCAACCGGTTGATCGCCTCAATCACCATGGCTGTTTGGTTGCAATCGGTACCGTAGGTTCGTACTCGGTTGGTGAGCTGACTCAGAACGGCCATGTCGCGGGTGACGTTGTTTTGCGACGGCGGGTTGTGTACGCAGTCGGGATATTGCGTGTTGATCGGCGTGTAGTCCATTCCTGGGAAGACTCGATGCAGCTCGGGGTTGTCCATGAGATCTTTGATCTCTTGACTGTTCTTGTCCAGATCGCCGTTTTTCTCGGAATCCTGTTTGGCAGAGTCCCCATTGTTGCCGCCGTCTTTGCTTTTGTCGGTGTTGGCAACCATACCGCCAACAACGCCACCAACAATCGCACCAATAATGACAAAGAGCACGGCAAAGATGATGAGGCTCTTCTTGCGCTTACTCATGCCTTCATGCTTGGTCCACTCGGAGCGCTCCTTGTCGGTGGCAGCGAGGTCATATTCCACAGGACGCTCAGCGGTCCCTGATTTGGCGAAGTAGCCACCCATACCGGCTCCGGCCGCCGCCGCCGTCGCCCCGACGGCAGGTCGCGCACCACGATCAGATGTGCCCGAGCTCAGCATTGAATTGCGCTGGCTGTAGCGTGGGTAATGCAAGCCGTCGTCGCCGTCATCTTCGATATCATTCGGGTTCACTTCTCCTAGGCGGCGGTCGACGCTTCGGTTTGATGAAGAGTATCCATAGGGGTCGTCGCCGTAAGGGTCGGTGCCGGGTCCGTAGTTATGTAGGCTGCTCGTCGTCGATCGCATCGGCGAGTTGTTGCCCCGGGCTTTGAATGTCAGCTTCAGAAAACACCCAAGGAGGTTGTGACCTTACCATAGCTGTCATACATGTATCCCCCACCGGCGTACCCTCCCGCCTGCGCTGTTCGAGAAGGAGGAGGCGGTAGATGCCCTCGATCCCCTCGGGAGCTACTTGCCATGGCCGGAGAGGATGCTGGGCTGAAGCCGTCGGCGTCGTGACGGGAGTGGCTCGGGTGATTCCGCGCATACACAGGACCCGAGTCTTGACCGTAACCTGCAGTGCCGGCGCGCGTGTAGTATGAGTTGTCGCCGTGGCGGGGTGGCGGCGGTGCGTCCCCCGAATGTTGACTTTGGTAGTGCCTGGCTGGCGAACTATACGGCGACTGGTCCCTTGTCGGTGATTGATTATAGTAATGCGGCGAGGAACCGTCAAAGTAGGGAGTGGGCGACTCCTGCGGAGCCTGTTCGAAGTTTGAGGGATAACGCTCGCGAGGGATGCGGGAGGAGTCGAGCGGCTCGCTCTCGTACGGGTCGTTTGACCAAGGCTGCATGTTCGCTGTGCGCACCGATCTCAATTGCCACAGTGGTCGATGTATACGCGGATGTCAGGTATAGAACCCGGTCGATGCGGAGCCACCGGCAACGAGACTCGTCCGTCTCAAGCGACAGGTGAAGTTGGACGTCGGCTTGGATCGAGAGAGCCGTTGGGCCACCAAAGGGCCGAATGATCGACCGACGCGCAATCAAGCGCAACGAGGGTTGACAATTTGCAGCTGAGACAATGTAATAATAATTGTCTGGTCGACCAATTCAGAACGGTTCTGAATCAACAACGATCAGTGATCTGGTACAGCAGGCCGCGCAACTTCGATGGTGGAGCTGGCCGAGAATAGCGGGTCCCAATTAACGATGGCGATGGCAGACGAGCGAGCGAGCGACGCAAAAGGACGCAAAGCATAAAGCGATAGAAGGTGAACGAGGGATGAGGCCCTGGTTGCGGCCCGCCAAAACGATTGCAGAGACACCAACTGGAAGTTGAAATAACAGTGATGATGATGGGAGAAATATCGAGCGGCGGGTGACCCAGGATGATCGGGGTGCCACAGTTGGCTCTGGTTCGTCGGCTGGTGTGGTGGAGGCTGAGCCCGCCTGTCAGAGCCTGTTCTGGCCAGTATCGTAATGGTTGCCAGAGTGATCTTGGCGGTCCTTAGTTCGATCTGGGATACGAGTCCACCATGAGCCCTCTGTTTAGACTGACTGGACGCGCAATCGTCAAGCAAGTATATCTAATTACGGTCACAGTTCGTGACCATGAATGAGGGCGAAGATGGCAGAGAACATCACGAGGCGCATAAGCGACGGCGGGAGGAGGGAGAGGTTTTGGGACTGGACTGACCACAGGCACTGGGCCAGGTCCGCACGACATGTTTCAGAGGGCAGGGGCGTTCCGTGCAGTTGCATCTAGCGACGGTCCATGCGCCTTCCTTCCAAGGCAGTGGTGAGATGTCCTTGTTTGACGAGTCCCACCAGTGAAGACGATGGGTGCTGAGGTTGACGGCCTCCCACTTTTTCATTCCAGCGTCACTGGAATGATGCTTCGATGACATCGCCTCACGTGGAGCAATCGTCGCCAAGGAGTCCTTTGCGAGCCATAAAACATCTCAGACTCCAGACTGAAGAGTAATTATCACGGTGCCGCCAGGAAGGCAACCCAGCTCTACTTATCTCACCCTGCCTGAGTGACGTCTAGGCCGTAATGCGCCCCTGACAGACCCCTTGCTGTGAACCTTTCCTCCTCACCCTACTCTCGGGAGACCCCGTGATTTTCTTTTGCATGAGCAGTCCAGTCGCTTCCGCTAGGACATGGGCCATGCAAGCACGCATTAAGAGACAATCACCATTCAGCATCACCTTCAAACACCCTAGCGAGGTGAGCCTACAAGTACGCTTGGGACTCGAAACACAAACTGTTACTGGGGCCCGCCCCGCAACCCCATCCGTGCAGGACTCGTTGGCGGATCAACGGCACGAAATGATCGTCACAGACCTCAAATTCTCAATGCAGGCCCAAACCACATAGACTCATGTGAATTGCTGACATATTCATCAATCGCGCTGTACGACGAAGTAATAGAGGTGCTAGCACCATGCTGTTCAGACCAGAATCTACTCTACTCTAAATCTAATCATTCGCTATGCTTCAAGGCCCAAAATGACCATCCCAATGCTCCTTGAGACCACCGTCTATCAACAACTACTCTCAACAGACACCCGAGAGTATCGATGTCGACGACGATATAGGCTGTACATGCCAATCTAACGTCCCATCCGCCTGCAAAGTGAAATTGGCAGCCTCTTCCACCACCACCCACCGTCCAGTCTCCTGCTCTCGCTTCGCACTGCGAAAGACAATGTTCGTCCCAAAGTCCTCAAAGACCACCTCCCGCCTTCGCAGACGCAACCACTGCAGCTGCTCGTCGTCGCCGCACGATGCGCTCTCCTCCTCCGCGAGCTGGTTCTTGAGCGCAATCGCTCGGAAGACGCGCGAGTCTCGTAGAGCGTTGCGAATAGGGTACTCGCCCAGGATGCGGATGGCGTCAGCCCGGACGGATGGATCGCGACAGCCAAATGCCGACACAAACAGGGGCCACGTCCATCCCGAATCCATGGCGAAGCCACAGTTTGGTCGGGCCTTGAGGAGCATCTCAGCCAGTGTGTTGATCTCGCGATACTGTGGTGTGAGACCCTTGGCTGTGATCAGGCCAGAAAAGCGTGGAATCGCAGTGTAAATGTACAGAATCAAGTATTCGATGCGCAGGTTCGCGGCTTGGAGGTACGCCTGGAGGTCTCGCTCCTTGTTCCGTGCCGCGGCATGGTAGAGGGGATCGTACGCCTCGATCCATCTCTGCAGCCAGTAGCGCGACTCGGCCACGAACCGGGATATCCGTGGGTTCTGCCTGACACTCGATAACTTCATGTCCAGTTCTGCCTCATCCTGCACCTGGGGCAGATTGAGCTGGCTTGTGGTGACGCTCAGAATCGGAATGTACTGGACCATCTGCCGCTGCAGGAGGCCCCAGTATCCCTGAGCCTCATCGGCGGACGAGAAGACGCGAGGCAGCTCTTCCAGGGAATGGATGGAGGACTGTTTTGGTCGGAAGTATGGCGAGTGTTTGGTGAATGGCAAGATTCCAGGCGGCCGTTGGGGCCTCGGCGGTGATGGGCCAGACTCCTGACTTTGCGGACTGCCTTGGCTCGCGGGACTAGGGAGGCCCGTGTGAGGCGTCGTTTGTTGCGTCTTGTCAGATTGCGATGGCGCGGTTTGGCTCTGCCAGGGCGTCCCCGGCTGACTCGCTGGGCTCGAGACCGCAGCAGGCGATGCGGACTGCGATGAAGCAGTGTCGGCCGGGGCTTGTGTCTCGCCAGCGGGACTTGGTGACCCAGTCCCTCGACCAGCCTCCGGTGGCCCTCCAGGTATGCCCCCCTGCTGTTGCCGTTGGCTTGGGGGGAAGAAGAACTTCTGGTACGAGCCCATGAACGATCTCGATTGTAGCTCGAGCGGCTTGTAGCAATCGAGGATCTCTTGCACGAGCGAGGGCGGCGCGGGTGCGATGCTGACGAGGTCAGGGGCTTTCTCAGTGCAGGCCGCCAACTCATTGAGCATGCTGAAACCATGCGTAATGTGCTTGAGTGCTACGGGCATGTTCGCCCGCTGGGTCTCGAAGCAGATGAACAGCAATGAGGACAGCATGGCGGTCCGCAAGCCCTCGCGGGTTGGTCGTGCCTTGGACTGCAATCGCAGCGCTTCGCAATAGTAGGTGATTGCATTCATATAATGCTTGTTGTTGATCGTCAAGGCCGACGCCATACTATGGCCTTCTTCATTGTATGCGTGGCGCAGGGCGCCGATAGCCATGGCCGCATATCGAAGCGTCGGTTCCTGGAGCGTCAACTGCGGCATGGTCGCTGTCCAAAGGCGCGTCTGCACGAGTCCGCCGCTCAAATACGTTACTGACAGAGCCGACCATTCGTTAAAGTAGGCTCTTTGCTGATCGTTTGTGAAGCAAATCGTGTTGACGACCGGCTCAGTCACTATTAAAGGTGCTTTCTTGGTGTGTATGAGCTTGCCGGAAGCTTTCGACGGTCCAGCGTCGTCCTCCGCGTAGGCATCGCAGTACCCTCTCCATTTCATACAGTTCAGGCATGAAGGCCTTGTTTCATCACACTTGACGTGTCTCTTCCTGTGCAGAGTCAGTGAAATGCTCAGACTTGTGTAACCCGTTCTCGCCAGTCTGTAATCCGGGCATGGGACGTCGGCAGTTGACCACGTACTTGCCTGCATCGCTGTCAGCCTACTGTGCCTCTATGTTCAAGTCTGACATGCTCATGGAGGACGAGACTTACACGTTGCGCATCCAGTGCGTGCCCGAGTCGAGCTTCGGCGTGTGTGGCGCGTGCGCGTGTCAAGCGCAAATCTGTGTGTACCGCCGCGCGCAGGTTGTCTCTCCGCCGGCTTGGAGGCTTGAGATGCAGATGACGAGCTGAAGGCAAGGCGAGTTAGCGTCCGTCATTTCGGCATTCAGCTTTCAGCCTTCAAAAGCCAAGACGCGCACGCAGTCATGCGAGGAGGTGAGGGCTGAGGGCAGGGAGGAGTCATTGCATGAACGTTGGGCGCTGCGCTCGGCAGCCCGCACCGCTGGGTCAGGAACGCGGCGAGCCACTCACCTGGAGTTGTCAGAGGCCCTGCGCCTACCGCCCGTCACTGGAATCGAGAACTGAATCTCCATCCTGCAGCCCTGTAGCACGAAGATGATATCTCAGGGTGTGGATGTTGACGTGGCTTGACAAGCACGGGCTGCCACGGGGTTATAAGGCTGATATTCAAGCTGCCGAGGCGATATGCCTAACTCAGGAGCCAGGACCCCGGGGGGAATGAAGGCGGGCGCTCGTAGTTGGGCCGCGTCTGTCTATTTTCGTGCTTGACTGCGCCGCCGACTTTGAACCTACAGTGCGTGCTAACGCGCCAAAGGGGATAATCAGGAGAGGAGACTGAAAGGCACCTCGGCAGCGGTGACTATTTGGGAATCGCCCTTTTGATGCCAGTGGATATAATGCACGTACGTACGCGTGCTTGGCTGGAGAAGCGGGCTCGTCCAGCGTTGGTGACCAGAACTGGAGAATGCAGCCGTTGGCGTTGTTATCCCCTCGATGGAGACTCGAGTGGTGCGGGAGCGGTTCACGGACATAAATACGCATCGTCCCACCATAGTTAGCCTTACAGACAAACTATTACTCCGTACCGGTGTGCGAATCACTTCCGAGGATGTGGGGGCTCTAGCGGACATTGGCGTTGCCAGAGATGAGGCCCGCGAAGTACGGTACAGACTCAGTAATTATTACTCCGTAGAGTCAGCCTATCGCTCCGCGCGGGCGTGTCTCGCATCGCCCACGCGCCTGTGAAATGAGACTTGCGAGAGTGTGAGGGGCGCCTGGGAAGCAGGGATTTCGAAAGGCTTGGACGGACAAATGCAATAATGCATGCGGCATGCCACCGCCCAGTGGCCACCGTCCGATCCTAGTCCGGTAGCCCAGTGGGACTGGAGGCAGGGCTCTTTCGGTACTTTGGCAGGCAGGGCGGCAGCGGGAACTTCAGTTGCGATACCAAGACAGTCGGCAAAGAGAGCTGGCTTGCCTGTAGCTGGTGATGGAAAATCAACTTCGTAATCTACAAGCACGCTTCGCGGCTTGCTTGACGGTTTGCGGGCGGCCGGTCGCTACGTTCATTAATCGACGGTTGACCACGAGCCTGGTGGCTAAATCGACTCGTCAAATCCGATGCTCGGATGCAGGACCCTGGCACGAAACAAGCAATAGTGCCCCGGCGGTCCCGTGAAGAACGTGCCATCAGCGATCAATTGAACTGAGGACAAGCACGCTCCTCTGTACAGTATGAGCGCGACAATCAGTTTTCAGATCGTCGAAAGTACCGATACGGTTCGACCACGGCCAAAAATTATCCGGATTACCACGTTCCTTAGGCGTTGGGAGCACCCAAGACTTCAATCGAGAACAAGGCTTGGTTGTTTTCACTTGTGTCCGTGTGTACTCTGGTGGCGTACGAGGCCCACTACACTGGCAGCGGCTGCTACTGTAGGAGATGCCTAGCCAAGCTGCAATGGCGGGTGGTGGTCGAAATGCCGGCGTCGAGATTGGTTCACCTTGGACTGAGGTTCGCCTCCGCCCCGGTTTGGCGCTGCCGCGACACGACATGGTTCGAGGGAGAACCTTGGTCCCTGTTGTTTCAAGTGCTCGAGGTGGGAATGGAAGCTCGAGGTGCTGATAATCATTAGAGGCAGAAGAGATTTCATGACCTTCCTGAGTTCAAATTCCAGAACGGAAGGTGCAAATGCAATCCAGCCTGCCGATCGGAAACCCCGCCTGTCGGACCTTGGCCATGTGGCTAGTCTGGTCACGTCACTCGCGTGTTCAATCCCGGGCCAAAGCTTAGCTTGAGCCCTTGGCTACCCTGGAGCTATCCTAGGTGTCAGCTCATAAAGCATTTTGGGCATCGGGTATGGCTTTTTTTTTTTTATCTACAATGGGATATGAGATTTGTTTGGTTCTCGCACAACGTTGCTACTTGATGGCATTGGTTCTGAGGGGATCTGTGTAATCATCATGGTGGAAGCTGCCTGGACCTTTTGACGGCAATCTGTCGTTTCATGATATTCAAAAAGCAGCATGTATTCGATGTAACGCATGGCATTGCAGTAACTAGCCTGTCACTTCCGAATTGAGCAGCAGCGTGACGAGCAATGTTTGGATGCAGCTCGTCTTAACACCAAAAGTGTGTTGCGGTAATGTCATTCAGCCTTCATGATCATTCATAATACATAATTCCTATGCTGCCCATCCCGTAACGCCTATCTTTTACCAACACTGAACTGTGCCAATCAAGGTCCAACGCTTAACGACGCTCGCTGGCAATCTGCTCAGCAGAGGCAGGAACGTGGTCCTCCGCTGCAGGATAGTCAGAGCTCCCCTTGCCAGTCTTGCCGGTCTCATATGGACGGTCGTGGTGGTGCTGGTGCTGGGGATCTGTCAAGTTGGCACCAACACCAGTCAGGCCTGAGCGGTCCTTCTTGTGCGTGCCGTGCAACTCTTGGCTGGTCTGGCCCGAGCCAGGGTGTCCGAGTCCTTGGTGCACGTCGGCAGAGGTGGCTCCGCCGAGGGTATCTGAGGCCTTGGGTACCGCGTTGTTCTCCGTCGAGGTCTCATCGACGGGGTTGGGCTTGAAGGTGCGGTCTGCGGGAGCAGTACCGGGAGGATAGGTCTCGGCGCTGAATTCAGGGGCAGCGTCGTTGCCAACCTTGACACCAGGGGCGTGCTACAATCTGTCAGTCACAGTTCCATGTTTCATGAGAATCGAGTTTGACTTACGCCCTTTGTGGTCAAAGGCTCTGATGGCTTGACGTGGCTCGAGAACTCGCCCTGGGCAGAGTTCAAAGACTCGGGGTTCCTGAAGTGAGACATGGTGATGATCTGGGGATTTCGGATTTCTTTTGCTCGATTGCGGTAATGTGAGAATGGTAATGAAAAGCCACACCACTTCCAGCAACGAAAGAAGCTTCATATACCTATAGCTTTTTCAGATGAGCCTCCCACCTTCTGACGACATCTCCCCACCTTGATGGGAGATGGATGTGTATGATGTCAACCTGAGCACAGAGTGCGAGCCTCAGGGACTCATTACATCATCCCGGGTCCACGGTGGGTGTCCGCCAGAAAGCTTCAGTAGATGGTAGACGGCAACGTAGCTGTTCTTTTCTTCGACATGCACATTAATGACCCATATGCGGCGACTTGAGTTGGTTTAAGGGGCTGCAAAGGGGTGATGCGATGCGGATCATGACAGAATCGGTGGAGCTGTCACGGAGGTGAATGTCCGGCGGAGTCGTGGAGGAGCCTTGGCGCCAGCAGATCATCCCGCTCATCGAGAAATCTTATTTGTGATTTTTTTTTCGATGCGGCTCTACGTACCTGACTCGATAAGCTTTTTTCATAATCTTGCCTATCTGCTGGAGGGCTACTGGCAGGAGTTGGTGACTCAATTTCTCAAGGCACGGGAGTCTTACGGGTCTCACCCAACATGATGGCATTTGCTGGGCATGTTGATTGAAGAATCTCGGATCAATTATGGCCAATTTCGCAATCGACAGCTAGACCAATTCCCTTTGATCCAAGCTGGCTTCAGGCTTGATTCAAGTTTCAGATCCCCTTCGGTTGTGATCAATGCTGCTCCAACATTTCACATCTTAGTTCACATGCAAAAAGGAAAGCAAGCAAAGTAGAGACTCACAAGAATGACGGACGGACATTTTGAGTGCATGCGTTTTTGAATGTGAAAATAGCTCTTGAGCATCGCGCAGCACATACGCCTAGCATAGTGACTATGCGTACAAGCTATCCGTGGGTCTGTCCACCTACCTATGAACGGCGATTTCAGGACTATCATTTGCAATCATGCCTGCGCTCAACTGCGATAAATTAGATATTTGAAAAGGCATGCAATTGGACTGTTGCCAGTGAGGCAGGCTTAGAGACAAGCAACCAAGGAGCCTCAGAATAGTAGTGACAAATGTGGAGCATCACTATATTTTGTAGAAGTAGTAGGAGGCCATGTCTTGAACGGCATGCTGAACGCCATGTCCTCTCGCAGTAGCCGTTGTACTCCTGATCGACCTGAGCCCCAGTCAAGCAGAGAGAAAGGGCCGACTCTGACTGGCTTTGGCCACGAGATGTGGGAGCACAGTACATCGCGGACAACTGCCGGCTTCACTCTGAACAAGATCAATGGCGAAAAGAACCAGTCGAAAGACTTCCATGAGGGTGTTTGAGTGCCCTAGTGATGTTGCCATTGGCACTTTGAGCGTCCTCCGGAACACTGGTGGCCGTGTGCTAGTCAGAACCGTCTGACGGTCTTACAGACAGGAAAAATCGAAGATGAATTGGGGATGGGGATGTATCTCAAAGAGGACAGTACGACAGAAGGTGCAAAATTTTCCTTGGAAGCCGCTGTGCTGATTAGGTCAAGGTGCTTTGGCATTGGTTGCGCCTACGATGCTAGACAATCAGACCTGGAAGTAACTTGTATCAGAGGCAAGGACAGTTCTAGGCACCCCATCATGTAGCCAAACGGTACGACCGCGTCAATGATGAACACGAAGCATAAGTTGAGCCGGAGAGACCGTTCGGACTGTGGTGTTCAGAAAACCTCGACCGTCCAAGACAACCCCCCCTGATCTGGATCGCCCAAATCTACAATCACTCTATTTCCAGTTCACCCAAACTTGCAGACATCATGCCTCGCGAGCACAGAGACCAGCCGATCGACTTCTGGGGCAGTATAGCTTACGAGTGGTTCGCCGACGAGGAAGAGCGCAAGGCGATGGAGGCCGCAGAGCGCCGCAGGAAGCAGCAGGAGAAAGAGGCTGCCAAAGCCGCGAAGAAGGGCGAGTCCAGCCATTCCAAAGAATCAAGCAAAGGTGGCGGTAGTTCTTCAGGAAGCAAGCACAGCGGCAGCAAGAGTGGCTCGGCTAAGTGATCTGATGAAGGGCCTTGAGCTGTAGTGTTGAGCAGATATCAGCCCGGGGAGCTGTGGTTTGAGGGGGACATAAACCCCGGGCAGTGGGGAGAGTTTGGTGTCTGCTAGCTACTGGGATCCGATGAGAGACTTGTTACTTGGAAAGCGATTACAAGACATCAACGAACACTGCCCCGTGACTTATTGATACTAGAGAAGTGAACATCTGGCTCGTCTCTTCACGATAGGCTCTGCTAATGGTAGTATCTTTCATGTAGCTCCTAGCTGTTTGATCACACTTAGGATACACTGTCATTCTGGAGGATGTAGAAGTTTCAAGATAGAATCACATCCGGTAGCTTTTCGTCACTCGTCAATCACGGCGGAACAGCTGTGCAACTTGTACTCCATGTCTCGTCCTGCGATTGATATTACAAGGAGTCTGTTCTGCCTTGATTGCCCTCACAAGCCTTTGACTGAATCTTGGTTTAATGCCAGGGGTGGACGGCGATACTTGAAAACCTGAGAACATAGCGCTTTTCTGTATGCTAATCACTGACTCACAAGCAATGCTTCACCGCGCCTCCTGTGTCTACATATACTGGGTGAGCACCTGCCCAAGGGAGTCCTCATGCTACCAGACAACAAACCAAACTCCAGAACCCAACAAGAATCCAACCAACCCAAACTCCACTGCAATGCCTCGCCGCGGTCATGAGCCCGACATTGAGCTCGTCACCACGGGCCGCTCCCGCCGCAAGGACCGCCGAGACCGTGAGGCACGAAGAGAACGCCGGCGCATCGAGAAGGAAAACCGCTCTCGCGGGTACTGGCACAAGCTTATGAACGCTCTGTGCTTCAACATGGGTTGCACCTGCTGTCCTACAGACTATATTGATGGGAACACATCGGACAGTCATTCACTGCGAAGTTGGCTGGTCTCACCCGCTGTTCTGGGTAGATGGAGCACATCTGGTGCTGGACGTCGATTATCTTGAATCAAATCGACTTGAAACTGTGACCTTGTTCCCCATGTTCGCTTTGTTTGCCTCCGGTGATCAAGTCACACATCGTGTCTGGTGAATATGTGCCTAGATGGAGGCGGAACATCGTCTACGTTCTCAGGGCATAAAGGGGGCTTGATTTCTCCCACATTTGAGTTTTGAACTCCAAGACAACAGAAACCTTCACAGAGAGCAGAGTATCCCAGCTGAGCAGTCCATAGCCAGAAAGATGGGAAACACCAATAGCTCCCCCCGCGCCGCTGAAAAGGACAAAAAGCGGCACAAGAAGCGTGGACACCGATCCAAGAAGAGCAAGTCCAAGAAGTCCAAGAAAAACCCCGGAGACTATCCACTTTTGGTTCGCTTCTTTGGCTTCAAGGGCAACATGAAGCGGGCCCACCACACCAGGCACACTCATCACAAGAAGGGAAAGGATGCCAAGTTGGTCTTCCACAAGGATAGTGACCACAAGAAACGTCGTAAGTCCCACCGCAGCTCCCATCAGTCCTCCAAGGGAGATTCCAAGGGCGATGGCACTCGCCATTCGCGCCATGGATCTTCTCGTCATGGTCATCGGGGCTCATCTCGACACAGGCCCGGCCGAGACCTAGCAGACTCTGAAAAAACCATCCCCGAACATTCGGTCTTCGAGCCCAACTCAAATGAGCTTCAACTTTACGACCGCGGCGACCTTGAAGCCGAAGAGGACGAGTACTCCTCGGGCACGGAGGACTTGACCCCTACGCCAAGCCAGCGCTTGAGCGACGAGCCGCTCCGGCCGGATGATAGCATCAGCGGCATCATGGGTAGGATGCACTTGAACGACAATAGGGGCTAAGCCCAGGTTTCCTTTGTTCATTTGGGTCGATGGTTTATTGTGTCTTTCTTTTGTCTCGTGACAACCAGGCGCCTGATAGCAGAATGAGTGAATTGGAACAATTGCTTTGTCACGTCGTCTTTGTCTTTGTGTTTTGTTAAAAACAATCTTCTTTTGAGGCACCCTTACACTCTATAAGCAAATAAAAGACAGTCCAACGGGTATTTATATCCAAGCCTCTACTCCGGATACGAATGCCTCCAAGCCCACAAACGCCATCCGTGTGATTAATTTGCACGCGCCTACTTGGGTACGTTGATTTCATACCCGACCAATGCCTCGGTGCATGTTCCCTCCCAGCCGCGTGTGCCCGCTGCACTGAGCATGAACCTGCTCGTCGGGTCGACATATAGACTCGAGATGACGCCAGCGCGAGGAGGTCCCGGGATAATCAAGAACGGCACAGCGGCATGCTTGGATCCCTTTGACTGCTCACGAAGATCATAGAGCCGCAGAATATCATGCGATGCGCTACAGAATACTCAGTGTCCCATCCCAAAAGGCAACAGAGGAACGTCACAAAAACTTACCACACTAGATGCCGTCCGTTCATCATGGGCTTCACAGCGCTCACAGCGCCACTGCCAGCCGGGAACTTGAGTGTTCGCTCCGGTTCCCACCCTCTCCTTGCCTTGCGCACGTCGAACTCCTCGACTGTTCCATTCCTTCGCCCGGCGTAGATCATGTTCCCGCTAGGACTCCAGCACGCACTCATACACCAGGGCGGCACGCCGACGCGCGTGCCAATCTTTGCAACAGGGTTGGGCACTCGCCGGTCCCAGATGCGTATCGAGCCGTCAATGGCTGCCGAGAGAAAGATATCGCGTGACATGAGTGACGGATCATCGCCTGTGGAGGGATGATCCTGATGTACGTATTTCGGGGACGTTGGCGCGTCGGCGACCTGCCCACTGTCCTCCTCTTGCTTGAGCTCACCCGCAAGCTTGAGCTGCTCCTGCGACATATCGCCCGGCTGTGTGTTCTGGCTCGCTTCTGCGGCTTGAGGCTCCGTCGACTCGTTTTGCGGCGGAGGTTTTGCGTCCACATCCATGCCGTCGGCAGCTTTCTGCTGACCATCTGCTCCATCATCCTTGGGACCATCCATGCCGGCCATGGCCATGTCTGCCGAGTGATCCATGCCGTCGTCGTTGCCTTGACCAGCGTTCATCATGTTCATACCCATTTCATTGTTGTAGTCATCCTCGTCGTTGCCAAACGGCTGGTCGCCATTGGTTTCTCCAAAGAGACTGCCCGCATCGTCACTACCGCCTCCGAACAAGCTCTCGTGTGCTGGACTGTTCTGGCCCTCATTGCCGAACAGCGAGTCCTGGCCTGGCCCACTAGGCCCATCGAAGAGATTGTCGCTGAAGCTGCCATTGACAGGCGGGGCCCCATTGTTCGTGGAAATCGTGCCCGTCGGCACAGGTAGCTCATCCTCCACCACAGGTATCACGTCTCCCCCCTCAGGCCGTAACTCTACTGCCGAGATCTGTCCACCCATGCCGTCAAATTTGCGGATAACATCCCCCGTGTTCAAGTCCCAGTCCAAAATCGTCTTGTCCCAGCTTCCACTGAGAACACTGGTCTCGTCCGGCGCGAGTGTCAAGACGCTGACAGCGGACGAGTGCTGCTTGAGGCAGTGGATCTTTTTACCCTCGTCGTGCCGCACAGATTGCAGATTGATACCTCCCAGCTCGGTGCCAGACAGGAGCCACAGTGCCTGCGACTGGACAGCTAGCGAGTACACCGGCGAAAGCATCTGGTCGGCGTCGTTGCTCTTGATCTCTTCATTCTCCCAGTACGACATGAGAATGCCTGCCTTGGTCACGCTATCAACAAAGGGGTGGCGTTGTGCTACTGTCAATGGTAATTTGCCATTGATCGTCCCGGGACCGTCGTATTTCCTGATATACCCGTCTGACCCTCCTGTAAACCAATATCGCAAGTCCGGGGTGATGGCCATGGCGTTGATGCTCGTTGCTTGCGGAGCGGCCATTGTAGGGATAATATCATACGTCCTCGCCGTCAGGAGATCCGGTGCGATGGTCCGTCGTTTCGGACCCAGCGGTTTAGGCGTCGTCGCAGTCGTGTCGGCACCCTCTTGATCTGCCTGTCGACCACCCGTGTCACCATTCGCCTCGGAATCCTGCTGTGACTGCTCGTTTGCCGTACCGCTGGTCGACGCTTTGTCTCCAGTGGTCTGATCGCCGGCTTCATTGTTATCCCCCTCGATGTTGTCGTCATTGTTGTCATCGTCTCCGTCGCCGTCGCCATCGCCATCGCCATCGCCATCGCCGTCTCCGTCACCATCGCCATCGCCGTCTCCATCAGCGTCGTCATCGTCATCATCGTCGTTGTTGTCATCGTCGACGTCGTCGTTGCCATCATCGGCATCCTCCATCACTTCGTCTGCATCATTGTCTTGCTCAGGCTCGTTATCGTTGTCATTGTCGTTGTCGCGGTCCGAATCCGCAGAGCTCGCGGAGTAGCGATCCTCGTCATCCATCGCGACGGCGCCAATTGGCCTAGTTCGAGGCGTCTGTACGATTCTCCGTTGCTTCCCAGCTGCTTCAAGGTCCCTGCACAGTTCGTAAGGGCGCGCGGTGCATGCCTATGCTGTATGCGCTGACGGCGCGTCAACCCCAGTGACGTCGATCGGGAGCGGTCGCGAAGTTCGTGGTGGTTGTCGGGAGTGGCGATGGCAATTGGTAAATGATCGATCAAATCTGACGTCGGGCAAATGCAGAGGCTGGCGGATACGAATATTCCATATGATCGACGAGGTTGAGGGCGTGAACCGGTAAGGTTCAGAACCGAACGCGCCGCGCAAATCTAAGGTAACCGAAGCTCGCGCGTCCGTCCACCGCCCGCCATATAAACCTCAGCCGTTCGATTAGCAGCAGTAAAATCAACCACCACCAAATTGCACGTGGACTTCAACACCTCAAGTATTGTTCTTTCACAAATCGTTGCTTTGAATGAGTTTCCGACAATGAACAAAATAATTACACGTACTCAGAGTCAACTCGTGTCCCTGCGGACCCTGCCAGGGCAGAGTCGCGACCCTTCATTCACACATTCTTCCTTTCAGAACAGGCTGGCTACCTTACCATTAACACAATGCCGTCAATCCTGGTGCCTCATAGGGGCATTATTCGCTAGGAACCCCTGATTCTCCGTCATATACTTGGTATCGAGTGCAGAACCCCTAGCATACCTTATCTTGGATCATGACTAACCGGAAGCCCTGTGACGGACAGTCTTCTCGTGTCTGTTGATGTCGAGACAAAATTCAGAGGGGGAATCTAGCCTACCAAACCAGCGCTTTCCATATTGGCGTATCAATACCTGATACCCGTTGCCTTGCAGGCCTGGATCACCTGGACCTGCAATAGGCCATCACGTCCTACCAATTCGCCAATGTCGCTTCCAAGCCTTGCAGCTTGCAGGAAATCTTCGAGGAATTTTCTCCTTGGGGAGACAGAGTGAATGTCAATAGCTGAAATGAGCGAAAGGATATTATCATTGATCCATGGTCGGGACTATATAATAGTGGCCCACGGACCCTACGCGAAGACGTCAAGTTCTTGGACCTTCTTGACCCAAACATCGTTTCCAATGCACGATACATTATAGACACCAATAAAGCCGCCCAGTTTCCCCTACAGCTGTCTTATCGACTCAGCTTGGAGAAGCTCCTCCATGACCTAGGTATAGAACACGACTGGCTTCATATTGCTGGGAACGATCCGTTCTTCGCTTTAAAATCGCCTCTGATGCTTGCAGTTCGTGACTCCAGCCTCTTATTACCTGAGAACAGGACAGTGGCCATAAACGACCTCTTGGAGACTTGGCAGGCCATTGCACTCGCTCCATACGCTTTGCCAGGACTACCACCTGGCGAGACATCCAAGCCCCCAGCTCCGAAACCCCCGAAAAAGCTAGGGCTGCGGGCGAAACGACGACTGCGTGCTGAGGTAAAGGTACCTTGAAGATTAGCAGAGGGGACATCAGGCTCAAGTGACCTGCCAACGCGAATAGAAGGGTGCGAAAACCCTGACGGTAGCGGCGAGCTCCTCGCGAGCACGGGGGTCACTGGCACTCACTGCTTGTGTGCAGTCAAGCTTTTGAAAATTTCTAACTCCCTTCATTGAGGAAGACAATACTTAGGTTCGTGTCAGTGCGCAAAGGCGTTCATACTCCCTAAACCTCGATTCCATATGATGCAATTACAAGTCCAGCAGATCCTCAAAGGAAATGAGATCCTCCTCCACATCGTCCATCTCTTCCACCTTTGGATTCTCTTCAACCTGCAAACCATCTATAAGCTCTACCGTTTCCCATTCCTCCGTCGTACTGCGGCTGTGCGTGTGGCGACTGGTGCTCTTCATGATCCGTTGCCCGTCTCTAGCCACACACGTTTCGACATACGTCTCAGCAATGCTTGGCCGCTCATGGCGAGCTGGGGCTTCCAATTGTCCGCCGTTGTTGTCAGCTGGTCCGTTCTGGCAGTAGAGCTCTCTGAAACTCCGGGATGGCTCATCTGCTGAGGACATAGGCTGTCTCTTTTGCGGAGATGTTGACTGTGCTCGCGCTATCTTGTCATTGCGGGCAATTGCTGCGGGTTCCCATCCGGGCTGGTGTCCGTGTTGAAGGGCTGGGCTCTCCAGATCACCTGTGGCAAACATATGCTGGCTGGTAGTCGCCTTGGTGGTTGTCCTCGTTTGAGCCATCTTCCCCTGAGCAGCCATGGGAAGCTGCGCATGTCTGAGGATAGGGGCAGCTTTTCCCTTGGGATCGCCACAACCTTGTCTGCATCTGCAAGGCCTACCACATGATTCCCGACAAGGATGACCACAGGAGAGTTGAGGATTCTTGCAAGCTGCGCTACAGCCTTGTTGAGGGTGAGGTATCCGGTGGCACCTTTGCGTACATTGATGGCCCTCAGGGCAGGTCCATCCACACGGCTTGCCACAGCCTCCTCCAGGAACATCCTCCCAATCTTCTGCCTTGGTGATTGTTGTCACGGTGTTGTGGCGCTGGCAGACAATCTCCAGCGTGTTGTTGATCGCGTGATCCTCTTCCAGGATATTCAGCACACCTCCCCACGTCTGTGCGCTTGCCGCGGTGGTCCGAAGCGTGTCGTCGTTCCCAAAGATGAACATACCCCGTTTGGCACGGCTGAGCGCGACAACAGCTCGGTTCTCGTTCTGCACGAAGCCCGGTCGATCACCACTACGAACCACAGACAGGATGACGACCTCATTCTGCTCGCCTTGAAATCCATCGACGGTTCGGACAACGTCGGACCAGCGTTGATGGGCGTGTTTCTCTTTGAAGTATGTCGTGTTCGCTAGGATCCTCTGGATGAGCTCCACTTGGCCGTTGTAAAAGCTGAGGATGGCAATGTCGGCAGGCTGGAGACCGTTCTGCACAAGGTACTGGGTAAAGCCTGCGATCATCTTGGCCTCTTCCAAGTTGTCGTAGGACATGTTTTCCGAGCGTGATTCGGGCCATTCATGCCTGAACCACTTGAGACGACAGTCGGGCCTCAGCCCTGGAACGGGCGGTCGATGCTCTTTGCTCTTGACAATTTCGTGGTCCTCGAGATCTGGGTAGAAAAGCCGGACGATCTTGGAGATTGAAGGGGTCATGCGCCGCTGAACCTGAAGTTGCGTAAAGGGTAAGCCAATTTTTACCAGTCTCTCAAACAGCGACACGTGCAGATTGAATGGGTGCTCCGTGAGAACGTCTGCGTCGACACTGGGTACCAGCTGTTGATGATCACCGACGAGGATCAGCTGGTCCAAGGACGGGAACAGGGCTGAAGTGATGTTCGGCTCGCGAGTTTCTGCAGCTTCTTCAACCAGCAGAACCTTGGGTTCCAACGCTGCGACAAGAGCGCGATACTTGGTGAGTCCGGTCAGTGTGCAACCAACGACTGATATACCCTGCTCTTTGAGAAGCTTTACGTCGTTTGAAGTACGCCCAATCTTCACTCGGTCGCACAGTCTAGCGAAAGACTGAAGTATTGATGGGATCCGACCCTTGATGGCCGCCACGAGCTTTTGGCGGAAGTGCCGGTACACTGCGCGTCGTAGTGCCTGCGGTATATCATATAGATCCTCATTTGCCGCTTGATGAGCAGCCAGATTCGCGGGGACTCCCGTGACCGCACTAGGCCCGAGCAGCTTGATGGGCACATACTTGCCCCTGAGACGCTCCTTGTCTTTCTCCTGGACTTGTGCTTTCTCGTCAAGCTTGTGAGCATCCTCTTCCGCCGTCTTCTCCGGCTCTGGGACATCACCATATGCGACCTTGGGCACGGACTGGCCTTTCGGAGGTACGTACGCGCAGGAGGCGTCCACTTGAACTTGGTCACTGCCAAGCCATTTGGCCATCTGGTCATCTTGTGTCTCTGTGTGCTCGCTCTCTGAATCAGACAGCTAGTCATCTTCATTGAGGGATTCATATTGCGCGGGCGTGATAACGCCCTCCTCCAGAAAGACCTTGAAAGGGATGAGGCCATTTGGAAAGCAGATTTGTATCAGTGACTCGAACTCGGCGGCCTTGGACTCTGCATCAGCCCAGGCTTGGTGTCCTCCACGCGCATACTTCTTCGACTTTGTCCTTAGGTTGTAGAGCGTAGTCTGCTGGATGGCTTCGTCTTGAGACCTGCTACCAAGTCTGGCAATATTGACCATGGCGACGCCGTCCGAGCCTGGCTGCATACACTCAAGGAGGAGCTGGTCAAGTGCATGGTTCGTTTGCGCGGCCACTATGATAGGGGTCGGTCGGTTCCAAATCAAGGCCCTGATTGCTGTAACCGATGTGTATGTCTTTCCAGTGCCTGGAGGTCCTTGGATAATGGCTAGCTCCCGCGATGTCATGCGCTGGAAGGCTCGGTGTTGCGAATTGTCGAGTACGAAAGTAGCCGCTGGTAGGCATGGGGGTTGGTCGACGAGATCAGGCGCAATGTCATCTCCAGTGTGGCCATTGACGGTGTACTTGTCGATGCATGACCTATGAAATGTTAGTGAGGCATGCTATGAGGTCAACAAACACCTACTCCGAAACGGCAGCATGCTGCAGGCCTATCATCGCATGACGGACAGGCTCGAAGTAACCGGACTTGGGCTCAATTATAAACATCTCCTCGAGAGGGTCAATGACTGCGTCTTCTGGGTTGCTCCAGAATATGTCGATGCGTGGAGGGGTGTCCTCAGCCTCGCCAAACTCTGGGTCAGGGATCAGGCCACTGAGAATTGGCCGGGCAGCAACTGTTGCTACCAAGCATTTTGTCCGAAAACCGTCTTTCTTCGGGCTCAGGGCAATCAGGGTTCCAGGAGTGAGCCTTGAAGTGTTCTCCCAGTCCACACGTACCTTGGACATGTCGGTGGAGAATGCAACACGTGCAGCTGCACCCTGCTTCGAGAAGGTGTATCCTTGGACGCGGGCCTTTGGAAATGTCAGAGAGGGTACGGAGAACGAAGGCGTATGCCACTAACCTGGGTGTGGACGTAGGCATCACGAGGCTGTTCGTGCGGCCTTTTTTGAAACGCAGCGATAGCACGGCGGATGAACTCAACACCCTCATACCGGTACATCAGGTATTGCCAGCGCAGGTAGTCATTCTTATCGCGCGGAGATTCGTACTGATAGTCGTACGGGAGGTCTGGGGGGTCGCCGGATAGCAACTCTGTTGCCAGTGGTAGTTCAGGCAAGGTCTGCCACAGATCGAGCTGCTCCTCCGAGGACCGGCATCTTTGATGTCTTCGAAGGACGTGATACTCGACGATCTTGGGTATCTAGTCAGCGAGGTGGTCTGGGAAACAAGTAGAGTGGATTGACGATGCTCACATCCTCGATCTGACCCATCGCAATGGCGTCAGGCGGCAATAACGACCGCAAGTTCGGATTGGAAATTAGGGTAATGACCAAGAAGCACTGAGTTACTTCATTGCCTTGCTTGGAAAAAGAAGATCTCGAGAAGCGAGATATGAAGCTGGGGTGATCCAGGAGATGAGGGGGCGAAAACATTTTGACGTAAGGGAAGGAAAGGTAAACAACCCAATTCCGCATGACCAGCAAACAGCAGCCCACGAGCCATCTGATCGTCGAGCCTTTGAATTGACTTCAGTTGTATCGGAGACCTGACCGCCTTTTCATCTGAAAGTGCAGCGCCACGACGACTTTGCTAGTAGGCTCAGCGCGCAGCACTTTAGGCGTCTGTCCAAAGCTCTGCACCTATGGAGGAGAAAGTGCGCTTGCAAGAAAGACTGTAGTTTCACTTTTCTAGATCGATGTCTCCCTTTGATTTGTGATTCTCTTCATATTGAGCTTCGCCTTTCGAAGAGTTGGCTGTGACGATGCACGAGTCCGCAACCCTTGTCTGAGCTGCAGTGGTCCGAGGGCAAACAGTCGATGTTTTCATCGACATATTGACTCCTCCCTTTTCATCTCCAGGTCAGCTCAAGTCTAGGTGACCGACCTAGTCAAGTCTTTGCCCCATGTTGTGAAGGTATTGTGATTTTCAGGAATGCTTCCACATATGGTTGACCTCAGCAGGGGGTGGCCTCTCTGAAAGGACAAAGATGACAGCCAAGAAGCCATCACAAGTTAAACCAGTGTAGCCCTCGAATAGAGTTCAGATATCATATTCAATGATAAAACTATAGGTATGATATGATCATTGATGGTCCGCTTTAGCCCCCAGCCCTCGATCCTCGCTAACATCCATTCCAGCAGGCCATCCACATCATACCCAACGCGCAGGGCAGATGGACAAGCGGTGCGGGCTCCGAACATTGTGCCCGACCTTTCCTCAGTCTGAGCTGACGTCCAGGTTGCAGTATGGCAACAACTCCATGATCTCTCTCATGCTCGCCATGCTGCGCGACAGCTGTCCCTGTAGACAGATCATGGCTGTTGTCAAGTCATCCAAGTTCTTGCTGTCTCGCAGCATTCTGTCCCGATGCATGTTGGGGTTTGGGGCCGCTGGGGTCTGAAGCTGGATTCTTCTCAGGAGCGTCTCCATGGTGCCAAAGGTTTGCGCCAACTGAGGCCGGGCGATGATGATGCAAGACTCGATTTTTGCGGCGGTGTCCATGTTGAGTTGTCAAGATTTGGGCTTACTGATCAGAGTGTGTGTCGCTTTCTTGGAGGGTGAGGTTGTATGGACGAAGGCTTGGTGTGTGGTTGCTCGGCCCGGGGGCTTATGGTTGTTAAATAGGTCGACCCTCATTTGTGAATCTTCCGTCAGCAGCAAGGTATCAGACTGAGACGCATATGTTGCTTGCCTCTGGAAGCACGAGATTACCGTGTGCATCCCCCCTTGCCGTGATCACCTCATCATCCTACAGCCATAGGTCTGCATCCGGACTCATTGACAAGAAGATGTTCCCGAACTTCAGGTTAGGCTCAGACAACTATCCAGGAATTCCGGTGCAGCACCTAGTTCCACGGTGTACCGGGGAAACAAGTCGTTCACGACTTACGGCAGCACTGATTGGCACACATATATTACACTCGACATCAAGTATCGCGCTCACGTCGCTTGGGTAGGTCTTTTGGGACTGATGAGAGACAGTCATAACATGCTTTAGCTCTGATTGTGGCTTGTTGCCGAAAAGGGGCAACTCCAATATCGCTTAAGACTATCAAGCAGAGCTGGAAAATCTCGATGATTGGAACCTCTCCTGAAGTAATGTATTTTCGTGTGCTGAGCCTATAGGTTCATAGTGTACAATCACCGCTTCAAACACCATTCAAGCTTGGAGTCGAGCGGTAATCCAACGATCCAGGTCCTTGAGCTCTTGCCACTTCTCATTGAGTTCAGCAAGCTTGTCTCTGACCTCTGCCAGGCCTTTCACATTCGGCTTTGCTCGTTTTTTCTCGCCTTCAAGGAAAATCCTAGAATAGTCCACCGTCTTGGTGATAATCTCGTCCATGCCTTCCCAGTTCAGGGGCCACTGCTTGAAGTCGTTTGTGGGTCCCGCTGATTTCCTGGTGTTTTTCACGGCAAGCCATTTTCTATGGAACTCCTCGGAGATGTTGAGAACCTCGGAAAGCAGTGTATTCATGCCCTTGGCTGTCTTTCGGTTCTTGCAGAGCTTCTCGAACTGTTTGTAGTGGTGCGCTTTCAGCATCTTCTCGATAGATGCGGCGAGTTTGTCGGCCAGCTATGGTTTTCGTCCGGGGGATGGCATTGCAAGGTTGATCTGGCAAGGTTTCCCAGGTTCTGCGAAAGTTGGGACATTTTCCCGTGATCTTGAGAGGTGGCACTTGCCGTATTACAGGCTCATGGCCACAACTTCCACGTCATTGGGTTGCTGGTCGTACAGCGCTTGAGAGCCCAACGGTCATTCATTCTCTCACATAAGGTAGTAATCTCCAGCGAAAAGTAAGCGCTGTTCAATCGTGATTCTTGTTCCCGGCTATCTCAGAATACACTATCTGAGAATCGCTTCGTTTCGCAGTAACTTCCGACGTGTCGTTCAATAGAGTGGGGAGTTCGTGCTCGCTGCCTGCCATAAAGGGGCTGTCAAGTTGCTGTCGTGAGACCGACGAATGTCGCCGATGCCGCTCACGCGGACGAAAACTCGACGTGGTCTACAGTGACACAAAGTCACGCTTCTCGTGGCTCTGCTTGAACGCGGACAACGTCAGCTCCTGCGTGGGCGCCACAAAATCGGCATGTCCAGTCAGCTTGTAAGAAGTGACCAGGGGTCACTGGTTCGGTATCAGTCCGCGACCAAGATACGTATAATGCATCGCCTTCTTCTAAATGTCTGCAGGGATGACCCTCTTTTCTCCTTTGCATCACCATGATACCATGAACTATTCACTACCTTAAGAGCACATCATATATTTGGGCCACTACGTGAAGACGTCCTCATAAGAAATGGGCGTGCGTTGATTCAGCGACCTCTGCTCTCTAGAATGACTAACTGCGTCGCGATCCTGAGGCTTTCAGAGCTACCCGTAGCTCAACCCTCGATGGTTTCCGAGACAATATCCAGCCTCACAGCAAGCCCCTCTTCCGGAACTCGTCGAAGTGTGGCTGCAACGCCTTGCCCTGAGCCTTCAGCCTGGTCCACATGACATCCAGCGCTCGCTTCTTCTGCGCCAGTTCAACGTCAACCGTTGTCCCCAAATACGTGCGGCAGTCGTCCATGACTGTGTCGATCCAGCCATTTAGCGTCTCCCAGTCCTGGCTGTACGACTTGTAGTAGGCCGTGTGCTCCTCGTCGAATTTCGTCGTGACGTCGATGATGGCCCACGTCTCTTCAAAGTCCCGAGCCACGTCGATTGTCGTCTGGGTCAGTTCCATGATGCCGGACGGGCCCTTGCGGTCTTCTCGCATGCCTTCCCACTCGGCAACCACATCAGGCGGAAACTTGGTTGACTTCCACTTTGGGTGACCCCCAAGTGTCATCTGAGGGATGCGCTGCAGCAGGAACTCACGCCTGGATTTCGAGGGGTCAGTGCTCATGTTGTCGGTTTGTGTAGTGTGCTGAATGTTCGTCAAGTCTGAAGCTGTCACTTTGGAGAAGAGTTGCTCAAGATGGTCGAGGTGCGTGCTCTGTGGTCGATGCCACTTCGTCCAGCTCCAGAGCATTGTCTTATAGAAAAGCTGAGGCAGTGAATCGGTCCTCAGGCTTGCCTGCAGGTTCATATACAGGTGATTTGTGCGCTCCAAATTTCACTCATCGCTTCACAGGAGCAGCCTACGTGTAACGGTGAAAGTGTTGAGTCTGCACAACATCGTCTTCGCACACCACCGATACAACCATCAAGAGCTTGTTTGAAGAACAGTGCATCAGGCTGTCGGTACTGTTGCGTACATAAGTACGCTTAACGATATTCAGAGCACAACGGACTTCCTTTTGACCAGTTTGATACGTTGCGTGAATAAGTACGCAAAGGGTACAATACAGCTACAGTTCGTCATAATGATGGTCAGTTCTTCTTGCACTGAATATAGAAAACGTACACATCACAATTCAAAGTCACATTCTCCTGATTCTGTTCCAATTTATTGCTCTGTTTAGTGGAACACATGGTTCTCTTGAGACAGCTATGATCAACCGCCGTAATCGGCGTGGACTCAAGAACGCCTTCTCCTCTCCCTCTCAAGTACGGCCAAGGCAACCCAAGCCATGAACGCCAGTCAGAGCAATTTCTTCTCCCGGAACTTGTCAATCTCCTCGTTCATGACTTTGGACAGGTTCTTCAGCCTCAAGAATATTGTTTCGACATATCTCACCAGGAAATCGACGTCGAAGTCGGCCCCGTTCTTCTTGTAATAGGTGCGGGCATCATCCAAGGCAATGCTGATCATGTCGCTCATCCGCTCCCAGGACTCAAAGTAGCCCTTCAATATCTTGGCGTGCTCGATTGTGAACTTGTTGTTGACGATGGCTTTCTCCCACTCCTTCTCAAAACGTTGGCCTCCGATATCGACGAAGGTCAATAGCTCGACCATACCTTTCCCCTCCTTCCTCTTCTTTCTAATGCTGTCAAAATGGGATCTGTGTTGAGCGGTGAGCATGGCGAGTTTTGCTGATGTTTCCGCCTGCGGTCAATGTGGTCTAAGATGAAGCAGAGGTCCGAAAACAGCTTTCCGCGGTGGTCTCCTTACTTTGCAGTTGCTGGTGGGAAGACTTGGAGAGTTGCAGAACCCTTCTAGACATTGTCGTCGGTGCACCTTTAACCTCAAGTGAGGCCAATGACCACCGAAGCTCAGACTGCATCATACCATGTACCTGCCCGCGTGCGGAACCCCAATAGAACTTGAAAGCAACCACACAGGCAGGCGGCGGCTCCTTTGCCTCAATCATGCTCGGGTGGAGGTTACCTCAATTCTCTCAACATCGCCAAAGCCCAGTTCACTCTCGGTTCAATTGCAACGTAAAGACCTGTCACAATGGCAGATGTGACTTCGCCAATCGGTCCTAACGTGCCGCGATGCGTACAGTTGAGCTCCCACAATGGTCGTGGAATGCAGTGACAAGATCCCCAGAGCCCACAAGCAGAGTATCACATAAGATTCACTCCGCGAAGCTTCTCGATCTCCTCGTGAACTCGCTCGTGCAAAGCCTTGAGGCTCTCCCATATAGTCTCGATCCTGACCATGGCAGCTACAACGTCAGGACTCTCCTTGTTTGCCCGGCGGAGGTAGCTGCGAGCGTCGTCGAGCGACGTTGTGATCATCGTGTCCAGATCCTCCCAAGTCCCAAAGAAACGCTTGAAGATACCGGCATCTCGCTGCGCAAGCTTGTTGTTCGCAATGTGTGCATCCCATTTCCTCTCGAACCTCTCGGCTAGACGCAACACCTCGTCCAGGAGATCCAGGACGCCTCCACTGGTCTTGCGACGTTCCCTGAGCTGCTCGAACACCGATTTGAGTTGCGAGGTGATCATGGCGAGAGATGTGTGGTACCTGCAGTAGGATATGTCGGTGGTGTGTCAACAATCGAGCTGCTCACATCCATCACTGCTTTGTAGGCACGACTTCTCGTGTTATCTGTCAACTAAGTACCTCCCATACGTCAAGTGCTTTCACTGTGACTTCATGAGTGGGCGAAGCATCGCGGATTTCCCGAGGCTGTACAACACACGAGAATTCCCCCGATCCTCCTTTTTCTCCGGTGAGGCCAATTACTAACAGCCCCATAGGCGCTCAGCTTAACACCCGGCATGCCTGCACGGGAGCCTGGTCTCTATTGCATAGGCAACGGAGCTTTATGCTCGCCTATGTCGTGCAACAAACGCCTCACAGACCGTCAATGTTACAACCTGAGCGTGGCACGACCCGACTGGTTTGCTTCGAGGATACGCGCAACGGTGGAACAGAGAACCAACTAGACATAGTGCGCGCAAATCACTCCGATTGGAGGAATAGACACTCCGGAGACCTTGTCCATAAAAGACGTCGAAAAGGGGCTCAGATAGACAGGACAGCACGTGACTTGAATGCAGCTGCACCTACCCTATACTTGTTCGTCGAACCTCAAAAAAGATTTGCGCAGGAAATGCGCCAAAAGCTCGAGAAATTAATTCAAAAACAAAAAATATAGGAATAGCCCGACGTGGGGGTCGAACCCACAACCTTGAGATGATGTGGACCTTCGCTGATTAGGCGTAAGAGTCTCACGCTCTACCGATTGAGCTAGCCGGGCAGGCTAGACATTGCTTGTTGAATGGGTTATCAGAATTAAATCTTATATAGGCCAAAAAGGAGAAGGAGTGGAGCTAGCGGACGCTAGTCATGTCGGTCGCGACAGTTGGAAAAAAGAAGTCCCCTTTTGCATGACGCGCATCGCAGGCTCCAACGCAACGTGTGCACGGATGCTAGACATATGAATGGCGCCGAGCTGAACGCGAACCCAAAGCAACCGTACGATGGCCCCGAATCAGTCTCTGCGCGATGGGCAGCCTACCGTCCTCGTGCAGAGCCGCGAGACGGGCGACGTGATACCAGAGAGCTCGATCCGGTCCAAGAAGGTGCAAGCTCTGCCCTTTGCCAAGTCATGGGTGCATCTGATGGCTGGCGCGTATGTCCCCTGGTCCCTTCTATGAAACCGCAAGATGCTGACAGAACAGTGTGGGCGGCATGACCGCAGCGACCGTCACGGCACCCCTCGACGTCCTCAAGACCCGTCTACAGTCCGACTTCTACCAAGCCCAGATCCGCGCGGCCCGCGCAGCAGCCCCCCAACAGGCGCGCAACCCCCTCCGCTCGGCCATCTATCACCTCAAGGATACACTCCAGATCCTCGGCTCCGTCTACCGGATCGAGGGCCCTCGCGCGCTATTCAAAGGCCTGGGGCCCAACCTGGTGGGCGTGATACCCGCGCGGAGCATCAACTTTTTCGTGTACGGTAATGGCAAGAAGGCCATGGCGCAGTACTGGAACCACGGACAGGAAGCCGCCTGGGTGCACCTGGCGGCCGGTGTCGCCGCGGGTGTTGCGACAAGCACAGCTACGAACCCCATCTGGATGGTCAAGACGCGGCTGCAGCTCGACAAGAATATGTCGGCCAAGTCCGGGGGCCAGCAGGCGCGGCAATACCGCAATAGTGTGGACTGCATCCGGCAGATTCTGCGCGACGAGGGCATCCGCGGGTTGTACAAGGGCATGAGCGCAAGTTACCTGGGCGTCGTGGAGAGCACGATGCAGTGGATGCTGTACGAGCAAATGAAGACCGGCTTGGCGAGGAGGAACGAACGTATCATGTTGAGTGGCCGCGAGAAGAACGCGTGGGACGGTGTGGTGGATTGGTTCGGCAACTCTGGAGCTGCGGGCAGCGCAAAGCTCGTGGCGGCTGTCCTAGCGTATCCCCACGAGGTGAGTCCAGAATGCAAGGCATGTCGACCCAACACTAACATACCTAGGTCGCCCGCACCCGCCTTCGGCAAGTACCCACCGACGGCAGCCGGCCCAAATACACCGGCCTGATGCAGTGCTTCAAACTCGTCTTCAAGGAGGAGGGCATGATGGGCCTATATGGTGGACTCACCCCTCATTTGATGCGCACGGTCCCCAGCGCAGCCATCATGTTCGGCATGTACGAGGCTATCCTACGATTATTCCATACGCCGGCGTAAGGGGATGATGTCGAGGAGTGTACGATGGGGGGACGTGTACAGCTATTGTCTTGAGATGCAATCATGGTCTGGCGTTTGGAGCAGCAAAGATACTGGAATAGATGGATATAGACGGGTTGATGTACAATACGACGCCACTTTTTGCCTCTTGGAATGACTTTTTGATTCGAAAGAAGGGAAAGAAAAACATGAAAACGGGCTAAACTGACATACATACCAACACACTACAACGACTGACTGCTAGTCGTCACGCCTTCACACTACCTGCATCCCTCACAATGTGTACCGCCTCGCATATGATGCAATCGTGTGGCCCTGCGCCGGCTGCCCCTTCAATCTAGCTGCCGCCTCGACGCGCAAGCCGCTGCCTCGTCCTGAGATGGCTACTACGACAGAGGGCCACTCATCCCGTCACCAGGCACTCCGGTCCCAGTTGGGGTCTTGTCGTTTGTCAGTATGGCGCGTGCCAATAAAAGTGTAGGACGAGCTGCTTACCCTGCACAAATGCCGCCAGCACCTTGCTACCAGTCTGCAGCAAGGGGTGGCCAACCACAATCTTGAGAAACTTCTCCAGGCCGGCGCGCCGTCCCTCAATCACATCGTCGCTGAAGCGGTTGGTGAAGACCTTGCCGGGCAGCGGCGGGATGGTCACGCGCGCGCTCTCCCGCTCGAGAATGTCCCGAAAGTACTCAAAGTCCGAGTACCGGCGACGCACCGTCGACTGGCGCAGCTTGAAGGCGGGGATGTTGGTTCGGCAGACAATCTCGTAGTCTGTGTACATGGAGCGGCCCATGCCGTGGGTGCGCGGGTTGCGCACCTCGATCTCGAGGAAGTTCTCTGGCGGGCCGTAGATCTCGTCGAACGACTGCTGGCGGGTGTCGGGCATGGACTGCAGGATCGGACGGTGTGAGTTTGGCGAGGTCGAACGCTCGGCGTTGTTGGTAGCGTCAGAGGACATGATGGGTGGGTGGTCAGGCGGTCGTGTGCTCGATGCGACTTGCTTCTGGCGTCGAGCCTGTGCGCAAATGGCGCGATACCGCTACAACCAGTCGCGTTGGTGGAGGAGACTGCTTCGCGGCAGGACAATGAGAGATCTAGGCCGAGGAGCGTGTATAGAGGCTGTTGAAGCAGATTGGAGGCGAGGCTTTAGATACAATGCTAGGAGAGTAGAGGTTGGAGTGCGCGTGCGTGGTGAGGATAGCTTGACGTTGAAGACCAAGTGGGGCTGTGATCGAATATGCGGGGGCGGCGTGGTGGGCTTGAAGATATAGTACGGAGTACATGTACGTACATGGCCTCTCCTCGCGAAAAAGCAGAAAAGCAGCTGGCAAAAATATGCTATGATTGTACCCCGATGACATGATTGAGAGAAAGTACATTTAATGCAGCACCATGATCGTGGGCTTCAATCACATGCGTCTCCCCACCACTTGGTCCAAGTCGCTGCGATGCTTCAACCAAGATCTCCAGGGCACACCATTCACTCCTCATTGCACTACTGATCACACATGCTGAGGTACGATAGCCATGACAAACCAAAGCCTGATCTTTCGCATTGTGCCTAACCTCAAGGATAGCCCAAAGACTCCCAACGCCAGTATGTGTGATGGAACACCGAATATGCAGAGGTCCCGTCCTACTTATACCGTCCCACACTCATTTCTTATCGCCAAACTTTTGATGAATCTTTCGGATCTGTTCCTCCACATTGTACGACTGCATCTGCCCGGCATGCGGCTGGCTTTTCCCCTCGGGGTTGCCGTCGTAGCTCTGCAGCGCAGCCCTCTTCCTCCGCGCCAACTCATCCTCGGACACCGCTTGCCCGGTAACAGGGTCGAATACGTCGCTTCGTTGACTGGCCAGGCGTTTGAGGTTGTTGGCCACATCAGCATGCGACACGTGCGAGTGCGCGTAGCGGGACTCGGCTTTGGCTTTCTGCTCCTTCCAGCTGGGATCCAAGAGTTCGACTGGTCATGGTCAGCACTGTCGGCAAATTCACATCTCGTTCTATCAACTTACTCCTCATGTGGGCTTCCAGCTCATCGATCGGGATGGGCTGCTTGCAGTTGGGACACGTCGCCATGCCTGTTTGCTTGGCCGCCGCCTTTTGCGCTGCTCGCGGTACATAGTTTTCTCGAATCTTCATCGCGCCCGGCCCACTCCTGGCTTCGGACTGGGCCTGATGCATGCGGGCTTGTGCGTCCATGCGCTCCTGTATCCTCCGCTCCTCTTCTTCTTGCTGTGGGTTCGCCTGGGGCGAATTGTTCCAAGCCCCTGGCGCTGGCATCTGCGGCGCATAGCCCGCCTGTGGCTGCTGTTGCGTTTGCTGTTGCCCGTAGCTGGTGGGCGTTTGCTGTGCGGCTGGGTATCCGTTGTGCATCGAGTCCTCTTCGCCTGGGAAAGCCTCCTCCAGCCGTAGATTCGAGGAGATGGAGGCCTTGTTCCTGTCCTCGAGCGACGCGTATTGCAGGTCAGACAGCGACGTCGGCGGCGGTAGTTGGGTATTCTCATCAGCATCTGTGAAATCAATCGTCTCGACCACCACAAAGTCGCCCCAGTCGATCCTCGCAAACTCGGCCTTGGCCTCCTGCTCTTCCTCCTCCTTCTTGCGCCTCTCCGCCTCGACGTGTTTCGCGTATTCTGCTCGTTGCTTCGCGCGGTTCAGCACGTGGAACTTGTCCGCGACGTTCTGCTCCAGCTCGGCCATGCGCTCGTCCTGCAGCTTGCCTCCCTCGCCCCCTAGTCCGCTTGCCCGCAGCAGCGTCGTATACTGGTCGACAATGTGCTGAAAGAAGTTGTGGAAGGTGTGGTTCGGTATCAGAAAGGCAAATTGCGGGTTGCCCGTCTCGCGCTGGGCCAGCTGTGTCATCCACTGTCGTCCATTCTTGGCGACGAATAGCGCCGTCAGTCGGATGACATCCAAGTCCTTCTGATTGATCCTGGGCATCCTCGCCGAGAACTGAAAGTCGGGAGGTTTTGGTGGCCCTTGCGGTTTCTCCGGCACTGGGGTCGACGACTCGTTCGCTCGACCAGCGGCAATGGATGTCCCGCGGCCGGCGCGGACCTCGTTCAGCCGCCATTGGTAGAAGGCATTGTATGCATCGGCTGCGTTGAGAAAGCTGAACTTGGGGTTCTGTGCTTCCTTGTCGCGAATGCGATCCTCAAAGACGGCGCCGTTTCGCGCCACGTAGCCGGCGGTCTTTTCGAGGACGTTGCGGATCTCGCGTGGAGGTAGAACGACGCCGGGAGGGGGCTTGATGGCGTCGAGAGCGGCCGTCGCAGAGTCGCCGTTGGTCGCAGCCGCAGCCATGATGATGCGTCGACGAGGGCAGCGGTGGGAGTTGGTGAGGAGTGGCGAGGAGATGAGGTCGGGCGATCGTCGAGTCAGTCGCGTCTGGAAATTTCAAAGGTTTGACGTCGCCGCACGCATGCCTGCGACCGAAATGGGTTAGCGTGGTGTGACGCCGACTACCCTATAGCCATCCTAATGCTATTTCATGAGGACGAATCTATGAAGCATTATTATTTCCCAAACACTGAAAAGTAAATTGATTGCTTTTCCTCTCTCCTGATCAAATAACCTTTAACTTCGTGAGTCTTTGCGTACCCATACTCAAAGCTAAAACTCCACAGGAACAAAAGCAACGGTTCAAACACCACTTTCGGGTAACGACATGTCTTGCACGGTTGATTCATGGTGATTTACAGTCCAAAAGGACTATTACTTACGCAGCTGACTATTCAGCCCAGAAGAACCGTTCAAGGGCATCGAACCTATTCACCAAGACTGGGTCACTGAGTAATCGATGACTTGAAAAGGCCCATTCGCAACGATCTAACAAGGAATATCATCTCGAAGCATCGAGTGACAATTACATGCTGGCCTAAAAGATAACCCGAAACAGGTCCGTGACCTGATCAAATGAAAACAGAAGACATTTCGGCCTGCTGCAAATTGCAGAGCCTGCGTGGAAGACGCCAGAGAATGCATGTGCCCACTCGCCTCCCCTCTATTGTCTAACGTGCTCGCGGCTCGTCATTACTTGCGCGGCCTTGCCATCTCGGCATCGTATGCCCTGGGGGCCTTCTTGGCGTCGCGTGCTTCCGTGATCGTAGCACAAGCTGGCTGGATCGAGAGCAGGCTACAGATGTGTCAGCAAAGTCAACGTTGTGAGGAAGGAGCGGGCACCATACCAAATGATAACGCCGAGAGCGATGATGCCTTGCGTGACTGAGCACGCTTCGCCCACGCAGTACCGCGAAGCAGAGTAGGCCACCATGCCGGTAGCAACACCCCACAAGAGAAAGTCCAACACGTTGAGGACCCTGTAGACACCTAGCCTGCCGAACTTTTGGAGCCGGGCCACATGGCGAGTGAGGAGCTCGTAAAGGATGCAGACGATGCTCTTGACACTCTGTGGTAGGATTAGTGGATGTCCGCAGACAAACGTCAACGCTCGAGAACTGACAGCTGTGATAGGCGTGATCTGGCCAGCGCCTCCAGGGACACCGGTGTTGATGGTTCCTTTGTAGCCGGCGAGGCCCAAGACAACAACTGCCAGCAGAAGTTGCACAATGTGCACCTTGGTCGCCAAGCGAACGTCGAAGAGGAGAGACTTGAACGACATCGTGAAGATTGAGTGATGCGGTAGAGAGAGAGAGTTGTGGTGTCGAGTGTTGGTGTTGGATGTGCTCGAGGAGACGGTATTTATAAGGCCGCGGTCAGGGGCACACCTGACTAGGACTCAGCACAGCACAGCATTGCGAATAAGCATGAACTGAACCTTATTATTACCCAGCCACAATCTTCGTCGCACTGAAGTGTTTGTCTCATGGGCAACCGCCAGTGCTAGTGTGCTCTCCATCTCGTACGCGCCTCGCAAAGCTGATGCGTACGAACCCGAGGTGGATCCCGTGCGACTGTCTCCAACGGGACCCTGAAACCTGACATTGCCAAGTGCTGCAAGGTCAGATGCCGACGCCGATCATCCGATGCATTTTGAATGGGGCTGTAAGTTTCCCGAATGGCGGTGCCTGGGAGGCTTGGAGGCTCTGTTCAGATAAGCTATGGATCTCGAGGTGCCCACCCCAGTTGCTCCGCAGGCCACTGAATCCAGTATCGATATTCGTAGTTCAAGGCGCCCCAGATCTCCTCCATGATATCCCTCGGTAACGTTTGTATCCACCAATAACCCTCCAGCTTGTGCAGAAGGACGCAATAGTAGGCAAAGATGACCAACGCCTCAGGCTCGCGGGCTTGCAGTGGCCCTTGCATGATCTCCAGGGATCGGTATAAGAAAGAGAAGATGTGCGACGTCGCCACTTGCTCATGATCGTCGCTCAACGTTTCTTGACAATACGACGTTGGTGAGACCATGTTGGCGGCAAAGCTTTGCTCGAGTAGGTCCAGAAGCGTCTCATACTGCTTTAGCCTCTGCGCATTGTCTACGCGCTCCCGGATCAATTGTCGAAGCAGCACCATCTGACGGTACTCGCTGGAACCCTTCCACGCCGGGAGGGACTGCCCTTTCTCCTCGGCATTGCTCACAAGGGCTTGCGAGACTGTAAAGAGTGGACTCACGGGCCCCTTTGATAAATGCTCCTGGTAGGATGTAGATACCGACCTAGTGCCCTGTATTAGGGCGAGCCAATCCGTCAATCCGCCCTCGGGTACAAGAAGCCAATGATCTCCTGGTTCCCGTGGTGCCGCGAGGATGTAGATGACAGCGAGCATAGAGAAGGCGAACAGAGCAGACGCATTGTCCTCGTTGGCGTTGCTAATCAGCGGAACGGCCATCGCCAGCGCGGCCGAGTGCTCCTCGCGACTCACGTCAACGTAGAAGGACCGTCTTTGCGGTCGAAGGACTGCCAGGTGCAATGCAGAGATGGCGAAGATGCTGCGCATCAGAAATGGGTGTTTGAGACCGAGCTGGGGCACAGTGATCCGCCACATGACTTTGAGTGTGGGATGAGCCGTGAGCGTGTTGTACGTTACGGTCGTGAAGTGATGCAAGAGCTCGAGATGCGTCTCGTTGAACAGGAGAGCATTGCCCGACGGCGACTGATGGCGAGACAAGTCATGGCTTGGCGATGTTGCGCCTTGGTGCCCTGGTGAGCGGTGGCTCGTAGTTCCATGCCAGCGGCGAGCCGTCCACGGCGCGTAGTTGCAATGCACCCCGTGCTTGATACAATTGGCACAAGACGGCTTTTGCTCATCGCACTAGTAGCGGCACTGGTCAGTCCTAGGCACCCTATAGTTGCAAGAAGTCTTACTTTGATCTTGCGTCTCTTACAGACGGTACATCCGCTTCGGGTTTTGGTGTGTGGCTTGCGCGGCCAAGAAGGGGCATAGGGCGTCGCCCCCGGCTCGCTACCGCCTGGTGAAGGCATGGCAGGAATCCGTACGCTGCAAGCTTTGCGAGCTTTGCGATGCGAGAGGCGAGATAAAATGCAATTGATGCTGGGCGAAGCGTAATTGGCCTCGTCACCCCGAAGGCTCGGCTTCGTACGGACGTTGCAAGGTGAATGCGTACGAGGAAGCCGAGGGGCCCGCTTGGGCTCTGCAGTCGTCGCTGACTGGAGCTTCACGGCAATCTACTGCCGACAAACTGCTCTCAGCGAGAGCATCAGTCAGCAACGCGGCAATGCCGCAGCTATATAGACGTCGCTCGCAGTTCATTTCTAGAGCGTCGCATGAACAGCGCCCATCAGTGGCAGTCACCGGAATTCGAGGGCCCGATGACAACCACCCTCACCCATGCTGTACCCAACGAGATTCTTCTGGACGGCGGGCGAGTAGGGCGAGTTCCGCGACACTGATCGAGTCGTTGGATGGGGCTGGTTCGCGCACTCGAGGCACTTCGTGCTTGGGCAGCTGAGACACGAGCGTCTGCAAAAGACCCGACACGTGGAGTATGAGTGCTAGAAAGCCAGCGACGGCGCTGCACTCTCAGCGCTTTCATGGACACGATGCCATGGGAGCAGTCTTGGGACGAGAACTTGGAGACATTCGAAGGATCGCTCGCCTGTTGAATTGGACGCTGCTGCCTTCAAGTTGAAGCCTTGAAGGTCCCGAGGCAAACACGTGACAGAGAAGCAGGCGTGGCGCTGCTGCAGGTCAGCCTCATGCACAATACAGGAGAGCAGTGGCTGAGGCATCGCCTGGCTTGAGCTTCGTCAACAGGCATTGATTGTGCTGAGTTCAATCATGAGCTCGGCCTGCCTCTTGAATAAGTCCATAGTCGAAGTGAACGCAAGGTATTCAGACTCAATGTAATTCCACGTGAAGAGCATCAGGCCACACTGTAACCAAAATAGCACAGACCCTGATTCCCTTGACAATGTGATAGTGGAGCCATGCGCCGCGGGGCTACGCCGATGATTGGCCCCCTTTCTTCAGCTTTCAGGACAGCATCAGCATTCCCACGAGCTCATGTCGCCCGGCTAGTCTAGATGGGCCAGCTCGCGTACGTAGTGACCACCTCACCTCAACCCTTTCAACTCCTCGACTTGACGCTGGAGGAGATCCCGCTGCTCCTCAGTCACTTTCCCCCCAAAGTGATCAGATGAGGCTCTTGTAATTGATCAACTCGCATTCTTCTTCGGCACGCTCTTTTACTGCCCGGTTTCCTTGTTTCGATTCATCCATCCCTTTAACTTCTCCACCAACTCTTCTTCGACACGACACGACACAACACGACACCGCCGATCGACGCAGCTCCCCAACTTATTGGAAATATCGAGCATCTAAACATGGCCAAAGCCAACTCGGCCCGGGGTCGCAGCCCGCTGCCCCCAGCAGAGAAGCAAGTGGCTTCCTCGCCTACCCTCGCCGTTCCGGAAACTGGCAACGCCCGCTCCAAGTCGAGGTCCAAGTCGCGTTCCAAGACCAAGGCGAAGAACAAGGCCAAAGAAACATCATACAAGTCAGACGGCGTCGAGGACCACGATGTCTTCCTCCTGCCCTTGTCTGACTACTGGGTGGTACTCGCCTTGACCCTCGTCGCCCTCGCTGTCCGCGTCTACAAAATCTACCAGCCTTCGAGCGTCGTCTTTGACGAAGTTCAGTGAGTTCGTGCAGCTTCTGCATCCGGAACGAAATGCTGACCTGTGCTAGCTTTGGTGGCTTTGCGACAAAGTACATCAAGGGAAAGTTCTTCATGGATGTCCACCCCCCTCTCGCCAAGATGCTCATCGCCCTGACCGGTTGGTTGGCTGGCTTTGACGGTAGCTTTGACTTCAAAGAGATTGGCAAGGACTACATTGAGCCCAACGTGCCGTACGTGGCTATGCGCATGTTCCCAGCCATCTGCGGTGTTGCTCTGGCGCCCTGCATGTACCTGACCCTCAAGACCCTCGGATGCCGCTCGATGACTGCCCTGCTGGGTACCGGCCTGATCATCTTTGGTCAGTATATGATCGCCCCAGATGTGCGTGGAAAATAGCTAACACCATGTAGAGAACGGACTGCTCACGCAAGCGCGCCTGATTCTCCTCGATTCGCCCCTCGTTGCCGCCACCGCCTACACCGCCCTGTCCTTCAACGCCTTCACCAACCAACACGAGCAAGGTCCTTCCAAGGCTTTTGGCGTTAGCTGGTGGTTCTGGCTTCTCAACACTGGCCTTGGCCTGGGCATCACCGTCAGCATTAAATGGGTCGGCCTCTTCACAATTGCCTGGGTTGGTGTCTTGACCATGGTGCAGCTCTGGGTTCTGCTCGGCGACAGCAAGAACGTCCCCATCCGCCTCTGGTGCAAGCATTTCATGGCCCGTGTGTTTGCGCTGATTGTCGTCCCCTTGACTTTCTACCTTGCCATGTTCGCCATCCACTTCACCGCTCTGGTCAACCCTGGTGAGGGCGACGGCTTCATGAGCTCCGAGTTCCAGGCTACCCTCAACACCAAGAGGATGAAGGACGTCCCTGCTGACGTCGTCATGGGCAGCAAGGTTAGCATCCGCCACGTCAATACTCAGGGTGGCTACTTGCACTCTCACCCCTTGATGTACCCCACCGGTAGCAAGCAGCAGCAGATCACTCTGTACCCTCACAAGGACGAGAACAACGTCTGGCTGCTTGAGAACCAGACGCAGCCTCTCGGCATGGACGGCGAGCCCATCAATGGCACCAACGCGTGGGACCTTTTGCCGGAACCCGAATATATCAAGAACGGCGCTGTTCTGCGTCTGTACCACACCAACACCCACCGTCGCCTCCACTCCCATGACGTGCGTCCCCCCGTCAGTGAGGCCGAGTGGCAGAATGAAGTGTCCGCGTACGGTTACGAAGGGTTCGATGGTGATGCGAACGACTACTTCCGTGTCGAAATCGTTGGAAAGCAGACCAAGGGTGCTGTTGCCAAGGAACGCCTCCGCACCATCGAGACCAAGTTTAGGCTCGTCCACGTCATGACCGGCTGCGTCCTGTTCTCTCACAAGGTCAAACTCCCTTCCTGGGCTTCGGAGCAGCAGGAGGTCACTTGCGCTCGCGGTGGATCCTTGCCCAACAGTCTGTGGTACATTGAGAGCAACCAGAGCCCTCACCTCGGCCCCGACGCGGAAAAGGCAAACTACCGCAAGCCCGGTTTCTTTGGCAAGTTTGCTGAGCTGCACGCCGTCATGTGGAGGACCAACGCTGGTCTGACCGACTCGCACACGTGGGACTCCCGCCCTGAATCCTGGCCCATCCTCCGTCGCGGCATCAACTTCTGGGGCCGCAGCCACACGCAGGTCTACCTCATCGGCAACCCCATTGTCTGGTGGTCGTCGACGATTGCTATTGTCACCTGGGTCGTGTTCAAGGCCATTGCTGTTCTCCGCTGGCAGCGCAGCTACGGCGACTACAACAACACCACCTTTAAGCGCTTCGATTACGAGGTTGGCATGTCTGTGCTTGGCTGGGCTCTGCACTATTTCCCGTTCTTCCTGATGAAGCGCCAGCTCTTCCTGCACCACTACTTCCCGGCGCTGTACTTTGGTGTCATTGCTCTGTGCCAGGTCTTTGACTACGCCACCGCCCGGATCCCCAGCGCGGGCCGCAAAGACAGTGGCCTCATCAACAAGGTCACCGCCATTCTTTTCCTCGTCGTGACTGCCGGTGTCTTTATGCTCTTTGCCCCTCTGGCATACGGCAGCCCATGGACCAAGGCCGAATGCAACCGCGTCAAGCTGTTCCCCACATGGGACTTTGACTGCAAGACCTTCCACGATTCGGTGAGTAACTGACTTGACTTTGCTTGTTGTTTCATACTAACGTGCTGTAGTACGACAAGTACACCATGCTCACTGTCCAAGCCGGCACTGCCGCCACGCCCTCCCCCGAGGCCGTCAAGGCTGACGCTGCCGCGTCCCAGGTGGAGGAGAAGGCTGCCGAGGCCGTCTCTGCCAAGCCCGAGGGTGAGGGCGAGAACGAGCCCCGTGTCGTCGCCAAGGACGACAAGATTGAGTTCCGCGACCAGGATGGCAACTTGCTGAACGAGGAGCAAGTCAAGAGCCTCGAAGGCAAGGTCGAGTTCAAGACCAAGTACGAGACCAAGACCCGCGTGGTAGATGAGGACGGCAACGAAGTGTCCGTTGGCGAGGCCGCAGCCGGCGTCGCCCCTCCCCACCCGGACGTCGAAGGCTCCGACCCCGAGACCGTCAAGAACGAGGCCGCTGCGCCGGAGGAGGAGAAGCCCGTCCCGCCTCAGCCCCACGATGCGGCCGCAAGCAAGGACGGCGAGATGGAGGAGGCACAGAAGCAGCCAAAGCCCGCTAGCGAGGGCAAGGAGGCCACTGTGCACGAGGAGCTGTAATTGGGTTTAGAATGGCCATGTATCACCAGTATTAATCTCTATGTCATGATGGGATGAACATGTGGAAAGGGGAAGATTGGGGGAGGTATTGATAAAAAGCGAATATGAATGGTGAATTTGAGATTGGTTCAAAGGAGACTGTCGAGATGGAATAGTCGGGTGAATGTTGATGTTGTGGGTAGTCATACCACAGGGCCACTTGGAATATGACGGGTAAATTAGTGACAGGGATCATCCAATATCCGGTATGGTGTAGTGGCTAACATTTGACGCTCTCATTGATCCAGTGTCATTCGAGGTTCCGTCAAGCCCAGGGTTCGATTCCCTGTACCGGAGATGGTTTTTTACTTTTGCCTTTTTTTGCTCTCGCTGGTCTTTTCCTCTATTCTTCTGCGCATTCCGAATTCACTTGCAAAGCATTCTATTTTTGACTGTAATGTTGCCTCGCTTGTCAACACCTGATCCCCTGAACTCCCGGGCTCCACATTAAAGGGGTAAATCGTTCACGGACGATCCCCCGAATGATGGCCGGCAGAAACGTCATGAAGATGAAGACAGACAGTGTGACGGAGAACTCGAGGACGGCGTGGAGGTACATCGTGAAATCCTTGAACACACTGCCAATATTGGCCCATGTGAATGTGTCCTCCATGGAGAGATGCGGGTTCAGCTCGAAGCGTAAACTCATTTATCACCTTGTGCTCCTCCTGACCCGGCATTCAAGGCACGGTTATCATCCAAGTAGGTTGAAGTCGAGCGTGGCTGTCTCCCCACTGCCCAAAGCTGATGTGTCTGAGCAAGCGTCCTCGGTTCTACAGCTTGAGTCGGCAACTCTAACGTAGACCTGCGTCCATTCAAGCTCTATCCTTCCCCTTCCAGTCACTGGCACAACGCGTAAACTGCTCTCTGACGTCAGCTTACACTATATCTTCCTCGTGCGACATAGATTGCTGGGTCACTGCTTCTTGGAGTAACCTTCACGGAACAGATTTGACATTGAAGCAATCTTTCCGATCCGTCTGGTCCCAGAACCTCTGGTACTACAATTACTATGCTGTCCCCCCCTTCACCAATCAAGCAATCCTCCATGCCCTTTACCCTCCAAATACTTGTTCGCCTCCGCCTGGGTGTTCTCCCACAAGCCTCGCGCCTGGGCCTCATCATGGAGCAATGGGTGGCCCGCATGCACAACCCCCATCGGCTCCATGTAGTTTCCCATGAACCCCTTTTCCTCAACGCGAATCTCCTTGGCCGTCGCAGCAAACAAACTGGCATGGGACCCAGTGTCCTGCGGCACAAAATTGCCCGATACCAGTGGCCACACCCACGGCTTGAAAACCTCATGGATCCGATCCGACGCCACGCCGCCGGGATGCAGCGACACAACGGCAATGGACACGTGCTTGCTGTCCAGATGTCGTTGGAGTTGTTTCGCGAACATGGCGTTGGCAAGCTTGGACACGGCGTAGTGCAGCATGTTGACGTTGAAGACCAGTGGCCGCAGCAACTTGTACTTTATAGGTGTGTAGGGCAGTGTCCCGCGCAGGAGCTCTGGCTTGGTAAAGTCCAAGGCGTAATCTGGCGGGAGAACGACGTGCATGGCGTTGGAAGAGACAACGACTATGCGAACGTCGGCATCTGCTGACGAGGCGGCCTTTTTGAGTAGGGGAAGGACGCCATTTGTGAAAACAAAGTGGCCAATGTGGCTTTGTCGTGTTAGCTGGTCCATGTATTCAGACTGTTATGCTGATTGTACTCACGAGCTTGCCATGGATTTCTCCCATCCGGCTGAGGTGTGCTCCAGTGTCCTTGGTGCTCCGCCCGCATTGTTCACTACCAAGGTCAGCTATTTGGACTTTCAACCTCACGAGAGTGACCGCGAACCTAAGATATCGACCTTTTCCTCCTTGGATCTGAGAAACTCTGCCGCCCTTGCCGCGGTTTCAACCTCTTCAAAGTCAGCGAGGAGCCATGGGAGCTGCTCAGCGGACAGTTGCGGATTGAGCTCGAGATGCTCCTCTTGCGTCCTTTTGGCTTTTGCCTCGTTTCGAGCCGTAAAGTAGACTTTGGCGCCCTTGGCGGCCAGATGCTTCACCGTGTGGAAGCCAATGCCCGAGCTACACCATGTGAGTTGATTCCCGTGCAGTACCTAGGTGTAAGGGACTCACGTGGCTCCGGTGACGACTGCCACCTTGCCCTTGAGGTCAGGCATGTCCTTGAGGGGGTCCCATTGGGTTGCCATGTTTTTGAGGCCTTGTTGTACAGTATTCTTGCCGTCGAAAGAAAGTCTGCATCCGTTAAGTCCAGTTGTGGGCAAGTCGAGAGTCTGCCAGTCCTCGACAGAGACGGCACACGCCCATATTTATACGCCAGGACAGTTTTAAATTCTGCTTGGAAATCATTCCTCCGCTCATAAAATGAAAGCTCTTTGAAAATTCCATTCTCTCAACATGGCCTGCATGCGTAATCTCTTCACACACAGCCAAATTTGGATCTTGATAAGGGAATGTAGACATGGCTGGTGACTTACACGATGTCGCTGAATCCACTCTTGTCTCGATTAGGACAATGCGATGCTTGGCATTCGTCGATGGGACAAATGCTCCCCCAAGGACCCAAACTCCGCCGTGGCTCGACTGTCGAGTCTAACCGCAATAAAATCCGCGGACCGCAGGGCTGATTAATCGCAGTCTAATACTGTCTCCCGGTTCCCGCAGGTCCGCAGTCTTAGAATTCCCTGAAAAGAGGCTTGTAGCGCTCCCGAGTTGGGTAATGCTTTTCTTGGTCGAATCTGCCCGTGGATCACGCGTCTGTCCACAATGACGGTCTTTCAATTCGTCCACTCCACTACGCCTGCTGATTCCAAGAAGCACAAGGGACAGGTACGGGCACACGCGGCACGGAATCGGGTCGCAGTCGATCGGCGCGTTGCTGCGTACCAGGCGAGTCGAAAGTCGAAGGTTTCGAGACGACTGGATCATCAGCCAGATCTCGTCGTCAACAACCATGGTCTCGCCAGCTGCCTCAGCGCAGCAAACACCGACCCTTTCCAGAGCTTCAGCAGACCTGTAGCCCAGCATGAGTGGTTTCTTCTGCACTACTGTAGGGCCTCATATCCTTGAGCGATGCCCAAAAAGTGCTAACAGCAGCATGACCAGTCATTTCCCACCTCGCGCAATACCGGACATCCTGTTTCGCTGAGCAGTCTCATGACTGCGATGGCCCATATCAGCTCCAACAGTTTATGGTCCCGTATTGGATACGAAGCGCGGCGAGCGATGCTGGTTTCCTCGCTTGCATCTTGCTTGCGGCTTGTCGCGACTTGTCTCGCTGGGTTGGCGCGGGTGATCGTGGCAGCAGATACGACGCCCTGTCGGCGCAGTACAGTATCAATGCGATCCGTAGCTTGAGAGAGGCACTCGCAAGCTCGAGCAAAACGGTGAGCGACAGCATGATACTCACGTGCATGGCGATCGGCCTCGACGCGGTATGTCAAGTCAATTCACGACGCAAAAGGGGTCACATCCAGCTGATTATTTGTGTTCCAGCACCTGACGGGCGACAGCGCGTCCGTGGTCATGCATGCCGAGGCGCTCAGCAGGATGGTTCGATTGCGCGGTGGTTTCGCTGCGATGAAGGCGGAGGGCACCCTGAAGAACATGTCCATCTGGAGCCTCAACGGTCCCGCCACGGATCCTCTCACTTTCCATTATCTGCATTGCGTTGTGAGGTTTGTCAGTGTGGACGAGAAATTGCAGGACACGCCTAATTAAATTAGGGGTCCGACTAAAACCTCTGCCGGGATCGACAGGGACGAGACACGCTAATTGAATTAACGTCATCACGCGCGTCCAGTCGCGTCAACAAACGCGTCTGTCAACTTGAGATACCCCGTAACAACCCCAGGATTCGAGCAGACCCTCCTGTCTCATTCACCATCACCAACATCAGACATCAAAGACCATCCGATCTTCATCATGCCCCCCAAACGCAAAGCTCTGGACCCGGCGGACGCCAATGCGACTGCCGCCCCGCAACCCAACGCAAAGAAGGCCAAGCCTGCGGCCCAAGATGCAGCAGCTGCTGCGTCGACAGGGCTTCGACCCATTAACAAGCACGAGAAGCGCTGGGTCCAAGGTGTCTGCCTCCAAGAACCTGGACCTGGGCTACCAAAAGTCCATGCAGGACCCCAATCATGCGTACGAGTTCATGTGCATCTGCGACCCCACCGTAGATGAAGACGAGTACGACGAGGAAGAAGAAGAAGAAGAAGAAGGAGAAGGAGGAGACAAGCCTTCCTGTGACGGGGGCAAAACGTGCCCATGCAACAAGACGGCCGTCTCGCTGCCCTCTCACCCGTACACCATCACCAGAGCGGGCCACCGCAGGGCAGACAAGGCGCGCAAGGCCGAGGAGTGGCGTGAGATGTGGGCCCTGGTCGAGTCCATCGTCCTCTTTATCGAAGTCGGCGGCGGCGCCGACATGTGCATGGCCGACGACGGCGAGAGGGTCCAGGAGCTCGCCGCGTCCATTGCGCGCCTGGTCCTGACCACCCTCTCCACGCTCGAGAGCCACGACCAGCTCAAGGAGGGCTCCGACATTAGGAACCTGGGCTGGATGATGTCGCTCACGCACGCCATGTCCGGCACCCTGCGCGAGATGAACGTCATGGGTCCCACGGCGCCCTCAAAGGCCAAGGCGTTCAAGTTTAACCCGGACAACTTGGATCTCTACGTGTGCGCCTTTGCGCACCGTCACAGCATCACCATCCCGGGTGTCAGCGAGGATGATATGGCGGAGGCCGCGCACATGGCGATGCCAAAGGCCGGGGCCAAGGACCATTGGGGCTGGACGAGGGGCAGCGCGCGGGTGGCCGGAGGCGACAGGTTCGACATTACCACGATGAGCAGCGCGGAGCGCAAGGAAGCCGCCTTTGATGAGAAGGATCCCATTCCCGCGAAGGTCATGGAGAGTATAAAGAAGGGTGAGCCGGCGTGTATAGGATGAGGCTAATTTAGTTGGATACCATACCACGCCAGGCTGGCTCGGATCTTAGATGTACAGCGTGATTTTGGATTTAGATGCAGGCATGCAGAAAGGAGGCAGCAGTAGCCGATAGGGCAAGGTGTCCACCATGTACGAACGACCAACTTTGGGATAGTTTAAGTTAGGTCTTTGCGTTCTGTCCGCAATGTATTCATTCACTCAATGGCAGCCCAGGTGTCTCGTCTCGCCAACAACGTCAGCGTCATGCTTCATATCAAAACTAAAAAACAGTGGTATCAACTTCTACACAACCAGCGGCTCGTCATCATGAAATCACACTCTATCGATCCCCCGTCGTGCTATCACCTCGAGGGAGGCCTCGGTCTCCCAAATCGCTCCCCAAACGACGATCCGGGGGGCTGCGCGCCCCCACTGTCCTCCTTGCTCAACCTCAGACCATGCGGTAGACTTGCGCGCATCTTGTTAATGGGCGGCAGCTCAATCCGACTGCTGACCCCGATGCCAGGTACGCCGACGCTGCTGCTACCCGGTGGTGGAGACTGCAGCAGCCAGGACGATTCTCCCTCCTCCACGAATCCCACGTCACTCCTCAGTCGCGCAATCTCGTCCTCTGTGACCTGCCGCCAGCTGCACTTTGCGTGCTTCTTTGTGCAGCCCTGACAAGCAGTGAGGTGCTTCAGACACTGTAGCTTGAGTCGTCGGCAGCGATCGCAGGCCGGGCTAATGGGGTCGCCACGGAGTAGTTTGTCGATTTTCTGGGTGATCAGGGGACGGAGAGTATCGACAGGCACCTCATCGGCCGCGATGGTCGAGGGCGACCGGGTGGCAGTGGGCACGCGCTGCGGCGCTGTGCTGGACAGGGCTGGGGAGGAATGACCCTGACTCAACCCTGCGCCCGAGTTGGACCGCGAAGCCGCCGTGGTGGGTGTCGGCGGGGAGAGGAATTGTTGCAGCAGATCAGCCCGCAAGTCGTACGGCGCGGGGCCTCTCGAGGGGGGTCGGCTCGTCTGGTTGATGGACTGGAACCGCGAAGTGGCTTCGTCGGCCTGCGGTCGCCTCCTCATAATGTCCTGCCTGCGCTGCCCCAGCTTGTGGTGCAGAATCCTCGACCGGGCGGCCACGTCGTCGGCGCGCCTCCACAGCATCGAAGCTCTCTGTTCCAGCAGATCCAGGGTCTCCAGCTCGGCCGCCTCGTCCTCCTCGAGTGGATCTTCCAGCGGTATCCTGCTGAGGGCGCCAGACATGATGAGTCTCCAATCATCCTCGGAGATTTCCACTTGCACGCTATTCTTCCAGGTAAAATGGCAGCCCCGCGTGCCATCCGGCAAGGTCGTCAAGACGAACTCTTCCGGGTTGGTCCGCGAGAATGAGTAGATATTGTGCCAGGTCACGGCGGAAGACCCAAACGGCTGCTGTGGGGGGGTTGTCTTGATGGGTCCCTCGAAAAAGCTCTCAAACCCACGCGCCAGACGTGGGCCATGAAGTTTGGCGCCTAAAGACAAGGCGAGACTTTCCTGACGCTCAAGGACACCTTCGACGCGTAAGTACAGAGCCAGCAAGGGCTGGATTCCACATACCCTCATAGCTCCCAATGATACGCAGGATTTCGGAGAACGGTTCCGGGTCGTTGGGGAGAAGGAATAGTCTCTCCGTGGTACTTCGAGTGAGATAGTTGATGAAGCCCGTGCCGTGGCCTGCCAGTGTTAGCAAGATTCTTCCATCGCAGCTGGGTTCCTCGGAGAATTGACGTGACCAACCTTGCTGATTTTGAGGTACGATTGGAGGCAGAGGCATGGTCTGGCCTTGGTCATCCGCGTCGCGCTTGCGCTTGTTGGCGTCCTCGGCCATGGTCAAGTATCAGTGCTGTCAATGTCGCCCTTGGAAGATGTCAGGCGCAGCGCGGACCTCTCTCAGTTTGATTCTAAGAAATCAACACTCGAGAGAAAAAAAGGTGGCAATGTCTCTTCCCGAATCCGTATGCGAGAAAAGGGACAACCAAAAAAAATAAAAAGAAGAAAAAGAAGCACGTGAATACTTTCAGCAAAATCGATCGCGCATCGGACCAGGCTGGTGCTATGACACCAAGTTTGCGTGCGGTCGAGATGCTGCGTATCAAGGTCCGCACTGGCAGCGCTCGCTTTGCGACTTGCGAATCTGCGACTGGGCCTAGACCGTCTCGGCCGGGGATTGACGTCCGATTCGCGAGATCCTACCAAGGCTAGTCGGACAAGTTGGGGAGAATATGCATGAATATGTAGGATAGGGGAATGTTGTTCAATGATTGTCCATCGCAAAGCCCCCCGCGCAGCCGAGGGAGAGAGAGACACTTGTACCCGGCCTCTGAGGGGGGACACTTAAGTTAGTGGGCGGCGGTATTGGGAGACCTGGGCTGATTGATGGTCAGATGAGCGGAGCAGAACGAGGCTGGACGTGGAGAAGAAGGACTACCCCCTATCTCGTTCGCCGGACCTGAGTCCCTGACCTGCCTTATTCTGGCTCTGGTGATGGGGGGGTTGTTGGAGAGCCACCAGGCAGCTGGTGCCACCAGGCAGCTGGTGGCAGATGACGACGAGGATCGCGGCCATTGACCACTCAGGAGCCGCGGCGACCGCGACGTGCCCACGGATGAGAACTCCGAGGCAGCTGTGAATTTGGTTTGGGGGAGCAGCCAGCGCGAGCGCGGTCGGTGAGGAGACAATGTGGATTGGAAAGAGGATGGACATGTCGCCTCATCTATGAGGGAGGGATCATCGCGTGTGAGGGGCACCCCAACGAACGTGGCCCTTGCCCACTCTCCAGTCAATCTATGGTGGAGACCAATGGCGAATGGCGTTTCGGGGCGATTTGACCTAGGTACTCGAGCCTCGAAGCCACGATGTCTCGTGCGCAACGAGGACAGGACAAGAACCCAAGGTCCAGTCCCTAGTGGTGAATCAGAATATTCGAAGGTGCACTAGAACACGCTTCCGGGAGGTAGCTGTCACCGCCAAGGACTACTAACCCAAGCAGACTGGACCCCGGATCACTCTGGCAGGCAGATGCGGCGGCTAGTATCTCACGACTAGCCGCGTCAACCCCTGGCCCCCCCCATTGACTATTGATACTATGTGTCTGCTTCTCCAATAGGATCAACAGCTGAACAGCAAAAAGGGTATGCTTACGGGGAGCTATTCCCTAAATTATTCCCACTTTCAACGGCCCACGTACAATGGCCTAAATTTGTCGCCACTTGCTTTTTGATTTCCGCCTGCTAGCTCACACTGCCCTCGCAAGGTATGGTAGTCTTCATCATTACATCTTTACTAGGTCAATAACCAGTCATCACATTGTCTGCGAGTGGCAATGTGTTCGCCAGAGGTGATGCGTGCACTGGGCGATGAATACATCGATCATGATTTATGCTGGTGTCCCCTCCCCTCGTAATTCAAAAGAGTGGTCCTTATGTTTGCCACTTCCTCTCCCAAAGCGTATAATCCCCAATCTTGAAGGCGCAGTAGCTTTGATGCGAGGTCGGAGCACCAATACACACACTCTAATAGCTCCCCACCATGCTTCCGTGCTGATGATCTTCTTGTTTCGCGAGTTCAAGTTCGAGGTTGACCAGAAAGGGTGTAGGGTAGCTCAGCAAGCCTAGACTCTGGCAAGGGCCCATTGCCTGTCCTGCTCTGGTTTAGGAACAAGAGCGAGAACACAATACATACCCAATTGACCTTGCCAATACACAGGCCACACTGTATTACACATGGAAGCAACTGTCCAAAAGCTTACTTTTGCACGATGCGAGCTTAACGCGTCCCCGCAGCGCGCGTCGTCGGCAGACACGACATAATTCCATCACCACATGGCACCCAAATTCACACCAGCGCTGCCTGGATATTCTTGCCCCATCCAGCAGAGCTACAACCTCTGCCCCTCCAAGTTCCAACCTCACCTCACCTCACCGGCCCAACGTCACATCCCTTCGCCAGGCCACCAACAACCAACGAAACCCACGGCCCCTCCTCTCCTACACACGAAGCAAAGCAAAAATGTCTGACAGGCCGATACATCGCGGCGGCGGCGGCGACCACAGAGGCTCATCGCGCGGCGGCGGACGCGGCGGTCGCGGCAACGCTCGCGGCGGATCGACACACAACGCCCCTTCCTCCACGACCGAGCGCCCTAAGAAGGAGAACATTCTCGATCTGGGGAAATACATGGACAAGCAGATTACGGTGAAATTCAATGGCGGACGTGAAGGTGGGTTTCTGCCGGCATTCCCCCCCGTCTAGCGAGCGCGCAGCAGGGCGCGAGCACTGGGACTTTTCTCGAGCTGTGCTGACAGGAGACAATGTAGTTCGCGGCACATTGAAGGGGTATGACGCACTGATGAACCTCGTCCTCGACGACGGGCAGGAGACCATGCGCGGTAGGTTTTCGCGAACACCATCTCAAGGAGTGTGTGAACTGACCACCGCTTGTAGATGACCAGGGCAACGAGACGACGCGATCGCTAGGTTTGGTTGTGGCCAGGGGGACATTGCTGGTACTAATCAGCCCGGTAGATGGGAGCGAGGAGATTGCCAATCCCTTTGCGCAAGCCGAGGAGGACTGAGCGAGGCGAATCAAAGACAATGAACAAAAAAAAAAAAGACCATTCACCACAGCTGTCCGGACTACAATGGCAATCATGCATCTTGCCGCGACACATCGATCCCCTGCGCAGTCGTAAAAGAGTCATTCAAATTCAGCGCTACATAGGTACTACCCAACGTCAGTTGACGAGGATGGGTACCGTCTCTAGCAGACCGGCATGTTTGTATGTACCTTTGTGTGTGTGTGTGTGCAGTATGACAACACCGCTATAGCCTTGATCCATCCGCGCTCGCTGAGGCACAGACATATCAGCCAAGCGACTGATGCTTTCTCCAAAACCCCTTGCCTCGCCCTCTTGTTCGCACTCCTCTCCTTCTCGCTCCTCTCCGATGATCGTCTCTCCAGTGCTTGTCTCTCCAGTGCCG